CTCTTCATTATATCACTTGCAATAAATATTCCCATGTTTGCCTTAATTGTTGCCTTTGCCAAGAACAAGGGGATAGGAAACTTAAGCAAACTTTTATGAACAGGTATAAAACAAACAATTGTCTTTATACGGATGGCATTGTCCAAGCGTATTTGTAATTGTCTTTATATAATGTAGATGAGTAGGTTGTTCAAAGTGTTTATATTATTTAATTTGTAAATTGACTTGGATAATTTAAAAATCATTTTAGCGTTCAAATTAGTACTTATTTGTGCTCGTTATTACTTCACTTCTCAATATTGTGAATTTCTGTTGATATTTGATGGTGGGATATTTACTTTTTGATCTAAGCCTAGATATGTTTTCCTTTAGCTCGCCATTAGGAATGATTTGAAGAATCCTGGTTTTGTTGTCTGATAGAAGCTGTGGCAAATGTTTAAGAAGAAAGTTTCCAAACTTCTCATAATTAACTCCACAAAGAATGGACCCAAGAAAATAGTCTATAAGAAGGGTGTGTATCGAAATGCTATTCTTGAGACATACCATTCTCTTCAATACAGAGTAAAATAAGCTATCTACGGTTTCAAAGGTTACTACCACTTCCAGTACTTTTTCTGATATAAGAAATATGTTTCTCTCTAGCTCTGCTTCTTCTAGGGCAATGATTTTTCTATATCCTGTTTTCCTTCTGTATGAAACATCAAGGCAGCAAAATATTTTTTCTATTTCTGAGCGCTCCTTTACATGACTTTTTATTTCTTGTGTTTTCTTTATTTTTGGCTTTTCTTTGGCCTTTTTTCTTTCATTAGCCTTTTCTATTCTGAACTTCTTGAATAGCTTTCCCATTGAAGTAGGGCGATTAGAACAAATTAGTTAACTCAATATAATTTATTAATCGACTATTATTTCATCTAACTTCACGTCCAGACTCTTAGTGCTGACTGTCAACCTCACGTTTGGGCTAAACTTAAAAACGAGAAATAATGCAGACAAGATGAGTGTAGTAAGAAACGAGAATACCGTCAAAACCATCAAGAATCCGTCAGAGAGGTAGCATCTATTTAGAAATGTGATTGTATAGTTGAGGGAATCCTTTAGAGGGATATCCTCTTGATTTACTTGGAATCCGTTGATCTGGCTCAGAAAAGAAATAAATCCAGGCGATATAGAGCTTCTTCCACCAAGAGTAACATAGAAAAGTGCGTCTAAAAGTAGAAATGGGCAAAGAAACAGAGCATATGATGTTGGATATAAGTATTTCATAAACCAATATCTATCTCTTAGATCTTCTAGCTCCATACTCAACCAAAGAGGCCTTAAGAATGTTGTAAGTATGAATGCTGCTACTCTGGCTATGTTCAATGTATAGTTGTCTTTTGAAAAAGCCTTTACCATTGTCATGAAAACAACCATTCCTAGAGGTGTGATAAGAAACATCAGAACTGCTCTTGCAGTCAACACATCCCTAAGCTGAGTTATACCTAGGAGAAGGCAGAAATAGGATGATCTTATTATCGAGAATACACACTCATATACCAACGTTGAAATCAAAAGAGATATTTGGCTATAGTCACACCTGAATGATTCTTTTCGAAGAAGTGTACTGTTATCCAGGAAGGTCGAGTCATTAAATATAGAAAAGCATGTGACAAATGGCAGCATGCTATAGGCAAAGAAGTCCAAGACGTCGTTGTACAATATTTGCAGGTCTCCATAATTTTTTTCCAGAAAGATTTGCAGGTCATAAAGATATTTTTCACCTGGTGTCGAGTACTCTGGCGATATTCTGTTAATGAACTGAAAGACGGAGTACTTCACCTTGTCACATAAAAAAAAGAATAACAATGTTGCCATTCCCATTTTGAATAAAAATACATTTCTCATGACCTTATTTCTGTAATCTATTTTCAGCTGCCTGACGAATAGATGCCAGACATGCCTCCATGAGACTGAAGAGATAGCGAAGCGTTGTGTGTTTTTTTCAAGAGTAGCTTCGCCATACCACTCCATTGCTTTCTTTGTGCTCTCCGGTGAGCGTAAGTCTTGAGGCTTTATGTTTCTTATTTCTAGTTCAAACAAATACTCTGCAATGGAAATATTCAATGGCCTTTGCATCCCAATAGAAGCAAGAAAATCGTCTATCCCTGAAGTGGGCCCTGCATAGACTATCTTTCCTCTATCTAGAAATATCATGTCATCGAACAACTTAAACATCGAATTTCCTGGCTGATGCACAGTCATCAAGACGATCTTGTTTTTAGTTTCTGCATACTTTTTTAGTATTCGGACGGTGTCTAGAGCCAGGCGCGAATCTAATCCGCTTGTTGGCTCGTCAAGGAATATCACATCAGGGTCTATCACAAGCTCTACAGCAAGCATGACCCTTCTTCTTTCTCCTCCGGAAATAGACGAAATCAATGTCCCTCTCAATCTTTCCAGCCCTAGATCCCTGATTATATCATCTATTATTGATGGGATGTTGGAGTCTTTTATCTCTCTTCCTCTGAAGATAAGTGAGTATCTTATAGATTCTTCTACTGTGAGCCCCGAGGTAAAGGTATCGAATTGCTCTAGGTAGGAAGTTGTTTCAAGCCATTTGTATACCTTCCTTTGCTTCCCATCGAAAGTAACTATCCCAGACGTCAACGCATCGCTGTCTACGTTGCCCATTAGGAGATTAAGGAAGGAAGTTTTACTACTTCCACTCCCTCCCATTACAGCAGTCAGCCTTCCAGAAACTATTTCGCCAGAAATTCCGGAAATAAGATCCACATACTTCTGGTTGAGGTTTTTATTCTTATTAGGCACTTTCAAAAATACATTTTCAAATCTTAGTACCCGGCTTGCCATACCCTTTTGCCATTCTTTGCCTTGAAAAGACACAAGTGACCAACCATCCTTGTGGTGTTGCACATTCCTTATCGTTTGCGAGGGAAGCGAATAAACACTTTGCTTTGCCAATATAATACTCTCCTTTACTAAGATACTTTAATTAGATATTTTTGGTTCAAGACTCAAAGGAGAAGGTCCATTGAAGCTCCTAAATGCCCAAATTCAGAAGACATCAGGGCTTATTTGCTTTTCCCGTGCGAATTGACATTGATTCCTCTTGTTTCCACATAAAGCTGCGTACTCTTCTCCATCCTTGGAAAGTATCCTTTTCTTGTAGTGTAGTTTTCCTCGTCCTTAAGAGTGAGCCGCCCCTTCAACGATATTTCTACAGGCTTAAAAACCCCATCCTCGCTACTTTCACCCAGTGACTCCCTCTGCATGGTGACACTCTTGAAGGTTCTAAGAAGCTGCGAAGGCTCAAGGCCAGAAGGGTATTCTCTCATTCTTTCAATTTCAGCCAGCTTAATAAGATATGAAATATAGTGGGTGTTTATGATCTGAAACTCCTTTTTTTCAAATGCATGTAGCTCATTCATAGCATTTCTATACTCGCTTTCAATCTTATTTCGAACATCGCTGATATTGCTCTGGAAGGCCTCAACATTTTTCCTGAAGTCACCTATACTTTCCTTAAGTTTTTTCTCCTCCTCGACCAATCGCAATTCCCCTGCCTTTAAGAGCTCCTGAAGTTTGTCACAGGCCTCTACATAATTCAAGAGACTATGAGATCCATTTGGAAGTTCAGAATGGTTTCCACTTATCTTACACTTGGTACAGACCGGAATAAAGCACTCTTCACAGAAGTAATCTACCATCGTGTCCATGTGGCTAGCACAGTAAATAAACTTTTTCTTTCCAACTTCATTGAAGTAATATCTTACATGTCTTTTGAGAAAATGGTCATTGTGCACCTCTTCATCACAGTCACTACAAAAACTTGCCCTTTCTGCAGGGCAGAAGGATGTCGATTGGTTCACACGGCATCTATCACATATAAAGCTTCCCTTCGACCTCATCTCTAGCTCTGCATCGTATTCAAAGGTTATTTCAAAAAGAGGCAGAATTTTGCTTGGGTCCTTGATGGCATACCAATAATTCCTTATGTCTGTCTGTGAGTCAGATAGGAACCCCACATGATATCCAGGGTCGCTGGTAATGAAAGAGTTGTAGTGCCCAGGAGGATTCATCTGCTTGACATATTCTTTCGATACATAAATCGACTCTCCAACAGCAACAGAGCAGAGTTTAACCTTGTGGGTGATGGAATCCTGAGATAGTGGAACACCGAAAACAGGAAAGTAAGTCGTGGGGCCTATCTCGGTACAGAATGCCCTTATTCTCTTTGTATCTCCAAATCTCTTCTCAAATGCTGCTGTTTGCTGCGGGTTCGCAATTTCCTCTAGCCTTTCTATTTTCAAGGTTGTACTGTCTAATAGATATTTCAGCAAATACTCAATGTTGTGCATGAGGGGAGCAAAAAACAACAAACAAATCCCGTTCCTGAAAATTGATAATAGATCTGTAATATATGAAGATAATTTATTTCGGATCCTAATACTCATGCACTGAGAATACCTATTTGCACTATAACAGTGAAATCGTCTCCTAATGAATATGCTAGTATGTGAGAATCTAGAAAGGAGAAAACAATGTCTCCTTTAAATTCCTCCAGAACCCTTAGATCTTTTCCTCTAACCCTCACAGTCACTAAATCAGCCTTATGCTCAGGAACCCTAAGTCCTATGTATTCAGACTTTGTTCTAATAACCCCAAAAGACTCTAATACAAGTCTTCCAGTCTTCTCGGCTTTTATTTCAATCTCGTCGGAGCTTAGAGCCTTGAACCCGTTTGCTACAATGCTGAGTAATGGAACACCTCCTGCAATATTGTAAGTCTCATCATACACTTTCACTCTCTTTTCCACCCTAATCAGATCTCCTCCTATGCTGGCTTCATAGTTATATTTTAGTGTTTTATCCTCCAAAGTAAACTTCTGAGTTTGACTCAACATCGCCACAAAATCCTTGATCCCAACTGTAAAACAGCAATCGCAAAACTCCGGCATCTCAACTAGAATCGACCTCGAACATATGCTTGTTTTTGAGACAGTTATTTTCGAGGAGAACTTCCTCATAAACATGAGAGTGCTGTGAAGTAAGGGAGATAGCCTGATGCTTCCCATATGAATGGGTAGGCACCAAAATTGCTCTTCAACAGAAAATCAATTTTATTCACATCAAGACTCCGTTCATGGAATAAGTCACATAATGTCAAAGCATGCGATCGTTCCTCCATTTATCAGCACCTCACCTATATATATTTCCTCCTCTCCATCAGCCTGGAGATAACTATCCTTTAGATGCGTATTTACATGCATGTCAAAGTTTTCCAGCACTCCTCGATATGTTTTGTTGTTGAGAGTAATAATTCTAACACTCTTGCTTCTGTTCTTTTTGAGGATCTCTAAGGCTGGCAATTCCATTCGAAGGGTATCGCACTGTTAAATTATCCATCATTTTCTTTGCGTCCTTTTCTTCTGCTTTACTGTAACTGTCTCTCCGCCTAGAGCATCACTGTTCTTCAGGAGTGTATCCCCTCTATAAACATCCTGCTTGCTTACAGATATCCCTGTTCTATCGTAGATGATTTTCTTGAGCATCCTAACATTTGAGCAATCTATCACTAAGCTTTCATACTCTGTTTTAATCCCTTTGTCGAATATCACTGTTACATGGCTTCCTTCCTCCCCTTGTATCTCTGAGTTGCATGATCTTGCTTTTAAGTGATCATTTATCTTCTCATCAGCAATGTATTCATTACAAAACGGGCACCTCTTGTAGCCAATGCTATTCCTTACTTCTTTATAGTATCCATCTTCAAATACATAACAAGCTCCGCTTTCTTTCAAAATCCCGACGACTTTAAATCTATTGAATTCAGACAGCGAATGAGATCTTCTCCTGAATCTCCTGCGATACTTGTAGAAGTCATACACCTCTCCCTTCTCAATCTGGCTCACAACTCTCAAATAGCTTTTTCTCACTCTGAGATAATCCTTCTGGGCTTCTGGATCGATTGGCAAAAGTGCTAGTTCTTCATCCAATGTGCTGCCTCTCATCACGCTCTCCAATGCAGCTTTTTTTATGATCTTCCATCTCTCTTCGTCTGGATACAATACTGTAAAGCTCATGGGCTTTCTTCGGCATGTTTCTATAGTTCTTCGGAAATCATCCTTCTGTGCCATAGAAGTAAACACAATCTTACCAATACCAGATAAATGCTTTGTTTTAGTATCCAATGGCCTTAGGTTTACAATAGGCACTGTAAGTGTTCACCATAGGTATTATAAATAACCTTGCATAAGCCCCGAATGGAGAAAATGGAAAAAAAGACTTCAAAACAAGAAAAGCCTAAGGTATTCGACTCGCCTGCGACGAAGAAAAAGGTGATGACACCGTTAAGATCAGCCCTGCGCAGCTCCAATGGGCGGATCGGGATCTTTCTCAAGAAGATGCAGGAACTGAGCTATGAGGACAAGGAAAACCTATAAAAACAATGACCAAAAGATTAAATTCGATCAAAGTCCATTTTATTTAGAGCCTCGGTTACTCATATGTCTACTTTATATAATATGCATGCTTTATCACCTCAAATGGATCATTTTCAATGCATTTTCCATTCACTATGTAGTTGTCCAAAATTATGTGTGTTTCCTTGAAATTGTATATGAAATGCAACTCACAGACCTTGGTAAAGAACCTATCATAGATCGACATGAGATTGTTTATCAAAGAAAGCACATACATCTCGTTTTCATCCTCCACAACAAAGGCTATGAATAGATTTCCAAACCTATTGAAGACGATGGTCTCGCTTCCATCGATAATGTTCCTCTCCTCCTGAGCGATCACCATCGATCTTATTTCCTCATCGGAGAGAGTGGCCTCGTATGTTCTTTTTAGCCTTGTTTCTCCGTTCAGACTAAATCCGTAGATCTTCTTTATCATGAGATGGTAAACATCATTATTTTTCTAACCGGTATGAAACATTGATGACGAGGATCCCCACCTCACCCTCAATGGGGCTTCTAAGTAGCACAATGCTTTGTGAAGAGGAAATAGAGGAGCTAAAAAACACCACCTTTTTCGACGAAAGAGAGATAGAGCACTTGTACGAGAGATTCCAGTTTCTAGATAAAGAGTCTCGTGGATACCTCACATATAACGAGCTGAACAATATCCCTGAGTTCCAATCAAATCCTTTCAGTCATCTAATAATGAAGAGTATTGAGAAGATGACAGATTACGAAAAAATGACATTTCCCCATTTTCTCGAGTTCCTGGGGATTTTTTCCGAGAAGGCCAGCAAGAAAAGCAGGATAAGATACCTATTTGATATCTTCGACTTGAACGGAGATGGTAGGCTTTGTAGAAATGTCCTTATCAGAGTTAACAAGATGATGGGTCAGGATGGAAAAACAGAAGAAATCGAAAATCTCTTAAACATTTATGACGAAGGAGGAAAAGGATACTTGGACATATCTGATTTTAGCAAATTTTATGAAAGTGACCCGCTTATCGATAAGAACATGATCATTGACTTCTCGAAGAATCTAAAGCGGCGTAAGCAGGTGGGATTCATGCAGGTATTATGGCCATCGACCTACAAAGACGGAGAATGAGTCGGGGAGACCCCGGCACCCATCGATTTTTCCAATAAAACCTGTGGTATTACAACTTCTGCCTATCAACGGGCAGCCTAAACTCATACACATAAATAGAGAATTTGAAAGCCCACACCAAAATGTTTTTCAAGAAACATACAGAGCCCAAGCCCTTGAGGGTGGAAGAGGAGCTGATCCTTCTTTCAAACAGACTATCTGGATCGATATACTATGAAGATCAGGCTGATGCGCTTAGTAAGGTTTTAGAAATGTCAGGAGTGTATCCTGTCGAGGTAGGCGTGCATGCACTCCAAGATGTGATCTATTCGATGGAAAAGATGGAGGATGTATCCATTCACCTTGACATACTCAACAATATTCTCGGCTGCACCCACAGGATGGAATTTATTGACATCATTGTGAAGAATCCTGAAACTTTGAGGATATTATGCGATTGTATTAAGAACGAGAAGAAGGAAGGAGAAATATATGACCTGCTTTGCGTTCTGAGTGCTTCAGAGCTCTTCCCACTCAAGGCTATAGGGATCCCAGGTATGGCTTACCATTGTGCCCAGATGATTAAGGAAAAGAAGATGGGGCTGATCCCCAGGCTTGTTGAGCAGGATCAGAACTTTAAAAGAGAGCTTACATTTATGGGGATATTCGAGAATCTTTTAAAAGTACTTCAGGATGGCTTTTCTAAGGACGCAATGTCTACCTTGGTGTTACTACTCAGAGACTGCCCGTTCAACCAAAATTATTTCGACGAGCTAAAATGGGACTTTATTCTCAAATTCATAGACAAACATCCAGGAGAGGTGTTTGATGTTCTCTCTTCCTTGATAGATCTTAAGAATACCGATTGTAGAAAGCTTCAATCTTCTGTCTATGAAAAAATCGATCTTGCACTTGTTCTTAAGTCCAAGAGATGGAGTCTCTTGTATCTTATTATAAAAGATAATAGGTCATATACAGAAAAGCTTCTCGAAACTCCCATATTCGATAAAATAGAAGAGGAGCTTCCAAAGGAATCTCTTGTTAGAAGGCGAAATGAAATCTATCTATTGGTTGACTACCTTCTCTTCTGGAATGACTTTGATGCTTCAAGATTAGACTCATACAAGATATATACAATGAAGAGCTTGAGAGAACAGAGCATTCCTACAGGCGATCTGATTGAGAGAGCTTTTGGGATAATCAGTCAGTTTGACAATAGAGAGGAGAGTGCAACATTCGATGCATTAATATTTATTATTTTTAACTTCGAGAAAACTAGGGCAGAAAAAATGATTCCAGTACTTTCTGGGATATTTGGAGATTATACCAGGCCTAAACTGCATAGATCCTTATGCCTTATTATTCTTTTAATGCTCGAAATAACTGTAGATGGAATTAATATTAATCGTTATACTGCAGATCATCTATTAAGAGAAGCAAGGCTTCTCTTGTGTTCCATAGACTTGAATTCGCCGCTCTATCTCACTAACGAGATGGTGGACATTCTTGTAAACAACATTGGAGATTTGGTTTGTAGCAGATAACAAATTCTTTTAGAAATAAATTTTAGTTGTGTTATTGTCACCCCCTCAGAGATTTTGCATTCTCGTTCATACCACTTTTTTGACCTCTTCTGAGAAAAGTCTTAGGAACGTCTCGACATCTTCAGTGCGTGATAAAACATGTGTTCCCTCCGGTATTTTCTCAACCCGAGAATTTCCAACCAGCCTTAGCTTAGCTTCAATGTCTGTTATCGAATACTCATCTTTTCCAGACACCACAAAGAGAAGCCTTGTGCCACCTTTATTAAGCCCTGTGTAAAACTCGTCTTCCAGGTAGCTGGAAAACATGTCTTCCTTTCCATATCTAGAAAAGATATCCAAAATCCTTCTTGGCGTTAGGTATGAACCCGTACCACAATACTTAATTGCCACATCTTCCTCTTTTCTCTTTATCATTTCTCTCGCCCATTCCAATATCTTAGGAAGATCCTTATTCTCGTTCTCCTCGAATTCGACATCGCTTACAGCCCCAAGAAGTACAGCCAGCTTGACCCTCTTATCCTTCGTCTTGTTTAAGTAATGAATGATATCCTGGCATCCAGTCGAATTTCCAATCAAAACTATGTCTCCTTTAATCTGATGAATTAGGCTTTCCAAGTCCTCTACGTCATCATCAATTGTGAAGAGCCCATAATTAGGATAGGACCTCATTTCGGGAATTATGAGCTCATATCCATTCTCAAGACAGTATTCATTCAGCATGATGGTAGGCAGACAGATCGATAAGCGAGATCCCAAACCTCCAACATATATAACCTTTATATCACTTTTAACCTGATTGGAATATGCAACTAAGTTGTTTTTAGGATCATATACAAATATCTTTCCCTTCAGTTCCTCTCCAAACATAAGGGATAGAAAGTGCTCAGATTATATGATTGCATTTAGGTTTAATACTGTCATGGAAGATCTTTTCGCCCTTCCCCTGTAATGCATGGGGTTCTAAGAAGAAAACTCGTCTAAATCACAGAATGAGTCACTCTGCCCACTGCCTCTAAAAATTTAGACGTGATCATCTAAAAACCTTTGTTATCTTTATCTGGTTAAAAGAAGATGAATTAAGGTTTCGGGAATAAAACTCATCTCCTTCTTGAACATCGCAGAGAACATAGCACAGTCCTTTGCACAATCCTTTTGTGAAACAAAATCCTCCTCTGATAACACGTCCAACTATGCAGTCATTTTCATTAAGAATAAACGCACATCTATCGGCATGTCCCTTCTCAAGCTCAAAAGAGGCAAATACAGCCGGAACGTCTGTGTATATGTACATAAAACCAATGTCAATCTCCATTTTCTTCGATTTTGGTGTCCTCTCATACTTACTTTTGATAGGTTCCATGTACGATTGTTCAAAATCCTTGTAGAGCTTAGACGTCGCGTAATCAAACGGGTAAACCATATAATCGCCTTCAAGCGCAAGCCTTTGGAGCTCCTCAACACATACCGGAATAATCCCTGCATTCACAACATCCTGCCAGAAACTCATAACCATGTTTCTCCTAAGAAGTACCTTTCCAGACTCTGATCCCGAATGACTTTTCACAAATATGGCTCCGCCGCACTCATGAAGTATGATTTCGTCAATACCTCCTCCTTTCTTGTACGACAGAATCTTAGCAAATCTTTTTGCGTCATCAATTTCATCAAGGAACAGCCCATCTGTCTGTATCAGTGATAAACAGCATTCAATTCTACTATGTTTCTCCAAAGATACAATTGACTCCACCTCCTCAAGATCAGGCGTGATGATAGTCAAGAACTTCTCGCTGACAATTGCTTCAAAAACTATATTCCCATGTCTAATTCTTTGTACGACATTTTCAAGACTGAAGTTTATTCCAAGAATCTCTGTGTTTGGCCTAACGTATACAACAACATCCTTATAGGACTCGTCAAAAACAAATCCCCTGGTTCTCTGGGACTTGTAGATAAACTTGCTGCTTTTAATCCTTCTTCTTAGGGGAATAGATGTATTCCACACCTTCATCATCTCAAATCTTTTTGCATACCATACATGTGTTCTCAACCCATGGCGGTCTTTTTTTCTCATATGCTTTTTCTTCTTTATGCGTTTTTCATGGCTCCTGAGCCTCCGTCTTAAGTAGAAAGGTAGTCTTTGAAACATCATCGACTTCTTTCTGTTGCTTTCAATGGCCGTCTCGATGAGCTGGATCTCCTTTGCTCTCTCCTCTACAAAACTGATTGGAATTATTTCTTTTTCAGCCATTCAAAATATTTGTCAGGGTCCTAGTTTTGAGGCCAATACCTCGTCACCACCATTTGTTCATGAGAAAGCAGAATCATGTCCATGATAAATGCCTAGGCGTCTCCCTTCCCATGGACTGCGTGATATCGTCCCAAAACGCATTCATAGTCGATAGAGTGCTGCAAGCAGTTGGAGGGTCCACAATCTTGATAGACACCACAAATGAAATAACTCTCCAAATGATTACGCCTGATAGGGCCCTTGTGCTTAATCTCAGCTTGGAAAAGTCTTTTTTTACAAGCTTAAGCCTGAAGAATGGATGTGCACTCATTCCGATACAGAAATTTTACATCAAGAAAATGAGGCAGCTGAAGATCACTACAAACGAATATGTTGTGGTATTCGAATACGTATTTGATAAATACGCTTTGAGGAGAAGGGTGTTCCATAGCCAGTCTGCACTCTTCACAATTGATTTTAAGATAGACTGTACAGGAGAAATTAACTCGAATGTCATGGGGTTGGCCCTTAAAGAGATTGGAGATAATCTGGCGACTCTTAGGGTTGCCAACAACACGGGAGAAATATGTAGCGAAGAGACTAGAATGAGGTTTCCATTGGCTTTCCACACTGATTTTTGTGTGGAGGTCATCGGAGGAAACCTGAAGAGCGTATTTGAAGTTTCCGATTTATTTATCAAAATGCTCATAAACTATGGCTCTTCAAATTCATCGATCAACTTTGTTCTCCTAGGCAATGGAGCCAGAGCTTCTTTTTTTGTAGCAGCCATCCACAATTCAATCGGCAATCGAACCTGAATGAGTGCCTTATGTATCCTACGTTTTCGTCCAGATATCCCGTAAAGACCCAGAGAACCTATGACTTACTAAAGCATCCTTAGATCTGTGGTATTAAATTGTTATGATAAGCTAAATCTCTTTATGTAAAATATGTTTGGAAAACCCCTAAATGAAATTCAACAAAAGATGTCTGACTGCATTTTCTGAAGAGAAGCCATTTATGGCTATGGGAACGAAAAGCAAGCTATTTGACACATCATTTTCCCTGACCTCCGAGTTGTTTCTGTATGACTATAGCCTGGGAATTCAATATCCTTCCTTGCAAACAGACAACAAATTCTACAAGCTCAAGTGGTGTAACTGGAATGATGGGGAAATCCTAGCAACAGGAAACGAAGACGGAAAGGTGACGCTATATGCACCATCACCTGAGAAAAATGCCTCCTTCGAGCTTCTATCTAGCTGCAGTGTTCTTGAAGGGGATGTGCTGGGGCTAGATTTTAACTCATCAAAGGGAGTTCTTGCAGCGGGGTCTTCCAATGGAAAGATTATATTTTGGAACCTGAACAAACTTGATAGCCAGTATACAAGCGACATTCCACTTACCTCGAATATAACCTGCCTGTCGTGGAACAAGAAAGTGTCCAGAATTTTGTGTGCTGGCACAGATGACGGAAAGATACTTATTTTGGACATCAGAGCTAAGAATGTAGCGATGACCCTCGGGGGGGATGAAATAAAGTTTGTATCTGACGTGATGTGGCATCCAAATGGATCAACATCAATTTTGGCTGCAACAAACCTGAAAGGGCTTCAATGCTTTAATCTCAGCTCGGATAGCACATCACAAATAGGGGAGCATGGAAATGGATTGATAAAACTATCTGTGATAGATAAGGGCCACATAGCCGCATCTTCCAAGGACCAGATCGATATAATAGAAATAGGAGACAACAAGGTTGTTGACTCGATCGCAGTTGATGGCATATTTGAAGTAAGCTTTTCAAAAAGGGATCCACTGATGACACTCTCATATGTTGGAGGAACTACGGAAATTCTGCCTCGGATAACAACTGACATTCTACCAGTGAATCCTGGATGCATAGTTGGAAATAATGTCATTGGAAAAGATATGTACGAGATTGAGTATGAGGGAATGAAAGATATCGAGGAAGATGCATTTATTGGGAAGATCAAAAAGCTTCTCTATCCGGATGGAAGCTACAACATCGATAGAAAGGGGTTAGGAGAGCTTCTGTTGGGTGAGGCCATAGGAAAAGAAAACTCCGAGAATTCTGATACAGCAGAGAGACTAAGCGAAAAGATGTCCAATATGGACTTGGGGCAGAGGCTCGATCTCAATGATCCTTTAACGCTGGCTCTAATGAAAGGAGATCTTGAGGACGCCTATTCTGAGTCTACGAAAAGCAGCAAAACGATACCTTTTTTTCAATTTCTGGCTTTGGCTAAGGGAAATGGGTCCCTGCCCTTTGATTCCGATGATCCACTGATCCTTTTGTCCACTGCACAGATTACATCAACGTATACGCATCTATTAGAAAAGATATCCATTTCTCAATGGCTAGCTCTTCTTTCGATAATAAGTTTTTCTCCACTGTCCGATGAAGAGTTTTTTTCAAACGCTATGGAGTTATCTAATAGGCTTGGCGACAAGGAGAAGCTTCTTGTATATGCCATGACTAATAATCTGGAAAAGTATTTCAAGCTAAAAGAGTCAATGTATCAAACACCCACAAGTGTTTATGGTGTGCGAGACTTCTTCCAGGAGTACAAGGGGATGATAGTAGATTTAGAGTCGATGGGTGGCTTTTACAAGAGTCCTATGATTTCTGAGTATTTTTGGTATTCATCGGCCCGTGGAGAAATTCCTGTTAGGATCAAATACGAAGATTTAGGTATCAATATTTATCTTGGAAAAGCAAGCAGCAACGTGGTTTCTGTTAACAAGCTGGGATCTCCTGCTATCAGGGATATCCAGAATAGGTCCAAGCCGTTGGAAGTCCCTAAGAGATCCCCAACTTTGGAGCCACAGAGACACCAGAATTCCAGCATCATAGGAAAACATCCAACACCATCTATCAAGCCTAATGGTGTTATATCAAGGCCCCCATCACTTTCTGAACAGAACGAAAGTAATTCTAGATCGCCCAGGCCTCTAAGCAAGCCAAGTATTCCCGGTGTAAATAGCAGCTTCGCTCATAAAAGTACGGTGCAGTCACCGCCATCATCTATGATTCATCAGCAAATCCCAAAGCCAGTTAGCCCTAGTTTAGGATCTTCGAGATTGTCTCACTCCTCTATTCATCAGGAAAGCCAGCAAAAGATGTACATTCCTAGGCCAGGATATAGAACTGTGCCTAACACGCCTGCATATAGCTCGGGGCCAAAACTCAGCTCTTCGAAAACATATAGTTCGATGCCGGACATTTCAAGCCTTTCTAGCAGTGCAACACCAGTCTCAACATACGGCATGATGTCTCGTGGGTCGCATGGAGGCTCATCTCAAGCAACCACATCAAAGCCATACATACCTAGACCGGGGATGTCTTCTAGCCCCCTACTCACTCCTCAGGACCAACAGCAGAAGACTACCATTCCAACTGCAGGGCCCCAAGTAAGAGAGGATATACAGACAACTCCTCAAGTTCTAGACAACAGTCCTCAGAAGACAATGGACAGCCTGAATCCAGAAGAGATACTTGTCACTTTCGAAGACATCACTAAGAAACTGATAGAAAGGGCATCAGCCAAGGCAAATCTAATAGTTAGGAATAAGCTCAAAGAGGTTACAAAAAGGCTTTCCATATACAATAGCGTTGCAAAAGATACTTTTAGTCCTCTAATTCTGAAGGGAATCGACCGGATAAACAATGAAATCAAAAATGATGAGGACAGCGATGGAATGAAGCAGAGGATTAGGGAGATAATTCTTGAATGCACCGAGACAGGAGAAAACAGAGCAGACCTATGGATGCCCAGTGTATACACTCTTCTACAGATGGTCTACCATTAGTGATTAAAGCAAGATAATTAGTATTCGTACTACGACTTGAGTTTTTTTAACTTTGTTTTTTAGGGGAAAAAGGACATTCCTCGTCCGGGAATCGAACCCGAGCCTGCTGCGTGAGAGGCAGCTATCCTAACCACTGGACCAACAAGGATGCCATGCTCACCCGCAGAGACCTTCACTGATACAGCTGCCGCATAGCGTGTTCAACACTTGAAACACTTATGAAAACTTTCTCTATTCAGAGCCTATAAACAGAAATGACACGATACATTCTGGGCAGTGTAATAGGGTCGGGAACATATGGCGAGGTGTATGAGGCAATAGATACAGAGACAAAGGAAAAGGTTGCCTTGAAAAGGATAAAGCTCAATGAGAGAGAGGGAATGCCTGGAACTGCACTCAGAGAAATATCAATCCTGAAGAAGCTCAATCATAGAAATGTTATAAGCTTGGTGTCTACAATCCACACAGACACATTACTGACTATGGTGTTTCCATTCATAGACTATGAGCTAAAAAAGTACATCGAGATGAACACAGGAATGAATGTAATGGAGCTCATCAATCAATTGATATGTGGGGTGCATTACCTACATAGAATGAATGTTGTTCATAGAGACCTCAAGCCTCAGAATATCCTTGTCACGAGCGATGGAGTGCTTAAGATAGCAGACTTTGGATTGTCAAGAAGCCTTGAGATAAGGGTTCCACCCTACTCCAGTGAGGTGGTCACTCTTTGGTACAGATCCCCCGAACTACTCATGGGAAGCACAAGCTACAAGTTTTACGTAGATATATGGAGTTTGGGATGTATAATCTACGAGATGATAACGCTCGAGCCTCTTTTTCCAGGAGAAAGCAAAGAGAACCAACTGACTCTAATCAGAAGAAAGGCAGGAACACGAAGGTCTCTTAAGAATGTGATTGAGAAAAACTTGACTGCACCAAAGTTTTTGATGGAGATCATGCTAAGATGCCTCGACTTCAATTACAACCAGAGGATTAGTGCAGACGAAATAGTAGAGATTCTTGAGAACGAATATGGGGCCCAGTGAGGGCTGCTGCCAGATCAGGATCAGAAAGAAAAGACTGCTAGAATTGAATTTTGATATCAAACAACGGTTTTCAAATCCCTAGATAATGAAGATAGAATGGGGAAAGCTGATAATTGAAAGGAGGTTTGGGATGAAGCAGAAAATCAAGCCCCGTGTGCAGAGGGGCTCTGCTACAGAGTATGGGGGAGTAGAGAAGTTATCTGAGGAGCTGGCTATAAGGAATAAGAAGATATCTGGAGGGAAACCGGCGAGAGTCCTGGAGGAGTCTGAAGAGCAGAGTGATGTAGATATTGCTGTGGAGGGGCTTATCCCATCACTTGAGCTTTCAAAGACAATACCTCCCCGTGTTCCATATGACAAGATAGAGAAAGAGCTGTTCAAAGATGTTGAAAGCAAGATTTTTGATTTATGGAAGGGGCGGCAAAGATGCGGAGTGTTCGAGAGAAACATAGAGATATGGAGACAGCTATGGATTACTTGCGAGAGAAGTGATGTCATAATACAAATTGTTGACGCTAGAAATCCAAAATTCTTTCTCAATGACGATATCCGCAAACTTTATCCAGAAAAAGAGCATGTTGTTCTCATTAATAAGGCTGATCTGTCTTCAAATAGAACAGAGATAAAAGAGTACAGGTGTTTTTACTACTCGGCGCTAGAGAAAAACAATCTGTTGAAGTTTATTTTGGAGTATAAAGGAAAAGTAGTTGGATTTGTGGGATATCCAAATGTTGGAAAGAGTAGCACAATCAACTCCATAGTGAGCAGTAAACGTGTCCGGGTCAGCCAAACACCCGGGAAGACCAGGCACATACAGACGATACATATCGACGGAGGGCCACGCTTGCTCGATTGCCCTGGATTGGTTTTTCCAAGACATAACAAGATCGACCTAATACTTCATGGGATTCTGAACGTTGACCAGTTGCTTGATTTGAGCGGGAGCGCCGAATACATTGTAGAGTTCATTGGGATCGGCAAGCTTTGTAAATTCTACTCATTGAAAGGGTTCTATAACGACTCAAGATATTCGAGGAGCACCAACTATATGAACCTGATGTCCATGACTAAGGGATGGGAAGCAAGTAGATGCCTTAAGACGATAGTCAAGGACTTTGTATCTGGAAAAATTCCTTACGACAGGACAGATGAGGACACTCCAAGGGCCATGTTCGATTGGTATGAGAAAGAAATAGCTCCTTGAGGGTTTGCACACAGTGATTATTTTCCCAAACATTAAAACCTTCAAACTTATATATACTTTATTAAGCTCTTAACCTAAAGCTAACAGAAAGGAATCCCGCCTTCGGAAAAGAAAGTCCTCCTTCTCCATCAACTCCACTCAGAAGAAATGCATGTATATAACGTCTGTATTGCATGAAACCTTATATCGTCATTATCGCTGTTAATTAAGTTGAAGAGCACCTCTTTGACCTGATACTTGTTCAGAACTGCATTTATCTCCGGAGATGCTTTAACTAACTGGAATATATCACTACATGCAAGGCACACCCACGAAGGGTTGCTGGACTTCAAGTATTTCTTGAGCACCTTGACTATTTCAACCTTATTCTTCATTAGCATATTCAGATTGGTGCTCCAAAAATCTTCTTTGTGGTGGTACTCGGAATCCTCAAACCTTCCAGAAAACAGCTCGTTGAGATAATTGCGTATGCAAAACTTTTTTGTATTCTGTGTTATTCTGCTGGAAACCTTCTCAAGATCCTGCACCAGCTCTTCGTCGCTGTACCCGCCTTCCAGAAGAACCTCTGTACATTTAGAAATGTCATTCAGCCTTCCTGGTGAGAAGGTATAGCCATTCTCGAGGGCATTCACAATTATTCCGTAGCATACTCTCAGGATCTTTTCTCTTGCCTTTTCTTTCACAATAATAACAACATCATCAATCAAAGTGTCCATCTTTCCAATGCACTCCATGTTGTAAGAAAATATAAGAATAATCATTAGTGTGTTGTACTGAATCTCCTTAACAAACACAGACGTGTGCAGGATCTCCATGAACATTTTGTTTGTCACAAGGACCATCTTCCTTTTCTCGACATCAAACTCCAGACTTGACTTACAGGACAAAAAGTCAATTAGCAAAGACAGGAGATAGTTGCTCTCGTCATACGAAGTGTTGTCCTTCAGCATCTGTTTGAAGAAAGACAGGTACTCTTTCCTATGACTTTTGCTCTGGTAAATCTTGGTCAGCAGCTCTGCACTTCTGTATCTTGAATAGATGTCTGGGCAAAAGAGAAGATCTATCAGGTCGTCTTCGTCCAATAGGTCCGCATGACTAAGAAGAATGGAGGCGCCTACGCTTTCCTTCCCAAGAAGCACCGAAACTTCCTTTCTATCCCCACAGCCTTTTATCTCCTTGAATCTGCTCACACATTTGGACACAACTTCAGGAGGTAATGAGTCTCTTGTTTTAGCTTCTAACTTTTCCAAAAACATTAGGCTCTACTGAGGATTCCATCTTTAATTTCTTAAAAACCTGGTATATTCACAGACTACTTGGCCTGCAGGTCTCCGGAGGTTACACACAGTCTCCATGCCTTTTATATGTCTCTACCGCAATGTCTGCGTCTTGTTCAAAACACCGGGAAAGATAAGCGGTGCTAAGCACTTGGCAATGTGAAGTACAAAAGTGGATCCCTGGATTTTCAGGATGGCAGTCTCGTTCAGGAAGTCAGAGCCTTTGAAGAATGTGACGAACAGGATTGGGAGAAAAGAGGAAAAGCAGGCGTTTCCATTGACAAAGATGGAAGAAGTTATATACAAGCAGCAGAAAATAGCAGAGGCTTCCCAAATAGTTATGGTGGACAAGTATTCTGATGATATTTTTGAATACTTCTCTAAAATCGACAAACCATTCGTATATGTTAATGATGGAGTATCATGGAAAATGAGGAGTCTTCTCGTGGACTGGATTATAGATATCCACGACAAACTTGGACTCTGCCATGACACTCTTTTTCTTGCAATCAATCTCATTGATAGGTTTCTCTCCATGAGATCAATCCCGAGCTCGAAGCTTCAGCTAGTAGGGATTTCTGCGCTAATGATAGCATGCAAGTATGAAGAGGTCGTGTGCCCTGCTCTCCAAACATTTGTTCTGCTAACAGAGAAGACGTTGACCGGAGAAGACGTAAGAAAGGCAGAAAAGTACATGCTACACACCCTCAACTACGACCTACAATATGTGTCGCCGCTCAACTTTCTTAGAAAGTGTTCCAAGGCCAACAATTATGAGATCAACAGTAGAGCAGTTGGAAAGTATCTATTGGAGCTTATGACTCTTTACGAAGAGTTCTTGAAATTTAAGGGATCGGTAAGGGCAGCAGCAGCAATGTACCTCTCAAGAAAGATGACATCCCAGGACCATTGCAAGAACTTGTTCCTCATGTACTCTGGGCATGCAAAAGATGATATAAAGGAATGCTTTAATGCTCTTATTCGTGTCATAAGCGAAAACATTCCGTTTGAAAACATACAGAACAAATACAACACCCCGAAATTCTTGCACGTGTCATCTTTTGTTAAAAAGTATGCCGAGAAAAACTTTAAATAGCTTGATCTTTACCTAATAAAATGCTTTCATTTGCTTTGGATAAACTGTCGTAGACTCATATATAGCTATAATTTGTTCAGGCTAAGGGCCCCAAAGAATGGTAAGTAGACAGGCAACCTATGGATTAACCATGCTTTATTTTTTGGCATTGATTGGAATTGCTGTGGGCAAATCCAACCGAATACTTGAATTGATTGTTCATCTCCCTCTTATATTTTTGAATTTCATACTGATGATGCTTCTAATATCAGCCGGACAACAGCTCTATCAAAAAAACCTCTGAAGATGCCTATGCCACTGCTACCTATTTGCAAATAAACAGAAACCACCACAGATGTTCCTTTTGAAGTTACAAAGCTGAGTTGCTTATAAAGCCAGCCAGCAGCTCAGAATCTATAATTCTAAACCGGACCATCTTTTCAATAACTATTCTGCAGAAAGACTCGTAATCCCCAAATGTCTCAAAGAAAATAGAAAGAAATAGCTTTTGGTCATCCTCGCCGAGTACAAAGTTCTCCTTGTAAATCTCCAGGTACGTAAGGAAGTGGGATATGCTTGGGGATCCAAGAAGGCAGAAGCTCTTAAAAAATGCTTTTCTGTCTTCAAAGTCTGTTTTTTCAAATTCTTCTCTGCTCATTCTCGGAACTTTCTTGGTGTCTTCGCTTTTTCCTTCATTGAGAAACTTCTCCACCTTGCTGGTGCCGGAGATCCTCTTCATGTTTTTTGCTATGTCCTCTGTGATCAGTTGTTTGAATGGGTTTATATCTTCCAGAGTCCTAAGAGGCATGTAGGAGCTGCTGATGTAAACACTGCTGCTTTCCTCGCTTGGATTGTGGTACTGCTCAAAAAGCAATGGTATGAGAATGCCCTTAAACTCCTGCTCGAAGGCTGGAAGCTCCTCCAAAAGGATCTTCAAAAACCCTTGCTTCTTTGCGAACTCTAGAGCCAATGCACATAGATATAGGCTATTTTCCTTTTTCTGGAGCATCCGAATTCCATCCACCAGCGACTTCTGTCTAGAGATGCACCCTAGCTGAGATACACACTCTTGTACAGAGAACCGGAAGCTTCTCATGGCCTGTACCACACAGAATACCTCTTCAAAGCCTTCTTCACCGGCAATCCCAAGAATTCTTTCTGCTTCTTCTCTGCACCCGTTCAAAGAGTCTTGAGAAATTTCGAGGCTCACACACTCAAAAAGAGAGCTAATTGTAGGTGTTTCTTTAGTCCAGAAAAAACTCTCCATTCCCTTAACACCCAGTCTTTTCAAGGTGAAGGATGCTGATATTAGCATCGAGCTATCATTGCTTGTCGATATCTCATCAATCATCTTCGCTATGCCGTTCTTGAAGTCTGCATCGTCTTTTGCCAGGTCAGATATAAAGCTGGCCATAATGGAAGACTTGTGCGGCATCAAGAGCACAACATTTTTTATGTCTTCAATGGCCTTTTCCTTATCTTTAGATAACCTGACTTCTTCTAATATACGCCAATGGTTCGTGCTGTTGATTCTCGCAATCGGGAGCTGCATATAAGGGAAAAATTTTCATGTGCTTTTAATAGCTTGCAGAACTAATGACTTAACTCTATAATGGCCCCTATAGGTCATTGTATCTTCTAGCCTTCCTTTTGCTCGAAACATAAGTAAGGCTATGCATTTGTAATTTTTGTTGTCTTTACCCTGTGATATGGACTCGTCAATAGGAATAAAAGGAAGTAATTTTGCAGTAGTGGCTGCAGACACAAGAGTCTCTAGATCCTTTCTTATCATCAAGGAGAATTATGATAAGTTCCATACAATCAAGGACAAGATTGTAATGTCAATTGTCGGAGACCAGGGAGACGCATTCAGGACCATTTTAAGTGTATCAGAAAGCGCTCAGTATGAGGAAATACAGAACGGGATAGAACTCAGCCCAAGCGTGCTGGCACATATGGTCCAGTCGAAGGTTCATGAGTCTCTCCGGAAGAGACAGCTTGATACATCGACAATAATAGCAGGGAAGGGCCCACAAGGATACGACCTGTGGTCTGTTGACAAATACGGAGCAATATCTTCCGTGCCATTTTGTGCTAGCGGATATGCTGCATACTTTGTATATGGAATCCTCGACAGAGAGTATTCTGAGGACATTACTGTTGATGACGCATTGAGGATTATCCAAAAATGTATTAACCTATTGAAGGAAAGACTTGTAATCGGCTTGGAGGGATTTATGGTAAAAGTAGTTACCGATGAGGGAGTTTTAACCAAAACCTTAGCACCTGAAATAAAAGACTAATGGCTTTTCGTGAAGGCACTTCTTCTAATTTGAACAACGTATCAGGCCAATCAATCTCAATTTAGCAGATATATTCTCCCATTTTCAAACAGAATAAGGTCCTTTTCTGCTAATCCTGTAAGGATAGACTCCACCTCTTTCTCTGTTACACTCATATCCGTCCCAAGATATTTCATGAAATCATCGATCTCCAAGATCCTAGGGTTCTGAGGGTCTGCGCTATAGTCGTAAAGTGCATGGCTCACAAAGCTAACTTTGTCTTCATCAACCATGGTTGCTTCTAGACGCTGCTTCAAGGTTCCCTTCTCATCAACCAGATCAAACTCGTCCTTTTCTTCAGAGGCCACAACTTTGATTCTTTTTCCAGGCTTGATAACTTTTTGGAATAGAGAGTCCTTGATCAAATTCACAGCACATTCTGCATCGTCGTATTCAACCACATCGCTCAGTCTTAGCTTTGCATTCGCAGTGGAAAGACGAATCATCGTCTCCAGCATTCTAGGCGTGATGGAGACAATTTGCTCCTTTCTGTCTTTGGTTTGCCTCAGCAAAGTATACTCCCTTACTATAAGTCTCGCTGCTTCTCTCGAAAGAACAGGTCTCTTTTGTCTGCAATGCTGGATGTATGCTCTGAATAAGTCTTGCTTAATTCCCATTCCCTCCTCTTCATATCCTTGAGCCAGCATGTGCATCCTTAGTACATGCTCAGAAATTAGCTGGTCAGCATCTGCATTGGATTTATCAAGAGTCACAAATATCAAATCAAATCGAGTCAGTAAGCTTTCGGGTAGCCTTACATTGTCCTGGGGAGGCCTTGACTCTCTATACTGCCCCCACACTGGATTGGCTGCCGCTAGAACAGAACATCTAGCATTCAGCGTAGTGTGAATCCCTGCCTTTGCTATCGTCACTGTCTGCTGCTCCATCACTTCATGAATGGCAACCCTATCTCCATCGCTCATCTTGTCAAACTCGTCAATACATACAACTCCCCTGTCCGCTAGTACCATCGCCCCAGCCTCTAGTCTCTTCTCTCCTGTATCTTTGTCTAAAACCACCGCAGCAGTCAAACCAACCCCGCTAGACCCCTTTCCAGTAGTTGCAACAGACAGCTGTGCTGCATTGAGAACATACCTGAGTAGCTGACTCTTTGCAGTCGATGGATCTCCAACAAGCAAGATATTAATGTCTCCGCGGATTTTACTTCCGTTCTTCATTATCACTTCATTTCCCCCAACCAAAAGCAAAGCTATAGACTTCTTGATAATATCGTGTCCAAATATGCTGGGTGCAATCGAATGGTGAATGTTCTTCATCCCCGATAACTTCTCAAACTCAATTTCTGGCACAACATCTCTTTCCTCTTCCTCTTTAGTCTTTTCTATGTTGTTTGCAATCACCACAGTCTTGAACCGGGAGGGAAACTGCTGCCCTCCATAGCAGAGACTCTTGTATATTCCATAGATCTTTGCCCTGTCCCCAGGTTTGAGTTTGTCAACCAAATCAAACGTCAATATAACCTCCACAGACCTTGGGAGCTGCCCTGGCGGTGCCTTCTCTGGCATCTCCTGTAAGACAACGGTCTGGTAGTCAAAATATTCTGAAAGCCCAAACTCAGTCACTAAAAGAGTTCCATCCACATCCCTTGTCGGATATACCGTATTGGTAACAGGAAGCTTCGTCACCATGGTAGAATCTCTATATTCCTTCGAATAGAATACATTCTTTGATGGATTATAATGAACACTCTTCATAACCTTAGGCCTGCATATCGAGCAGGACGTTACTATCCCTTCAATACAAACCATCTTTCCTATATAGATACTTGATAGAGTCCTGGGATTGAGAGTGTATTCTCCAAAAGAACCTTTGATGCCAAGGAATATCTTTCTTCCCCCAATGCCACTCAGCTCGTCCTCAGCAAATGGAACCAAGGTTGTAGGCTCTTCCATGATCCCTTTTGCAAGCGCCTTATCAAACGCACGCATATCATTTATGTTCAAAATAATCCTTTGGTGGTCCTCATATGGAAGCTTTGCAATAACTTCCGCAATGTCTCTATCTTGAGGTGTACGATAAGACTCTATGAAGCTTTTGAATGACTCGATGAATTCAGACTCCATTTCCTCCTAGGGTTCAAAAATTTCTGCTACATCAAGTCATGATATGAATCAGTGCTCTGCACAAAGCCCAGAAGTGGCTTTAAATCAATAGAATATCGTTTATTTTAGTTTATAATGGTGAAATCGTTATATGACATGAAGTTGGAGAAAAATATGTAAAGATATCTGAACCATACCATTTGAGACTTATGGAAAAGCATCATTTTGATAGGCACGGCATACATTCCAAAGGATACTGTGCTTGAAACTCTGGAAAACCCCATGTCGAACACGTACTTGCGAAACAATCCCTTAGATTTCAGCAATGCTCCCTTTGTACCACTATGTATTTTTAGAAACAGCCTTGCTCCCTTGTAGCAGGAGATGTGGTTTTTGTGCCCAGACACACCCTTCCCATCAAAGGTCATCAAAACATCAAATGGCTTTAACATATAAACCAACAGAAGTTTTGCGCAAACTTCTTTCGGGTCCCAATCTTTCCCGTCAGAAAAGGAGTCTGTTATGATCACATTTGCCCTAACATATGTTCCCACTCTTCTGAGCTCTTCTTCTCTTTCCTTTCCCTTTCCTTCTATATCTCCGTTCGACAAACAGAAAATGTCAATTCTTCCTTTTAGGTTTAACAGGGATGGCGAAAAGAACATGGACTCATCGTCGGGATGTGCAATGAGTAATAGGTATCTCCCAGGAATCAATGATGATCTTCTCAATCTTCTTACATTCCTTAGTATAGCAATCACCGAGATAGCTAAGAAAAGTGTTCTGAGCCTCGGGAATTTCTTAAACATCCTGGGGTGACGTAAAGAACTTGATATTGAAGTATACTCTTCCAAACACTTTTCTTTACACTTTAGCTCGATAATTAATCTTAAAGTGCTCTACACCACTGTGGAATCTCTCCAAGGTCCTCAGACATCACCTCGCTTATTTCTCCGTTATCAAATCCTATAAAAGTAATCCCACCATCACATGCAAAGCAATTCATTTCTGCACTTCCAGTATATTCTCCAACAACGCCAGACCTGTTGCAGTACTTCAGTCCACACTTATCCATGCTAACCAGTATTTTTCTGCTGAATGTAACCCTCTTGATCTTATCACCATGCCTGATCGTAAGTAATGGCTTTCTGGCCCTCAAGTCATGGAAATAAACAATTCCCTCACTTGTCCCAACACCAAAGTCTATTCCGTTGTCAGAAAAATCTATACTTGATGGAGACTCGTTGTACTCAACAGACTTCACTATCTCTTTACATCTTTGATCAATGAATTGCACCGCATTACCCCCGCCAATCCCAATCAGCCCGTTACATTCGTTCATTCTGACTGACCACACCTCGTCCATCGCCACAGCATAGCTTCTTAGAAACCTTCCCTGGTCTAAATTAAATCTGTAAATATTTGATCCTTTTCCTCCGCTCATCACCTCGGCTCGGAATTTGTTAAGGCAGGCATCAAAGCATAGCGTGGGTGTCTTGACCCCTTCATGATATCCATATTTGGCATGGAACTCCATAGTTCTATCATTCCGCAGAATGCAGATCTTTGAGGAATCCTCCGTAAGAGACAACACTTTCACCGGGTCAGATTCCAAGTGTCTTTCCACCTTCAGGGCAAGATTCTCTAGGTCATAGATCTTCACAGAAGGTTTATACACACCCACAGACACGAGATATCTTCCGTTTTCAGACATCACCAGATCGATCGACGATGCAGTATATCCAAGATCCTTTATCATATTCATCTTTTCGAACTTCATTGTAATCTCCAACGGGCTAACATTTTCTTGTTTTTAATTAGAGTAAGAATAAAAGGCCCCTGATGGATAGTGAAGATGCTCATTCAGCAAGTGAATACTCACTAGAGGAAAATAACATGGAGGTCATTGATGTATCCAGCACCGAGGTAAAGATCAAAAACTCCCAAAGGAAAACACTTCCCAGAATGACAAAGTACGAGAAGGCACATGTGATCGGTGTCCGTGCATCCCAGTTAAGTGCGGGGGCCCCTCCGTTTGTAGATATAGGGAACGAGAGCAATCCACTCAGCATTGCCAATATGGAGCTGAACGAAAAGAAAATCCCATTCATTATTCGCAGAAGACTTCCAGACAATAGCTTTGAAGACTGGGCAATTGATGAGCTAATGATACCTGGGGTAGACTTTCAGTAATAGAGCCCCTATTATTTTCGTCCAAAAGTAAAAATAAATGAAGTAAACATTTTTAATCATGGCAACTCTTTCAATCCTACTAGCAAACAAGGTATAACTTGCCGGGGCCTTCTTGATTACTCTGGATCGACAAATGGCTTTATCTGAGACATATACACACATGCCCACGCAATATATCCGAATGCCAAGGCACCTATTAATCCTATTCTTATCTCGTCCTTGTTTCTTATGGACTTTCCTCTTGTTAGTATCACTATAGCAATGGATACCACAAGTATGAAAGCAATGGAGCACAAAAGAACAGAAGCGCTTGTCATCTATTGCCAAGGGCTAGTTTTGAAATAATAAATGCTTTGCTTGGATCATATATTAATCTATGCATGACAAGGTTTCTTGGCTGTTTGTTTCTGTGTTTCTGGAACAAAAGGATTTGAATCAGGTTGACCACATCGTGTGCAGAATGCTCTGCCCAGACATTTAGAAATTCCAAGATTATGCGCCCAGAGAATGGATTACGGTGTCTGGCACTGTTCCTAGGACTTTCCCGAAGAACATAAAGCTTTGGATTGACTCCCCTTCAATGGGAATTAAAAAGAAACGGCAGAGCAAAAGATTGACCACAAGGAAGAGGGAGAGCATGCTGAAGAGAGCAAGAATCAATGAGAGAAAGAAAAGGAGGTTGAATAGGAAGATGCAGAAGAAGATGGAAAAGGTTCCTCCATCTGTTCTAAGAACGGATGAGGAAAACATGCAGTATGCGGAGATAAAAAGAATGGCAAAACTTCGAAAGATTGAGTATGATGAGGCCTTGAAGAATTCTGAAAGAAGAGAGAGCTACTTGGAAGAGATGATGAGCATGGTATCTAAAAGTGATGTAGTGTTCGAGGTTATTGACGCTCGGGACCCCGATTCCAGTAGAAATAGCGAGGCAGAAAAGATTGTCTCTGATCATGGAAAGAAGCTTGTTATGGTTTTAAATTATACTCAGTATGTCCCTAGAGGTGTGGTTAATGAATGGAAGGACTATTTGAAAAAAGATGGGAAGATATGTGTTGAGCTAATGGAAGGAGAGATAGAATGGATTGGAAAAGAAACGAGGATAGGGATATTTGGGAACCCTAGGTCTGGGAAGAACTCTGTTCTCCAAAGAATTACCAAGGCACTGGGAGAAAAACCAAGATTTACAATAGTTTCTGTTCCGCCAAGCAAGATCACATTATCAAATGTCCTTAGAGGATGTCATGAGCTCGTCGGGATGCCGTTCAGAAGCTACATCGATGTGGTTGTTGAAAGAATTGATAGGAGCGAAATCTCTCTCCGGCATGGAATACCCGAATTTAGCAGCACTGAAGAGCTTCTGGAAAGCATTTGCGACGAGAATGGGATTGATGGAAGTAGCAAGTGTGTGCGGCACATGAAGGCCTGTGAAAGGTTTCTAGAAGATTTTTCCCAGCATAAAATCCTTTTCTGGAGAGGCGTCAATGATGGTGAAAATGACCTGTCGTTTGCCTTTCCTTCATAAATCCAATGAATAAACATTTAGGAGATGGATAAGATGTCTTTGTTGGTGTGTTTAAGCCTCTACTTCGGATGTTGTTATGTTAAGATAATTAAGGCCCTAATGATAATCGGATTGTTTGTTGCAAATAGCCTGACAGGACAGATGGTATCCCGAATGACGAGAACAATGGCTGTGTCGAAGATAGAGCATTTCATACTTGACTTTATAAGTTCTGGCGTATCTGCAAATGGGGTTTTAGCCAAGGGCTTTTACAAGTATGTTTACAATGTTGCTGACTCGACTTACTATGTTGTGATCACAAGCATGGGATTCAACAGTGCAAAAGCCCAATGGATTCTGGACATTCTGCAGAAAAACACCAACGGAGACATAGTGGATGCTCTGGTGACTATGGATAACATTCTTTATGGGCAAACGACATTTGATGCCAACATTGCGTTGATAAAGAGCATGGACAGTCAGGAAGAAAAGATTCATGATCTGATGATGAAGAACAAGAGCAAGGAGCTTATCCAGAAGCAAAAGGAGTTCCAAAGAAGGCCTATTGGAGACATTGACCGAGAACTTGAGAGAGTCAAAAACCTTGAGATGGAAATAAGGAATGAGAGTATACAACAACTCAAGAGCATTGTGAAGACGGGAGGCAATCCTGTTAAGGAAAAAAGGAGGGAGCTAGAGATATCGATGAGTCCGGTGTTTATTCTGTTCAAGGAGAGGCTTAGAATGGTGATTGATAAAGAGAATAACATTAAGAGCGGAGAGGTTCAAGGAGACATGAGCATCACCATAAACGAGGAGGAGTACAAGGACATAGAGATCAAGCTTGGAGGCGTGGAGAGGGATATGAAGTTCAGTCCTAATCTCGATAAGTCTGTTACCAATGAGGGGATACTCAAATGTGAAAAAGGGTTTCCTATTAGGAAGAATGTGGCTCTTGTAAAGTGGAAGGGATCTGGGATCCAGGACCCACCCATCACGTTTACATTTTGGCCTAGTGAGACTAGTCTCAATGTATATCAGATAATGTTTGAATACACGGCAGAGTGCAATATGAGGGACTTGAGTGTCTTCTTTTCTAAGGCCAGCATTTCGAACATCACGATTAATGGAGAGGCGAAGGAAAGAGACTCTCACATAGAATGGAATATTGGGGATGTCGACAAGGGCACATCGGACACGCTGGAGTTTAGCTGTACATGCACAGATCCCTCAGAGATCTTTCCTTTGGAGATATATTTTACTTCTGATTTTGTTCTTACAAAGCTATTTGTAGAGAATGTAACGAGGTGTGGCGAAGAGGTTGATGAATTAGAGATCAAGAAAGTTTTTGAGGTTGATAAGTTCACTGTAGTTGATGAATAAAGCTATACTTTTATTTCCAGGATTATGGTGGTACATTTCCTGAAAAAAATTTACCCTCTATGTCAAAGCCTATTGTTACTGAGAATGTGGAGAAAGAGGATGTTGAGAACCTCAAGAAGAAGAGGACCTTCCGAAAATACACATACAGGGGAGTTCCTATGGAGGAGCTTGAAAGAATGCCTTTCAGTGAGGTTGCAAAGCTCTTTCCATCGAAACTTCGTAGAAAGGTTAGGAGAGGGCTTTCTTCACGCGAGGTGCAGCTGATCAAGGATTGTATTGCAGCAAAGGCAGCTTGCAACACCAATACCGAAAAGCCTGAGATGGTACGTACTCAAGCAAGATCGGCCATCATATGGCCGGCGATGATTGGTGCACTGGTTGGAGTTCATGTTGGAAACGGATACCTGCCTGTTGAGATAAAGCCGGAGATGGTTGGGTTTAAGTTATCTGAGTTTGCGCCGACCAGAGTCATTCCAAAGCATGGCAGGCCCGGTATAGGAGCAAGTTCTTCTTCAAAGTTTGTTCCGTTGAAATAAACCAACTTTCTTTATTTTGTATTGTGTGTAACGCCTGAATTTGAATATATCGAATGGGAAAGCCATCCCCATGAGTAAGAAGGCTATTGATGATGCCGATGAATCGGGATTTTCGTATGAATATACTTCATCTGATTCTCTAGAAACTATTTCCGAGGAAATTGAGGAGTACGAGAGGGAGTATTTTGGAGATGTTTCTGAAGAAGAAAGCTCTGTATCTGAGGAGAAAGCGGCTTGGGAAGACAGCGATGACGACGAGAAGATACGTGAGGACTACAGGAAAACTGCAACGTGGCTTGACGGAAAGCAGCCCAAGAAGCAGGTTGAAGTGCGCAGAAAAAGAATGAAGTTTGAATATGAGAAGTATTTATTTCTTTCGAAGTGCAGAATCAAGCTGGCCAAGGCCCGCGGGGAGTATCTAGTTGTTGTTGATACTTATAGCAATATCTACATACTTAAGAACTTCAAAGTGCACAAAACACTTTGGATTGAGATGTTTGGGATTTCTGACTTTGTATACATAGGGGATGTAATCCTGTTCTCTTCGTGCAAGCAAAGCAACTTGAAAGAGGTTACCTTCGACGGAGAAGTTCGGAACATAAGCATAAGGACCATTGAAGGAATAAGAAAGATGGTCAGTACTGGAGACTCCATATATGTGGCTGGAGAGCAGCTAATTCTTTTAAACGATTCCTACGAGGTAGTTGAAACGATTGAGGGAAAGTTTATGGACATTGCTGTATCTAAAGGATTTGTGTACGCCATGAGCTTTAATGGGGAGGTTATTATACTGACGTCCGACCTTCAGATTCTAAAGAAAGTAAGCCCCGAGGACAAGTTTAGTTTCCGATCAATACACTTCTTTGCAGGTAGAGTCTTTATTGGGACGGAAATGGGGATAAAGATATTTGACGAAGACATGAGACCTATCAAGGAGATCATGAATCTTAAGAATGAGGCTACAGGGTTTACAGCACACGGAGACTACGTTGTGTATGGATCGAACTACACCAACTCTTTGAAGATAATCCTCCCTGACATGAAATGCTACAATAAGTTTCCGTTCAATACCATCAGTATCTCTCCGATTAAGGCTTTAGAATCTGATGGGAAGAACATCATCATCTGCTCGGGGAGAACCATCAATGTCCTAAGAATAAAACTAGAATGAAGTTGCTTTTTTCTGCTGATGCACACTGTTTATACATGTCTATTGGATGATGGAAGCGTATTTGTAGAAATCTATGAAAATTTTTCATCCCCAGATGAAGAACTTGAGGAAGCAGAAGACAACGAGCAGGAGAAAGCAAAGAAAGGCACACTTTGCCTGTAACAATGGAGAGAAGAGGATAAGATCGTCGGCCCGCCTCTCAAAGGAGCTGAGGGAAAAGTATGGCTTCAGGACATTCCCATTGAGGACTGGAGATACTGTGGTTGTGAAGGGAGGTAAGTTTGATGGAAAGGAAGGCACCATCAGCAAGATTAATTATAAGGACTATAAGGTGTATGTTGAGGGATGCTTTGTGACCAAAAATAATGGGACAAATGCGCTAGTGCCTATTTATCCCTCCAGACTGACCATCACCAGCTTTTTCCTTGAAAATGGTAGGGAGCAGCAGTTGGAAAGAAAGAAGAGGGCTAGAGAAAGTAACATGGAAATTCTTAGAAATAAGCAAAAGGTTGCTGCTTAATTAAACCGTCTTGAACATCCTATTCATCCAAGGTACTCATAAGTCCTACGTTTAAAGACAAAGATCCTGGGCATCTATGGGGCAATTTATTTATTTATCTGCTCTGGATTTTAATACCATACCCCTTACTTTCTTAATTTTACTTCTTACATCTTCCGGGAAGAAGCATAAATCGTCCTCGGAGATTGTGCATATTCTTTCTAGAACCTGCAGCTTCTGCTTGTTAAGATCAAAGGATTCTTTCAAGATCTCATCTACAGCGCCTGGATCCACCAGCTTAAGCTTGAGTGCAGCATGGATGATTGCGTAGACAAGACTCGAATTCTTATTCAAAAGCTCCCTTAGATATGATGGTTGGTCCAAGGCTAGCTTTCTCAAATAAAAGAGGACCTCCTTTAGATTGTCTTTGTCCATTGCATCCAGTACATTGATAAGATTATCTATTTCTGGAACTTGGCTATCGGGCTCTTTAGACTTTGCAGGCATGTCATTTTCGGCATAATTTATCTTTACTGGCCTTCCATTGAACGATATCTTCAGATTCTGCAGTGCTTTTTCCACAATCAGCGGGGATTCATACTCACAGAATCCAAACCCCCTAGACTTTCCTGTCGTCTTGTCATAGACCATTCGGAAGCTAACAACTCTCCCCACAGCCCCAAGTTCCTCTATTATGCGTTCTTCCGGAACCTCGAAGTCTATGTTCCCAACAAAGATGCTGCATCCGCTCTTCATGGGCTTATCAAAAATGGTTTATAAAAACACCTTGTATCTGGTCTAAAAAGGAAAGCAGATTTCCAGCAAATGAATTTAATAATCATGGCGAAGCTTTCAGCCTAGCCTCCCTCACAATCTCTGAATACTCTTCATCACTTGGGGACATGGTCTTCCAATCAATTTTCAACCTCTCACTCTCTGAAACAAATGGAATCAGATGAAAGTGTACATGGAAAACACCTTGGTGGTTCCCATTGTTTTGAAGAATATTGTACCTTGTGAGGCCGAACTTTTGGACAAGATGATTGATTATGCCGAGTATGTCGGAAAGCTCCTCAGGCTTATACTCGTGGAAATAGGCATGATGCACCTTTGGTATAACCAGGAAATGTCCTTTTGATAGAGGATACCTGTCCATTAGCACAAAGGTTTTGTCTGTCTCGTAAATGACATTGGCACCTTTCTGGTACAGCATGCAGAATATGCATTTCTCCATTTAGGGCGTATTCTTCTCTGGTAAAATTACCGACATATTTTCCGGGTGGAGACACCCAAGATGCCAAGAAGTGAGTACATGGAATATTACAAAAGGGTTCTGGCAATGGAACCCGATGATTTTGAAGAGTTCGATAAGTCAGTTGGGAAGGACCTTGCATATGCATTTAGAGTCACGAATACGCCTTTGGCCAACATGATTAAGAGTAGGATAGAGCAGTATCCATTTGTTCGGAGGATAAAATGCTTGGAGAATGTATACGAATTCCATAAGAAAAAGGAGAAAGATGACGAGTACAGAATGTTTACAAGCTTTCTTATCAATCAGACCAGTGTTGGGTTGATTCAGAGGCAGGAGATTGTCAGTATGATTCCTGTTTTGCTCATGGATCTGAAGGAAGATTCCAAGGTCATTGACATGTGTGCAGCACCTGGATCAAAAACCAAGCAAATCCTCGAGGTTGTTACAAAGGGGCTTGTGATAGCTAATGACGCCAATGGAAAAAGAATAAAGGTGCTTGTGAGTGAAACAGCCAAGAAGCCGAACGGTTCATTAATAGTTACTAAGCATGATGCAACTGCATTCCCAAAGGTATACGAAGGAGGAGGCCTGATCAGATTTGATCGTGTGTTCTGCGACGTAGTATGCTCGAGCGATGGAACTGTAAGAAAAAGCCCTGGCCTTCTTGATGGATGGAAAGTTTCCAGAAGCACGAGCCTGTTTGACACGCAGCTCAAGATTCTGAGAAGAGGATGCAGTCTTGCTGCAAAAGGAGGGCTGGTGTCCTATTCTACGTGCTCTTTGAATCCCATAGAGAATGAGTGTGTGGTTCAAAAGGTCCTGCTTGAGGGAGAGTTTGAGCTAGTTGACTTTAGAGGTGATCCAAGGCTCTCTCTCTTTCCTGCTTATGGAGATGGGACGAAGATTGTCTTCAGAGAAGGATTGAAGAAGTGGGAAACAAGCGATAAGATATTCAAGAATCCAAACTACAGGCCTTCAGATGTAGACTTGGGATTGGAGAAATGCATCAGATTTTATCCGCATGACCAAGACACAGGCGGGTTTTTCGTTGCAATTCTCAGGAAAAAAGACGGCATTGAAAAGGCGATGGCGAAGAGAGAGGCGCCAGACCCTTCCTTCAAACGCTTTATCTTCTTTCCAAGTAACGTTAGAGATGATATGTTCAAGACTTATTCGATGTGCATGGATGGTGAACTATATAAAAAAACAGAAAGGAGCCGCACCATAAGCTTTGTGACTGGGGTTGCAGCAAGAGTGCTTAGTGAAAATCCGGGGCTTAATGTGATAAGTGCGGGCTACAGAATTCTAGAGAAGTCTGGCCTGGCCAATGCGGAATTTTATTTAAAAAATCTCTTCCATGCTGGAGGCGGATTTGAATGCAATCTTGTGATCTCATTAGACCAGTTCAAGCTTCTACTAAACGAAACGTTTGTTGACAACACCCTGCTGGGGTTTGAGCACATAGGACTGGCTATCTGCAAGATAGAAGAAATGGGAATCACGCTATGTGGATACGGAAGCCATACCTCATTTACTCTTTTTATGAATAACAACCTGAGAAAGGCATTAAAAGACCTGATTCTATGAATAAGAGATATTAAGTACAGCATTTCCAAATCCATTTATTCTTCACGCTTTTGGTTACTGAGACAAATTTATTTTCCACGGGACTTGGCTTGACTCTTAGACAGAGCATTGTGGACCTCTCTGATGGCCAACTTCCTCAGCTCGCCCTTGAGCAAGATCTCGAAAGCACTTATGATGTCGTCGGACCCCACTGTTTGCTTCCCAACCTTCCTTGCCAACTCACCTGCAAGTTCAGCAACAGAATCAACAAAATCGAATGAGATTCCGCAAAGAACCTGGATTGAATTGCTTGTCAGCATGATATTGTTGTCCGGGCTGACCTCACGGGAAATGCGCTTGACTGCAGACTTGAACATACCACCAACACACATGGACGATGACTTTTTTTTGGCCTTCTTCTTATCGGCGCTATCCAGTGCAACAGCTGGAGCTTTGCCTGCACCATGTTTTGAGAGTTTTTCCATTTCAAGGGGGATGTTTTTCTTTATTTATCCTTTTTGGCGGGGAATTGAATGATTTGGAGGGAAGCGACAGCACCTAAAGGAGAGGAGGTGGCAAATACTTTGTTTACTACCCAAGGCCATAGAAAATTCCTGGGGAAAACCTTGATGGGTGTGTGTTTAAACATTATTTTCATGACCCATACAAGATGGAGGAGTATTTCCAGATATCTGACAAGACAAGGACATTAGAGCACCAGTATACGGACCTTCTTACCAGAAAATTGAGAATGGAGACTGTGCTGGTTGAAGAGGACTATAACGACCTTCTTGCAACGCACTTGGAGCTTGTTTCCAAGGCAAGGGACAGTGAGGACGACTATAAGAGGCAGATAAGTGACCTAAAAACAATGGTTGATAAGCTTAGCCAGGACAATGCTGGCAAGGAAGACGACATTAGAAAGCTAATGGAGGAAAACAAAAATCTAGTGAGTGTAGTTCAGAATCTAGAGAGGAAGAAAAAAGAGGAAGGAGAACAAGAGGAAAAAAGTAAAGGGGGGAAGAAAGGTGACGGGTGTCTTAAGGATGAGGGGCTTTGGGAGATGGAAGGTTTCAAAAAAATGGATGAAATACATAGGATTGCCAAATCTGTAGAAGATGAGCTGCGGAGCAACCTAAATAGACTTCAAGAGGAGTGCATTCGGTACAGAGGAGACACAGAAAAAATGGCTTCTGAAATAGAAAAACTAAAGCTTAAAAACATTGAGAGCATAGAGAAGATAGAAGAAATAAAAGAGAGCAGGGCAGACCTTGAGAACAAGCTGAAGAGGCTGGAAGAGGAAAACACCAGGCTTCTGAAGGAGAGTGTGTGCTTTGATGAGCTTCGAAGGTCCATAAGTGAGAAGGATGAGATTATATCTGCATTGAAGGAAAACATGAAGCAAAAGTCTGAGGTGATTGAAATGCAAAGAAAAATGATTGCAGAGGGCCCACGAGAGAGTAAGATTATCTTAAATGATGATTTTTGTAATATATTTGACGAAGGGGTTCTTAAAGCCGAAGAGGGTGGGGACGAATTGGAGCTAGGGGACGAGTATAATACCAAGGGGTTGCCTTGGAACGATGCTTCTGCCAAGCCAAAGGCCGAGAAAATGAAATCAAAAGGCTCTGTATCGATAAGAAGAAAGGCAAGTGCTCCTAAAGTAGAGAAGGTTAGGAAGATTCCATCCAAGGTGGTGAAATCCATGGAAAAAACCAGGCCAGATATGGATACTAGAATGGAGGGCGGGATATTGGATGGTAAAGAGACACCAAAGACTCCAGAAGCATCCAAAAAATTGCTCACGCCGGGATATCTTCTTAGGCCTGAAAACTCTTCATACTTTGCAGATCTAACATTCAATAATTCAAGCCCCATGATCAAGAAGGATCAGTTACCTAAAAAGAAGTAGATATAAAATGTTCTATATACTTTTATAGTTACTAAAAGCTTAGAGAAAACGGAGAGTTCAGTTCTTTAATAGCCTTTGGGATTTCAGTAAAGGTGAATCACACTACCCGAAATGATTCCTGGGAAAGGGGGATCCTGAACTTTCGGCATGCACAAGCTGTAACGTATATCACCGTAATGATGGGAAGAAGTGCTGCAATGGCAGAAAGAGGCTCTGCTTCCTCCTCCTTCTCAGTGATAGGTTTACCTACACAACTGCTAAGTATAATTACGGCAGAAAGCAATGAAGAAATGATAATGTGGGGCCTAGATATCTCTTTCCGTGCAACGAATGTTATCAGATTAATTGAGACCAGCCCAGCTAGTAGAACAATAATCTTGTAAAAGTCATCTTTCTTGATAGAGAAGTTTGACATCTTCCATGCCAGCCTGGATAGATATATTAGGGAGATCATTAGTCCATAGACCATTACGCCCTCTGCACAATTCTCATCTGTTATGTAAAGAAGGTGGAGTAATAGAAACATTCCAAAAATTATTTGGAAGAACAGCATTAAGTTTTTGAACTCAACGAGTTCCCATATATCATGAGATTCTTTATACTTCTTGCATGTTTTGTAGACCTTTGGAGTCGCATGGAACAACGAAAGAGCTATCGCAGTTAGATATCCAATAACCGCGATAGCCATGGAGAGATGGCTGCTGATTCCAAGAATACTTAGCACTATTGGCGTGAAGATTAGGGCCAAGCCTAGAGCACCACTGCTTTCTATTTCAACGCCATAGATACTTATCTTTTTGGGTAGTTTTTCTATCATATCCCTGAAGCTTTTATAGGCGTCCTTTGCTTTCTTTTGAAACTCTTTCAAATTTTCTCTGGCCTTATTCGTTTTGCTTGAAGTTTCCATGGCCTCTTCATTCTGATTTTTTTATATACCTTCACAGCACGAAAACGGAAATTATTATAGTGGGAAAGGCCCATGAACAAGGAAGGCGCCCGAGAAGATATAGAGGCGGGATCCGGGGACCCTGAAGGTATGGATGGTAGACAAAAGAAAGTCAAGGCTGGGGAGGGGCAGGGAAGAAAAAAAGATCTGGACCCTGAAAAGGCCTTGGAAATATCGAAGTCTTTGAAAAAGAGGATGCAAGACATTCTGAAGAAGGATAATGCAAACAATCTTGAAGGCCGCCCGGCGACTGGGAAGATAGAAAATGTCGAGGAAATATCAGGCATTCTGATGAATAAAGGATTACAGGAAAGTTTGCTGGATGAAGGAATCCTGAATGAGGTCAGAGGTTGGCTAGAGCCTCTTCCAGACAAGTCCATGCCCAACATTAAGGTCAAGAAAGGGCTTCTCGATGTACTTAAAAGCATGAGAATCCACAAGGAACACCTTATAGTCAGCGGAGTCGGAAAGATTGTTTATTTCTATAGTATAAATCCAAAAGAATCAAAGGAGATAAGGTCTATGGCAAAGACACTCGTCCAGAAATGGACAAACGAGGTCTTCAAGCCAGAGAGCGACTGAGAGCTCATCCCTTTTGCACGGGACTTAGCTCTGCACTCCCTCAAATAAACAAAAATTCAAACAGATTGCCAACATCATTCTTCCTGCAAAAGTCTTCCAAATACTTTATAAACTCGTACTTGCTCATGCTCTTCCTGACGGGAAGGCCGTGTATCCATGCAAAGTAGTAATCAATGAGGTTAGACACCTCTCTTTCTACCAACTTTTTGCTATGAAAGAAGCTTTCGCTTGAAGACCCTCTGTTGACGTGGTCCACCAAGAATGATATGCCCTTGTTAGAAACTAGAAACCTCTTTACTGTTTCCTTTTCGCTATATCTTTTTTGCTTGCTCATTACATTTGTCTCCTTTTTATCCATGTTCTAAACCCAGGGATGCTTTTTAAAGCAAGCTAGGAATCCTGCCGGGCATCTCATACTTTGAGCTGGTATTCACTAACAAAGGGCTTCCCCTGAAGCTTCTTCACCCACTCTTGTACAATTATTGCACCAAGGAGGCAATCATGGGCAGCTGAAATATTGCCATATTCCTTACATAAGTGACTTTTTCCTAGCGGATGAAACGCCATGCATTTAGAACACACAAAGATGCTTGTGGAGACTGACTGCTCCTTGTGGTCAATAAATATAACGAGAGCATATTCACACCAGGCTTTGAATGCTTTCTCGTCATCAACAACCACTACCTTTATTTTTTCATTTATCTTGCTGATTTCATTAACAAACATCCTTTTGAAGGAGGTGATAACATGCCTGTTTACAGTCACCTCTCCTACACCAAGGAGAACAAGATTCTTTAGTATTTCACCTCCTATATCGCTGGATCTTTTGCCTTCTCCTAATACGTACGGGGCACCCTGGATTACGGCGGCACGGGCTTCCTCTATTAGTCTCTGCGTACCTTTCCCAAAAAGCCTTATCTGGCGGTCATAGAGGCCATAAAGCTCCTCCTCCATGAGGTCTGAAAAATTTTGTGTTCAAAACGTTTAATTTTCTTTACTCCCCATACCCAATGTCAACCCAGAACGATAAGAACATTGACTGCAATACAGACAAGGAAGGCGGAGACGTCTACTTTGACGTGTATGCAAACGAGGAGAGCCTCGGAAGAATCGTGATGAAGCTCTTTGACGACGTTGTTCCAATAACTGCAAGGAACTTTAGAGAGCTCTGCAGGAGGCCTAAGGAAGAGGGATATAAGGGATCCACTTTCCACAGGATAATTCCCGGGTTTATGATCCAAGGCGGAGACTACACTGCACATAACGGAACCGGAGGAAGGAGCATCTATGGAGACCGATTCGATGATGAAAACTTCAAGCTAAACCACTCGAAGGAGGGCATTCTTTCCATGGCAAACTGTGGAAAGAACACAAATGGATCTCAGTTTTTCATAACTCTTGAGAAGACACCATGGCTTGATCGAAAGCACGTTGTCTTTGGCGAGGTGGTTGAAGGGATGAGTGTTGTGCACAAAATAGCCAAGTACGGAAGCCAAAGTGGCAAAGTAGCAGGAGGATACAGAATCGAAATAAGAGACTGTGGCGTCCTCGAAAATAATTAAACATCCTTCTTAAGCTTCCCGTCCTTCAACTTTAGGCTGCTTATAACCCTAATAATGGAAAAGTTCTCCGGGTACAACGACCCTGTCTCTGGAATAAATCCATTTGTTGATTCCAGAAGAAGCTCGATCTCAATCCTCGACTATTTCAGAGTAATTCTGAAGATCCCTCTCATTCTGCTTCTTCTGGGAACAAACATAAATGTTGTTCAACTTCTGGTTAGGATTAATCCGAGTGCAAAAGTCAGGCCCAAGGTCCTGGCTTCGAATGCATCATCGTTTCTTGACATCTTTGTTTTGAAGTACCTCACAGGCATCAATAACTACTATTATGTCACGGAATCTGGCTTTGTAGATGCTAGAAATGGCCGTTTCTGCAAGAAGGCCGAAGAGCCTTGCGTGCTATTCCCAGAGGGTTGCCAAACCAACAACAGAGCTATTCTTCAGTTTGTAAGGGACGTTGAGGTTGACTATGTATGTGGAATAAGATACAAGGGAGAATGCATAAACATGTATGGAAACTTCTTGGGATTTATCTTTCGATTTCTTGCATCCAGAAGTTCTGTGGATGTCAGGTTCAAGAAAAGCTCAGACTTGGGAGATATTTGTAAGCTTTCTTCACTTCCACAGGTGAAATGGACCTCGAAAGACAAGGACAGATTCATGAAGGAGTTTGTCGAAAAGCTCTAGGTGGAATAAAGAATTTAATTCTTTCTCAGGATGGATCCCTCGCTGCTATCCTCGATGATGTATCCACAACTTTTGATGCTCTCTCTTATCCAGTCACATTTCTCAAAAAAATTTGAGTAAGGCTCCTTTCGCTTTGCCATTCCTCTGATACTCTCTCTGAAGTCGCTAAGCATTTGTGCAATCTGGTCTTCCTTGGAGGATGTTTGTACTTCTCCTTCGCTCAGCCCAAATATATCTGTGATTTCCTTGACATAATCCTTAACAGCTAGAACTGTGGACGGCGAGATGTCCTTTATCCTGGCATTTGTAAAGTTGATCATTTCCATAATCCTTCGCATCACTGTGGGCGTGTCGATGTTATCAAGAATTGCAGTATGAATAGACTCTTGGGTATCCTTCAGTTCCCTCAAGACCTCCCTGTCCACATCCTCTAGGGTCCTAAATCCTAGTGTATTTTTCCTCATGCTTTCTGCTATAGACATAAAGTTGAATATCTTCTTCTCGATGCTTTCTGCAAATTTGAGATGCTCTCTCTCGTAGTTCATGTCCTTGTTCCACTGGTGATGAAGAAACAAAACCCTCAGCTGCCGTGGAGAAATCATTTCCAAAGCCTCCTTAATCGTCGTGAAATTCTTTAAGGACTTAGACATCTTTAGCCCGTCAATATTCAGGTGTCCTGTGTGAAGAAACCACCTTACCCAGGGTTCTCTCATGAAGTAGGCCTGGCACTGGGCTATTTCGTTCTCGTGGTGAGGAAATGCAAGATCAATTCCCCCAGCATGTATGTCGAGACCCTCTCCAAGAACGTCACTAGACATCACACTGCACTCAATGTGCCACCCAGGCCTTCCGTATCCCCATCTGGACTCGTATCTGGGCTCATTCTCCTTGGACTTCTTCCATAGAACAAAATCGCACGGGTTTCTCTTATCTCTGTTCTCGGCACCCTCGCTATTTATACCATCCTTGCTCTTAAACAGCGGATAGTTGTATTTTTCTTGATATTTTTCAAGATCAAAATATACACTTCCTCCACTCTCATAGGCAAATCCATTTGCCTCTAGCTTCTCAATGAACCTTACAATCTTATCAACATATGATGTTACAAATGTGACAAAAGAAGGCTGCTTAACATTCAAAGCCCTCATGTCCTCAAAAAATTCCTCGGTGTACTTCCTAGTGATCTCCTCCGTAGACACCCCAATCTCGTTGGCCCTGTTTATTATCTTGTCGTCAATGTCTGTTATGTTCATCACAAACTTCACATTGTACTTTAGATAGTCATTCAAAACTCGCCGTATGACATCAAACATCACATAAGTCCTTGCATGCCCAATATGCGGCGAGTCATACACCGTCGGCCCACAGATGTACATCTTCACTTCGTTTCCCTCAGAAGGCGTAAAAGCCTCACTGGTCTTGGTGATTGAGTTGTAGAGCTTCAGAGACCTGTCCATAGTCATTAGGGCTCTACATAATGTTTATATTTGAAAACTTTGAGATGCTTAATTCTGCCGCCTTCCAAATATGTATTATGAGGGCTTTATAATGTACCTTTCGTAGATCTTCTCCATCTCGTTCCTTGTTTTTCTTTCATCCACCTCTTGTGCAATTTCCCTTGCTACTCTTTCTTTTTCAGACGTACAAAACACCCTAAAGCATTTTATTTTGGATTTTTTTTCCGTCATATATGGGCTCGGTACTCGTCTATGCCATTTATTCTTACTCTAGATTTTGTATTCAATCTCATCCTTACTCACAAGGTCTATCACATCCCCAGTGCACACCACGTCTTTCACATCCATCACATGGTCCAGAACAACGCCGTTCTTAACTAAAAGATCTCCACGGAATCCCATTTCCTCAAGTTTTGGGAAAATGTCTCCAACTGTAAGCTCTTTGCAAACATCAATCTCAATCGTTTTAGCATAATCAATATTTATCTTCAGTCCAATCCCTACGCCAGAAATTCGCCTCTGCCTATGGACTGTAATGCAGCTATCTCCATCAAATCCTATCTCCTCCAGCGTCAAATGCCTTGACACGGGAACGGATTTATATTTCATCTTTACCGGAGAATTGGCTTTGTAGTAGGCCTTGTAGATACTCTCCAGTGTGTCCGTTCTCCTCAGGTGGAATGTTTTTCTGGAGTCCTGATCAACAACCACCACCCTGAATAACTCCCCCTCGCTACAAGAGCCGTCAACAAACCTCTCCGGATTGAAATTTTCACCTGCATCTGAGGCTTTTTCCACCTCGCGTCTCTTTCTACATTTTGAAGGCAAAGCAGTCTGTGCAGATCTTTTCCTCTTTTTTCTGGCTGGCCTTTGGGATGTCCTTACAACTTCTACCATACTTATCTCGCTGCTGTCATTCTCCACTCTTTCGGCAAGAACTATTTCGTCAGAAGATTCCTCTCCCATGGCCTTGAGGATGATTGCAGATATGAAAAAAATCATTGATGATGTGGAGACAAGCTCCAACCAGTCTCAAGCATGGTGCATGTTTGATACAAACGAGGACACGTGCTGGTTTTCAGGCCACGGCACTCAGCAATCCATAGACATTTACCTGAGGCAGACGCTGCGCTTGCAAAGGATCGAAATATTCTTCCAAAGAGGATTCCACTGCACGAAAGGAAAGGGATGTGTGACTTCATCTGGCAAGTCCTCTGACTATAGCATGATGGAGTTCCACGATGGAGGTGGTATGGGACGTTTGGATATTAATCGAGATGCAGACCACATAAGGATAGTTTTAGGGGAAAGCGCAGACATATACGGAAGGTATTGCATTTACAGAATAAGCCTTGGCCTCTGATGTCTTCTAGGCCTTCGTGCATGGAGTATTTAGATGAGAAACAGCTTGCCCTTTAGGGATGAGAATAGTTGTTAAGGACTTACCGGAATCTACAACGAAGGAGGAGGTTGAGAAGGAGTTTTCGAAGCATGGAAAGATAACAGATGTGTTTATGGCAAAGAACGAGCGGGGGAAGTTCAGAAGGATATGCTTTATAGGATACATGGGGGAAAAGGAGGGAATGGAAGCGATAAGATATCGGGACGGGTCTCTGTTCAAGAACCAGAAGATAAGATGTGAGGCATTGAGGGAGGGGGCAGCCCAAACAAGCGAGTCTGAGGAGAGGATGATCAAATACTCAAGAAAAATCTTTATTAGGAATATTCCCACTGAATCTGACGAGCAGCTTATTCACGATGTTTTCAAGGAGTATGGAGAGATCGAGGAGGTCGGGTTGCTGGATCTGAGAGAAAGAAAAGGGGCATATGTGAAATTCAGCAAAGGAGAGTGTGCGCTGGAGGCGTATCGAAACGTAAAGATCATTGGAGGAATGAAGGCAAGGATGTTTCCATGGAAGGATAAGGCCGAGAAAGGTCGATACGAGCACTACAACACACTATTCTTCAACTTTGAGTCGATTGTGAAGAGGATATGTGAGAGTGAAAGAATTGGGATCAAGGAGCTTGTCGATGTTAATGATAAAGACTTAGGTACCAGGATGGCACTCATTGAAACACACTTAGTCCAAGAAACAAAGGAGTTTTTGGAGAATAATGGGATTTATTTGGATAATCTTACTGGAGATACTGATAAGAAGACACTGATAATCCGTAACATGGAGCTTATGAAGTGCCTAGACCTTATAGACAGCAGATGCAAAATCAGTATTGCACCTTCTAAATGTTTAGCGCTTCTTAAATTTGAAGAGGAGGAAGAGGCTAGAAAATGCTACAGAAAGTTGAATCTGAAAAGAATGAAGGAGCAGGTTATCTACTGCGAATATGCACCAATGTGCAATGTTTCTAAAAGCACGAGAGAAGAGATGCCGGAAGACAAGCCAAGAAAGGGCCAGCCTATCAACAAGCTTCTCATCAGGAATGTTCCATTCCAGGCTTCTGAGGAGGAAATTAGAAGGATGTTCAATTCGTTCCATGTGGTGGATGTAAGAATTCCGGTAAAGAGGGAGGGGACAAGCAGAGGCTTCTGCTTTGTGACACTAGGCTCGCCCGATGAAGTTACTGCAGCCATAAAGCATTTTGGAAGCAGCACACATCTCTATGGAAGGCGTCTTGTTCTCGAAAAGGCAAAGTCTTAATAAATATCGTACAGTGACCAAATTGACAAGTTTAATAAATTTGACAACCCCCAATGAGGAGTTCAATAAAAACAGCAAAACAGAGAATTTTGTCTCTGGTGTCCAGTAGCTTTCTTCTCTTTACATTAACGTCTCTAGACTTTCTATCTTTTGGAGGGAAGATGCTGAGCTCTGAAAAGAGTTATAGTAATAATGTTGGAAATGTGAGTGCCACTATGTTTTTGTATTCAACCATAGCAGCGCAGTTTGTGTTTGGCATATTTAGTGGGTTAGGAGGTGTTTGTGCAGGAGCAATATTTGAGGCGCAAAAGGATACTCGCAAGATTCATGAGCTATGCTTCAAAATGTCTTCTTCTCTTGGGGAGGAAATATCCACCACATATGCATGCATCTTCCTTAGCACTGCCCTGTTTGCTCTGTTTTCCTATATTCTCAAAAGATTTAGAATTGGAAACAGCCTCAGATACATCCCGGTGTCTGCCTTGTATGGTGTTATGGTGTCGATAGGAATAATGTCTATTGAGTGTGGATATGAGGAAATATATTCGATTACATGGAAACATGTCCACTGGTGCTTTGGAGTGGCTGTAGGGCTTGCGCTCTCGGCAGTGGCTCTGGATGTCATGTTTCCTACATACTTCCTGATTATTCCTGCGTTTTCTCTCGGCATCTTTACGGCGTTCTATATTGTCTTTGGAATTGCAGGAAAAGATACGGAGTGGATGAGATCTGTGGGACTGATCCCAAGGAGGGAAGACATTGTTCTTGGCTCCTTTGAAACCCTCGGGCTTCTCAAGATAGGAAATATAAATGTGGAGGCCATCAAAGCCAATCTGATGAATATCCTTGGGCTGTCTCTATTCAACCTAGTTCATATTGCTGTGAATGTGCCGAGTTTTGCAGAGACATTTGGGATGAAAGTAGACTTAAACAAGGAGCTTGGGGCACAGGCGGTTGGGAACATTGTGTCTGCATTTCTTGGATACCCGACCTACTTTATTTGTTCGACATCTATCTATTTCAACAAATCCGGAGGAAGGAGTAGAGTTCATTCTCTTGTAGGCGCTGTTGTGATATCCTCTCTATTAGCTATTGGAAGGCCGATAAGAGAGAGCATCCCTCTCATTCTTTCTGGAACCATCCCCATGTTCATAGGGTTTGGCTTCCTCTACTCATATCTATGGCTTCCCATGTTCAAACTGTCATGGATGGACCTTCTGACCCTAGTGATGTCTGCCCTTGTGTCTTGGTACATAACGCCCATATCTGGCCTTTTGTTTGGAATGGTTATCAACCTTGCTTACATCCTAGGATTTTCTCTGCGAACAAGCAAATCAGACAGTACAAGAATAAGTCTCGAGTTAAAAGATGTGAAGTCAACAAGCGAAGTGGTGGAAGGGGAGGTATACAGGACTGTAGATCTCAGCTCTTTGATTTCGTTTGGTGACATTAATGAGTCTGTAAAGGCAATGAAAACACATTGTCGGGAAAACATCCTTTTCGATCTCAGGGGATGCGGCCACTTAGGAGTAAATGCAAACATAGCTCTCGAGGAAGTGGCTGAAGCAATAGTAAGTAACGGATACAAAGTGTTGATGGTGGGGAATCCATCAAATTTGTATACTCATTTGTTCAAAAGATATATGATTGGCCCATCATCAATCACCCAAACGGGCAAATGAGTGCTTTTTCCTATCTAATTCACTGGATATATAAAAAGCCTTTATTTCTAATTCTCGCAAAAAAGCTATTACATTTGATTCAAAGAAACCAACACCCGATATTTTTTATAAAAAAAGTCAAGGAGATTCCATATAAGGAAGTTTGTAGTAGATAAATATATTTTTGAAATAACCCCCATCGAATGGATAAGGTTGATCGCAATTTACTCAAAAGCATCTTAAATAGTGACACTATTTTTGCATTGTTAGCAGCAGTCGCACTTATTTTGGAAGCGCTAAGAAAATTCGTTACTAGGACTTCTAATATCGCTACTACTGGGATGCAGGGTGCTCTGGCTTTGTCATGCCTAATGTTTTTTTGGAACACAGCAGACAGCATTACAAGAAGAATCACATCGGAAAGATTCAGCATGGATGGAGGATTTGGAAACCCAGCCGTCATTGTATCTCTTATTGAGATTATTATGGTTCTGGTTTCCATCAAGATGCTGTTTTTCTATCCTTTTTCAGGAGAAGAGGTATCCTATAGTTATGCTAACTTTGGACTTCTTGGTGCCATATTTCTGCCCTATATCTTCAGTGAGTGTTTGAGGCTCCTTATAAGCTACAAGAAGAACACCAGGCGAGACAAGATGGTTTTATCAGTTATAATAGTGGGATGTTTAACGATGATGGCATTGTCATTTATGGAATACAGTAAAGACAAAAACTATATTGGCGCAGGGCTGTTTGGTATTGGGTTATTGATGCTGGCTGTTCGCCTTGGGTTTATGCACGAAGAAGAAGCTGAGGAGCTTTTCAATGAAGGTGAAGATGAGGATTCTAAGATGTGGGACTACGTTGCCATATGTGCTACACTTGTGCTAGTATCGATTATATTAGCCTGGTCGCACAAAATACTATTTACTAATCAAAATGCTAGTTTCCTTGAGGTTCTCAAGTCACTTACTTTTTTAGGTAAAGAAGCACCCCCACAGAAGAAGGATGAAAGCTAGTTAGCGCAGGCTTCGCTGAGATGAAGTGGTTAAGATGCTAAGTATCAGGGTGCCCAGGTTACTTGCCGGATCCTTCTACCAGCTGCTACTGGCATAAAGATGACTCACTTTCATTACAGCAATTGAGGGTTTATTTGATAAGAATAAATATTCTTTTTTAACTTTCTTTTTTCGCCTCACAAATCAATGATTATATCTACTTGTCACCAGAGCGGTGCGGCTGTTGGCACATAAGGAATAACAAAGCTCTATGAATACGGCTTACTGATGACCTCTACATCTACTACGAAACCACCCCTAACTACTACCAGCCCCAGAGTCCTGCGTCTCGTCTCCTTACTTCCTTTCATTCTCCTGAACTCTTCTGTGTCATCAAGGACTGCATTTACGTCTTCGTCTATAGCCATCATTGTTCCCTCCATCCACCTCCCATCTCTCATCCTTACTTTCACTCTATAGTTCATATATTTTTCCAAGTTCAGTCTCATAGCAAGGCCTCTACAAAGAGAAAATATAAAGGAATCACATTTTATTCAGAGGAGTAGCGCCGAGAATCTTCAGTCCGTTGTGAAGAACAATCCTGGCAGAAGACAGAACAAGGAGCCTGGCCCTGGCAAGTTCCTCCTCCACGCCAAGAACCTTCAAGTTATTTATTGCAGCATTGATGGAACTAGCAAGATCCTGTAGATATGTAACAATTCTTGAAGGCTCGTAGTCTTCCAGGCACTTTTCCACAACATGCTCAAACCATAGAAGCTTGTAGACAAGGCTGGTGACTTCTGGAGCATGTATGAGTGAAAAATCGATTGTACTTATATCACTATAATCAACCCCACTGTTTCTAGTCTCGATACTCTTCAGCCTGCAATGGGCATACTGTAAATATGGCCCTGTCCCAGAGGTGTTTCTGGCTCTTTTCTCAATGTCAAACTCGTATCCCTTGACCCTTCGAGCAGTGAAGTCCATAACAAGTAGTGTTGATATAGCAAGAATCTCCGCAGTTTTGTCCATTTCGTCCATCGTGAAGGAACTTTTGTTAGTATCCGACATCATCACTTTTTTCATTACCTCTGTTGATTCCCGAATTATATCCTCAAGAAACTGGACCTTTCCTGCTCTTGTCGACATCCCGGCAACCAGCCCGTAGCCCACATGTAGAAACTTGCTTTCATCGTATCCAAGCACTCCAAGTATTTTGAAGAGATCTTCGAAGTGCTTATTCTGCTCGGTAGACACAACATAAATAACCTTTTCTGGAGAGTATTCTTCAATCCTTTCAATCGCAGCCGCAATGTCTCTCGTTATGTAGAGCGTCGTTCCATCATTCTTCATCACAAGTACCTTTCTCTTCTTTCCAAGGTCGAAAACTTTGGACCCGTCCTCATCCGTCTTCACCAGCTCGGACGTCTCAATTATCTTCTTTCCCTTTTCATTGTACATGCTTTCACCAGAGTAGACATCGAACCTCACGTTCAATCTTTCGTAGAGAGTCTTGTATTTCTCAATGCTTAGGTCTCGGAACTTCTTCCAGAGGCCCATGCACCACTCGTCCTTCTCCTCCTCCATCTTCCTGAAAAGATCTCTTGCCTCCGCGTCAACATCCGGATTTTCTTTTGCATCACTGCTTATCTTCACATAAACGTTGAGCAGATGCTTGAGGGGGTCTTTTTCCAACTCCTTCTCGTCTCCGTACTTGCTGTATCCAAGTAAGACAAATCCAAACTGTTTTCCCCAGTCTCCAAAGTAGTTTATACTTATGGTCTCGTACCCTGAAGCCCTTAGCAGATTCACAATGAACTGTCCCAATATCGTTGTTCTAAGATGCCCCACGTGGAAAATCTTTGCAATGTTAGGGCTGCTATAGTCCACAACCATGCGCTTGCCCTTTCCGATGTCGTTGTTTCCAAACGTCTCCCTGTTTTTTTGGATGTGCCCAAGCACATCCCTCAATATTACCTTTTTGTTTATATCAAAGCAGACAGAAGATCCTCTTATTGATATGTTTTCGAACAGTTCGATATCTGCCCTGGAAAGTGCCTCGTATAACTCCTTGGCATCCTCTTGCGGAGTTGACGATATCTTGATAAGAAAAAGAGTCACGTTAGGCTTCTTTGGCTGGAAGGACTTCTCCATACACCTCTCTACCTCCTCGGGAGTGAACTTCGAAGCCTTGGATATCTGCTCTACAACTCTCTTGAAAAACTTATTGAACATTTCTTAGGGTGTTGCTTGCTGGATTTTACAGAAAGGGAAGTCCTTGGCTAAAAAGAAGAACAAAAGATATTAAAGTAAAAGCCAGATCTACATCTGGCAGCCTCTCAAGTTATACATGTCGTCCTTACGCAGGGGCCATGCTAATCTTCTCTGTGTTGTTCCAAATCAATGGCGGTAGAAAACTACAACCCCTCTATGCAAGATTTTTTTTATTCATCCAGTCACATGCTGCCGTGCCCGGGCTTTAATTTATTTGGTGGCTTTCCATCCAACTGTTAGAATACAAAAAACAATTGGCCCAGGAATTAGGAGACGAAGTAAATTCAATTGGTAATTTGGTCATTAAAAGTTTCGGCCTGTCACATCACGAAGGGAAAAGATGAAACAAGGAACAGGTCAGGACCTTAGACTATGGGTCGAGGGTGTTGTTTCAAAAGTATCGTCCGGAACAGATATAAACGAAGTGCTTCTTCCTGATGGCAGGACAAAGATCTATGTATATTTTGTGAGCGGAAGGGTTCTGTTCAACTTGTCTGATCTTGTGAGCGTGTTTGAATGCTTTGGAGTTTATGTGAGTCCTTCCCAGATGTATGAGTGCATGAGATCTGCAGGATATGTAGAGAAGTTGGAACGATTTGGAGACTTCTTTGGTGATCAAGGCCTGGAAGTTGTGTGCAGCGATGCCGTAAGTATTAAGGTTCTTGAGAAGACAGAGTCCACATATAGTGGGAGCAGGCCTAGCTGTCCCGAGGACACGGGCAGGGTGCTTTCCGGGCCAAAGGACCCTCTTGAGGAATACAAGTTTGAGGCCCAAAGGGAAGGCTTTGGAGGATTCCATAATGTAAAAGAACTATACCCTTTTAATTATCAATGGACGGATAGCATCATGGACGGTATACTTAAGAATATATATACCAGCGATGGAAAGAGAGCCGACAGTAGTGCGAAGAAAGAAAGGCCGGATTCTGTGAAGCCCGGAAGCAGAGGAAGGCACATGAAACATGGGGGGAGTCTAAAGGACCGCCCATTTGTGTGTACATACAGTGAATGCAAGCGTGCCTTCAAAAGATACGAGCACCTGAAGCGGCACAACTTGATGCACACCGGTGAAAGGCCTCACAAATGCAAATTTCCTGGATGCTCAAAGGCTTTCTCCAGATCAGATAACTTATCCCAGCACTATAAAGTTCATACCACTACAACCGAGATGCATGCAAAAAGCTATGGGTCTTATAGATACTTGAATAAAGAGTTTAACTAGACCATGCTATTCTTCTATCTTATCCAACTTATCGAGAGTTGAGTTCGACGAGTTGACATGGCCCATTTGCATCCGAAGCTTGATTATCTCATCCTTCATATCTGATTCCTTTTTCAACCGTGTGGATTGGTCCTCCACCTCACTTTGGCGGGCATGCTCCTCATCTATTCTCACACATCCGTTTTCAGCAACATATGCCCCATTCTTCGGATCGGTTCTTATACTCAGTGTTTCGTTACATCCTGTGCACTTAATGTGAAATCGGTGGCTCTCAACACCCAGATAGTCTTTGCCATGAGCTATTTCTCTGGTAGCATTGTGCCTTTTGTTCTTGTATATGTAAGCGCCACAGGACAGACACTTAATTGTAAATGGGGTGGCCAATCTTGTGGGTGCCCCTTTTAGCCTCGAGCCTTTTTTTCTGCTTGTTGTTTTCTTCATCAAGGCCATAAACTTAAGCGATTTATTCTGTATCCACCTCGTGAAGGAAGTGGTGCCAGGAGATGCTAGGGTTCGTAGCTCAGAGGTAGAGCAATTGATTGCAGATCAATCGGTCACAGGTTCGAGTCCTGTCGTGCCCTTCCTTTTGCCAAAATCTCTTTTTGCAACCCCATCCATGGACGAGATGGAGATCCTTAAAAAGCTGAAAGAAATCTCGGCACGCTCCAAAGAGCTAGATTCAAAGCTTCTTGAAACAACCAGGTCCTTTGAATCGTATGCCGATGCCTCCTCCAAAATGGAAGCTATCTCCACCAAAATTGCAAGGGTTTTTGCCCTCTACAAAGACCTTGTCGGCTTATTGAACAAATAAATGCCTCTTCCCAAAATGATTTATTTAATGTTTCTTATCAGAAGTAAGCATATTCTCCTGAAGATTGCAGGATGTCCTTTGTAGCAAATGTCGTTGCACCAAATCCCCTCGGAGTTCGAGACAAAGTTAATGGTTCCCACAGGGAAGTACAATGACCCCATAAGGTATGAAAGAAATATGAAATAGAATGGAGACTTGTCGTTATTCTCAATCGTCTCCACAAAGCGGATTATATACTTGCTGCTCACTATTGTTCTTATCTTTGTTCCATTCACTATCATCACAACTCTATCTCTCGCAGGATTTATAAGCCTCAGTGTGAAATAAAATCCGTCGAAATCGTCCTTTCTTATTGTGAGCTCTTCTCTCATTCTTCTTGAAGCTTGAATGTATGTCTTTGTTTGGAATTCATCGTTAGGCATCTCTATGTCATCAACAGCCTCTCCAGGAGATAGAAACATTACCATACATATTGCCACCACGGCCAGCACTCCTGCAATGGCCATGAGCTTGGGAGTTAAAGAATTGCACCCAAATCTCCCATTTTTCATTATCTTCATTATCTGTTCCTTAAATTAGGGTGCTGCTTAACAGTTTGTTACATCTCATGCATAATAAAGGAGACTCCCTAAGCCAGGGCGTAGAGCCTATAACTAAAAGACCAGTAAAATTTATCATTCATACAAGCTTCTGATAATCTCAGATAATGGTCCTTGACCAGCGTCTCTTCCTTCAAATATATCTCCAACACATTCCAATGCCATTTCACTCTTCCACTCCCCCTCTCCAAACACCTCTTCCAATCTTCTTATCATTTCAGCCAGCTCAAAGTACTCGGAGGTCTCAAGCCTATACTTCAGTATTATCTCCTCAAGCACAAACATATCAGTCCTTTCCTTTAAGTCCCGTTTTATAGCATCATAGGACAGGCATTCCCTGTAGTCATCAAGGTACTTCCCAATGTCAATCACAAGATTCCGAAATATTCTGCTTGGATCATGGAAGAACTTTCTGATTGGTCGGAGCCCCTCACTCGCGTCGTTGGCCGCCAGTGACATGATCAGTTTGAGATTCTCGCTGTTGAACTCCGAGACCCTCTCCAGAGATCCAGCCACTGCCTCGTGGAGCATGTCCTGGGAATCCCCGTTCTTCTTTACATCCACAACCTTGCTCTCCATACTCAGCCTCGCGTCAAAAACAACCTCGCTCTCTTGGTCCAGCAGAAACGTTTTGAGCCTTTCAAACTCGCTATATACCCAACAGAGAACCCTTATTTCCTGCCTATTTATATATCTAAGGCTTTCTAGAAATATCTTGTTGTAATCAATAATGGTCTGGATTGCATCGTCTATCCCAAAGGCCGGGTCCAGTGCCCTAAACCTGTAGATATAAAGAAGGCATTCTCTCAGGAGCTCTTTGTATCCACCAAACCATTTCACATGCCTTGATTCATGTATCTTCGACAACTTCTCTCGTACATATTTCTTTTGTTCTTTGCACAGCGTATGCCCCAACTCAGGAAACTCAAGAATAATGCCGTAATCATGGTAAACCTCGTATCTGAACTTCATAATCTCCATACCAAGATGCAGTATCAGATTCCTCTTTTGCTTGCTATTACATCCAGATATCTCTTCTGTTTTCGTCTTTATTAGATCGCACATCCTTTTCACAAGGTCTCCAAACCTTCCATCTAACTCGTCTGCTTTAGTATCCTTCTTATTCAAGTCTAAGTACATGCCAAATATTTCCCTGCTCTCTTTAAGCTTTGCAAGAATAAAATCAAGAAACCACTCAGGCTTGTCAAGTCTGTTCGAGTCTCTGTCACTTAAGAAATGGTACTCAAATGCCTTTGATGTTCTCTCGTAAAGAAAGTGCTCTATCACGTTTTCAGAAAAGTGCTGCTCATATCTGCTTAAGAACTTCATGTTGAACACAACCTCATGCATCTTTCGTTTATCTTCCAGCTTCTTTTCTATTTGCGACAGAATGTACTTCCTTAGCTTTTCCTTCTCTTCGCTGTAAAACCTTTTCAATCGCCTTCCAAGATTCCTAAATACATTCTTCCCAATCAGATCTTCGATCCTTGAGAACTCTCCAAACGTCGAAAATGATGTAGAAGGACGGATTCGCGATGCCTCTTCGAATATCTCTATGTACAGGTCCCTATACTCGCCCCTTGACCTGTCAAGAATCTCTTTCTTGTACTTGGAAACCTCCTCCTTCAGACACACAAACTTTTCTTTCTTTTCGAGAAGAACTAGCTCCATCCCATGTATCTCTTTTTCCACTGCCTCTATCGCCCTCTTCTGCTCCTCGGCCCGTTCTACCAGACGGCTTCTGTATTCCATCCTATCGCTTTCTTTTTGTTTAAACTGCTGTATTTGGCGCTCCAGGTGATCCCTCTTCTTCAAGAGAATGTCCATCCCAGGGCCACCATAACAATTTATAAAATGGTACACATCACCAATATCTTAAGGCAATCATTGCATCCTGCTGCCTTATCTCAACAAACTTTTGGAAGCCTTCCTAGTCCGTATAGCATTTCAGCTCGAAAAAATTTGCCCCTACGATGTCGAAGGCCTCTGAACCAATAGCGTTCTCAAAGGTAAACGTGACAACCCCGGTAACGAAGGAGTACAGGATTCATGGAAGCGCCATGCCTACAGAGGACAATCCAAGGCCGCAGATATTTGTTTCAACCATCTTTGCAAAGAACCATGTGTTTGCCAAGGCAAAGTTCTTCAAGATTCTTGAGAAGAAGTACAAGATAAAGGCTACAAAGGGGCTGATTATCAACTGCGAGAGGATTCCAGAGCCCTCATTCAAGGAGGTCCAGAACTATGGGGTCCGGTTCATCTACCGCAGCAGAAGTGGGGTTCATAATGCATACAAGGAGTGCAGGGCTATAAGCAGGTGCGGGGCTGTTGACCACATTCTACGAGAGTTGGCCGGAAGGCACAAGCTAAAGAGATCTGCAGTGGACATAATAAGTGTGGAGACCATTCCTTTCGAGTCTCTTAGAAGGGCAAAGACCATGGAGTTTGCCGACGAGAATGTCGAATTCCCCGTCTTCACCAAGATTCTCAACACGAGGAGTCTGTTGATTCCTGCGGAGTACAATCCTTCTGAGTAGTTCATTCTGCTACAATTAAAGCTATTTTTATCTATTTGTATTTGAGGCTGGATTTGTTCTAAATGTATATACCCTAAAACCTTGGGATATGAGCACAGTTGAGACCTATGGCTTCGAGAGGATGCAGCTGATATTCAACGAAATCCAGCTGTGTGATACAAAGAAATATTCTGAGTCTCTCCAAGAGATTGTTGGGATTCTGGCTGGGCAGGACCTCTTTGAGGAGTTTTGTAGAATCATAGATGTTGTGCTTGCGTGTAGAAAGCCCAGTATTCCGTCAAGGATATCCAACTTCCTTAGAAGCATATTCGACGACATGGCTGGCATGCCAAAGGGTGCGGACTTTGTCTTCAGAGTGCTTTACTACCTCATCAGGCTTACTGAGTCGAAAGTCACGAGGATAAGAAAAAACTCGCTTTCCATTTTAAGGCTGGCCATGGACATAGTGCAGCCGAAAGCCATTGACGAAGGAGTTCTAGAAAAGATCTCCGAGAGATTATTTGACAAGGAGAAGACAGTAAGAAAAGAGGCGCTCAGGCTCCTTTCCGACTACCAGGAAATGGGGCTGAACCCAAACGTAAAGGTTGTGAATCTATTCAAGGATATAGTTAGGTACGACCCGAGTGACGAGGTGAGGATCCTTGCACTGAGCTTGATTTCGGTAAACCCGTCAACCTATGGATGCATAGTTGAGAGATGCATGGATGCAAATGGAACAATAAGAAGGATGTTCTATGAGCATTGCCTCCCTGGAGTTGATCTAAAGAGCCTTCCACAAAGCAAAAGAGTCCTTTTGATGGAGAAGGCTGTGCTAGAAAGAGAGTTTGATGCAAAGGGATTACTGTTAGATTCCATACTTTCTGCATACAAGCTACCTTCAGAGTTAAGAGCGATGAATGCAGCCTTTTACAACAGATCAAGCCAGAAATACCTGGAGGTCCTTCTTAGAGCGATTTTCGATCGAGTGGGGTATGAAAAGGAGCTTGAGTACCTCCTTTCGAGTCCTTCGGAGGAAGACACGTTTTTGTCAAGGATTGAGCTATCGTACATAGAAGATATTTTTGGAAGAGATGACCTGGGCCTTCCTGACCTTGAAAGTTTTGTCACTGCGATGTATCATTCATGCCTTTCTGTTGTTGAATCCTTAGACGTGCCTGAGAGGGGAGCAAGAATAGAAACAATGAAGAATCTGTTTAGGATTGCAAGGTTCTATGATTTCTTCAACGAGACGTCTCGAAAGTATATTCTTAGCATAGTTTATAAGCTTCTTGGAAAGAACTCTGTGGAGGAGGTTGTGGAAGAGGCCATGCAGATTGCAAGCCTTGTTTGTGACGAAGACCTTAACAACTTCATAGGGAGTATCATAAAGAAGAATGCCGAAGCATCTCCAAGAATGTGCCTAATGGTATGTAAACAGGTTATGAAGCATATCCGCCCTCTTGGCAGGCTTCACGAAGCAATAGTAGAGGAAATCATCCTGCCCAACTTGGGCCTGAAAGGGACGGCAGTGGAAATACTTGAGGTTGGGTTTCACTATGTCCTTGAAAAGCCTCACTATGCGATCATTCAGAATCTCCTGCATAATGTAAAGGCAGATTGTAGGGTGTTTGAGATGTGTGTGGATCTTGCCCTTTCTTCTGACGATTCGGAGATATTGAGCCATGTCTTAAGACACTTGGAAAAAGAACTTGAGTGCAAGGAAAGCGAGGATATCATAATTCCAGGGTCCAAGGTCGTGCTGTCTCAACACGAGGTTCCTAAGAGCCTTAGAGACAAATTTGTTGCATTTGCGCTTGAGAGATACTATTATACACAGGATGATCATCTTAAGCAATACTGCAGCATATTGTTCTTTGAATTGTTTTCGGAGGACAGCACCCCCCTCATCTCTGTATTCTGCAAGGTTCTAGAAGCACTGCCATGCTCGCACAAGATATTCATTGACCAGTCCCTCTATTGGATAGGGAACAGCAAGTATCCCAACGGATCTCAGCTGCTCTTTTACAACATCTGTGTTTATCTCGCTGGGGGATACGGGAAGGACCAAACCAAGAAGACCCTACTTAGAGTTCTTGAAAGAATAGAGGTCCTAAGATGCTGGGATCCAAACACGACAAAAAAGATCTTGTTCTGCTGCTCTCTGATGGCAAAAAAACTTGGAAGTAGACTCAACACGGGTGAGGTAGTGGAGAGAGTTATGGAAATAGACGATGGAGAGCCCATTTCCCAGAAGGATTTATATGATGTAAAGAAGGATCTGGAAGTCTGAACATGCTTTATTTTACCGCATATGGGCATCTTTCAGGCTTTTCTTGAGAAATTCTAGAAGCTTCTTTGACAATATCTTTTCTTTGCTTCTATTTAGACAGTAGAGGATAAATAGGCAGTAGTATCTGTCATTCCCTATAATCGCTTGGATCAAGTGGCTGGTATCAAAGATATGGAAGTAGTCCAAGGAAATTAAAAACATCCTTTCAAGAAGTTTTTTTGAGAGGCTGAACTTTGTCATGCTTTCAAGCAAACAAAGAAACTCTTTTACGACTCTTCTTCTTGTCTCATTGAACCTAGATATCTTGTGCATGTCTATAAGATGCAAAATAAAGCTCGACTTACCAATTCTGCTCTCATAAAACATCCCTGTACTGTCTATGATTCTCTTGAGTAGAATAGAAATCGCCATAAGCTCTCCCTCATCCGGTGTGATCACAAGCTCGTTCCATACGGTGGCTGCAAGCACATTTACGTTATCTTCGTCGATGTTATTTGTATCTATTCTCATGGAGATGTCTTTACACGATGGGGATCTTCTTTCCACACCGCACTCCTTATGCGGCATATTAGAACAGCCATCATCCTCAATCGCCCTATCCATCATGCCATACTGTGTAAATAACTCGCTGAGTATTTCGTACTTCATACACCTGATTCTATAGTCCTCACTGTCAAAGTACACTAGCCCATCAAATATCCTTCTGAGAATCGATCTCCTCAGGCAGTCCTTTCCAACAACAATCTTTATGAAACACAAGTACATGCACAGCCTCTTTGTGTCATTGTGTTTGCTGATGAATTCTATGGACTGGAGAATAAAATCCTCTAGTTTGGGCCTAAACTCAATTCCTATTAGATTAATCAGGACTCTAGGACTGGATTCAAGTCTGTTAAAGGCATACTCAAGAAACTGATCATAGTCCTCTCTTATCATTCTTACAACCTCAAACCTCCTGCAGATATTGCATTCAAGAACTTGCTTTGGAGACTCGCATAGCTCCAGATATTTGCCAATCACATTAACATGCATCGGAATATGGTCCGCATCCCTAAAGAACCTCTCGATCCTCTTCAGATCATTTGTTTGTAGGACATTCCCGGTCGTCTCCTCATTCACAGGATACAATTCCACCACGCCGTCCTTAACACTGTATCCCTCTTGGATCCTGGATATTATATCAGACACATCCTCTCCTTTTCTGTACATACATACAAGCTTGCTAAATATCTCTTCGTTGTTTCTATATTTTCCTTGGTCTAAAAGCTTCCTGACCAGATCCGGCGAAAATATCTCCTCAATATTATCATTTACCGCATCGTAATCATTGTCCTCAAGTGGGCTCCCAAGAAGAAGAAGCTCGGAAATAAAAAACACCTTTCTCCTCGTCCTAAACTTCTGAGCACATATCTTGTAGATGCTTTCAAACTCCGGGCTCTTGTGGAAATAGAAGAACTCGTGTATCTTCTTCTCTGAATTGCCATCTAGTCCTGGCACAGACCCTAATACATACATTATGGACTCCACTGCTGCCTTTACTACTATGTTCTTGATCTTGTGGTCCTTGAGAAGACAGAAGTAAAACGACAAGAGGCCAGGAGCAAATTTTGTAATAAGCTCAGACGGCATTCTATTAAGCAGATATCTATGAAAGGAAGGATTTCCTCTGAACATGTCCATCGTCCTCTTCAGTAGATATGCTATCACCTCGGAGATGCCCAAAGGATTCACAACGCTTAATATCTTGTCTATCTGCTCTTCCAAGTCTCCATTCCTTTTGATTATCTCGTATATCCTGCTATCCATCGGGAAGATGGGGAACTAGAATCTGAATCCTAATCCCTCCAGCTCTTCGCAATACTAACATACCGGTCAAGTCGCTCCGGAGATTCCAGAACATCCTTCAGCTTTGGAAAGTTCTCTAGCTTCACAGATTCCAAGTCTAGAGGATCAATGGGGACAGAGATGATCTCTGTGTTCGGGTGTACAGAAAATGGCATCTTGATAAGGTGCTTGCTCTTTTGTGTTACTTCCTTGTCTACTCTTATGTACATTCTCTCAAACAGCGTGGACTCTTCTGAAGCCTCACATTCAAAAAAAGAAGAATACTCCCTCAGTATCTCACTGTATTCCTCAGAATGCATCTTTTTCTTGACCACAGAGTCGTAGTATTTCACTATTTCTCCCCTCTCAATGTCACTCAGCTCAAGAGCTGTACCGTCAAATACCCAACAGTGTACTCCACGCCTTCCAGAAAACACAAACCCCACATTCTTGAATCCAAACTCCTCTCTCAGCGAATAGTCAAGAATCCTAACAGCTATCTTTATCAGAACAAGGCATTTGTTGCACACAAGCTTTTCCGTGCAGCACTTCCGGGGATAGTCAGTTAGATCAACGTCAAACACTAGCTCCTTCCCAGCAACCCTCGGGACATTATGCTTTGCAGGCCGATCTCTGTAGATGGCCCCAACATCAATTCTCTCAGGAACAATCCCAAGCAACTTCTTTCTGAATTCATCTGCTGTCCTGAACGTAAGAAAACGGATGTACCCGCCAGATGCTAGTCCAAAAGAGACCTCGCGGTTCTCATCTATCCGAAGGCATTTAAACATGAGATCTAGAGGAAACAAAGTTCTATAGTATGTGCGGACCAGCTGCTGATCAAGTCCCATCTCAAGGATCAAAACAATAATTTTATTTCTGTGTTGTACATGCTTGGTCAAACGGATGGACTACCTCCTTCCAAAAAAAGTTGAATACCTGGACGCCTATCACCGTGAAGGAAAATGCCAGGAAGCGCTGGACATCTATTTCTCTACATAGATAGACATCAGAAACAATAGCAGAAATGCCTGTAACAACGTTGAGCAGCGTTGATCTTTCTACAGTATCCAGAAACAGAGAAACTTCCGACAATAGATATGTTGTTGCAATCTCTATAAGAAATACTATATATATGATCGGGGATGAGATGAGCTTGGCATAGTTAAGCCTTTTGTAGAATGCTTCCGTTGCAGCATAAGGCAAGGAAAAGAGGGTCAGGAATAATGTATATGTTGTCATGTAGCGCCAGAACCTCCTGAAGTCTACAAGAGCCTGCTTTATCCTGAACTCAAATATGGCGAGGCTAATTGCGTTGAACATCCCAGAAAGGGTCCCAATAAGCATATGGAATGGAATGCAGAGCCTTTCGTTGGAAGATATCTCAAGAAAGAATCCTCCCAGAATCATTAGCATCCCAATGCACTGGATAGACGAGTATCTTGATCCATTCCAAGTCGTTGCTATGAGTGCTGTGAATAAGTACTGGAGGTCGGAGGAAATGACATATGACGTCGAGGATGCTTTATAGTAGTATGAGACCATTCCCAGACATCCCCCTGCAAAGCTCAAACTTGCAATAATAAATACATACTTCATCTTAAAATCAAATGATTGCACATTTATATATGAAATCATCATTTTTACAAAGCTCGAAATAAGCATCAGCAGGCCTCCGGCCCTGTAATTCGCAAGCACCACAACTTTTAAAACAGAAAGTACCACAGATGCGATTATGTTCAGTATCACAAATGCTTCTAGCTTCTTCTTACTCCACATACTCCCTCGGGGCTTTATTTTTAGATTTAAGTATATCAGTGATTAATAGAATACATCGATTCAGAAATAAGCTGGCATAGACATCACATGCGTCTGACTTGCAGCAGACAGTACTAAATGGTGGAGGACAAATACAAAGTGTTGCAGATTATTTGTGGGTATGAACTCCCCCTCTTTTCGATGTTCTACAGTGTGGAGATTGAAGACAGAATTAAGATTTCTTTGGAAAATGGCCTAGAAAAGGAAAAAGAGGTTTTTGAGAAGCTAAAGAGGAAGTATGTTGGACGGATACTAGAGGACGGTAGCATATGCATAGTTGTGATGAGTATTGTAAATGTCTGCGAGTACAAGGTGTATGATGAGTTCCTACTGGCAAAGGTAGAGTTCGAGGCACTGCTCTTCAAGTTCTTCGAGTATGAGGTGGTGTGTGGAACAATATTGGAGCAGAAAGAGGATGGGATGAGACTTTGCGTGCCGTTTTTCTCTGATCTTTTTGTCAAGAGGAGTGGCTTGCCAGATGTGACAGAAAGGGCATATGTGAGTGACTGTGGGGAGAAGCAGCTTGCCTGGGTGTGGATGTACAGAGGCAATAAGCTGTACTTCAGGAGGAATGCCTATGTAAGGTTCCGAGTTCTGGGTAGTGAGGAGAAGTCACCCTTTGTTTTGTGTGACCTCGGGGAGGCGGGGCTAGGCCCCTTGGAATGGTGGATATGAAGACGATGGCCATGCCATGGTGTAAACGAAGTATTGTATGGCCCCTATGGAAGAAGGAGAACGTAACAGTAGCGAGAGACTCGACATAATTATAAGAGGCTTGCGTGAGCTATCTGCAGACCTAGACCATCTCCTGCTGCTAGGATCTGACGTCAAGGAGCTGAGTAGAAATCTTGACAGGTTTCTATAGTGCTTCCTGGGAGGAAGTCTACTTCTTAAGAATAAAAAAGAGTTTTTGTGAAATTAGATAGAATCCAATCCCTCTAATCTGTGATGAAAGTTCAAAAGACCATAGAGCTTATCAAGCGATCCTATGGCCAGCCAATATTGTTCCATAGGCTCCACTGCCACCTTAGTCATACTCTCAGGAAGGGAAATCCGTTGTACGAGATGTCTGATGACTGGTCCAGGATCCTGGTCTTTAGTGTAGCTCAGAATGGAGGCAGCAACCAAGGACTCGAAAGTAAGATCCTGTCATTTCTGAAAGAGATAAGGCCTCCGATGAATGACAAGGAGTCTAGGCTGAAGCTGTGGATAATACTGTACTACATGAGAAGTAGGTCTCCTAGCCAAGTAAATCATCTGGTAGTTTTTGAGCTTGTCTCCAACTTCATGGGAGACTCGCCGTTTGTAGACGGGCTTATTCTCTCGGTACTCCGCGGAATTACCACCAGTACGCACTTTGGACTGGAGGGGAATAAGAAGATGAGGAACGACGCGATTGTCCATCTGCTCGGGGCAATAAAGGGAAAGTCCCTTGATGTACTGAATAGAGCGCTTGCGCTTCCATGCTACATAAGTCATGATGTAGAGCCTCCAAAGCTCTTAGACCTAAGTATCGGAAATGATTTACAGACCTTTGTAGCGCTAGAGAACGTGTGTTTCTATGCAAAGTATAGCAAATCTGTTGAGTTTGTGAAAAGAATAGTTCCCGACGAGGTGTCTTTCATCGATTGCCTAAGAAGGTTTATCTCCAGGTCGTTCCGCCTAGATAAGAGGGAAGCACCTAAATGCACGATCGCAGACGGTGTTGTTGAAAGCTTCCCAATACTAGATGAGATTAGGAGGGCACATAGGGAGGCAAAGGATAAAGAAAAGTTTGTATCAAGAATAATAGAATTCACAACGAAGCTGAGTAAATGAATGCTTATTTTGCCTATATCTAACCTGTGCAAAAGGTAGCACCCTGAGCGGGACTCGAACCCGCAATCTTCTGCTTAGAAGGCAGACGCGTTAGCCATTACGCTATCAGGGCTCGAGCGTCGTGGCCCGAATACCCAATACCTCGGGTCGCAAAAAGACTTCCAAAACCTTGCGAAGCCCTCCATGCGCGAGGTGATAACACTACAGATTGGTCAATGCGGAAACCAGATGGGAGGAGAGTTCTGGAAGATGCTGTGCAAGGAGCACGGGATATCAAGCTGTGGGACCCTTCAAGACGATAGAGATTTGGGGGATAGAAAAGATGTCTTCTTCTATCAGGCAGACGACAATGTATTTGTTCCCAGGGCCATACTTGTCGACTTGGAGCCTAGAGTTATATCTCAGGTTTCATCCTTCTTCAACCAGGAAAACATTTTCTTGTCTAACGAAGGAGGAGGTGCAGGAAATAACTGGGGACATGGATATTACATGGGGAAGACCATGGGAAATGACGTCGTCGACATGATCCAAAGAGAGGCCGAGGGCTGCGATTCTCTTGAGACATTCTTTCTACTCCACTCCATAGCAGGCGGAACCGGGTCGGGATTCGGTTCTTTGATTCTGGAGAAAATAAGAGAAGAGTTTCCCAAGAAGATAATCCAGACATACTCCATATTCCCTAACAACGATGAGTCTAGCGATGTTGTTGTACAGCCGTACAACTCCGTGCTAACTCTCCAAAGGCTTATAGAGAATTCAGACTGTATCATCACCATGGATAATTCGTCACTTGGGAGATACACTCTAGATTCACTACGTATCAGTACTCCAACCTTCGACCATATAAATCTACTGATATCTACAGTTATGGCTGCATCCACAAGTACGGTGAGATTTCCTGGATACATGTACTGCACCCATCAGTCCATAAACAGTTGTCTTGTTCCCTTCGATCCGCTTAAGTTTGTTGTCCCATCATACACTCCCTTTGCGTGTGACGAAATGTCCAGAGTTGTCAGGAAAACAACATGCTCTGACATCATGCGAAGGCTTCTGTTGCCAAAAACCAGGCTTGCAAGCTATGACCAGACAAAGGCACAGGCTGTGGTGTCCATGCTGAACATATTCCACGGTGTTGAGGATTCAGGAGAGATATCTAGAACAGTGATGAGGTTTCTCGACAAGGGAATGGTCAACTTTGTTCCTTGGATGCCCCCCTCCTTCAACATTGCATTGGGGAAAAGAATTATCGGCAGTACAAGCCCGAATAGGATCTCAGGGCTAAGTCTCACGAACTCAACAGGAATCTCCTCAGTCCTATCAAAGATATCGGGGCAGTTCGATAAACTCAAGAAGCAGCGTGCGTTCCTAGACATCTATAAGAGATTCGGCGTTGAGCTTGAGATGTTTGATCAAGGAAAGGAGGTTGTTCAAAAAACCCTTGAGGAGTATCATAAGGCAGAGATGTCAACATATCCAAACAATTAAGGCATATCTAAAGTAAATCCAATTGGTGCCACGTTATTTATTATTGTTTATGCTAAGGGATTTTGTGGCCTTGTGGATAAGAGAGGCAAATCCCCTTGGGACTTTTATTCCGTCAACACCCTCAAAGTTTCTCTTCGGTAGTCTATCTAGCATCTCCTCACTCTTTCCTGACATGACAATGCCCTCATAAAGAAATTCGGTCACAAGGAGAACAACCTGGTCGTACTTCTTCCATACCCTTTCTCGCGTCGGCGTCTTGATGATACTGACAAATGCTGTTGTAAACTCGTCGAAAACCTGCCCGATAAATGCCTCATTGACATCCATTGGCGAGTATATTATCAGAAGTATCTCATCCAGCTTCTTGCACATGACAATTCTTTCGTGAGATACTGATATGGTCTCTCTGTCCTTTATGCTCTTCTCTACAATCCTTGCAACTATATCCTCTTCTTTCGAAAAGATCCTTTTGTACAGAATCTCTCCTTGGACGTCTGCCACAACAAGCCCTTCAACATCAAAGAGGTTCATCCAGGGCTTGTTCCACCACTGTATTTTGCTGTTTGTTTATCTCTGCATCCCTTCGAGATGTTGCATGAACTTGGCTCTGTTCCACAAGAGACAATCACAAGCATTTCATATAGTAAGGATCTGCTCATCTCCTCGTGGAGCGGAGAGGTTGTACTTTATTCAGGAGTTACGTTTGAGGCCAGAGGGTCTGTTGGGGCAGGGATTCCCATCACCAAGGCCATCCTCACGCCCGGGATGATTGTCACAGGAGACATAGAGGGAAATGTCCGGGTTTACGACAGATGCTTAAACGAAACATCAACGGTTCCAAGCGGAGTGGGCGGAATACAGCTTCTACACGAGTATAGAGGATGTGTGGTTGCAGGGGGATGGAACAAGAAGATTGCATTTGTTAATGAACGTGTACAAAACATAGTGGATACCGAGAAGAAGGTATATTGTTCTGACCTTGCCGGAGACATTCTGCTGGCAGGGCAGCAAGAGTATGCTGTTGCATATGACTTGAGGACGAACACATCCTTCTTCAGAAGAAGATTCAATATGGTTGTGAGGTCATTGGCTCTTGCAGACACAGGGTTCTTTGCAGGAACGACCGATGGCAGAATATATTATGAGGATTTTGAAGATGAAGCCAAGTCCTATGTGTTCAATGCACACCATTCAGTATCTGGAGACTCGAAAATCTTTTATCCTGTTAACTCTCTAGTGATGGGAAGGCATTTGCTTTCTGGAGGATCAGATGGGAGAGTGCTTAGGTGGAAGCTCGGTGCCAAAAAGACATACAAAGAGATAGCCTGTGACAAGGCAGGGGTAAGTAGCTTGTGTGCTGTCGGAGAAAGAGTTGCTGTGGGGTTTTCTTACTCATACGACAGAGGGAAGTGCAGTGCTGCTCATGGAAGTAGAGTGGTTGTGGTTGACGTGTGAGGTGAAGATAGACTGCAAAGGCCCGAATGCGGGATTTCCTGAAATGTTTATGGCCTCCCTGCAAAACCCCCAATGGATTTAAAGACATTAAAACAAATCTATCTGGATAGACTTACGCCAATGCCAAATGTAAGGTGGGGAATTACGGGCGTGATGTTTGTCCTCTACTTCATTCGGATATGGACCATAGGAGCATTTTATTTGTTAACATACTGTCTGGGCATATATCTTCTCCATGCATTGATTCTGTTCCTCACGCCAAAGGGAGAGATGATTCCAGATCCCTTTGAGAACATTGAGGACGACGACTACATTCCGGAGACCATAGACAACGAGTTCAAGCCCTTCATAAGAAATCTCCCCGAGTTTGAATTTTGGATGTTTGTCACGAAGATTATAGGGATAGCGTTTATAGGAACATACTTTAGCATATTGGATATTCCTGTGTATACACCTATTCTTGTAAGCTATTTTATTTTTATGGTTGGATATACCACGAAGCGTTTAATTGCACACATGAAGAAGTACAACTACAACCCGTTTCTCCAAAGTAAGGAATACTATAAGAAATAAAATAAGGTACTTTTACATATTGAGCTAGTTCTCCACAGTGGTGCAAAAATACTCAGAGTGCTACCCTAGCGAATCCTGAGTGAATGGAGCCAATTAGACTACCACTGAAGCGACACAAGACTGAAAACAGGGAAGAGCGTGTGGAAGAGGTCGAAAGAATAGATCTGAGGAGGTTCGTGGGTATGTTCATCAACCAGGCGTTGAAGGAGATGAAGGAGGCATTAGGGAAGTTCTACTCGATTTCGGAGACGGTATGCAGAAGAGACCTGGGTTTATTTTTCAAGCAAAAGGCTGCAGACTTTGAATGCTTATTTCTGCTTATAAGTGGGGTGGAGTGCTTGAAGGAGGCCAGTTCAAACAGGCATAGGATCAGAAAGATCAAGGAAGTGGATGCGGAATACGTGTTGATTGCAGACAGGCTTGCACACCTGTTTGAGTCCTTCAAGTCTATGATTATACCCAAGGGTGATGTCCTTACCTCCCTCCAAACTGTGTATGATCCTGGATATCTACTTCCGAGGCTTACAGAGGACAATGACAAGCGCGAGGTGACGAATTTCGAGGAGATCAACAGGATCACCAGGATGTATCTGAACAAGGAGGATCTGTCTGTGTATAGCAGTGTTGTGATTGACCAAGGGATTGCTATTTTGTCGACCAGGTTTTTTTCGTTTAGCCTTGCTCTATGCGGGGAGATATCAAGGCCAGAATGGAAGCTGATAAATGTTAGGGGATCTAACGAGGTCTTTAGCAAACATCTGCTGTTTGCCATGCCCCACAGAATAGACAAGATATCAAGGTTTCTGCGGATTTACGAGACACACACTAAGGCAAGAGAGATATTCTTGATGGTGAAGAGATCCTCGGAGTACATAGAAATGGACATAAAGGGGCACTATAGAAGATTTGAGGTCTCTTTCCATGTGTTCAAGATGAGTGTGAGTGTGGGGCACTCTGGAATTAGTGGGAAGATGTTCATAGAGGAGGATGTACTTCCTTCTGGGGAGGATGTAGTAGAGTCGTTTGAGAATAAGGTTTCTGAGTATCTCAGAAGAGATGGAAGAGATGCGTCGTTTAGCTTCAAGAAGGGATTCATGGCCTATGAGGGAGAGGAGGTCCGGTCCTTCAAAAGCTTTGTGGATTTGGATGCGTTTCTGGAGAGGAAGGAAGAAAACTCCCGGTTCTACAAGTTTTTCGAGGAAAGGTTTCCCTGCTATAGAAATCATAGGAAGGGCATCTTTGGAGACAGGAATGTTTTTATCATGCAAGGAGGACTTTTTGTCTGTGTCCGGTTAATGAGACTTGGAGAGAATCACATGGAGGTCAAGGTATTTGTTGGATGCTGTGACCTTGTGGATTTTCTAAGCTACACGGAGGTTAGTATAGAGGAAAGAGATGGTGGAGAGGTTGTAGGGATCATGAACGAAAAGGTGAAGAAGCAATCGAGCATTAAGATAGATTATCTACACGAATACTTCGAGAGAAACATGGATCTTTTGTTTCTTTCATACAGGTTCCTTTCCGTAGTCAATGGAAGGATTAGTATTGGAGGAAGAATCCTTCTGAGCCACAGAATGAAGAGCAAGGAGATCGGTGTTTGCATAGAAAGGAAAGAAAACATGTTTATGATTGGGAATGCGCAACTTGGAGAAAGAATGATCTCCAGGGAGGGTATGTACAACTGTGTTTCTTTCGCTTTGCTTCTGATCGAAATCCTCACATACTCAAAAGATTCTGACCTGGTGGATGTAGTTTCGATTGACCTTTGCAAGGGAGTGTCGCTGAGGATTTCGGGACTTCTTGTTACTCTCGGGATGAACTCTGAAGGGCTTCTCGAGTCAAGCCCATTGGGAATCGGCCATGCACTGGAGAGCTGTTCTATTTCGAGAGCTATGGACTTTTTACTCAGCTTCCATGGGCTCCTTTCCAGTGGGCTTGTCCCCACGACCTCCACCTCCACAAGCCTTGTCTTTGTATTTAAACATCTGTTCAAAGGATATGTGAAAATGAAGGCGATTGACAGGACTCGATGCTCTCTCTCTCTAAGCGGCGGAATGATAAAAGATGCGCTTGAAGAGTTTGGGCCCGAGATACTCACATCAGACACTGCTTTTCTTCGTAAATTGTCTGGATTCTACTTCGAGGAGAGACTTAGCATGATAGCTGACATAGCCAAGAGAAGTTACAATGTGACTGCCAATGGCAATGAAGTGAGTATCTCAACACCTTGCGGAGATTTCAAGGTCTCCATCGAAGGTTGTAGATACATGTTTCAAATTTGCTCCATCAATATGGTAGAGCCAAGCAATGAGTTCATACAAGCCATTAGCGAATACTTTGAGGAGATCATGAGCACGGAAAAATACATTCCCGATGCCATGCGTCTCTTGAGAAGCACAGAGGAGCTCCAAGGGCTGTTTGAAGGCATTAAGGCGAAGAAAAAAAACTAGAGTACAGCAGCTAGATTTATTAAACACCTTATCTAGAAAGCACCTTATTCATTTCTAGCAGACATAAGCTATGATATCTAAACTTATTTATTTACACCTCTTCAATGCTGTTAACGGCCAGAGTATCAAATGTATTTCTCCTGCAGAATAGAATATAAAAAATCGAGCCAATGAACGAAAATATAAGGACAACAGCTAGCGGAAGAGCAACAAGGACCATTTGGGGACCTACCCCAAGGACAAGGCATACAGTCAGAAGCGTCACCAGCATGCTGATATGAGCAGTGAGAACTCTTTTCCACCCAAGAACCTCTTCATTTTCATCTTCAGATGCCGTCTCAAGGAGCGCAAAGAAGTCGTTCTGTGTTCTATCTATTTCAAACAGAAAGTCGTCATCAGCGTCCAGCGTATTTCTTCTGAAGTACTCTCTGACCTCTGGCTGCATCAGAAAGTCGTCGTCTGAGGCAAAGTAGTTGGCGCTGTATAAGACACTCCTTTCTGGAGGGATTGTCTTGGGTATGGTTATCATGCCTTTCTGAATCTTCTCTATTATCTCCCTTGGATTCTCCTCAACACTGTTCATCTTCAAGGATCTATCATTTGCATCGAGACTGTCTCTTGACTTGTGGCATCTTTTGCTGTCTTCTGCCTCCTCTATCTTGTGCCTAAACACCTGGGAAAATGCCTTTTTTGTAATTTTGCCCTCCACTTTGGTCTCAACGAAGAAATACTCAATCAACGCCCTGTCGACTTCCTGTGGTGGTATTTTGTAGTAATACACCTGCCCCAGTATGTACATGTTGTTGAGAGGATTTCGGACTTTCATTCTATGTAGTAGCCTCCTATCCGACTCGAACCTGAACAATATTCTATTCAGCTCGGATGCTGCATAGTAAAAGTTGTATATGATGCTCTGGTCATCCGGGTCTGGCGTCGTAACTCTTGCAAGTATAAAATCCTTATTCTTTAATCTACAGTCCAGCACTATTGCCTTGAACTCCTCCAAGGTAAATGTCTCAACAGTGTTTGCATCCAATACATCCAGCTCGTCGCCCTCTCCATATGCCAGGTTATTCGGACCTCCAACTATTCTGATTTTGGAAGGGATTCCCTTCGATCTTTCGTACAGATCTAGTGTCTCTTTTGCCATCCGGCTTGAACTTGTTTGTAAACAAATAAAAATAATATTTGCTCAATATCACTAAATTAAAAACAAAGGTGATCTTTTCTTGCGATCCATGCACCCGTCCTGGAGATTGTGCTCGCTTGCACCCAAGACATTCCAAGCCTTTTATTTGCCAATCTGAAACATCCAGCAATAAAAGAAGCTTTATGGTAAACAAAAAATGCCCGGTCTCAAGGAGAACATGAAAACCTATACATTCAAGGTTGTGGTTCTTGGGTACTACTCTGTGGGAAAGAGCAGCCTGGTCCTTAAGTATGTCAAGGGAGAGTTCAATCCCAACGAGGAAAGCACAATAGGTGCATCCTTTCTGACAAAGACTGTTTTCACCCAAGAAGGAAGTATTAAGTTTGAGATATGGGATACCGCAGGGCAGGAAAGATACAATAGCTTGATTCCGATGTACTATCGCGGGGCACAGGTGGCCTTGATAGTCTACGACATAACTTCTGCAGAAAGCTTCGAGACTGCAAAAAGATGGGTTGAAGAGCTTGGCTTTGAGAAGCCCAAGGAGTTCATAAAGGTTTTGATCGGGAACAAGTCTGATCTGGAAAGCGACAGAAGGGTAGAATATCAGCAAGGGAAGGAGTATGCAGACAGCCACAACCTGCTGTTTTTCGAATCAAGTGCAAAGACGGGTAAGGGCATAGCAGAGATATTCAACGCCATTGCAGAAAGAGTTCCCAAAGAAGAGGTCAAAAAGAAAGTAAGAGGATTCAGACTAAAAGACGATTATATAAAATATCTTTGCTGCTGATCTTTATTAGCTTTCAAATGTTCACTATCTCCAAAACAGACTTTCTGAATCCCACGTAGGTGTCTATCGATTCGCATTTCTCTACGAATCTTCCCTCGTCCAATGCCTCGCATAATAGAGGATCTATAGGTAGTCTACATACAAAAGGAACCTCCATCTCCTTGGAAAGCCTTTCTCCACCCCTAGACCCAAGTATATTTGTCAAGCTTCCACAGCATTCACAGCGGTACCCGCTCATGTTTTCAATCAGCCCAGAAACCCTAATTCCGCTCGAGATACAAAAGTTGATGGCTCTTGAGGAGTCTTCGAGAGATACATTCTGGGGCGTGGTGACAATCAAAGCACATGCATCCTTCCCAACCAGGAACTCGTGCTCCTCAGATATCCCAGGTGGCATGTCAATAATCACATTCTCAAACCCATCAATGGATTCATAAAACATTGACAGAACAGATATCTTTTTTGGGCCTCTCCATATGACAGAGTCATTGTCCTTCATAAGCAGCGCCATTGAAAGCATATACAAGTTTTCAGTCACCTTTACTGGAACCAATCCCTTTTCTCCTTTGTAGATGCTTTCTCTGACTCCAAGTCCGCCGGCTATGCTTGGCCCACACAAGTCAAAGTCCAAGAGCAACGTCTTCTTCCTCTCAGACATCATCGTACTAAGCATTATCGAGATTGAGCTCTTCCCGACTCCGCCCTTGCCACTCATAACAGCTATCATAGTCATCCCAGGGGTTACTCTTTCCATACAGATCACACCGTCATTCAGATTCTTCAGACTCAACCTCAGTCGATAAGGCCAGGCTTTCTACAAAGACCCTTTCTTTTCTTTGTATCTTCGGTAACTTCCTCGGCTTGGTCTCGGGAAGCAGTATCGAAGATGGCTCCCCACTGTTATGGACGCTCAAATGCACAGAGTCGCTGAACCTGACCCTCCTCCGATGCCGCTTATCTATAGGCTTCGGGCTTTCGTTATTCCCATCAAATACAAGAGTAATGTACCTGTATCCAGAGTTCCTTATAGTGTTCCTTTCAGTAATTTTTTTAACCTTCATGTCTTTCTTCTTTTTCGCCTTCGAGTTGGAGTCTTTTTCAGTTAGCACCACCCTCCCACTTCTTATCCGATATCCTATCGATGCCTTTCTCCTTTTATTGGTGCCATTCACAGCATCGCCAAGATCGTTCTCGCACGACCTTCTTTCTCCTATAAACTCAGGCTTCAGCTCAACCTTGTTCCTCGAAAATGTCTTCCGACTGCTCAGTATGTCTTTCCGAAGCTTGATGTTGTTCAGCAGCGAATATTCTTTGTTCAAGAGATACATCTCTATCTCCCTCTTGGAAGGCCTTCCTATAAATATCTCATCCATCGATTCCTTCCCCTGCCCCATCGTTTGTTTTATTCCCCCTCCTGGTCTCCTGCCCGAAGAAGCCATGAACAAGGATAGAATTCTCTTTTCCTAAGACTAGCTCAAGGCGCTCTATCGTGCAAAACACAAGATCTTTCAGATTCTTAAAATACCTTCTAACCTTTAGGATATTAAACTGTGTTATCCCGGGAATGCTAAGCAGTATTTCACGGAGTACAGGATCCATCTTTGATCCCTCGGAAATACTCGGCATGTCCTCCTTCTTCTGTAGGTCTCTTATAACCTTCGCAGAAAACAGCCTCGACTCAGACCAGATGATGCGAAGCGTCCCAAAGTTAAACAGGAGTAGGGCAAGCTTTGCTGCAATGCTGTTCTTGAACGTGTCCTGGTCGTACCGATAGTGGTCAGATAAACACGGACGCCCATCAAACTCAAGAAGAAGAATCGGATTGGGATATCTGTAGCACATCATACTCGCCTGCAGGTAGAGCCTACCTGTGTTCAAGGACGATGTAAAGTCAGGAATGGATTTCCTTTCGATACAGACCGTAGGACTTATCAAATAATCTCCAATCGGTAGGGTGGAAATGCATATCTTGTTCCTTGCTTTGAACAGGAAGAAGGGAAGCTCAGCCCTTAACTCTCTTGAGTCAATCACAACTGTATAGGCGCCATCCCCAGACTCGTTTTCTTCCAGGTCAATCACATCCTCCGCATCGTCTAATCGTAGAGGAAGCCTTGCTCTCTCCTCTATAAGCTTCTCAAAGGATGTCTTTTCTCTTCTTATCTCGCTCAGATACCTCTGCTCCTCCAAAGACTCAGAATGCATCAGGAAGAATACTTTGACAGGATGCACCACTCCATATCTCTCTATCTTCCTAACACTGTCTTGTCCAGACTCCACAAAGATAGCACTTTCATAGCTCTCTTCGTAATACTTGAATTCGTAATGTGTCATAACCTTTACCGCCCCCTCCTGGATCTCAATACACTCTCCAGAAACAAGACCAAATGCAACAAGAATTTTTGTCACCATATTCTTCACTCCGCGGCTGGAAACCAAGACTACAGACGAAGCCTCTTTCATCTCTTGCAGAATTTCCACCAATTTCTTTATCTTCGGGTTCAAGGTATAGAAGGTTCTTGGCCTTTCATTGCTAAATCCAGGCAGATCTCCCAGCTCATCTTTCTCCGTCCCGGCCTTCCTCCTTTTTTTGTCTCCCCCGGCTAGATCCCTAGCCTTCTCAACGGCCTCTTCAAAGTATTCCCGCGATTCATCAATCAGAACATGCGAGATCGATAGGTTGATCCATGTGCCATCCTTTCCTAGCTCAATCTGCTTCTTTACAATTTCCTTGACATACTCATAAAATGTTCCCGGATCGCAGGAGAATAATAGAAAGATAAGTCCCCGTATGTCATAGAGATCCTCCATTATCCTACTGTTCGAAATGTTCATCTGCCTGAATATTTTGTGCACACTTCCAAATATAATGGTCTCAGCATCCACCTCTTCCCTACTAGGCCCCTTGAACACTATACGAAGGAGGTTATTGATTATCTCCAGGAGAATAACCTGAAGCTGGCTCCCTCTTTCTGACATTTTGAACTTGATCTCAGCGACATCTATATCCCTCCTCAAAGACTTCTCCACCAGGAAATGGAAACGTGGAAAGAAAACGGCCCTTGTCAGCTTCAGACTCTTCATTTTCCTGTCTAGTGGAGAGAACCCGAGAGATAGAGGGACTGGCGATTCTGAAAACCCTCTTATAACACCCGTCTTGTTCCTGGACCTGAAAAAGTGAGCAATGAATGACTCTGACGATGTCTCTGTGATGGCCTCAACATTGTTGACAAGAATGGCATCAACCTTCTCGACATCGACTACCCCGTCAATCATGTCAGCAAGAAACACACTGTTGCTTGCAATGAACACGCCTCCGTGCCGATACTTTTCCCTTCTCTTTGTCTTGTGCAAGGATCTTATGTCCTGAAGGAAAGGCGATTCCATTCTTAGGAGCAGAGACTCGTCCTCGCTACTGAAATTCACCAGAAGCACAAGGCTATTCTTATGCAGATATTGCTTTATCATCTCCCGAATAATTCCTTGGATATTCAGGCCTCCCCCCATCACAAGGAGGCAGCTTTGGCCTTCGCACTCTCGGAGGGCTTCCTCTTCATATTCCAGAAGCATTTTGGGATCGGGAGATTGTGTACTGAAGAGGAAGATATTTTGAAGCCCTGAACCAATGGATAGTGACAAGTGTGATGAAGATATGAAGGATTCGCACCCAGTCACACTGGCCGAGGCAAGGTATTTACTCGAGGGACAGAAAGAAAGATTCAGGGCAGATTTCAGATCAAATGCATCGAAGATATTTAGGTCAACACTGGGATATCTCGATGAGTTCTGCAGGATCAAAGACAAGTCTGTTGCCGAGGATCTTCGCACAACCCTTTCTGCACTGGGCTTCAGCGAACTCGAGATAGCTTTGTTTGGATCTTTGTTTCCTCAGTCTGTTGAGGAGGCGAAGTCTCTTGTTCCATCTCTGGAATCAAAGGGTGACGATGTTGTTGAGCAAGCTGTGGAAAAGATACAGCAGCTGGCCCTATGAGACTTTAAGAATGGGAGGTGTCGTTATTAAATCTTTGAGCCTCAGATTAGTAGTACATCTAAATCATCAGCCGTGCAGACAACCCATGAAAGACGGGGCTTGGGTGCCTCTTTACACCAAGGAAGTTATCGACTTGGAAAAAAGCCTGTTTAGCGGACAAGTGTTTTCGTTTCGGCAGACAGATAAGAAGGAGTACACCGGGGTTCTTGGGACGTGTCTTGTGAGCTTTCTTCAGGATGGAGACAGGGTTCTTTACAAAGTGCTTGATGGAGACAAGACTCAAGAGGAAGTTGAGGCGGAGATTTCCAACTTCTTCACATTGGATGTTGAGCTCTGCCCCCTACTCCTGAGATGGAAACTTGACCCCAGTAATCTGCTGGTTGGTCTGAGGGCCCTCAGATATAGCCTGGTTCCGACGATATTTTCATTCATCTGTTCATCGAACAATAATATTAGCAGGATAACCCGAATGGTTGGGTTTCTCTATTCGAAGGGAGAGTTTATCACGAGGTACAAGGGTGTTGACTTCTACTACTTTCCAAGTGTAGAGAAGCTGGTGGATATTGAGGATGAGCTGAGGTCCAACGGGTTTGGATACAGATCTTCATATATATGTAATGCAGCAAGGTACCTCCTTGGGAACCGCCTGGACTACCAACGGACGTCTGAGATCAGGGAGATGATGGTGTCTATCAAGGGGATTGGATATAAGATAGCAGACTGCATTTTATTGATAGGCGCTGGGGACTTGAGTGTTGTCCCCATTGACACACACATTTTCAATCATTCCAGGAAAGTGTTTGGAATCAATGAGAAGCGGCTGTCCCGAAAGATGTACGGGACCATACAAGAGCTATACAGGAGAAGATTTGGAGAATATGCGGGGATTGCACAGCTCTATATATTCAAAGGAATGGTTGATCTAAGGAGGAAGAAGCCCAAGCAAAGGCTGGAACTCTTAAGGCGTTCTCTGGACAGCTTTGACGACATTGAATGAAAAGAAGATGTGGAATCCCCTTGATGAAATGGGATATGGACAAGGAGGATTATTCTGATGAGCCTCAGGAGGAGGTGAAGAGAGCTAAGAAAGCCATCGAGGCCATGGATGTCAAGCCTGTGGATGCTGGGAAGGTTTCTCTGAGTGCGGAGGAAAACGGGGTTGGAGGCTACGATCTAAACTTCAGAAGGCAAGTGAAGAAGAGAGTCAAGGACTATAAGTACAGGGCCCTTTTCAACATTGGAAAAACGAAGCGGCCGTATGTGCTGACACGCAACAGTGTAGTAATGATGATAGAAGAGGAGCTGGGGGTAGAGATTCTTGTGAAGGGAAGCTATAGGCCTGAGGAGCTGAACGGAGACACGGATGATGAGGATGCATTGGTGTATGAGGTTTCTGCAGAGACGCCTGAAATGCTTCACGAGGCAATTGGCAGGATTCCGTCGATAATCAAGGAGATGCCTGCGTTTCCATGGGATTCATCTGGGGCCTCTGGAAGATATGTCTACAGGAACGGAGTCAGGTGCCGCTCGCACAGGATTATTATAGACAGTGAACTGGGCGAGAAGATGAGTGAGATTCGTAAGGATATAGAAGCTATTAGCATTGATAAGCCTGTGGAGATCAACATCCGGGGAAGACTTTCTGAGTATATAGAACCATGTTTTGGAGAGGAGGCTAACGAGCCCACGTACATCCAAATAGTAGCAAAGACCAAGAGAGAAATAAGGGAGGCAGGCAGTGTATGCAGGAGCATTATCAGCAAATACAGGGATTTCTTGGGCTAACCACTCACCTCTCCACAAGCTGACTCATCAAGGAAAATGATTTGATATCTGGATTGGAATTCTGAAACACTATACTATAAAGGTAGTTTGTTTATGAGGCCAGTCCAATGGATAATGATGTGCTGGATGTGGTGCTGAGGGGCTGCTCTAAGGTTATATTTAACGGCGATGCGGGAGATCTGCCTTCATCCAGCCTTGATACAGAGACGGTGGAGGTTTTTACTTTAGAGAAATTCAAAAACCTGATCGTCTCACACATGAAAGAAGGAAGAGACTTCATAATTGCAGAGGTTACCACAAGAGACCCCCTGACGGAATCTGTTTTCAGAAGCTACTACTCTGCAATTGAGCTGAACCGGATTCTCTTCTGTGTTGAGGGTAACAATAACTTTCTGTACAGAGTATCAGCCAAGAATCCAATAAACAACCTTAGGATTACTGGGAAGGTTTTTTATTACAAAATAACGCCGGAAGCTTTGTCCAGTATAGCGAAGCCAAGACATTTGGGCGAGCGCACTTGCAGCAACGAAGTGGTGATCAAAGCAGAATACTTTGCCAATGATGAAGACCTTCTCTTTGACCCATCGATCAGAAGATATTTTGCCAAGAACCTTGTTGAGGAAGGATACTTTATCCACAGGCTTGAGCAAATGGAAAGCCCTGTGGTGATTTCTGAAGATCTCCTTGAAAACTATCATGATGACAAGTTTGGGCTTAAGATTATACTCTACACAAACATAGGGACGATATTGGTTATCTTTGGAATGTGTATACTTCTTGGGTCTAAAGAGGCGTTTGTTGTTGCAATGGCACCTCTTTCGATGACCCTCCTCTTTTCAATCCTCTTCCTAATCCTCTATGTCCTGCTTTTCGAGTCCCCCGAGGGTTTCTCGTCGATATTCAACTTTAGAAAAAACAGATTTAGCTGAGGCCCGTTAATTAAAGCCATGTTGATCAATACAAGCTCCTCCGAATGACATAGGTTTGAAGAATGCATTTATTTTTTCTTCTTCGACTTCTTCTTCCTGACAAGATTAAGCTTATTCTCAACATACACGCCATTTTGAATAACCCCTCGCACAGCCTTTCCATTGGCTTGCCGCTCTGTAGAAGGACTCTCGCCGCCTCTTGAGCTGGACCTCATCTCTGTAATTGTTTGGCTCACCCCCTCAATAACGAACATCTTTCCATACTCCTTCTTTATTCGGAACCTTCCGCTGTTGAAGAAATCGCCTGGGTGCTTCTTTGACGCTTCATCAACATACCCGATTTCAAGCTTTTCGAGAGCATTCTTGATCTCATGGTATCTTGGCTTTTGTACACAGATCTCCTTCCTGTATTTTCTCCCCTCGGAAAGTGACTTTGTCGAATCCATGTATATAGGATACAGGCAGAAGTACTCGGTCTCCATCAAGGGGAAATTTTCCAGAAAAATATATCACATCTCTGCTTCAGCCGCGCCCATCACATCCCCAACCTTACACATTACCTACCTATCCCATAAATCTGCTTTGTTTATACCCTTTAATGTTGTCGAAGCCATTGGAACTCTTCTTTGAAGTGTCATCGGCACCACATACGATAATATACATCGTTTTCTGGTTTGCAGCCTTGACATTTCTTAACATCTTCTATACTCGTGAGTACCATGTCAAGATCATGAAACACATCACAAAGAAAATAAGGAACATCTTTATCCAGGCTCTTGTCTTGTGTTTTCTGAATAGCATCCCAAAGATAATCCTGATGGTCAATCTATACAGAAACTCTTCCATACAAGTGTTTGCATCCGCTATTTCAGGCACAACACAAATTTCGATGGCAATATCTCTTGCCCTTGTGCTGATACTTGCTAAGACAAACTGCTTCGTTCACCACATAAGCTTCTATAAGGACATTCTCTTTCTCGAAGCCTCGCACCTGCTACTGCTGATCATGTTCTCAAATGCAACAGATGCCCTGACCGTCCCTCTTATGGCTCTGGGAGTGTTCTCTACATTTTTGTTTAATACCTTCTCCCTCCCCCCATACATTTCGCAAGTATCGAACAGCAGCGACGAAGAAGTCATCTCTTCCCACGCGCAGCCTCCGTCACCATCGCTTACATTGTATCCGTTCAGGCTCATATTCAACCTACTCTTCCTGGACCCTTCCCACATATCTCCATCGTCCTCGAAGAAAACACCATATACCATAGTACTTTCTCCAGTAATCAATTTCCTAATCGGGGCGATGTACCTCCGCATGGACATGAGGCGCTTTGAGCTTCTCCTTTCTCTTGCATGCTCCTTTCTTCTGGGCCTGCTTTTGTACATGATGGCAAGAAAGAGGATCCTTTCCACACTCTCATGCCTGTACAGCTTGGCTGCCTCCATACTCTTTTTCTCGATAATAATGGAAAGCTTTGTGAGCTTGTCAATGCACATAAGCAATGCAACGGGGCTAGGCGCCCAGTTTCTTTCGGGAACATTTCTTTCGCTGCAATGCAATCTAACAGAGATTGTAACCTGTCTTAGTTACACCGGAAACGAAATGCTGATCGTGTCGTCTTGCTCCATTCTCTACACACACATGTATAACACTCTTCTCTTCTTCCCAGTTGCCAAGCTGCTCCTGGGGAAAACCGGTGCATATGCACAATCTCATAATATTTCAAACGCCCCCTTCGTATACTTTTCGTATGTATTCATACTTGCAGAGATTAAGGTCATCTTTGTGAACTACCTCCTTAGACACCACAAGCTGACAAAAGATCTTGGATATACACTCATAGCAATATATGTGCTATTCATAATCGGGTTTGCCATGGAAGGCAAGACCCATCTTTGTAAATAAACATATTCCCATATAGCCTTGAGGTTATAGAAATAAAGAAGATCGTTTAATTAGTAGATCTTATTGCAGATGCATCGAACTTCTTAATGAACCTCAGCCTCTCCTCCATCTCCTCGTCACTTAGCTTAAGCTCCGTTCTTCCTACAAACAGAGGCTCATCGAGAATCGACTGCACAGCGTCACTGTAGAACAGTTCTTCAAGGTCATCGTGGGTCACAATCTTGTTCGGAAGCTTGAATCCAGGTGTAAGCTCTGCCTCCCTCTCAACTCCTCCAAAGATCTTGTCCAGCTTCTCAAATGCACTTTCCGTCCAAATAATAAGCCTTCCAGGCATTCCTCCAGGTGCAAGCTCAAGGAGATCCAAGTTATCAATGCTCATCTGGTCAACACCACGGATGTTTCTGAATGCAAGCAGCTCAGAAGACTCTCCATGGACAATTAGTATCCCTTTCCTCTGTGTGTATCTTCTGTTCCTCATCTTTCCCTTACCACAGCGGATCCCTCTGCTGTTCTCCACTCTCTTCAATTCCTCCTTCATGTTCAAGTCCTTGAGAATCTGCAGTGCATCCTTGGTCTTCTTGACATCTCTAATGCCGTCGGAAACAATAATCGGAAGCATCTTCACACCAGATATCCTGTGTCCCCTTGCCTCAACAAGAGATGTCTGTGCAGATGCTGCAACCGCCATCGCTTCAGCTATCCTCTTGGTGTTCTCCACAACCTTCCTGGCCCATCTCCTGTGAGTCTTCGTGGGATGTGCCATCCTTCCCTTACGGCAGAAGTTTGCAAACGCTCCCTGTCCTGCCCTTCTTGTTCCTCCTCCCTTCACCCGAGGCACACGGGCAATCGCTCTTCCAGTTCCCCACGACTCTGCAGAGTGCTGCATACCTGCATACTTCGACACCGCATATGGCTGTCGGGTCTTCATCCTGTACAAAGAGTAGGTCTTCAGTACGAGATCTTGCCTCACAGGCACAGAGAAAACCTCAGGAAGGTCCAAGGTCTTCTTCACAGTCACCCCGTCAACTTCGTAGCAGTTGATCTGTTGCTTCATTTCAAGCCCCCAGAGCAAATTTTTTTTAAATCCTAAGATTTTCAAACAGAGGCCTGCTCCCGTTCTTGGCTGCAGGCCGTTTGGGCAGCTCTCATGTCTTGCATCGTGTGTGTCTTCTTTCCGTCTGCAGGCCCGTTCGGATTTAATGCCTTTGAAGCCATCCCCCCAGCTCATGACTTATGTGGGATGGCTGAATGGAGAAGAGGAGTGGCTCATGAGAAGAACACGAAGGAGATCCTCGTCGAAAGGCTCGCAAAGAACCATCAAGGCGAAAAGCTTGATAACACTGGCAAACAATCTGTATGTCAGAAACGAGCTTGGGAAGTGTGTGGAAATGCTCAAGGAGGCGATCTGCCTTATGCCGAGAAACCCGCATCCATACTTCACTCTTGGACTTATTTTTGAGGAGAAGGGCGAAATACCAAAAGCATACTACTGCTTCTTTGTTGCTGCACATCTCCAGAAAAACAACTACGGGCTTTGGAGAAAGCTCTACGACTATTCACGGCAGCTTGGATACAACAGAGAAAGAATCTACTTCATCGAGGTTCTGCAGAGGAAGGGAAACAAAAGGGAGATGGTTGTGGAGAAGATGGGGCTTTATGGGAACGACAAGTTCAAGGAGATAGGCTGTAGGATAGAGCTGTTTGAGTTTGACGGTGTCGACGATGGCATCTTCGACGTCATACACAGAAATATAACACACAAAGCCCGACTTGCACGGCTTGCAAAGAAGCTACTTAACTATCTCAAAAAAAACGAAGATTCATGCTCGGACCATTACATTAGGCGACTAATAATTCTGAAGTACGAGGCTTTTGACTTTGTTGACATGAAGATGGTGTTTGACAGATATCTACTCAAGAGAAATGTTGAGCTTTGCATAAAGCTGAGAGTGATATACATAATGGCGTGCCTGCATGATAGGAAGGACGGAAACATAGAAGAGCGGATTGATGCGTTTCTTGAGAACGAGGAGGTATGGTCTAAGATCACTGACATTGGCCTTCTGAGGCATCTTGTTGATCTGCTTATAGAAAACGACATGATTGACGAGGTGACAAAGTTGCTAGGCAGGATAAAGAACAGCTTCAGTGGCCAGAGGGAGTTTGTGTACTGGAAGCTGGGGAAAATGCTCGACGACAAGGGGAAGTATGACGAAGCGCTTCTATACTACAAACTGGTGCTTGAAACCAATCCTGCCAATGACGACGTTAAGTCGCGTATCCATTCGATATACACGAAGCAAGGAAACCATGAGATGGCTAAGAAGTATGAGACGATTGCACGGCTCATTGATATTGTCGATGGAAGGAGCAAAAAAGGATGCGCATATTCTCCGGAGATGTGCATGAACATAAGGTCTCTTTACGAAAGCACCAGGGTTGTCAGGAACGACTGCGGAAAGTTCATTGAGTCTAACAGAGCCCTGGTGGATGACTTCCTAAAGAATAGGTTTATCTTTGAGAGGAGAAAGAAAAAAGCATCCACTGGGCTAAGGCCATATAGGCAAAGGCATGCAGGAGTGCTTGAGATAAGAAATGAGGAAAAGGCCATGAAAGAAGGAACCTCCGAGGGATTCAGATTTGTCGATCTACATGGGCTGAGCGTTGATGAATGGTTTGATGTCATCTCTGCACAAATATTTTCTCTTCTCTCTGTCTCCTGCACCTCCGAGGCGATGTCGTTATTGTTCAGGTCGTTGGAGGCATATATCTTTAGACACAGAAGTGACATCACCTGCAAACTTGTTTTCATGGGCCTGAAGGCATCCTTAATGTTTGGAGAGTTTGGTGACTTCATCTCCCTGGTAAGAAGTGCGATTTGCCATACAGGAAACTACTCATACTCTTATCTGCTGTTCTATTTCAGCAACTTCTTTATGAGCTTCCAAAAGAGCAATGACTTTTCGTACTTCCAGAAGTATCTTCAAAGGGTATGCAGAAGAAAGCTTAGAATCTGCCCAAGCCTAGAGGACGAGCTGTCTTCTGAGTCATTGGAGAATGAAACGAAGGAGGAAAAGGAAAATGCAAACAGCCATGGAGGAGCCCTGTGCCCGGAGTACAAGGAGGATGTGCCAAGAAGGAAAACCACGGGCGTGACGCACTTCCTATTCCTGAACTCCCACATTCCGAATCTTCTACAATCAAAGACAGTAGAGATGATGTCTTCTCTTGAAATGGAGGGAAGCACATCGGAGAGCATAATCCTTGCATCCATGTTCCTCATCCATTCGAAGTCAAGAAGAGTGAGCGACAGAAACATGTTTATAAAGAAAGGAATATCCATCCTCAAGAAGCTGAAAGAAAGGTCCGAGGGAGAAGATGCATATGTGATTTCGTACAACATTGGAAAGGCCTACCAATTCTTTGGGTTTCCTGGCCTTGCAGAGAGTTTTTACATGGATGCTCTGGGGACATCTGATGTTGAGCTCCGGAGGCTTGTACAATTCAACCTGTATCTTATATGCAAAAGAAACAGCACAATGCAAATATTCAAGGACATTATTGGGAGCAGCAGAGCGGATTCGTCTTCTGCGTAAGTCCTCATCTGTTTTATTTATTGCCCCTGATGAGTGAAGGCCAGATACTTAATGTATGGAAGGACAATCTCCACGGGGAGATGAAGAAGATATCCCAGCTAATAAATAGGTATAACTACATAAGCATGGATACCGAGTTTCCTGGTGTTGTTGCCAAGCCGATTGGAAGTTTCAAGTCGCCCTCCTCGTTTGCATACCAACAACTAAGATGCAATGTGGACATACTGAACATTATCCAGCTAGGGATATCTCTGAGCGATGGCCAGGGCAACAGGCCGTGCCCCATAAACACATGGCAGTTCAACTTTGCATTTAGCCTTGAAACGGACATGTATGCACAGGAGTCGATTGATCTTCTCATTCAAGCAAGAATAGACTTTAAGGAGCACGAGAGGAGGGGAATCAAGGTGGAGGAGTTTGGAGAAGTGCTGATGACGTCTGGGCTTGTGATGTCTCCGGATGTCGTGTGGGTCTCTTTCCACTCTGCTTATGACTTTGGATACCTCATAAAGATCCTGACATGCAACCCTCTTCCGGAAAGAGAAGAGGACTTCTACAGATTCCTTGCAGCCCTGTTTCCGGACTTCTACGACATAAAGTTTCTTGTGCAGAACAGCAAGTATTTGAAGAAGGGGCTGCAAGAGATATCCAACGACCTTGGGCTTGTCCGGGACGGGATCCAGCACCAGGCAGGCAGTGATGCGCTCCTGACATCGCATGCGTTCTTCAAAACTAGAGAGGTCCTTTTCAACAAAAGCATAGGAAAGGAGTTTATGTGTAAGTTGTTCGGTATTGAGGTCAAGGACACCCCCTAAAACTGTATAAGTTCTAGCGAACTGGTTTATTAAAAGCCCAAGCTTTCTTCATCACTCAGATTGTTGTTTGTTTCTACATCTATCTTTTCCTTTGTTATAGGGATTGCATACTTCTTGACATAACTCCTGACAACCTCGTTATACTTCTCTCTATTTGTCAGATACATTGAGCCGGCTTCGCAATTCAAAGGGTCTGCAGCATTGGGATAGGACAAGAGCTGAGGGAGAAGGATGTCGACGATGTTGAGCAGGTCGTATATTGGAGACCATATCTGGTTGAGGACGTCGAGGCATATTGATCCGCTTGCCTCGTCGACGTTTGGATGGAATATTCTAGTTGTGAATCCTATTGAGGGGCTTTTGAATGGATAGTTGTCAGGAAGAAGTATGTTGATGATGTACTTTGCGCCGCTGTATGGGGAGTCCTCTGGGCCGTTTATCAGGACCTCCATTTGCGTGTGCTTTCCCTCGATCATCCTGACTTCATAGTTTGCGTTATAAAGCTTCTGGATCTCGTTCTTTATCCTTGGATTCAGCTTGACCATGTCTATATTCTTATCTGACTTTATTGTGGCAGGATCGGATTTTTATGCAACAGGTTTCAGAAACACTTGCAATCGATTTGATGGCGAGACATCAGGCTGGAATAGGAAATTTATATAAGAATGAAACATTTGGCTTTCTGAGGGGAATTCAATTGGGCTTGCGGTTTCTTGTAGCTAATAGGCCTGTTTTTGAAGTCAAAAAAAATTTGCCCTGAAAATGTCGACTGGACACCGCGATCATCTGAAGCGAAAGACTGCACCAAAGTCATGGATGCTGGACAAGCAGGGAGGGACGTTTGCGCTGATGCCTGCCAGTGGGCCGCACAGGAAGACGGAATGCATCCCCCTTGGATATCTGATTTCAAGATTCCTTAAGTATGCAAGTAACTCCAAGGAGCTTGCAATTATCCTGAAGGGAAAGAATATCAAGGTGAACGGAAAGGCTAGAACAAACTCACACTTCCCTGTTGGGCTGTTTGACGTGATATCTATTGAGAAGACTGGGGAGCACTTCAGGGTCCTATACAACGTGCAGAAGAAGTTCCATCTCCACAGGATAAACTCTGAGGAGGCGAAGTACCGCCTGGCAAAGGTTACAAAGAAGTACAAATACCAGGGGATCCCTTATGTTGTTTCCAGCTGCGGGCTGAGCATTCGCTTCTGTGATCCAGCCATCGAGCAGGAATACACGATAAAGATCTCGAATGAGACATCCAAAGTGATTGAGTATATTGCGCCTGGTGTCGACAAGATTGTGTTTGTGTCAAGGGGAAAGGCTAGAGGACGCATTGGAATTATAAATACAATTGAAGTTCAAGGAAAGGACACGGTTTATGTTATGACTGACTTTGCAGGGAACACGTTTTCCTGTACAAGCAAGAGCTGCATAATAATTGGAGAGTCTTCCGAGAATATCTTGATAACTCTTCCAAGCGAAAAGGGGATAAGGCTTTCTGAGCTCGAGAAGATCAATGCTCAGCTAGGAGAAATGATTGATACATCAGCAAACGAAGTTACCGAATAAAATGTTTCTTCCTTTACGTTGATCCTCTCCATCAAAAGAGACTGCTCGGACACTCACCCCTGATGCAGCACTCTTTACACCTGGGTCTTTTTGCAACGCATATCGTTTGCCCATACCCAACCAGGGTCCTGTTTATTGATCCCCACTCTCTTTTCGGAACAATCTTTTCCAGCTCTTTCCTGGTGCTTTCAACGTCCTTGGTTTTGACCAACCCTATTCTGTTTGATATTCTGTGCACATGGGTGTCCACACTTATCCCAACAACCTTGTTGCATGCATGGTTCATGTACAGGATGGCCATCTTGTTTCCAACCCCGGGCAGTGAGGTCAAGTCCTCCATATTCTCCGGAAGGCCCTTCTTCTTCAGGATCTCTGCAATCTTTTTCAAGTTCTCTGCCTTTCTGTTATGGAATCCCACCCTCTTGATGCACTCGTTGATGTGCTCGGCACTTGAGTTTATTACGTTTTCTATGGTTAGGCCGTTATGGGTGTCTCCATCGGCAGCAGTGTTTTCCGGAAGAAACCTCCTCAGCCTTTCGGTAGCCTCATGTGTCACCTCATCCTTCGTCTGGGAGGACAAGAGGAGGGAGACCAGGATACGGAATCTCCTCTCTTCCTCTGTATGGCAAGACGGGGCGATAAAGCACCCCATTGTATCCACGGGAGATACAATACCCTCTCTTTGCCTCTTGATCTCAAAGTATAGCTCTAAGGACCTTTCCATCTCTTTCTTGGAGGCTTTTTTCATAATCTCTTCTTGGCTAAGAATGGGTCATTCTCCACATGTTTTCCGATAAAACACCAAAATCAACGCTTCCCATCCGGAAAGGAATGCTTGACAATGTCCGAACGTATCTGAGGATTAAACCACAGGCTGTTCCAGAAGATATTACGATCAGTGGGGATTCGATGATAGTAGATGGAAACAAGTTTTCCTTCGATAGAATCTTCCGAGGCTCCACACAGCAGGAGGTCTTTCAGGAGATATCGAAGAGTCTTCTGGTGGAATGCATGCAGGGATACAACTGCACTCTTTTTGCATATGGGCAAACAGGAAGCGGGAAGACCTACACAATACAGGGAAATGCCCACAACATTGGGATTGTCCAAAGATCGCTGGGTCTCCTACACAGAAACACGGATCTGAAGATCTCGCTTTCCTTTGTTGAGATATACAACGAAATGATGCTGGATCTATTTGATCCCGAAGCCAATCTATCGATTAGGGAGGATCCGCTCTGCGGAGTGGTTGTTGACAATCTGTCAACCGTGGAGTCTGATAGCTATGAAAAGAGCATGGAGATGTATTCCAGGGGAATAAGAACAAGAAGAACCTCATCGACGTGTATGAACAAGGAAAGTAGCAGGAGCCATTCGATCTTCATTGTGTATCTCAAGAGCAGTGGTGGGGTGATGTCGAAGTCATCAAGGCTATGCTTTGTTGATCTTGCAGGGTCTGAAAGGCTGAGGGAGAGGGAGATAGAGGAGACCAAGATGAAGGAGGCCGCCAACATAAACCGATCGCTTCTGTGCCTTGGGAAGGTGATCAACAAGCTGAGCAACGGAGAGGACGGCCATATAGGATACAGAGAGTCGAAGCTTACTTTTCTGCTCAAGGATTCGCTGGGGGGAAACTGCAAACTGACGGTTATCGGGAATGTTTCTCTCGAAAGCAGGAGTGACACGGTGAATACGATGAACTTCCTCCAAAGGTCCAAGATGATAAGGAATCTTGCGGTTGTGAACTCTGACGTGAACGGAGAGTTGGAAGAGGTGAAAAGCAAGTTGAAGGCCCTTGACAGCGAGAACCAGAGCCTGAAGGCCAGGATTGCTCTGATGGACACACAAATGCAGGAGGAGTCCAAGGTTCTGCCGTCCTACCATTACGACGTTAAAAGGATGAAGGATGCGATTGACGATGTCATGAACACACTTCTGGAGCTCGAGGCGGTTACCAGAAAAATGCCCAGTGCTGAGTTTGACAAAAGCAGAAAGCTCCTCCTCAACATCCACGAGTGCTTTGCATCGATGCATGGAAGTGAAAGGGAAGGCGAAGAAAGCAGTATGAAGAGAAAGCGGATGGGGGAGAGAGAAGAATAAAGACAGCATGTTCTGAAATGTGGGTGTGTGGCCTTCTAGCCAATGTCTGTAAATTCCGATATTTTAGATCCCTGATTTATTATGAACTTGGCGTCGCAATGGGTTCTCTGGCAAAATAACAATGATGAGTCCAATGCCAAGAGCTGGGGGGACGATCTCGTGGCTGTTGGGGAGGTGTCGACGGTTCCTGAGTTTCTGTATCTTTGCGACGAGATATCGAATGTCGGGATTGGGAAGCTGTGCACAATGAATCTGTTTAGGAAGGGAGTGAAGCCCATGTGGGAGGACGAGGCGAACATAGATGGAGGAAGGATCATAATGGATGTTCCTGTTGTTGGCAGGGACAATGTCGGGGATCTGTGGAAAAAAACAATGGCGTTTTGTGTATCGAACAGCGTTGACAACGTGTGCGGATGTGTTCTTAGCGAGAAGCAGTCATTCTACAAGCTGGCCATCTGGTTTGGGAAGGATTATAACCAGGACACCATTAAGGAGATGTGGCAGGAAGCTCTAGGAGGCGGGAATCTATCTGTCTACTCCTTCTTACATAAGAAATCGCTGGACAGCAACAAAGGAAAGAAAAAATGGGGAGGAAGGAGGTAGAGTGCAACGAAATCTTAATAAAGTTATCTTTGTTTAATCAGTCTCCAAACGACCTCTTAAATTAGATTATCTTCTGGGTCCTTTTCTTGTTACAGATGTGACCTTTACAAAGCCGTCTGGGCAGATGTCTGAGAGAATCGACAGTTTTGACTCATCAAGAAGCAGGTTCAGAAACTCCTCGCACTCTGCTTTGCTGAACCCGGCAACGCTGGAAATTATTTTGACAGCGTCTGAGAACGATTTGCCGGAGATCCTTTTCTCGATGAAGTTGAGGGATACAGACGGGTTTCTGGAATGGAGATAGTTCTTTGACTTTGCACAGCCTTCAAGGATCTTCGATCGGTCAAGGTCCTTCTTTGGATGCCTTTTCAGTGACAATGAAGAAAGGTCTTCAAAGAACTCCTGGGACTTCTCAAGGGGCTTCTTGATGGCAGCATTCTTTTCGAAGTACTCGTCAAGCTTTTCCGAAGAAAGGAAATCGCCAAGGTCGGCGAGTATGTCGTCGTAGGACACAAATCCTTTGTCTATGTCTCTCCTGATCTTGGTGCCCTTCAACTCTTCAGTGCTCATCTTCTCCTTCATCTCCCGCCCGGTAAATGGGCCGCGGATGGTTTCTTCTTTCTTCACAAGCCATGAGAAGGATGGATTCTGTGGCATCCCGAGAACGAAGTTCCCTCTCTGGTCGAAGTGTCCCTGGTCTGCTTTCGACAGGTCTACGTCCCACATCGACTCAGACTCTTTCTTAGATGTTTTCTTTTGCGGCCATCCACCTTTCCTGCCTGCGATCGCAAGTATCCGCTTCTTTAGGATGCATGCCTTTTCTTCTTTTGTGTACTCCCGAAGGATCTTTGGCTTTGTGGCCTCCTCGGTGCATATAGTCCTGTCGAGGACAAAGTCGTCTGGCTTTACGAGCCGGACCTCTGCAAAGTTTATTGGAAACATGGGTGCCCTAAGCTCACGGCTAAAGTAGCAGAATTCACGCAAGGCCGTCATAGAGGGCTTCTGCTCACATTGTTTAATGGGGAGGAAAGCGGCCATTTCCGCCTGGATTGTAATGGTCTGGATCTGGCTCAAAGCTGTCCCTCTTGTTTCCAGGAGTTATTGGGTCTATTTTGATCAGCTGGTTTGAACTCTCGTCCTCTGGAGACTGTCTAGAGGGAGGATAAAAGGCGCTTGGGTCCATGAAAGAGCCTTTTGGATGTCTTCTGCCTATCCTTTCGATGTCAACCTCCCTGGTGTCTGGAAACAGGTCGTCTCTTCCGATGTGCCCGAAGTGCTCTGTGGATGTGCCGAGCTCTTGGAGAAGTTTGTTTACATTGAACTGGCCGGGGAGCTCCTCCTCGCGAATCCTGATGCGCCTATCGCCGCTTGAAACTACATATGTGCCATCCGGCATCTTTTGGACGTCGAACCTTTCTTTAAGTATATCCAGGAGTTTATTGAATTTCATATCGGGATTACCCAAAGATGGAATATAATGTCTTTTAGATTTGCAAGGCAGCTGTCACCTGAATAAGTAGCCAAAAAACCCTCCCTTCAATGAGTGAAGGCAGTGAAGCCTTTAGGAAGATTGAGGAGAAGCTAAGGGAGCTGAAGTTTAGTGTTAACTCGGATGTTGTCCAGAGTATCTATGAGATGGCTGTGAAAGAGGACTGTGAGGCCGAGGATCCTAGCAAACTCATTGAGAAGCTGGTTGAGGATGGGACGCTGATGAGGTTGCAGTTGAACTCGAAGGAGGGCGACAAGAAAGGGCTCAATGAGGAGTGGAGGGCTTCGCGCAGGAGTGGGGTGTATTCTGAAAGGGTTACGCCGGAGACGTTTCAGCTGAAGTATTATCCGAAGGACGAGAAGACGATGAGGTTTCTTAGTGACATTCTTGTTGGAGACATCCCGTTTGGGTTTATGAATCCCGAGCAGAAGATAAGACTGATTGAGTCGATGGAGCTTATTGAGATCAAGTGTGGGACGTTTGTGATGCACGAGGAGGATGTTGGGTCGCAGATGTATATTGTGGATAGCGGGGAGTTTGAGGTTACAAGAGGGGGAAGCCTTCTCAGGAGGTTGTCGAGAGGAAGTCTTTTTGGGGAGATAGCACTTCTGCATAACATTCCAAGAACAGCCACGGTCAAGGCGGTTACCGATGGGAAGGTGTGGGTTGCGGAGCAAACGTCATTTTCTGGAATAAGGATGATGGACAGGATTCTGAACAAAAGGATTGTCCTGGAGGGTCTGAAGGAGCACAAGGTTTTCCCGTCTTTTAGGGAGGAGGACTATGAGGGAATTCTGAGTTCCTTGAGCTTTGTGTATTACAAAAAGGGAAGCAAGGTGGAGGTCAAGGATTCTGAGTTTCTAATGAGTTTATTTGAAGGGGAGATTGACGACGGAAAGACCAGGAGAATCAAGGCAAAGGAGATTATTAGCAAGGGGTTTACTGCGGTGAGTGCAATACAGGGTGCGCATATATCTAGAGAGAGCCAGAGATATGGGGTCCATGTTAACGGGGGTCGGAGGCGTGACCTATGATGGAGAAATAAAGTTTTGTTGAGGGTCTGAATGTGTGTGTTGAGAGAAGTGTGCAGATACCTATGGTGGCAAGCAACCTTAGTGTAGTGGTTATCACGTTCGCCTAACACGCGGAAGGGCCCCAGTTCGAACCTGGGAGGTCGCATCTTTTATGCCAAAAACGAGGCAATAAAACTCTTTGGCAAAAAGTCTCCCAAGCTGGAGTCGAACCAGCGGCCATTCGATACCAGCACACTTCTACAGTCGAACGCTCTACCACTGAGCTATTGAGAGCTGCACGCCATGCACACACGGCACTTCACAATCACTCCACAGCACATACAAAACATTTAATAATAAGGGTCAAAACGCTACCATACCTTGCACACAAGGCTTCATAGCTCTCTAATATTCTTTGATTTGAACGGCGACCTTGGAAACGACGAAAATAAAAGGTCCATCTCAGTCTCATCCTCTTGGGATGCCTTGCTCGCCTCCTGCACCGGCCTTCTTGATTTCTCAGCGATCTCCTTCAGCGCAGTGTACCTTTTCCTCTGCTTCGTCTTCGTGGGCGTAAACTCCTTGATGTGCGGATTGTAGTTCTCCTTGTCCGTCGGGCTATCAAACCCTGCTGCATCCGGCCTTTCACATCTCATATTCAGGGATTCCTCTCTTTGTCTAATAATTTTGTTTTGGAGGGAAGTTCGCAGCACAGCTCGAGATACTCTGTGGAGCCTAAAAGGTGTAGAAGGTTCTGCATTTATTCTTTCATGTCAAACATCCTTAAATCCTCATGCTCAACGGCCTTCTTCTTCTATTTGTAGGGAAAAACACCTCCTTGAGGCCAAATCCAAAGTATCTGTAGTCCATGATCGAGTAGTACAAGAAAACAATGTTGATTGCTGCTTCAAAGTAGTTTCTGATAATAAAAAACCTAAAATTACGGGCCCTCACTTACCTTTTCAAGTCGTAGCATATCTTTTTGTTGCTACTATATTTGTCAATTAAGTGCATCGAATATATAATGTTTATCACAACCGTCATGATTAGAGCCATTCTCTGCTCCTCGTCTTCCTCGTTCTGCCGGACAAGCATCAGGAAAAGCGTGATGACCTCAATTAGGTGGTCGACTATTATATGGGCTATCCCCACACTGTCGTCAACACAGTGCTTCAACCCCTCTATCTGAAGATACACCCCCTGGATAGTCGCCAAAATCATCAGAAACTTTGCTGCATCATATCGGGCCCTTGTTTTATATGCAACTTAAATTACACCTATCACTTACTTTTCATCTTGGTACTTGCTCCTCCATGCCTGAAGTAAAACAGTTCAAACATGTCCCCAAACTCCCTGCATATAGAATGAATGTTGGTGAATTCGCAAAGGCAAAGTCCCAGATACACAATAGAAAAAAGTATGGTTTCCAAGTCCTTTTCTCCAAACTTGAAAATAGTCTCCACAACCACAGACGCCTCCAGAGACGCCATCACAATAATAAACCAATATGCCTTGCATTGCTCAAGGTTCTTTCGCGATATTGCATTTTCAAGGTAAATGAACATGTAGATGTTTGTAAGGGAAAGCGACAAGCACATCGGCCTGATTATGGTCATCGTGCTCCCAATGAGGTTCTTCCGGTAGAAGCCAATCCCAATGACAAACAGCCTAAGAAGCAAGTATGTAAATGACAGCTTCTCTCCCTTTCCAAGTAACTCTTCTCTTCTAAATGAGTTCATTTAATGGGTAGTACCTAATAAGAGATATGTTTGTTATAATTCCATATCAGCAATACACTTAAATGAATCTACCATATCTGTAAAGTAATCTCGCCCTAATTCATCTGAATTTATGATCAATATAGTCGTGATAAATTAAATGGAATGGGCCGGCTCAATCAAATACTTCCCCAAAATCGCCCCGAGGTTTAACAAGCACAATGTCTCCATATGCCTGCTTCTGCACCGCTGCAAAAACGCCCCTTGAACACATCTCAAGTACGAAATAGAATGCCTTTGCCCTTCCCCTCCTACTTCCCGCAATGTATTTGTCAAATCTCTCATCCAATGAGAAGTCTGCTATCTTCTCATCAGAATCACTGCTTGAGGTGCTTTCTCTACTAGTGTGCACAGAAGCATTACGTGGCCTTTCTATCGATCCCAATGTCGACATCTCACTGTACTCAATCCCGATGCTTTGAGGGGCAGGCCTTACCTTTCTGGCCTCGGCAAGCACAAAGCACTCCCCCGAAGGCCCAGGACCCAGGGCCACAATTTCGTTTTCAGGTGCTCTAAAAACAATCATCCTAGAAATATCGAGCACCGTTGCCCTGTCAGTAATATCTTTAAAACGTCTTTTTGGCTGCCTAACATACACATCCATAAGCCCAAGAGTCTCGCTGCAGCTAGCCCCCATGCTGTCCATATAATGCCAATCACCAAACTCAGAGCCGTATATGCTTGAAACGTGCTCCGTGTCCATCGAAAGCATATTTCTTCCCTTCGTCCTCTTGCCCTTCTCCCTCTTCTTCGTGACACTCAAGGTCCTTACAAGCAGTCGGACTTCAAGTAGGCAAATCCTCACCTTGCCTTCGTAAACCCTTGCTATGGCCCTAAGCAGCATCGAGCTAGTCCTTAGGTCGCACACAGCCACGGAACTCACCATGATTTCCACAATCCTGCAGATCTTGATCTTTTCTATCAACCTCTTCCTCCCTCTGCCCAGGCTCCCCCTTAGAACCACACCAAGTAAAGAAGACACCTCTTCATCCTCAAAGAAAGACCTCAAAGTCATGTACACTCACTCCACATGTAATTTAATCACTTTAAGCTATACACTAAACAAAGACTCTCCACTAGCCTTTTTCTAAACTTCTATGGCCCCCATGCCTATTCACAGCATCAACCAAGTCCTTCGGGTCAATAGGCATCAGAAGAGCCTCCGACACCCTGATCCCCAAAATATTCGCATACTCGCCTTTAAATTCCTCGTCAACAACCAAAACAATGGGAACATCTGCATCTTCGTTTCTTATTCGGCTCACCACCCTGCTGCATTCAGAGGTGTTAGCATACAATACGACCACATCGTACCTCCACCTCATAACACTCCTCACATCGGCACCCTCCTCCACAATGGTCAAGGAGTAGTTTGGGATCTTCAGCGAACTGCATATCCACTCAGATCCAGGAACGTCCCCCTTAACAAACAGGACATTGGTCTTGCAGGCAATCCTCATCCTCTCATAATATATGTACTTCTTTATCTCATTAATATCCTCAACAACAGCTTGAAGATACTTTGAAATAGTCCGGACCGCATTCAGCACGTGCGACTGGTAGACCATCCCACTCTCAATCTGCCTCGGACTCGTATTCCCAGGCCCGTTCCCTTCGCTTGGCGCTTTCTTTCTCCTAATCTTCGCAAGCAGCTCAGGCCTTCCCCGCTGGAAATACTTGTTCTTGTACTCCCATCGCCCCCTCTCCCCTATCCTTTCTCCATCCCTTCGTACCTTGTAAAAGTCGTACTTATTGAGTTGCCTGACAAAAGAGCTCCAGTTCTTGTGTCTAAAGTGTTTCTCAAGCACAAACTCAGAAAAGTCCTGTGTGTTCGATATGATGAAGCTTCTTCCATCCAAGGCCCACGATATGTATGGATAGTTCTCAGGCTCCTCAAGCATCTGGAAAAGCTTCACAACAAACTCAGACCCCGTAGTCAGCTTCATGGGCCCCATCGTAAGGCTAAACCTTATCTCGTCAATAACACTTACATCAATTAAGCTATATTAAAAGATAATCCCACTTCCATATCGGGAAACACACCCCGAAAAAGAATAAACATTTATTTCGCAGGCTAGGTACTTCCCCCACACCTCTTAAAGTATAGCCTTCCGTTCCTTACATTCACGTCGTTCTCCCTCTGCGCCCGGATCCCGATCTTCAGCCTGAATATGGTGTTTCTTTTGCTCAGCTGCTGCCTGTATCTTCTCTGGATCCTTTGCTTCTTCCCGTCTCCATACATGGTGCTTATGTACCTCTGCTGGTAGTACAGCAGCAACTCGCAGACTAGCGTCTCCTCAGTCGCCACAGGCCTCCCCTCAAGGGCACCCACCTCCTTCATCAGCTCCGCCATCTCGCCTACCAAGTCTAGGGCCCCAGACACCTCTTTGCAGCTCATAAATAGCATGTCCTCGTACAGGTCAAATCCAAATATGTGGTATGGGAGAAGGCATTCATACGCATGGTTGATGTTCATAAATCTCCTCAAATCAGGCCTTCCTATCTGGAATAGATCCTTCTGCAGAAACCCCAGGATCTTCTGCCTGCGGGCTTGCGCTTGCTCATACAGATTGCCATACAAGTACCCATACCCTCCCTCCTCAACCTTTTTGGCCTTTTTATAGGGCCCGCGAACCCCCTTCGTCCTCACAATGTTATGGGGTTCAGGGGCTTCCTTTGTGCGCAGCACGTCTCCTGCATCAGAGCTATTCAAATCCCCCCTTCCAAAGGGCTCCGCTCCATTCAAATCATCCGTCCCAGAATTAGCCCCGTCAGGCTTATCCAGAGCCCTCTCCATTTTCAGGCCAAAAAAATTTCAAGAATTTACAGAGTGGATGCCATCTAAATAGATGTATCTTCACATGAAACTAAGGTGTGGCAAGATCTCCACAGGGGACATCGCCATGATGTGCGACAAGTGCTCAGGAAAGTGCTACATCTGTGGCCTCGACGCAGGCACATCACAAAAAAAAGTCTACATCTGCTCCACATGCTTCCATTCAGCCTACAGGGACAAATGTATCGTCTGCAAGCTTAAGGATCCAAAAAACAATGCCTACTGCTGCAGAGAATGCTGGCTTCTGCAGAAAAATCATGACAGATGCCCCGTTCTTATTCAATAAATCTCCATGGACACCGTTTAATAAGATAAGTACAGGCCATCATTCCCCGCTGCTCTTTGTCGGCCATTTGTTAGGACTGTTATTCGACACATTCTTCACATGAGGGAACAATCTCTCCACGTCAATCTCATGCCCGTTCGAAAAGTATCTCTCGAGGACTCTGTGGTCTTGCATCTTCACCTTGAAGTTTATTGCAGGATCCTTAGCAAAGTCCGGGACAACAAAGTCGGGGTCCAGAATAACGTCGTCCTCATCCACTCGTGGTATCTTTGTCTTCGGCTTGTACACATGCTGAGGAACCTTTCCTGCAGACCTGAGAAGCTGATAGTCTATTGCCTGCTTGTAGAGATTGCTTCCATTGAATCTTTTCATGGACTCGGGCTCCTGGCTCTTCACACCAAAGGGCTGGGGCTCAACCCTATGCAGCCCCATCGCGCTCTCTTTCTCGTCTTTGGCACACACAGACTCATCCACTTTGTTAAGACATCTTTTCTTCAACTGCATCAATGCTGCATTCAGCTTGGCATTTGCACTAAGGCTTTTGTTGTCCTTGCCCGTGTTCTCAGCCAAGGCCTTCTCCGCATCCCTCAAAGCCCCTGCATCCTTCAAAGGCAGCTCAGTCCCGTCTTTTCCTTCGGCAGGATCCTTAACCACAGAAGGATTCCTAAGCTTGGTTCCTCTATAAGACTCCAAGGTGCATAGGTCTACCGCATTTGGCTCTTCCTTGAAAACCACCTCTTTGTAGCCATGGCTGTTCTCTCTGCTTACATCCGTCCCAGACGACATCGGCCGTGGATCCTTTGCATCCTTCTTGGCAGAGGGGGAGGTGGGATCTTCCATAGCCACATCCCGGCTCTTTATAATCGGAATGTGTCCGGGAATCAGGCTTTCCTGGTCAAACGCTCCCTCAAAGTCCTCATCACAGCAGAACCCTTCATCGTTTTCCTTGTCCATGCCGCCGCTTACCTCCTTCGGACAGACCATTGCCTTCCCAGAAACTCCCCCCATACACCAGCTTCCGCCTTCAATCTCCTCGCACATCACCCTCTTCTTCATAGCCGCAACCGCATCCCTCCATTCCTCCATAAATTCCCTCAGTAATTCCATCAAGGGATAAAAACCTTTACTTACATACGTTTCTCACAGTCCTACCTCAGAAAGTCAAAGTCTATCATCCTGCACCCTGCCTCAAACCGCTTTGCAAGGTCCACAACGTTCCTGACCCTAACCCAGTAGTCCCCTCCCCGAGGATCAAAAAACTCAACCATCCTCCTGATCTCTTCGTCAACCTCCCCACTCACACAGCAGTACAGTATGTAGTTGTCTCCATTGTCTTGTTCCCTCATTATCCTTTCTCTGTAATATCCCTTCATCCTTGTAACGCAGCCCCTGCACATCCCATTCACGTTGCACTCCTTCTTTCTTACCCTCTTATACACCTGATATCCAAAATACTTATTCCCTTCAGGAACATCTTTGTTTTCATAGTATCTTATCTCAGAATCAATCAGTTCAGACTTCACATGCTTCCGAGAGTTGTAAAGGATGGGCAGAGAAATCTTCCCCAGCTTCCTGGACATCACAAACCTCTCAAACCATAGCCACTCCTCACATCCAAATCTTTTCGTCAGCCTCGCACTCACCTCTAGCCCCTTCTCCATGTCCCTCCCTTTCAGATACCTTATGTACCCAACAGCAACCTTGAAGTTCTCCGGATATCTTGCCATGCATTCTTCGTATATCTCCTGGGCATCCATCCCTTTCTTCTCTGCCAGCTCCGCATACAGCAGCCAGTGCTTATAGCTAAACAGATCCTTTCCCAGCTCAGAAAAGGCCCTTTCCAGGTCTATCTGCGACAGTATCACATACTTCCTTATTGTTCTCATTCTTCCAGGAATCACCAAATAGCTTCGATGGTACTCCCGCGCTGCATAGTAGATCTTCGACCTGGCAAGTATAAACAGCTTCTTCTCCTTCCCGTACTCTCTTATTCCTCCTTCAAGAACCCTTTCTGCTTTCCGGAAACACACAATATCCTTGCCCATCGTAAACAGCTTCCATAGCTCCTTGGCCTTCATAAGATCCACAAAGTACCGCCGAGGCGCCATCACAAAAAACCTGTCTATAAACTCGGCATCAAGAAGGTGCTGCTTTGCAATGTTGTAGCAGCAAATAAACGTTTCGTCGTCATGGAGCCTCTGGGTACTCATCGAAACAAACAGGGACCAGAGGTCAGAGGGAAGGCTGGTCATCGGCTCCACCTCTATCTTTCCTAGGTACAGAAGAACATCGCTCCTAGCAAGAACCAGAGACGGAAGATCAAGTTTCCTCTTTCCCTTCCGAAGAATCCAGAGGACCCTCTCCAATCCCAGCCTAAGCATATCCTCAATCACCCAGGAATCGTCTCCATCCCCTAGCAGGTAGACTATCAACTGGTCGAAATACGTGTCCTGGGCTTTGAGTCTTTTGTACAGTGATACTGCAAGCTCTCTGCTGGGATTCGTCCTGGTAAACATGTCCACCAGCTCCTCCTCCTTGGTCTCAACTATGGAGTCATACAGAAACATCTGCTTCTCAGAAACGGCTTCCAGGCCCTCAAACACCATCTTCCTCAGCTCAGTGCTCCTGGGATACTTCCTGACTCCAGCCTTCAGCACCCTAACATCCTTGCTCTTCAGAAATAGGTGTACATAGAAGTCTTCGTCTCCGTCCACAACCTCTAGTGCCTCATCAACCATCTCGGGCACATAGCACCTCTCAATGATCTCCTTCCATAGCATCATGTCCTTGATGTCCCGGCCTTCAAGCAACACCTCTGCACCCTCTTCCTCTTCCAGGAGCCGGCTGAGCCTAATCCGAGCATCCACATTCAAACGATTCTTCCTCAGCAAATCCCTTAGGACATGGATCTTCCACCTGTCGTTGTCCCTGGCCGGCTCGGAGTCTTCCGCCCCCTCCTCTACACTTTCCATCGAGCGGAGGCTCCTGGGCACAACCTCCTCGATGTCCATCTTCTCGAGAATCAGAACATCCTCCTGAGAAAGTATCCTCTCCACAGGCCCAGCCCTTTTCCTCCTCCTTTTCTCCTCTATGGCCCTGTACACCTCGTCCTCTTCGCTGTCATGTTCAGGTGTGGCATCCTGCCCAAACAGACTTCTTATGTCAAAGAGCTTTCTTCTTCCTCCCATGCAGGCACAGCAACAAGCAAAGAAAAATAAATCGGGCCTGGGGCATAAAAACTTACAGGATGGACGAGAAGAAAGACACGAAGAAGAAGAGGGTCTCGTTTGCACCTGAGCCTCAAGTGACATACATATACCCCGAGGAGGAGAACAAGGGTGGCAAAGGTGCTGATTCGGGAATGATGAGCGAGGATGAGATTTCTGTGGAGCTGACTGTAGACCACCTTCGGACGGGGGAGCAGCAGAACGGTGCAAGGGAGAACTTCCTCAGCACGGGGCTTGATGATCTGATGGATGAATGTGCGAGCAGCTGCAGCACCAAGGACGGGATTGCCACGAAGGAGAATGTTTGTAATGAGGGGGGAATGGAGAAAGGTTTCCTCGAGGAGGAGGGGAGCTGTACGCAGATAGAGATTCCCGGGGAATATGAAGAGGAGAAAGATATGAAGAGAGGGGACGGCAAGGAGGATACTGTATGGAGAGAAGATGCCCTGAAAAACGAGGACGAGGTGTTTGAAGACACTCTAATTAGCAACGAGACGGTTAATGTGGAAGAGATTATAAACACCCAGGATCTTAGGAAGATTATTCCGCAGGCCAAGAAAGAGGCTGTAAATGTTTCTGAGCTGCTGGTTTCGAAGGGGATCCGGTTTCTCGACAGCCTTGTGGTGTCGAACACAAGAAGAGACACGATGTCGAAGTCTCTGAATGAGGTGCACCCCAGGCAGGAGAAGTTTTACGAGAGCTTTCTAGAGCCGAGGACACGTTTTTTCCTTGAGTTCAGCTCTGAGCTTGAGGAGAGGATGGCCCGGCAGGAAAAGATAAACGGCGAGCTTGAGAGGGACTTCAGCATTTCTGGGACTGTTTTTGAAAGAGAGGATGCCTCCAGCCAGCTTAGGAGCCTGAAGACGGAGTGTAGGATGAGGGCGAAGATTGAGTGGTACGAGCTTAGGAAGGAGAAGGAGGTTGAATTCAACAAGGAGGTGACTGACAGGAGAAACAGCCTTGCTAAGGAGTACAACAGCCTGTCTGAGAGGCTGAGAGAGGTCTCTGAACTTGCTGAGGAGAAGAGAGGCTGCAACGAGAAGATGGAGGAGCACATAAGTCGGATAAAGAGCAGGGTTGGAGGGGACGGAGAGGGCAAGCACCAAAAGATCTCTGAATTGAAGGCGCTGATAAATGAACAGGAGGATGCAATTGAAAATGCTAGGAAGGAAGTGAGAGAGCTTGAGGAGGAGAGAACAAGGAAGCAGGCTGAGAAGCGTATGCTGAGGGAGGCGCTGGAGAAGATTGAGGGCGAGGTCGAGGAGCTTGAGAAGACGCTGAAGGCCCAGAACGTAACTGAGGGGCAGCTGAAGGAGGCAAGGCAGGAGTTCCGAACGATGTGTGCTGTCTTTGGGGTAGAGATGTGTAGGGTTGATGCTTCTGAGGTTAGGCTGAAGCTGCCGGGATACAGACTCAGGATATGTTTGGAAGAAGGCTTTGTGATAAGCTCTGTTGAGGGTGTCCCGCTCTGCGACATGAAAGGGCCAGGGCTTCTGTACCACTACTTTGGAAGGTACTTTGGAGGAATAGGGCTTGGCTTTTTTGAGGGCATTAGAGGCATTGCGTCTGTATCAGCAGTGGCGTCTAGCATACACAAAGAGGTAGAAGAAATAAAGAGACACCACGAAGTTGAGTGCCATCTCAATGAGGAAGGGGTTCTTGTCAGGATACTGGCGCTGGATGTGGCGAGGTGCACCAAGCACGAGGTTGCTGTCAATATAAGAAACGGATTTGAGTGCCTGGTTCAATGCGAAGGCAAGAGCAAAGCATATGACCTTAGGAAGGACATCGGCGTGGTGTCGAGGTCTGTCGAGGAAGCACTTGTAAATCTCTGATGTCCTCCTCTGATAGATAACAAGGTCTTTCCAAAACTGGCATAATAAACATTAAGGGTTTATTGGCGGAATTCTATACTACAGCTTACCTTCCTCCTCCCCGGCCTTCTGGCTCTTCAGCCTTCCAGAAAATGCATAGTACTCTTCCAGCGACCGGTTGAAGTCCTCGAGGCATCTTATCAGCCCGTCTTTTTCTGTGCCCTCTGCTTGCATTCCTTCATACAGGGAGACAGCCCTTTCGTAAACGTGCCTCTGGTGCTGGATAGACTCAGACAGGAGCTCCAGGTCGTCCTTGGGACACGACTGCGAAATGTCGTTCACAACGCTGTCCAACACCATTCTGAGGACAGACAGGCTCTCGAGGCTCTCTCCGTCCCTTATTGCCTTCTCCAGCTTTAGATAGTCGTTCCTTTCCATAAGAAGGGCATGGGTCTAAACATTTGATTCTGGAACTGTGAAAAGTCTAGAACTGGGTCCGAGGCTAATTTTAAAATCTAAAATCTTAATATCATTAGTGATAAAGCTGTTAAATTAATACCTATCAAACAAAATAGTAAAAAACAAACAATACAAGGCTTTTTTATGGAAAGCCAAGCTGAGCCAGAAAAAAACATTAGTTACACAAAGCTTGCATTCTTCTTCTTTATGCTGAGAACGGTGATGATAGGCCTTGCTTTAATAGGGGGTCCTTACTTTTCACTCCGCAGGCAAACAAGAACATTCAAAGTATTTGTGATATTCCTGGACATAACAAACATACTGCAATTCATATTCCTGTGTGACATAATCTACCGAAAGATCTTGTTCCAATACTTACTGTACATTCCTGTCCTTGCATATACTTTGACCATTACAACTACATTATTGATTAATGCAGAACGTACAGACAAGGTTTATTTTGAAGAACAGGGGAGGAACAAGAAATTAGCACTTTCATACATCTATGTATACATAGGGATCATTATTGGAGAATTCCTTCTCCTCCCGATTATATACAGAAGGCTTAAAAGCGATTTTATGTGGGCAAACTTCAAGAAAGTTGGAGCTGATCCAGACATTAACAGTAAGTGAAAATATAATAATTTTAGATGCATTTAAGAGAAGAGAACAATTTAACGCAATCAGGAGGTTCATGGTGATATTCTTGTGTGGAGAAGTGGCAAGTTTTAATGTAAGCATCAGAGATCATAAGGATCTTTATTTTTTTATAACAGGGACACAGATCTTTGTACTTCTTCTGTCAAGTATCTTTTTGAATGAGGAATATGCATTCCAGAGAAAGTTTCTTCTTGTAGTTTCTGGTGTCTGTACCCTGGCTAGTGTGGCATATATAACAACTTACATTTCTCTATCTTCTTCAGATAAAGGACATATAAGAAAGTAAGTGAAGTTTTTAATTTTAGAGGGTCTATCCCAGAGGTAATGTTCTATGCAATTACAATGTTCATCTTTTTCATCGGAGCACTGAGAGATTATCAAACGTTCGGCAAGGGACTGAAAAACTACTACTTTGGGGCTCTTAGTGTTAGGAAGAAGCTTACTACATGATACCGATGGATTAGCTGTAGGATAATAAAACAAAACCAAAGACTTTATTCATTGCTCCTGAGTGCTGCGCCCGGCATATATGGTTATCCGGCCATTCCCTCGCACCTTCTCAATCACCCCCTCAGAACTCAGGTGCTCAAGTATCTTCTCAGCAACCCCGAGATTCAGATTGTGCTTGCTCCCAACAGCATACCGCGTCACAACACTCGCACGCCCAACATCCTTGCGCACCTTCGACAGAACATCCTCGCTCACAGTCACAGCCCTGTGCACCTCCTCCTTCTTCTTTCCGTCTCCCCACTTCTTCTTGTCCTTCCTTGTCCCGGACATAGCCTTGAGCGCCTTTTTCTCCTTCGACTCCTGGATCTTCTTGGCCATTTGGGAGGATAATTTTTTGCTCCTCAAATCACAGCCCACCCGCACAGTAAAAACACAAACTTAGAGAACTTGCTACTTTAATAAAACTTATCCACTCCATAATAAAACAGCCATCATTACTCTACATCCAAGCTTCCTCAGAGCTCTTTCCCATCCTCATCAAAAAACTTCACTCCAGGGCCACTATTGTCCACCCTCTTCAGGTCTCCAAGCTCAAACTCAAACTCGCAGGGCTCCGGCAAACCAAATTCCTTCCCATCCCCTTCTCCCTTTGCATCAAACCCAGGAAGCTTGAAGCTCTTTGCCTCCAAAATCTTCGTGTCCTCGTTGATATCCCCCTCAACATCCACGCCTTTGCCAATCATCCCACAGTCTCCGTTCTCCTCCTCCCTCTCGCTCTTCTTAGCCTTTATCCCTATCCTCCTCTTCGGAAGGTCAGAAACCTCGTCCCTCTCACTCCTGGTTTTGAACACCCCCCTTTGGAACTTCATCTCAGACAATGTCTCTCTGCCGTACTCAGACTCGCTCAAATCCATGACATCGTCACTGTAGTCTTCATCGCTGTAGTCGTTGAAAAACAAGTCCTCTATAGCATCGTCCAGGCTCTCGCCATCCTCAGAAGCCGTCCCCTCAACATCAACATTATCAAGAATCTTCTTTATCAATGCAGTGTTGTCCTCCTTCTTTCCCTGTCCATCCTCAATCTCCATCGACTGTGCAATCAGCTTCATGAGCCTATCCGCTTCCTCCTCAGACAACAGCCTCTTCTTCCTCGCCAGCAGAAAGTTCAGGAGCTCCTCATACATTCATGGGCTTTGTTTTTCATAAAATATATCTCTCTCCACGGATAGAATCATTTATTAGATTATTGGAATTAGATGTCAAAAGATATGCGGGCACTCAATCCCCGAAACAACGCTTGAATTTCAACTAAGTCATTTAATGAGTTCAACGAGCTTTGGCTTCCAGTTCCCAGGAATCCTCATTGTGCGCTTGTAGTATCTTGCAACACGATACATCCGGGATGAGACAAGGATAAGCCTGTACTTTGCAGAGTTGTCCTTCCTGTAGATGTTCAGATGGCTTCGGAGCGTGTTCGCACGGCGGACAAGAGACTCAAGGTCAAAGGGGATCTTCGGAACTACCCCATTCTTCTCCAGAAACTTCGTGATGTCACACCCAAGGACGTCCCTTGCATTTCCAACTCCATACTCGTCCCTCAGCCTCTTCCCTATTTCAGGTGCAGGAACCCCCTTGTTCCCCATCTGGACCACATCGGCCTTGATCTCGTCAACCGACTTTGTCAGCCATGTCGGGAATGCAGTGTCGTATGGTTTAACGCTTTCAGAGCGCCCTCTTCCGCTAGAATGCATCTTTGCCATTTTCAGATTGAGGGCAAATTTTTCTGATTCTGATATGCATTCTGTGGCCCGGAGTAGCAGACTGAGAAGGGGTATTTTGCTGCGGGTGGGCTGTGATTTGAGGAGCAAAAAATTATCCTCCCAAATGGCCAAGAAGATCCAGGAGTCGAAGGAGAAAAAGGCGCTCAAGGCTATGTCCGGGACAAGGAAGGACAAGAAGAAGTGGGGAGACGGAAAGAAGAAGGAGGAGGTGCACAGGGCTGTGACTGTGAGCGAGGATGTTCTGTCGAAGGTGCGCAAGGATGTTGGGCGTGCGAGTGTTGTGACGCGGTATGCTGTTGGGAGCAAGCACAATCTGAATCTCGGGGTTGCTGAGAAGATACTTGAGCACCTGAGTTCTGAGGGGGTGATTGAGAAGGTGCGAGGGAATGGCCGGATAACCATATATGCCGGGCGCAGCACTCAGGAGCAATGAATAAAGTCTTTGGTTTTGTTTTATTATGGAGGAAGGGAATGTCGGTTTGTCTGTTTAACAGATGAAGTTCTTGAAATATCATGGTAAAAATTTACCCCAAGATGACGTACAGGGGGCACAGCGGAGATAGAAGAGGATTTCGAGGGCCTTCTAGGTCTGACAGGGGCAGTAGGTATCCCTCGAGGACGAGGCGGGAGCCACAGCGATACGAGCCGATGCCAGAGCTTCCTTCTGTTGAGTTCCAGAAGAACTTCTACAAGGAGGCGGAATCCATAAGCAAGATGAGTCCTTCCGAGGTTGCTTCGTTTAGAAAGGCGAATGAGATGGTTGTCAAGGGAACGGATGTCCCTCATCCGATTCAGAAGTTTGAGGATGCTGGGTTTCCAAGCAGGGTTGTTGAGGATCTTGCTGCAAAGGGGTTTGAAGGGCCCACGCCCATTCAAGCACAAGGATGGCCTATGGCACTGAGCGGAAGGGACATGGTTGGGATTGCACAGACAGGGTCTGGGAAGACTTTGAGTTTCATTTTGCCTGCATTGGTCCATGCGAAGGATCAGCAGCCTCTTAGGAGGGGAGATGGGCCGATTGTACTTGTGCTTGCGCCGACCAGAGAGCTTGTGATGCAGATCAAGAAAGTTGCAGATGAGTTCTGTGGGATGTTTAATCTAAGAAGCACTGCTGTGTATGGCGGGGCCTCATCACAGCCGCAGATAAGAGCATTGCATGAAGGGGCGGAGGTTGTTATTGCAACGCCTGGCAGGCTGATTGATTTGCACGATCAAGGGCATGCACCTCTTGGACGGGTAACTTTTCTTGTACTTGATGAGGCTGACAGGATGCTTGACATGGGGTTTGAGCCCCAGCTCCGGAAGATTATTCCGAAAACAAACGGAAGCAGGCAAACGCTGATGTGGAGTGCAACATGGCCGAGAGAGGTGCGGGGGTTGGCTGAGAGCTACATGAGCGACTACATCCAGGTGGTTATTGGGAATGAGGAGCTCAAGACGAACAGCAAGATCAAGCAAGTGATCGAGGTGTGCAGTGGACGCGAGAAGGAGGATAAGCTTCTTGGGGTGCTTGATAAGTTCAAGGGAGACAAGGTCATTGTGTTTTGCAACATGAAGAGGACTTGTGACGATCTAGAGTATGTGCTTAACAGGTCTGGATATGGTGCAGCGGCATTGCATGGAGACAAGTCGCAAAACATCAGGGACAAGGTGCTTGATGACTTCCGAAGTGGAAGAAGGCCGATTTTGATAGCCACGGAAGTTGCAGGAAGAGGGCTTGATGTGAACGATATCAAGCTTGTGATCAACTTTGATTTTCCAGGGACCTGTGAGGACTATGTCCATAGGATTGGAAGAACTGCAAGGGGTAATACAAAGGAAGGCATATCGCATACATTCTTCACGATCAATGACAAGGGAAATGCACGGGAACTGATAAGGATGCTCCGAGAAGCCAAACAAGTGGTCCCTTCTGATCTTGAGGACATGGTACGACCGTCGAATGATAGATATGGATCCAGGGGCTCCAGATACGACTACAGAGGAAGAACCGGCAGATTCTCCTACAGAGGATGATCTCTTTGGCCGGGGTCTAAAAACAAAAGATATCGAATGAACTGGGAATTCTTTTAAGCCTCGGGTGCCTGCTTTGGTTTGAAGAAATATCAGATAAAATTCATCAAATAAAATTTTGTTTAAATATCATTATGCTTAGCTTGCAAGATCCTTGACCATGTACGGGCCTTCAAGGACATATCCAAACCTGGCATAGTAGTTTCTGGTTCCAACGCCAGAAATGATGGCTATCTTTTTTGATTTGTGCTCGTCCCTTGCAATCCTCTCGGCCTCGGCTATGAGAAGTGTTCCATATCCTTGATGCTGGTACTTTTTCCCATCGCTCTTACTTATGGCAACAGCACTCCCATACACATGGAGCTCTCTTATTATCGATGCATTTCCATTCACCACTGCAGGATGATACACACCCTCCTGAAGCTTGGCTCCATCTCCTTCCGGTACACAGCCCACGTCCTTCAGCTCCCTTCGAAATGTATCCACACTACACTTGCGTAGCCTCAGAAGCCCTATCAAGATATCCTGCTTCACATCCTCATAGCTAAGAAACGTCTCCCAGCCCTTGTTTGCCACGTAATCTCTCCTCACAAGCTCAACCTCCTCAGGCAAAATACTCTCGTGGATGTTCTTGATCCCAACCTCTCTGGTCCTTACATCCCTACACCTTGTCTTATAGTCTTTCATCCTGGCCAATGCAAGCTCCCTTATATTGCCATGCTCCACTCCAGAGCTCACAAGCGTCATTGGAATGTCTCTCTGCACCCTGTACACCCTCATCCATGGCGGCACAAACGAAAGGATCCTTGCAAGTATGTCAATAAGCTCGTCGGGAGAGTAGTTCTTGTATTTGTTGTTCTTCCACAGCTCAAATAGGCCCGTTCCCTTGATCACGAGAGTAGGATATATCTTCAACCCATCGCTTCTAAATGCAGGGTTGTCGAAGTATTCCCGGAACTGTGCAATATCCCTCTTCATGGGGACATTCGGGAGGTTGGGCATCATGTGTGCAACTATCTTGAATCCAGCATCTTTGGACAGCCCAAAAGACTCGCACACACTGCTTACGGTGTGTCCTCTGTTGGTGTCCATGGCAACGTCTTCATACACACTCTGAACTCCTATCTCAATTCTTGTGCATCCGTATCCTAGCATCTTACTTAGGTGCGGGCGGACGCAGAAGTCTGGTCTTGTCTCTATTGTTATTCCAACACACTTCAGCCGTCCTTCTGCTCCAACCCTTATTGCCTCCTCGACACTCGAGGAAGTGTGCCCACTAAGAGCATCGTGTAGCTTCAGAATAAAGTTGTCTCTGTACGACTCGGGCAAAGACATAAACGTTCCTCCCATTATTATGTACTCAACCTTGTCTACACTGTGCCCAAGCCCTTTGAGCTGCTTCAGCCTCTCCCTTGCCTGGTCAAATGGATCGTACCTACTTCTTATGGCCCTCATGCTTGTCGGCTCATACCCCGTATACGACTGGGTGGAATACTCAAACTCAGAGTCAGGACCACCAGGACAGTATACACATATGTTTCCAGTCAATGCTATGTGTGGGCATCTATGGGGCTTGCACATTACTGCAACAACAGCAACTCCCGATGCAGTTCTGACAGGCTTCACTCGGAGCTGCTCGATGAGATGGCCGTACTCGGGAGGAATGAACGAGATTATGTCAACCACACGCGGCGTGCTCACAAGCCTGTATTTCTTGCACACTCTGGACTTGATTCCATTCACGTCTATCTTCTTCTCCTGCTTGTAGAGCTTGATTATCTCGTTTGAGATCTCGTTGCATGCCTTGAGGAAGTCAGACATTCTTGGGGAGTCTGGAGGTAGGAATTAATTCTCCAGGAAGAAGAGTAGAGTTGAGGTGATACTGCATGCCAAACAACAGTGGGGAAAGGGAGCGGTCTCTAGATATTTTGTGTTTGATTTTGAGCCCTAAAGATGCAGGCCTCTCTATACCTAAACACATCAACACAGATGAGAAAGGACGAGATCATGCAGAAGCTTAGGTCGAGTAGCGAGAAGGACAAGATTGAAGGGATGAAGCAGATGATAGCACAGATGAGTCAGGGAGAAGACTTCAGTGCCCTTACGCATAAGATAACGAAGGAGACATTAGTGGTGAAGAGCAACGAGCTCAAAAGACTGTTCTACTACTACCTGGAGTTGCTTCCGAAGTCCAGAGGAACCCAGTCGTTTGAGGAGATGCTTCTTCTGTCGAATCAGGTCCGGAAGGATCTTGAGCATCCGAATGAGTATGTTAGGGGGTTTGCGATGAGGTTTGTAAGTACACTGGATGATCAAGAGCTTGTCGGGAACTTCTATAAGCTGGTCAAAGACAACTTCAACCACCCGAACTCGTATGTCCGAAGAAATGCATACTTCTGCCTAGGAGAGGTCTTTTTGAAGATGGATACTTACAGGGAGGTTCCTGACCTCCTGTACCATGCACTGCTTAGGGACATGGATCCTAACTGCCTGCGAGAGGCCTTTGTTTCCCTGCATTTGGTAGATCCGGGCCTGGCGCTGAAGTATGCTGGAGAGGTGGATCTGTCGATACCGAGCGAGCTATCGACAGCCATTATAGAGAAGATTGACGACGAGCGTCTCCTGGAGAGGTTTCTCTTCTCGGGAGACAGCCTGACTGCATTTGAGGCAGGGATATCGATCCATAAAACCAGCAATGATCAGCAACTACTGAAAAGGGCTACGGACACCATATTGAGGTGCCTCGAGGATCTTCCTGGATACAGGGAATATGCGATCGATGTGTTTCTTCTTTCTGCATACAGCTTCTCTGGGTATGCAATGAGCTTCATATCAATGGTGGATCCATATGATCTGGGCTTCTGCTCCAAGTGCCTAGACTTTGGGTTCAAGATCTCCGAAACCCACGAGTTCCTACAGATTTCTGACTTTCTGGGGTCTAAGTTCATAGAGACGCACGATGCATCTGTCCAGAACCAGAGTTTCAGGGTTCTTCTTTTGGAGAAAATGGCTTACTTTGCAGATGTGTACTCTTCATATAGCAGGGAAGTGGTTTCTGAGGCGCTTGAGGGAATTGCATCAGAAAACCCGGAAATGAGTTATGGCTCGCTAACATTTCTTTCTTCTTGCCTCGAGGTTATGAGGAAAGGCTTTGAGCCTGGGAGGGAAGATGCAACCGGATATTTAGAGTACTTGGAGAGGTTGACAGGCAAGATAAACGAGGTGAAGTATGGAAAGATACTGCGGTGCTGCTTTGGGCTTCTTAGGAAGCATGTGACAAAGGACGTCTTCGCGAAGGTTGTCGGGATACTAGACTCCTCGTTTGAACTTTCAGACAAGCCTTTATACTTGAGAAGCACACAGACATTTCTAGGTGCATTTATATGTATCGAACTTTCTGAGATGTGTAGGAATCTAGGGGGGGACTCCAAAGACAGGGTTATTGGCATTATGCTAAAGTTCATTGAGCATGGAAAGGAAAGCAAGACCATGGATGGGAGCTCGCACTCTACCATTGTATCATGCATTAGATCACTGATATCTTCGTCTGAGAGGATAGAGGTTTCGTCTGACAGTTATAAGCGGTGTAGAGAAGATGTCTTTGATCCGATCGTACTTCCTGGGACTCGGGTTTGCGATGAGGGGAATCTAAACAAGCTTCACGAGTTCCTAGCTGGAGATGAAAGTGGAGAGGCTGAGATGAAGAACATAACACAGCTTACGGGCCTGTCTGATCCCATCTATGTGGAGGCCACGACGAGCTACACCCGATACGAGGTTGTGTTAGACATGCTACTTATCAACCAGACATCGTCCTATCTGCAGAACATCCTGCTTGATTTTGTGACGAGCCAGGGATTCAGCGCCACGTTCGTTAACACTCCATTTTCGTTGTCCAGCAGATCTGTGATAACAAAGCGGTTTGCGTTCAGGATCATAGATGGGTCCAATGGGTTTATAAGTGGGTCGATAACGTTCAGGTACCCAGACGAGAGTGGGGAGTATGCAAACACTGCATATACAATCAATTTGTCTGAGGTGAAGACATCTATTTCCAAGTTCCTTGAGCCGAAGAAAATTGATTCTGACAGGTTCAGAGAGATGTGGAAGGAGCTTGAGTGGGAAAACACATACACCCTCAAGTTTGTTACGCGGAGGGCGTTGGAGGAGATATTTGGAGAAGTGAGCAAGGCTCTCAGCGGAGAGATGTTAGACGTTGAATGCGACGAAAGCTATGCAGTTGGGAACATAGCATGTTCTACATTGCAAAATGTATGTGTACTAATCAATGTGTGCCTAAGGAGGGGAGAGTATGTCCACTTTGAGTCACGGATCCGCAGCAGGAAGGAGGGGATAGTGAAGTCTGTTAGCGCTGTGGTTGGGGATGTGCTAAAGTCGCTTAAGAATAAATGATGGGCTGGTATTGATGGTTTGTGTGAGTGGATTTCTTTGAAAATTTTTGATCCCTGAAAATGTCATCGGCTGAGCTAGAGGTTTTGGAATGTCTGAACGGGCACAAGGACGAGGTCAAGGGGCTGAGGGTTGTGCGGGTATCTGGAAAGGAGATTCTGTATTCTTCTTCGAAGGACAAGAAGGTTTTCAGCTGGGACTTGAACAGCAAGATTGAATCTGAGTTTGGTAAGATATTGAAGCTGTATGAAGGGGGGCACACGAAAAGAATTAACGGGCTTGATGTGTCGAAGGACGGAAGCATGATGGTGACAGTTGGGTCTGACGGGATAGGAAGGATGTGGGACACCGAGATTAAGAAGTCGAGGCCACTCGAGGGGCACAGCAGAGATGTATTGTGTGTGAGCATCAACAGCAACGACACGAAGATAGTCACTGGGTCTGTGGATAGGACGATGAATCTCTACAACACGAGGGGAGAGCTTATTATAAAGATAGGGAAGGATACGGAGAAGATGCACCGGGGATGGATCAATTGTGTTTCGTTCCATCCCATTGAGGAGAACATTCTTGCAAGTGGATCTGCAGACGGTACTGTGAAGATCTGGGACCTCGACAGCCAGGAGCACATGCAGACGTACCTAGGAGGGGTGTATGTTGATTATGAGAAAGCAAGGGAGAAGAAGACCTCGCCTGCTGACTATGATGAGTCAAAGAGTGTGACTGCGATGGCCTTTTCGAAGGATGGGTCTATCCTAACATACGGAGAGAAGAGTGGGAAGGTGTATCTTGTGAAGCTTGACACCAAGGAGTGTATCCAGAGTCTTGATGCAATTACGCCTGTCAGGTCGATTGCGGTTGGAGAAACCGAGCCTGTGATTGCAATAGGGACTGATGAGTCTGTGATTATCTGGGAGACGATCAGCTCGAGGATTATTGCAAGCTACAACCTCAAGGAGATTGGAAATGGGGTGCGATGTCTATCTCTGGCGTTTTCTGGAAACACGCTCTACTGCGGGCTGTCGACCGGATCCATTGTTCCGCTGGAGCTTAGAAAATCGGATTAAACTGGTTCTTTGATTTCTTTTATTATGTATCTCCCTGGGGATGAGGATTGAGCTATACGAGGGTCAAAAGCAGTTCATTAGGGATGCGAGAAGGGTCGTTGAGGACGGTGGTGTTGGAATATTCTCGAGCCCCACTGGGACGGGGAAGACTATGTCTTTGCTCAATGCAGTGATGGACTACATTGGCGGTGACGGGGCTGAACCGGGCTCTAGAAGCAAGGCGTTAGAGCAAACCCTCTTCCAAGGAAGTGCAGGGACAGTGTTTTATTGTACAAGGACACATACCCAATTGTCTCAGGCAGTGAATGAGCTTAAAAGACTGGGTGTAAGATGTAATGCCGTTATCCTGGGGTCGAGGAGGGTTTATTGCCTGAACGAAAAGGTTCTCCAACACAAGAATTCTGATGCCATGAATGAAGGATGCAGACAGATTGTCAGAGAAGGCCTGTGTGCATTCTATGACGGAAGTGACCTGTTTGATGGACATGGAATCTTAGATGTAGAAGACTTTGGACTTATAGGAAGAGAGCAGAAGCTCTGTCCTTACTATGCATCCAAAAGATATTCTCACAGGTGTGATATTGTGTTTCTTCCCTATCAACTGCTGTTTACGAGGGAGGGAAGGAAGAGTGCAGATATCGATGTCCGAGGAAGCATTGTCATTGTGGATGAGGCACACAACATTTGTGACTCTGTGATTCAAATGAACACGTCTTCCGTGCTGTTTGTGACAATAAGTAGGTATGTCAAGGCCATGGAGTTGTACAGAGAAAGATACAGCAAGAGGGCTAAAGGGGATGGGAAGCTTGAGAGAGTCATGGAGGTACTTCGAAGAATTGAGGGTTTCGGGGCCTTGCACTGCAGGAGTGTGGGTGAAGAGGAACGCGTAGTGGGTGTTTCTGAGTTCTTGCTTAAGACAGGAATCGAAGACTTCAACATGCTTGAGATTGAGGACTACATAGCCTCCAGCGGGATTTCCAGGAAGCTGGAGGGGCTTGGAAGGGATTTGAATCTGCAGCTTCCAGAAATATCCAAGTTCCTAAGTCTTCTGACAATGAGCGACAGGAGTGGGAGGATCTTCTACACTTCGAGAAGAATCAAGTTCACGCCTCTGGATGCATCGATGTATTTTGAAGATGTGCTTGAATGTAGATCGCTACTTCTTGCTGGAGGAACAATGGAGCCTGTTGATCAGCTGGCCTCTGTTCTGGCAAGAAGGAATCCCATGTACTTTTCGTACAAAAGCGTCTGTAATGATTTCTTACCGATTGTGGTGCCATCTGGGCCATCTGGAAGAGAAGTAGTGGTGAATTATGAGACAAGAGAAAGTTTGGAGTCTGTTAAGGACGTTGCTTCGTCGATACTGAACTTCTCAAATGCTGTCAGAGATGGGGGAATGGTATGTTTTCTTCCTTCCAAAGCTTATCTTAAGATACTTAGAGAAGCATGTGGAGACAGGATAGGGAGAAAGAGGGTTCTGTATGAGGATCTTACCGACTTCCAGGAATATGCATCGGAGGTTAAGAAGGGTGCCTGCATTCTCTTTGCAGTGATGGGAGGAAAGCTCAGCGAAGGAATAAACTTCAGTGACAACCTGTGCAGACTGCTGATGGTTGTGGGTGTTCCCTATCCCAACCAGGACCTGGAGCTTAAGGAAAGGATTGGGTTCAATGGGAATGGATACACTACAATGCTGGCAATGAGAGTTGTGAATCAAACCTTGGGAAGAGCACTGAGACATAAGAATGACTATGCTGTACTGGTGCTACTAGACAAGAGATACATCCAGCTCTCAAAGCTCATTAGCTCGTGGGTAAGAGAAAAGGCTATCTGCTGTGGCTTCGGAGACGGCCTTCTTAGAGCAAGTAGATTTCTGAATAAAGATAGATGCCTCTAAGTACTTTATTTGAGTAGGCCTATTCGAAGAATCCATCCATCTTCTTGACGAGCTTCATTGTGATTCTAGGCCCGATTTCGTTGAATCCAACTCTTATGTCTTCCTCTTCCTTTGTAACAATGGCATAATGCCTTACATGGATAAGATCTCCATCGAAGTAGAAGTGTAGGTTTCTCTTGAATGTCTCTGGCTGGGAAGATAGAGACATGAATAACCCCTTGGTGTCACTTTCCCCAGTGAATGTGATACACGGATCGTCCCTGTAATACTCGCTGCCAACCATAACGAACTTTGGATTGTAATCAACTATATTGAACACATATGTAGGGCCTTTTGGTCTGACTCCAATCTTGATGTCTCTTGCATCCACTAGGATAAAATGGGACAGCTCAAGTGTGTCGGCAACATCCAAGTATGACTTTACAGTTGTGTTCTTGTCTCTAAGCTTCGCAGTGACATTGGGCTCTAGCATCCTGCGTATGTGCATGCACATCTGCTTAGATCTCCTTGTGGGCTTCTTCACCGTTATCACCAACTTGTTTAGGAATCCCATCTAGGGGTCTCTGAAACACAGACTTTGTTTGCAGACAAGGATCAGATGTCTGGGATCGCAGAGACATCAACCATGCTGTCCTCGTCCCGATGCTCAAGGTTGAGGAACCCAGTTACAACATGCTTCTTAATGCTTTCTATTTTTTGGATGGACTCGCAGATGCCGTTCTCCGGGGTGACCAAGAACTTAACCGAGTGGTAATATAGTGCTACGAGAAGGGCTGTTTCTACGAGCGAGTTTACTGGGAGGCCTTGGACACGGCCTCCGGAAAAAAGCATCTCTACCATCCTGACAGCCCCCGAAGTGCCTTCAAGGCACAGATATCCTATAATGCCAATGATCTTAAGCTTGATCTTGCCAAGAACATCCTCTATCTCGAACTTTGTGATGACCTGTGTGTATGAGAGGACATCATGCATTTTACACACCTTTAGTAGGAGTAGGGAGTACAGCGACAGTAGCAGAATGGTTTCTGCGATGTTCAGGACCTCGACTATGTAGGATCCAAAGTCATATCCGCTCGAAATATGGAAGACCAGCGGATACAGAAAGCTTCCAAGCAGTGAGTAGCATCTAACAAATGCAATGGAGGTATTTTCGTCAATCCCCAAGACTCTGAATCTTCTTGATGACACAAGAGGGATGATAAAGGAAGCAGCATAGAACATAAAGCTCTTCTGGATGTTTCTGGCACAGAGCTCAAGCATCTTCAGAGAGCGGCCGCTTACACGGGTTCTCTTGAGGAATGGCAGCATGCTCCCTTCCAAACGGCTCTGTGCATAGAAGAAATAGTATATGGTTGTGGAAATTAGAACCAAGAGAAAGAACACCACCCCTTCTCTCCTTGTGGATTTGATCTTCTCCATGTACCTTGTTCCGGCAGGCTCTGGCTTGCTGTTTGCCCTCAGCGCAATGAGATTCACAAGCGTAGCTCCAAGAATAAGCATGACTACAAGCAGCACAAATGGTGAGATGTTGTTGCTCATTTTTGTTTATTTTACCAAGACGAAATCGTGAAACTGTAAATTATCCAGCAGGTTTATGAAACAAGCCAATGCAATGAAAATGGAATGGCCCGAGAGGGATGGGCAGTGAAAACACCTAATTGGAATCTCATTAAAGAATGGATGTTCAAATATTTTTTCCTTGTTGCCCTGCAAATGGTCATCCAGTTAATATATCTAACTGTATCGTACATGCTGCTGAAGGTGCTTCCAATTGTGTATCAATACATATATTCAAAGTGCCGAAGCCATCAGGTGTGGGAGGGAATAAGAAGGAAGTATGTTCTCATCAACGGTGCAACAGGAAAGGTGGGCCGGGGCTTGGCAAAGAGGTTTGCAGAGAGAGGAATGAAAGTTCTTCTTGTTGGGAGGAGCGAGTCCAGACTGACAAGGCTGCACGCAAAAATAGAAAGAATGACAGAATGTCACATGCACATTGTGGACTATAAGAGAAGCCCCAATCTATCTTTTGTAGACAAGTACGATATAGGGATCCTAATAAACTGTGCTAGTACCATAAAGGGTAGCCCTGCATATTTTGTGGAGCAATCCATCGAAGATATTATGAATGCCAATCTTGTCGGCGTGATGTCCTTGACGAGATATGTGCTTATCAATATGATGGATTGCGGATACGGGTATATAATTAACATCGGGTCTCTGATGGGAGAGGGATCGACTCCTCTGTATTCTGCATTTGGGTGCTCCAAGCAGGCCCTAAAGGCATTGTCAGACTCTCTCTATTACGAGTTAGAGGGATACAATGTGAATGTGGAATACATGGGGGTTGGAGGTGTTTCGTCTGAGGAGGATGGAGAGAGGCCTTCACTCTTGAAGCCTTCTTCAGATACGCTTGCAGATTCGATTCTCAACACATTCGGGTCTTCGAAGATGTCTATACCATACTTTCCACATTTTGTTCTGTATCTTATAATGCTTTGTATTCCCTCTCCACTTCTGAGTAGAATAGTTCTTAGAAAAAACAAGCAGGAGATGATTGAGATGAGAAACCGTGAGCTGGAGGGCCAGAAGGCAAAGTAGGCAGTTGGGGTGGGTGTTAGAAAAAGGGCTTGAAGTGAATAAAGAATAAAGCCGGTTTTATTATCAATTGATGGATGATGCTTGGGACGATATCTTGGGCCACATGTCGGCAACCTCTCTAGGCACAGGCCCTGCTATCTGTGCACCCCTGAGTTCTCCCTTGTTGTTAATAAGGACCGCTGCATTATCCTCAAACATGATGTGGGATCCGTCGGTGCGTCTCCAAATCTTCTTCTGCCTTATAAGAATAGCATAGTGCACCTTCTTTCGAAGCTCAGGCTTCCCTTTCTTGACAGACACTACGCAGATATCTCCGGGTGCTGCTGCTGGAAGTCTATTGAGCCTTCCCCTGTATCTCTTGACACCGATGCACCTGAGTATCTTTGCACCACTATTATCTGCACACTTCAGAAGCGATTCTACTTGTACACCTCTTGACATCTTGTACCGAGGCTTGATCGAAATCTTCTTCTCGAGAACCTCTGTCTTCTTCTCGGCAGCCATATTTCTGGGGCTGGGATCTAAATTTTTTTGTAGAAGGGGCCTAAGACACCTTCCATAGGATCCATGCTAATAGCGGCATCACGCGTCTCCATAGAGATCCTTCATGCTAACTGTGGGCTTCGATATCCCAGACTTCGCTGCATTCTTCTTCCCGAGATCTTGCCATATGCGTTGTCTCAGCTCCTTGGCCTTTTCTTCTCCTAGCCGGTCGTTAAGAATCTTGTCGATTGCAAGCAGTCTTAGCCTTATTTTCGCCTTAATCTCGAGCTCACTGCGACCGTCCATTCCTGAATGGGATGTGATCCCTGGATATTTATCCCACTGTCAAGCGACCTCGTTTCGGTTACTTGCTCTTGGATAATAATTATCTGCAAACCCCATTTATGAAGCCGTTTCTTCTAGGCCTTCTGAAGTGTAAGAGGTGCTCGTTCATGACAAAGCTGGTTCTGCAATGCGAAAAGGCGGAGGGCTGTGATGTGGACGATGTCCAGATCTTTAACAAACATGTGTTTGTTGAGAATGGTGGGGAGAGGCTGAAGCTTCTTGCCAGAAGCCTCGAGGGCTTTTATGGGAACCCTGTTTCTGAGGAGGAAATCGATTTTTTTGTCGAAAACCCTGACGAAGATGAAAGAATAAAGGGGCTTTTGTTCGGCGTGGATGTTGTGGAGGGGAGTTTAAGGTGTGATGCGTGTGGGCTTGTATACCCGATCAGGAATTCGATTGTGGAGACAGTTGACACGGCTGAGTCTAAGTAAAGGTATTTTCTATAGTTTAGTAATGCTGTTGTTTGTGAGAAATCCTTTCTTTCCTAGCCCTTGGGATGACGGACATCAAGGCCTTTACGGCTTTCTACGAACATTTGAGGTTACAGGGAAAGGGAGACCCGGAATTGAGAGACGAGGAACTAGAAAGGGCGGTAAGGGAGATGCTAAGAAAGGCAAAGATAACGGACTTTGAGGAGTACATAAGAAGCTACAAATATAAAAGAAGGATGATGAGCAAGAGCCAAGAAATGATGGTTTATGGGAAGAGAGACACTGTATTCTATGCATCTCGGGAGATGTTTAGAAGCAGCATGGAGCTTCTTGGGCATTCTGGGCAGGTTGACAGGATATGCTTTGACCAGGGGAATAGATTCTTCATGTCTGGGGGCTCTGACGGGATGATTAAGCTTTGGGACGTTTATTCGGGGCTTCTGGTGCACAGCTTTATTGGGCACAGAAACTTTGTGAGTGATCTCTGTGTCAGCAGCGATGGGAAGGTCCTGGTCTCGTGCGACTCGCATGGACTGTTGAGTGCCTGGTCCCTAGAACGCTTTGAAGTGCTTTTCCAGTTAGAGCTTGGATGCGAGATTATTTTCACTGAGTTTTTTGACACGAAAGATGAATCGGCCTACAACCTTATTGTTGTTTTATCTCGAGGAATAATCAAGACATATAAGTTTGAGGGTGGAAGGATGGTGTCTGAGGTTGAGAATCTGTGTCTCCTTGATGAGGCGATAAAGGGCCTGTGCTTTACCGATGGGGGAAGGTTCCTCCTATGCAGTGGATGGTGGCCGTTTCTTGTTGTCTTTGACACACAGAACTTTGATGGATGTATAGTTCTTGAGACCAATGGGATGCCTGTGAACACGATATGCGGGGCGAAGAGGGGACTCAAGATAGCAGCGGCATGCGACTCCCAGGTGTTCCAATGGACGTTTTTCACAGAGGGCAATCCGGGGATGGGGAACTTCAAGAGAAGAACGAAGAATACGTCGTTGCAAGGGCATTGGAAGCGATCCATCATCAAAATAGATATTGGAGAGGGAGAGCTGGTTGAGAGAATATGCTATCTCAGAGACAACTTTCTCGTATGCATATGCACTGATCTGAAAATAAGGATATATGCAGGGACGGAGCTTAGGTGTGTTGTGGACACGCCTGAGATAGGGATTGCATACCCGCATCCATTGGAGAACATGTTTGCACTCTGTGGGAGCAATATAAGGATATATGACATGGATGGCCTGATCTACGAGGAGATGCTGAGCTTTGGAGTCAACGATGCTCAGTTTTCGAGTGATGGGGAATTCTTTGTGTTTGGGGATGAGAGGGGCGTTGTCCGTGTGCTTTCGATGAGTTTTTTCCCAAGGCCGCCGAAGGAACAGTTCTTTCTGTCTGACCTTGATCATCTCAACTCCACTGAATGGAACGGGGTTGTTAGGTGCAGGAAGGAGTCTACATATGAGTCTGACAGAAAAAGAAACGAAAACTGGTACCAGGTGGAATATACTATTACGGGGAGGCAGAGTAGCTGCATAGGGGTTGAGGACATGGGGTCTAAGCATCTCATAAGAGATCTTGTCGGCCTCGAGTCGTTTCGAAGAAAGTACATGAATGCCCCACTTCCGGGGGAGTCTCAAACTGTGGAGCAGGCTGCATCTGAGGATAGCAGTTGCAGTTTGCTGGAGGACACCGAGAGTGAGCTAACAGAAGAGTCTGCGGAGTATAGCAGTGATGAGGAGGTACCTGAGAATAGGAGAGCACCTCTGAGAAGATTTCTTATTGACAGCGATGAATCTTCGGGGAATGCGCCTTTACTGAGGAGGAATGCCTATGATGCAGATGACAGTGATGAGGGGTTGAGTCCTATTGGAATAGTGAGGAGATTAAGAAGGTACAATAGATTTGAAGCTGATAACGAGGAGGAGAGGGAAGACTCTTTAAGGCTGAGAAGAGGCAATGCCACAGATGGGAACGATGCTAGTGGTGGAGAGAAGGATGAGCTAGAAGAGAGCAGCGACAACAGGCATGTGGCTGGGTTGGGCGTAGGACTGGAGTATAGCGAGCAAGAGCTGAGGCAATATGTCCAATCATGGCTATCATCTCCAAGCATGATACCCCAGCCTGGAGATGATGTGTATCTAAATTCCGAGGGTCTCAAGGAGTTCCAAGCATTTGACGGAAGGAAGAAATTCAAGGAGCCCCAGGATGCATGCTCTGGATATTATGAGGCGAGGGCCATTGAGACTGTTAAATACAACCCCCCGTTCCTCAAGGTAACACTTTGCTCCAGAGAAGAGAGCTTTTCAATAAGATATTATAGATATCCTGGGTCATCGCCTGTATTGCTGCTTCGGGAGCAGATGGATGTGAGTGCCGGAGACTTCATAAGCTTTGCATTGAACGGGATAATATCCCGAGGAAGGGTGTCCAATGCTCGTGGGGCCCATCTTGCAGTTGATTCTGGAGGAAGCTCTGTACTAGTTGAGAGATCTGATGTGCTAGTTCGAAAGGCCTTGTTTCCTGAGAATGTAAAGACAGAAATGCTGAAGATGATTAGACAGGGCAGGACGCACCGAGGGCTTTATGTGACGCTGAGAAGAGAGTCGAATGGGCCTTACTATGAAAATGTTGCATCTACTGTCAACCTGGGTGTGATTGAGGAAAAGATCCAGAATGATCTGTATCGGACGATTGGTGGGCTGGAATTTGACCTGGACACTGCGGTTAGCAACTCTATGTATTTGGGACCTGTGCTCCATGAGCATTGCCGGCAGGTTGTGGATGGAGTCCGGATGATCATAAGAAATGTCTAGGGCACGGAACGGAACTAATTGCAGTGTCTGGCCACCCTGATGTATTATGATGTGAATATCAGCCTAGACTATTTGAAGCAGGACATACGGGAGTTAGAAGAGAATGAGTACAGAGGATTTTGTGTGAACAAAGTCATGAGGCCAAGGGATCTGGAGAAGATCAAGTATGAGCCGATTGAGCTCCTTGGGACGAAGCCCTGCTACAGCCGAGTGGAGATTGTGTTTGAGGAGAAGGAGGAGGTTGGATACGATGTAAAGAAGTCCATGAGGTATGATTTGTTTGTTGTGAGGTTGAATGGGGTTTCTGGGATGGACAAGCTAATAAGACATCAGCCCGACATGGTTACATTTAACTATGGAAGCCAGTTTCTTCCGTTTAAAAGCGGGCTTGTCAGAACGGCGATCAAAGAAAACATATTTTTCGAGGTTCCTCTAAGGGAAAGCTTGTATGGAGGGGCTTCCAGTGTTACATGGATGAGGAATGTGCGAAGACTGCTTTTTATCACGAATGGAAAGAATGTTGTGTTTAGCAGTGGAGCACGGTGCTCTACAGAGATCAAGAAGCCCAGAGACATCATGAAGATGCTGGAGATGTTTGGGCTTAGGAAGAAAAGAGCCTCTGAGGTGATGCTCAACTCTCTGAGGCTTTTGAGAAGCTGTGCAATGAGGAGGTATTGCCACAGAGACTCGATTATCCATAATGTTGATGAAGGAGCACTAAAAAGGGACTTTGTGCTATCTTTGTACAGGAAATGACTGCCTGGAAATAAAGTCTGTTGTGATGAATATATTTGTCTATCTTTTCTAGACCTTCGCAGATGTATTTTGATACGAATGTAAGCAGCAGGTGTCTTGGGGCTGGCATGATGAATGTTTTAGAACAGCTTGGGCATGACGGGATGTGTGTGAACACTGTGGTTGATCTTGAGTCGGTGAAGAAGTACAGGAGGCCTGCTGTTGATGAGTGGAAGGACAAGAATGTTTACGAAAGGGTGGAGATAAGGTACAGGGGCCACGGTGATTGGGATGGCGCAAGAAGGATGATTGGCCCTGATGTTGTTGCAATTCGGGTAGAAGACATGAACGATTTCAAGAAGGCCATTGAGATGTGCCCGGACATAGTCACTTTTGATTATTCCAAGAGCTTTTGCATTAGAAGGGATGAGGCTGTCGAGGCTATGAAGAGAAACATATTTTTTGAGATTCCTTTAGTGTGTGGGCTGTATGGGCAAAGAGACAAGGCAGTGTGGATGAGGAATGCTAGAAGACTTCTAGACGTCACTGAGGGGGTGAATGTTGTAGTAGGGAGCGGGGCAACATGCCTCACAGAGATGAGAAGAAGGCAGGATGTCATAAAGATTCTCAGAGGGCTTGGGATGAGTGAGGATGGTGGAAGAAAGATATTGCTGAATTCTGCTAGGCTGGTTAGGTCTTGTGATGTAAGAAGAGGATATGTTGTAAAGTGAGGGATCTGATTGGTCCATTAGGAATAAGGTTCTGAAACTGTTCTTGTTCTGCAATCAGTGAGATAAATAAAGTTCTGAAGCGAAACGAAAAGCCATGGGAGCAAGAAGAAATAGGATGAGAGGGCGAGGTAGGATCCAAGGCCTTGGCAAGAATGCTGTCCAAGAGGTCAAAGAGATCAAGAAGGAAGAGAAGCAAGAGGGGAAGTTCAATGTTGACTTCCAGGAGCTCAGCAGGGAGTTGTCTACGATTGAGCTGAAGGAGGAGAATGAAAAGTGCTCTGATGGAAGTGAGGAGAGTTACATGAAGGACTCTTGCGTCGGAGATAGAGGTGAGCAGATTAGAGAGACGGATGCCAAAGAGGTGGCAGGCGAGAGTGTTAATGTTTCTGAAGAGGAAAGCAAGATAGTAGGGACACGGGATGACGTGGTGAATGCAGCAAGGATGCCCCAGGCTCTTCATTCGGTGACGCCCAATGTATTGACTACTGTTATACCTCAGACACCGGTGAGAAGGGTGCTTCACGAAGAGGGAAGCAATCTCCTTGTCAAGGAGGAGGGGCTGATGTTTCCCAGCAAGATGATTATCAACAGGTATCCAGGGCATCTATTTATTCACATAGATGAGGTGGAAAGATTCATGACATCTAGGAAGGATGTGGAGAGTGTATCCATTAAGATTGAATCGAAAGAGACTTTGTGCGAGACAAAGAGATATCCTGTGCAGCCTGATGTGGGGATCAATGAGATGCTGCGAGTTCCGATCAGCAGGGTGGAGAACGGAGGGATGCCACTGAGATTCATACTTCTGTTGCATCATAAATCAGGGCGTGTGACGAAGTCGTGTGAAACTGTGCTTACAGTTGACAGTAACCGGATCCGATCAGTACACAACAACCTTCTTGAAAGCCGGCTGGGATGGGACAACTATGTATCGAGGAACCTATTCAAGAGCATAAAGAGCTTCTTCACAAGTGGAGCACCAGATGCATGGAGCCTCAAGGTCTATCTGTCATTTATATCAGAGGATGAGCTCAGGCTGATTCCTGCGCCTCTTCCCCAGGACCTTAAATCCCTTAGCAAGTGGCTGGTGGTAAAGAAGTTTTCATACAACATATGGTTCAGGGGATTTGTGAATATCAGGGGAGATGCTGGAAAGGCATGCACCAACCTGTGGAAGAGAAGATATGTAAGGTGCTATGGATATATGATCTTTGTGTTTAACGAGCACTCCCGGAGTCTTATTGGCACGATAAGCCTTGTGGATGCATGTTTCGACCCAAGCACAAACAACAAGGTGTATCTAGAAAACTTCCTTCGGATCAGTATTGGGCAGAGTGCTGTTGAGCTGCACTTCGACACAAAAGACAAGTACAACACATGCAGGAATGCACTGACCATGATGCTTCCGCAATCATTATTTCACAAGAAGGAGTAGCTGGTCGGAGGGCCCATGTTTTCTTAAGCCCTATCTTATTAAAGACCTTGAATATGAGCTTTCTTTGATGATTTGGCATGGAGGGAAGTTTTCCCGCCAAGGCCAGGGATTTCTAAGAAATTCAGGATCCCAGATGTTTATGCGTCCTGTTTTGAACGAGACGACGAATGCCACGAAAAGACTCGAGTCCAAAGGCAAGGAGGCTGGAGGTGATAAGGAAAGAGTACTTTGTTTCTTGAGGGATGCCTATAAGAAGACCCGGGATCACTCTCTGAAGTACGACCTGAAGAAGTGTTTGGAGATAATTGAAGGTAAGGAGAACCAAGAGGTTGCAGATCTTAGGAATGCCTTAGAGGAGGCGCTTGTTGAAAACGAGACTCTGTTTGCAGAGAAGTGTGAGCTTGCGGTTACTCTTGAGTGTATGAAAGCAGAGAGAGGAGAATGATCCGTTGTCTATACATTAAAAGTTATTAGCGATGTTTAGGAAGGTTAACTGATTTATTGGCGTGCACCCTACCCTGGGGTGGAGATGTACATGAGATATAGATTGTAAGTGGATGCAACTAATTTAGGGTTTTTGCAAAGAAGAGTGCGCGGGTTGAGGACTCAGAGCTCCGAAGGTTTGTGCAGGAGCTTATCCGGGGGTTTGGAGGGCTTGACTTGCTGAGCAGGGTTGAAGTGAGATGCAGCGGAGGGATTGTTGTTGTTGAGGGTGACGAGGAGGTCTCGAGTGTTGTGCATGGATCTCTATTTTTCTGTGGGGAATACAAGTCTGTTAAATGCAGATTTGAGCAGGTCGATTAAATAGTTTATCGAATGTCATTTACATATAAATTATTTCGAAATGATTTGTTTAAAAAACAGATGCATCGGAAAACAATGACTGAGAGTTTACGAGGATACAAGGAAGTGAGGGTGGTTAGAAGAGACAAAAGAACCACAATAAGCTGTGCAGTTGACATGGAGAGTGGGGAGAGGGTTGTTCTTGAGTCTGTAGATCTTTCTGGGTTTTCAGAGGACTATCAGCCGTTATTGATGAATTTTCTGCTAAACCACTCGCTCAACCACTCGCCTTATGTAATGAAGGTGCTAAAAGTGTTTGAGGAGGAGGGCCGGATCTATGTAGTGCAAAAGCACATGTCTCTTGGGCCTGTTGATAGATTCATCAGAGACCAAATCTTGCTGAGCGACGATTTTATCTTCTATGTGTTTATGCAAATAGTGTATGCCATGAAGATAAATGGGGACGAGGGATGGTTCTGGGACAGGATGTCGCCAAGATACATATGGATTGATGAGGATGGAAAGGTCCGAATATGCTGGGCAGATGTTATATTAGGAAATATGAAGGGTGTGGGAGAGTATGTGGGGAGATGGAGTGGGTGTGGGAATGATGTGAGCCTGAAGAGTAAAGCTGATGGAGAATCGATATCTTTTGGGAATCTGAGAAGAATATTTGTGGAACTTGCCCTAAATCCATCTCAATCTTATAGAATGGCCTGCAGCTCTGAGGATTTGCAGGATCTTTCCCTTTTAGGACGCAAGGAGAGTCTTTCGCCGGTTCTGGACGGGTTTGCGTCGCTTCTTTTCGAGGAGAGGGGGAGGATGAGTGATCTAGAGGATTACACACGAAGAATGATCCAGGAGAAGAGAATAGCTAGCAATCCTCGGGAGATACTGGGGGCGCTAAAGGTTATTATAGAGGAAACGAATAGGACTGATGGGTTCAGTACCCTAGAGGAAATGAAAATGAAAGAGAACAGCGGAGAAGCTTCGAAGATAGAGGATAGTGAAAGCACTGGCGGGTCTGAAGAAGGAAGTAAGAGTGTGAGTGGAAGCAGGGTGGACGATGAAAGGGTTGAGTCTTTTGGGACAAGGGAATACAAGAGGGGAAGATTCCATGTGTGTGAGGCAGTGCCCTTAGGGGAAAGAGAGAAGGGGCTGCAGATGAGCGAGCATATGAAGCGGATGGTCCGAGTTGTGAATGCACAGAGCCGGCAGATTGGCCTTCTTACAAAGGCACTGAGGCAGTCTGGGCTCCTGGACAAAGAAATGGACGAAGAGATTGGAGAGTTAGAAGAGTTAGCGGGTTTTCTTCTATTTGGGATGGAAAGGCAGTAAAACACATCATCATAGATAAAAGCTGTTTAATCTATTTCTTGTTTGGAAAGAGCGCAAGCCCCAAATGGAGCATGTTTCCTACTTGTGTGACTTAAGCTTCTATTCGTCATGTGGAGTTGGGGATTCGTTAATTGCGTCTGACAAGATGGGAGCGGTGCATATAGTTGCGCCTGTGATGAGTGTGCTGTGTGTGGATCATTTCAAGAAGGACATCAAGTTCTATCCCATTGATGACGTATGCTTTACTACAGCAGACATGTTCAAGGGAATACGGGTTTGGGATAGATGTCTTGGAGAGGTTGTATATTCCTACAAGGAAGACAGTATTAGGATGCACACATATAGCAAGAATGGGTGCTTGGCGGCTGTTGGAGAGGGGTGTGTGAAGCTTTACGACCTCCGAGTCAGATACAATATCGATGCAGTGCCTCTGAGGATGTGCAGGAAGGCCGAGTGGGGAAATGATAGGATATACTGTATCAATGATGAGTGTGTGGTTGAGTATGACACCCGGAACACAAGCAGTATGGTGTGTGAGGAGAAGAGTGAGGCACAGATGAAAAAAAAGGGGATTGAAGGGATTCTTGACTTTGCCAGTGTCAGCCGGGGGGAGTTCTGCACGGTCCGGAGGGGAAATACGGTGTATCTAATGAGGCTGTCTGGGCTCGATGTAATGGAAGGAACAAGAAGAACATCTATTGGGGGTAAGATGATAAAGGTTAAGGATTCTCCTGATGACTTTGTGATTGGGACAGTAGATGGAAATGGAATAGGCTTTTACGAATACAAGGATACCTGGACACATGAGTTTGAAGGGTTTACAAGTGTGGACTGGATATGGTTTGGAAAGAGCAAGACCTACATGTTTGCGGATAGAAAGGCATATTTTATGGAGGGAGGATACGAAAGGTTCAAGAGTGTTATGAGAGGGGGGCCAGTGAGGGAATGAATGGAATATGCCATTGCAGTCTATTGAGAATAAAAATGGCCTGAGTTTATGGGGCCATAAACAAAATGAAATTCAAGAGAACGATACAGAAAACATTTGGATCGTCGAAAGTGAAGAGCATACAGATGCATCCCACGAAGGCGATGGCGATCATAGGATTGTTCAGCGGGTCAGTGCAGATCTGGGATACGGAAAAGATGTGCATGCTGAATGACATCCATGTATCGAATGAGCCTATCCGAACCTGTATGATTCTAAGCAAGATGGATTGGCTTCTTGTGGGGAGCGACGATGGAAATGTCAGTGTGTATGAGCTGGGAAAGTACAGAAAGATCAAAACACTTCATGCACATGACGACTTCATTAGAAAGATCGAGGGTCATCCACAGGACTCACTGTTTCTGACTGCCTCTGATGATGCAACGATGAAGATGTGGGCATATGAAGGGGAAATCAGCCAAAAGATGGTTTACACAGGCCACACGCATTTTGTGATGGACGTGTGTTTCTATCCAAATGACAGCAGCAAGTTTGTTTCGTGCTCCTTAGATTCGACGATCAAGGTGTGGAACGTGGGCCAGGCGCATTGTATAAAAACATTCAAAGGACATACATCTGGAATAAACAGCATATGCTTCCTTAGCGGGGACTATTTGGTTTCTGGGGCTGATGACCTGATGCTGAAGGTCTGGGACTTTCAGACGACTCAGTGTATAACAACTCTTTCTGGGCATACAAACAATATCAACAAGGTGTATCCGCTTGCCGGCTTTCCGTTGTTTGCCTCGTGCGGAGAGGACGGAAGTGTAAGACTATGGAACAACAAAACGTTCAAGCAGGAGGATCTACTTATGCTACAGGGGGGAAGGGTCTGGGATGTGAAGGAGAAAAACGGAAAGATGGTTGTTGGTTGTGACGAGGAGCTTATTTTTATTGATGCACATCAGGGGACGTCTTTGGTCAGGATGAGCAGGAGCAGGATATTCTATTCTGTTTCTGGGTCTATTTTCGGAGCCAAGAGCGGAAACATAGGTGTGGTCAAGGAGCTGTGTAATGTTGGGTTTTATCCTGATGAGCTAGAGGTTTCTCCGAGCGGGAAGACAATAGCAGTTGGAAATGAGGGGGAGTTTCAGATATTTTCATCCCTGGGGTTCCGAAACAAGTTTAATGGGGAGGGAAGAGACTTTCACTTCATAAGTGACGACGAGTTTATTGTGAGAAACGGAGATGAGGTGAGGTTTTACAAGAAAACAGAGGTCACCGGGGTCATTGAGATAAAGGGCATTAGCAAGCTGTTTTTCCTGAGCACCGCTTTAATAGGATGCAATGTTTGCGACCAGACAAGGATCTATTCGTCGTCTGGAGAGTTCATTTTATCCATCGACGATGCTTCTGACCACCTAGTCATGGTTGGAGACTTTTTAGTTGCATGCGGAGCATTGATAAGGATATACAGGGTGAACCATGAGGTCATCAATGGATTCATTGAGCAGGAGATTGAGGTTCCCGAGGAGGGGATAACCGATGCATTAACGCATGTTGGAACTGAATACTACTCGGTTTCGTCATGGTGCACAGGAGACGGGATATTCTACTTTGTGTCGAATAATAAGGGATACTACCTTATCTTGGGCGACAGGCTTTATGTACATCACTTTTCACCTATTGACGGAATAGCTGCGGGTGTTGAAGACGGGACTCTATTCTATCTTCATGGCAAGGATATTGAGTCAAAAAAGATCGACATGGAGTTTCTCGAATTCCAGAGGTCTGTGATACTTGGGAAGGAGTATAGGATCACGGAGGGGATACGCAGCAAGGCAATTGCATTTTTTGAGTCTCTAGAAATGCACGAGAGGGCTCTAGATCTTTGCAACGATGATAATCAGAAGTTTGAGATTCTCCTGAAGTTAGATAGATATGACGAGGCGTTTTCAAAGGCAAACAGCATAGTCAAGTACGACAAGCTCGGAAGATACTTCCTCAAGGCAGGGGAGCTGTCTAAGGCGTCTGAGTGCTTTCTCAGATCAAAGAACTGGGAGAGCCTCCTCCTTGCAGATATCTTATCTGGGAAAAGGAATCTTAGTGTTGCTGGAACAGAATGCAGAAAGGAGGGGAGGCTTAACCATGCATTCTTTGCATATCTAAAGGGTGGCCAGTATGGAGAATGTGCAAAGTTGCTAGAGGGCACACCTTTCTCATCGCTGTTTTGCAAAAACTACCTTGATTAAATAAGTTTGTCTCTTTAAAACTCTGTTCCTTCATAAGTAGTGGCTACAGGAATCCCTGAATGGAGGAACTAAAAAAATGGTATCCAATCGAGGTGACGACGCATAACCTGCACTTCCATGAGGAAGCGTCTATATTTACAATGCATGGAAATGAGAAGTTCATAGCAACTGGGGGAGGAGATAGAGATATAAGGCTATGGAGGGTGGAGAAGGATGTATCCAAGGGAACGGATTTTTGTTATACTACAGCGATTGACTCTTCGATAAAGATAAAGTACCATACTGTGCTCTCTGGGCATCATAGAAGTGTGAACTGCGTTAGATTTAACGGAGACGTACTAGCATCCTGCTCTGATGGAGGAGAGGTTATATTGTGGGAGAAGGAAAGGCCCTATGTGGTAAGAAGGATCGATGGAGACGATGCATATGAGCTTGTGTGGGGATGCGGACATCTCTTTGTCGGATTTTCTAGCGGAAATATACTGGTATATCAAGTGGTTTCAAATAATGAATCTGATGCTACCAATGCAGCAAATGAAGGAAGCTCTAACGAAGCTTCAGATAGGGGGTCTTTTTCTGGGAAAGACAATCAAGGGGTATCTGCTAGGCTGGTGCAGAAGATAAAGTGCCATGAAGACATAGTCCAGGGCCTGGCATTCAACAGTCGCTTCAATGTTCTGACATCTTTAAGCAAGGACCGTACAGGAAAGACGTTCCTATTTACAGATAAGCTTGTAGAGATAGAAAAGATGGAGTACTATGACAACGACAAGCTGTTTTCCACAGGAAGAGGGTTCTTTAGGAGGCTTTCGTATTCTCCTGATGGAAAGCTCTTGTATCTTGTATGCTGTAGATCGAACAGTGTCGTGGTGCTTCACTATCCGTTCAGAATGGAGCATGTGTATGCAACAATAGGCCCCTTTGACTCTGAACCTCTGAAGGTTGTGTGCGAAAGGGACAAGGTATTTGTCACGACAAAGAAGAGCTTGTACATGATTGCTCATAACAGGCTGGGGTTCTGCGTAGACAACATCTCGTTTATGACGATAACCGATGGCCATGTGTTTGATGGCATTTGCTTTCTATCCTCCCTGGATGGATTTGTATCATCTGTGCGCATGAAGGGAGACTAGACTATTTGGCAGTAATATTTGCAGGGTGGAGAGAGCCCTTGGATGGGGATCCAGGATAAAATTAACGAGATAGAGGCTGAGATGGCCAGGACGCAGAAGAATAAGAAGACGGAGCACCATCTCGGGGTTCTCAAGGCAAAGCTTGCAAGATACAGGCATGAGCTCGATGCACCAAAGGCCAAGACTTCCAAGGGAGAGGGATTTGAGGTTTCGAAGAGTGGGGATGCACGGGTTGTGTTAATTGGGTTTCCCAGTGTTGGAAAGTCGACTCTGCTCTCGAAGATTACAAACACACATAGCAAGGCAGCAGAACATGAGTTTACCACTCTGGAGTGCATATCCGGCAAGATGTGTTTGAACGGAACATGGATCCAGGTCCTAGATCTTCCGGGAATTGTTTCTGGGGCTTCACAGAACAGGGGGAGAGGGAGGCAGGTGATAAGCATTGCAAGGACAGCCGACCTGATATTGATGGTTCTCGACCCCCGAAGGTATGAAGACAAAAAGATACTTGAAAACGAGCTGCATGAGATGGGGATAAGGCTGAACAAGAAGAAGCCAGACATATCGCTTACGTATACAACGAGCGGGGGAATTAACATCGGGGTAGTATGCCAGCTCACAAGGACGACCGAGGAGACTATAAGGGCGATTCTAAGGGAGTACAAGATCAACAATTGCCAGATGTTTGTAAGAGAAGATGTATGTGATGACGACATTATAGATGTTGTTAGTGGGACCTGTGTTTACGTGGATTGCCTGTATGTATACAATAAGATAGATGAGCTTTCTCTAGAGGATTTTAATAAAGTTGCAGAGTATCCTAACAGTACGCCCATAAGCTGCCAGAAAGGATGGAATATCGACATGTTGCTCGAGGATGTATGGGCTAAGCTAAGGCTCACAAGGGTTTACACGAAGAAGAAGGGGATGTTCCCCGCTTTAGACGACCCTGTTGTAATCAGAGAAGGAGGAACGGTGAGGGACCTATGCGCCCACATCCACAAGGACTTTCTCCTAAGCTTTAAGCATGCTTTGGTTTGGGGAACCAGTGCAAAGCATAGTCCACAGAAAGTTGGGCTTGGACATACATTGGAGGACGAAGACGTCGTTCAAATATTTCTCAAGTAACCTAGCTCTGGGCGTATTTATCAAGATATGTTTTCATATCGCCATTTGCCTCGGTGAATGCCTGTAAGAATATGGAATATGCAGCGTCTCTTTGTCTCTGCCTGTACATTCCTGCAACATTCCTGAATAGATCGTTCCTTATGAAATATTTGTGGATGAATCTGCTGCCGCAGGATACAATCTGGAGGAGCACCTTTGAGATGAACACCGGGCTCATGCTGTTTTTGTGCCTGGATGCAAATATCCGCTCCATCAGTCCTGTGTTAACCAGAAGCTCTCTTGTCCTAAATCCATGGTTGGCAAGCAAATACAACAAAAGATTCTGCAAGTCTGGATGGGATTCTAGGCTGTCAAAGAGACCCGAGACCTCCATGTAGAACATGTCCAGCTTTTCGGGTTTACACACATCCAGCAAGACATACAGTCCTTCTATGACATACAAAAGGCCATCATCAAAACTCTTTTCACCTATTAAACTCTTGGTTTTATATAGAATACGCGCAAAGTCAATTGCCTCTGACATCTTCTCTCTGAATATAAAGCAGAGATAGTAGAAAGTCTCGAAGAAGTACTCGTTATCTCTGTAGATCCTCTCCAAGTACGCTTCTACATTTCCAACTTTACAGCTGCTCCCTCCACACTTCTTGAGGAAATCTCTTATCTCTTCATCAGACATTTCTGCCACCTTGCTCTCATTCCTTGTCAACTCTTGCTTGCTCATCATGACAAGAAAGCCTTCATAGACCCTTGCAGTGTCCTCATCTAGATTTTTTGCCACGACTTCTCTATAGAACCCATATGGTGTGATCTTATTACTGAAAGAAACACCAAACAACTCAAATACCTTCTCCCCGTTTTCCAGCAGCATTCTGAACAAGTGGAAGCTCTCCATCCTTAGAAGATCGAGCACGCCATCTCTACTTTCAAGCATCTTTCCAAATACAGAGGCATCCATGTATTTGCTTGTCCTGAGGAGACTCGAAAAGACGCCTGCTCCCCTTTCTGAAGCCTCTTCTATGCCCATACCATCTTTGCCCAGGATATCTCTTTCAACGAACTCGACAAAATCATCTCGAATCTTTTCAGTCTCAAAGCAGACAGCATACTCCTCAATGTCGTCGTATACAATTGCAACGTGTCTCTCTGACTTCCCACACTGCTTCTCGATAAGCAGTATCTCAAAGCACTTGCCTGTCCCGTCATCTTCAATAAAAATGCAGCCATTTTCAATACGGAAGACTATTCCCATGCACATCTCTTCCCATTCATCATTCACATTCCTGAAGACCCTAGCCCTTACAGGAATCATCGGGGATTTCCCACAAGAAAGATATTCACTAAAGGAACATGTATTTATTCGTGCACAATAGAATACACTATAGCCCAAACCCAGGATCAATCTTTTTAACCCCCTTATAGCCCAGCAACGAAAGCCCTGCCAGGGCAAACATAAGGTGATACAGGTCTGCCTCGTTCCCGGGCCTGTCAGAAAACCCACCGGACCGCCCTTGGCACGAAAATATGAACTTTGCAAGTTCCTTTTGATTCACATGGCTTTCTCTTCCAATAAGCACAAGGGAAGAGTACGCCCAGAAGGAATAGCAAACATCTTCTTTCTTGCTTACCCTTCCTGAAAGGCCTCCTGAGCTCGTCTGCTTCATTGCTATGAATCTTGTCACTCCCTCCACATCTACCGATCCAAGGGCCCCGAGCGATCTTAGCGTACTCAGACAACAGAACACCTGTGCAGCATGGGATTCAGCACCTTCAACCGCGCCAAATCCTCCGTCCAGGTTGTAGCATCTCTGAGTGTATAGAACAATCGCCTTTGTGTCAATGCCAACCTCGGATAGAAATTCGCCACATATGGGATTTGATAGGCTTTTGGAATCGAAGTCACCCTTTTCGAGGAGAGATAGTAGGTGTAACCCCAGCACGGCACAGCAATTGATTCGAGTGTCTATCTCTCCATAGATGTCGTTGTAGAAGTACCCTTCAGGTTGTAGTAGCTTCGATATAAATGACACAGTGCTTCTATCACTGTAATGGATGCGATAGATGTAGAGTATCTGCAATGCATTAAATGTGCTCGTTATGTTCGAGGAGTATCCTGCACATCCCCCGAACCCTCCATCCTCATTCCTACATCTCATAACATAATCGACAACTCTACTCTTCATCTCCTCCACTTCCTCCATTCCTAACATCGACAGGGAATTCACAGACCAGTATATGGTATTAAGTCTGGATGGCTCAGTCAGGTAATACAGAAGGTTCTTTGTGTGGATAGTCCTTTGGATAAAAGAAAAATGCTCATCCACCTTCAGTTCCATTCTAGGGTATCTAAATTTATTGTCCTCTTCATAGCTATCTATTGAGAGACCGGTAAAGGCAGAGCACACAGTGGCCTTTCTCCGGTCTTGTCATAAAAATAAACATATATCTGATAAACAACATCACTTCAAAAGTATTTACATCCAATCAAAACAAAACAAGGATGAATGAAGTGGAAACCAGTAATCGCGATCTTTCCAATGCAGACATCCCTACAGAGGACCAGATAGAGGAAGAAGCCAATAGCAGGCGGGGGATCTTCAGATACTTCAGGGTGGCAAGGGCAGAATATACTAAGTTTGCCATCCTGGGTTTGATGTTTGGAATAATCGGATTCATATACTCATTCATGAGGATCCTGAAGGACATGTTTGTGATGGTGAGGCAGGAGCCCACAACAATATTGTTCATCAAGATCTTCTACATCCTTCCGGTTTCAATGGCCCTCGTGTTCCTCATACAGTACATGCTGGGAACAAAGACCGTCTCCAGAATATTCTCTATCTTCTGTGGGGGATTTGCATCTCTATTCTTTGTGTGTGGGATTGTGTTTCTGATAGAGGAGCAGGTTTCTCCGTCAAAGTTTCTGTTCAGAGACATGTTCATTGACGGCAAAATGTCGACCAGGGGTCTTAATGTCTTCAAGTCAATGCTTCTGACGCTAAATGAGCCTCTTGCAACGATTGTGTTCATCTCTGCAGAAATGTGGGGAAGCCTTGTCCTTTCCTATCTTTTCCTGAGTTTTCTAAACGAATCGTGCACAATCAAGCAGTTCTCTAGGTTTATTCCTCCACTTATAATCATCACAAACGTATCTCTGTTTCTTTCTGCGACAGTAGCCGGTGCCTTTTTCAAGCTTCGAGAGAAACTGGCCTTCCAGCAAAACCAGTTTCTTCTTTCAGGTATCTTCATCTCCCAGGGCCTCCTAGTGGTCTCGGTAATCTTCCTCAAGATATATCTCGAAAGAGTGGTAATGAAGAGGCCTCTGTTCATCGTTTCGTCGGGATCAAGAAGGAAAAAGGCAAAGGCCAATGTGTCTTTCTCCGAGGGCCTCGAGATAATGTCCCAGTCAAAGCTGTTGCTTGCAATGTCTCTCATCGTACTGTTCTTCAACATTTCCTACAACATGATTGAGTCTACATTCAAGGTTGGGGTGAAGGTTGCTGCAGAATACTACAACGAGGAAAAGGGAAAGTACTCTGGGAAGTTCAATAGGATCGACCAGTACCTTACCTCTGTCGTAGTCATATGCCTCAACCTGTCGCCGTTCTCCAGCTATGTGGAGACAAGGGGATTTCTGCTTGTTGGGATCATAACACCGGTCGTGACACTCCTAGCCATCACGCTTTTCTTGGGATCTGCACTTTACAACACTAGCATGGAGGAATCCGGCATTGGAATTGTGAACGGCCTGTTTCCAAGCGGAAAGCCTCTGTATATGCTTGAAAACTATTCCGGAATAATCTTCATGTCACTACTGAAGATCACAAAGTATTCGGCATTTGACATATGTAAAGAAAAGCTTGGAATGAGAATCAATCCAACATACAGAGCAAGATTCAAGAGTGTGTACGATGGGATCTTCGGAAAGCTTGGGAAGTCCATAGGGTCCATCTATGGGCTCTTGATGTTTGAGGCCCTAGATACTGAAGACCTTAGAAAGGCAACGCCAATAACTGCAGGTATCATCTTCATCTTTGTTGTGATGTGGATAAAGGCCATAATCTACCTCTCAAAGTCCTATGACTCTGCAGTACAGCACAATAGAGACGTAGACATTGATATGACAGATAAGGGCAAAAAGAGCTTGGAGGTATCCGAGCAGCCAAAAGTTGTAGATTAAAACCACAATCCAAACTTGTTTTATTCCGAGGGCGCCCCAGATTGGGCCTCTGCCTTTCCAAAGGTGCCAAGAGTATCATAGCGAGCAATTCTCTCCATATAAGCTTTGCTTTCTCTATCTCCATTTCTTATTCTAAATGCCCCGTAGATAGACGTAGACAAAATAAACAAGCCAGCCAAGGCACATTGGAGGGCTACATATGCTAGGAAGGACATGGTTCCATACATCCTAGCTAGGCACGTGGTGGCAACCATAATCATAAGAAAGCATCTTGACATCGGCATGGCTTTGGTTCCTTGCATGTATGGGGTCGTTTTCTTATCTTTCAAATACGAAGCTTCGGCCTCTCCATCAAAGGACAAGAAGATCATGACTGGACTGTGATTCTGTGGCCACACTCGCAGGAGTAGAATACAGTTTGTCCCTCGTCAGTCGACCTTAGCTGTGCAGTGTTGTACATCATCTCCTCAGAGCCACAAGCAGGGCATCTATGCTTGATCTTGGCACCAGAAACATCAATGGCCTCCACATGTGAATCTCTCTGGACCTCCACTTCGGTGTGAATGGGCTTTATCATGTCGACAGAGTTTTCTCTCTTGCATCTCGGGCACTCCACCTTGGTGCTGTTTGACTTCACATAGATTAACGTTCCACAGATGCAAAACATGTTGGGATTCTATTTCAAGAAATCTTATATGGAAGGGAGCATGGGCTACTGAGATAGGACTGAATGATAGCACGCTGCAGAGAACGGTGACGATTTAATATCGAGATAGATCATGAAGATTAAAATTTTAGAAAATTTGCAAGTGTCTTCCTAGATAAAATGGCGAGGTATCTGCCCTAGACATGGGGGGAGTTCAAATTGGTGGGAAAATAGGTAGAAGCATGGATGGAGAAAATAGTATGGGGAAATCCAGAAATGCCCATCTGGACCTGGAAGCAATAGCAAGGTGTTGTGAGGATGCTCTCAAGGCAAATCCCTGCAACTCAGAGGCACTGTATAGCCTAGGGAAATATCACATAGAAAACAAAAACATAGATGAAGCAGAGGTCATTGCAGCCAGGTTGTTTGAGTTGGAGTCTGAATCCTACGAGGGATGTGTGCTGAGCGGATACATAGGCCTTCAAAGAATCAGGCTTGACAAGAGCTATGAGAACTTTGTGAAGGCATATTACAAGGCTGAATACAAAGACAAGTTCCTAATGTATGGAATCTCACTTTTCTATGAGGCCATTGGAGATTACATGAGTGCAAGGCCTTGGTTTGTGTTGTTGAATAAATTGGGGGTAGAGGAGTACAAGAGCTATGAGACATTATTTAGAACAGGCGTTTGCCTTAAAAAGATGAGCAGGCTTCAAGACTCCATCAACGTCTTCCGTGTCATAGTGTATGATCCATTGAGCAACGCCTACAATCCTGATGTCCAGATCCAAATAGCCCACCTTTACGAAATGCAGTCTAAGCACGAGCTTGCATTTGAGGTCCTGAGAGGGATAGAGAAGTCAGAGAGGCATAACCTCATAGTTTCGAGGCTGTGTGCATGGCTAGACTACAAGATTGGAAACTTTCGAGGGGTGAAAAGACGGTATAGATCAGATAGCATTGCGAGCAATGATCCTTATCTTCTATATCTGGTTGGAAGAATCAGGTACATAGAAAGGAACTACATGGGTGCGTTGAGAAAGTACATGAGGGCTGCACAGATGGACTCTATGGAGGGGATGGTGCACAATTCAATAGGATGCACATATTTCCGTCAGGGCAAGCTTTTGCTTGCAAAGACAGCCTTCATGAATGCTTTGGAGGTGAACCCAAAGCTTTCTGAGGCCTCCATCAACCTCAAACTTATTGAGAAAATAGTACCTCCAAATAAAAAAGAGACTACTGAGTCCATGGATAGTACTCTATATAACCCTAGGGAGCCACCCCCTGCCATTGGGAAAACCAGATACCTTGACTCAGGCGTGTTCTTCAAGGATCCAGCATATAACACACACCCAAGAGTGTTTAGGATCATTCTTCCTATGAAAGCGTCCAAATTTGAGCTGCTTCCAGGAAGATTTTAAGTGGCTTATTAAATTGGAGTATGTAGAATCATGACGTCAAGACATGCTTAATGCATTAACTATACTTTACTTTTCTCAGAATTATCCAATTGAATGTGGTGATGATATTCGGAGGGTGGTCCAATTGGTAGGTTTTTGATTAAAAAGGAAAAAATCGTACAGGCTTGATGGTAGGCTTGCCTGATATGACAATATGCAGTGAGAGAGTGTTTGAGTCGCACATTGAGCTCCAGAGGGATGTGTTCTTTGTGTCTGTGATCTGCCTTCTGATCATAATGATCAAAAACCTGGTGATCCTTCCTCTAGCATCCATCCTAATCAGGAGATTTGGTATGGAAGAGACCCTAGGATTTGACCGGAAGAAGAAGTTCTGTGTTTCTCTCTGGAAGGCCATGTTCTACTCGTTTACGTCTGTTTACGGATACTTTGTAATCAGGAGTGAACCTTCGGCTTACACTGCAAAAAGCCTCTCAAGCACTTGGGGGGCTCATAATACACCTGCAAGAGTTCTGTTCTATTACTACCTGGAGTTTTCATACTATTTTGTCGAGTTGTTTTATCTGTTCAATGAGCACATGTATAAGGATTTCCTACAGATGGTAACGCACCATGTGGTGACCATTATGCTTCTGGTACTGTCCTATCACAAGGACATGCTGCGCCCTGGCGTAGTTATAATGGCCATACATGACATATCGGATCCGTTTTTGGAGATCAGCAAGATCGCAACCTACGTTCATTATAAGTCCTTAGCAAAGGGTATATTTTCATGTTTTGCAGGAATTTTCATTGTGTCCAGGCTTGTCATCTATGCATTCCTGATTTCACTTCCCATAGGCATTTCCGTATGGAGATATAGATTTAATCCATGCCTGTTTCTCATCAGCATTTTACTCCAGGGATTGACTGCCATGCATATTATATGGTCGTTTATGATCATGAAAATGGTGATCAAGGTTAGTCGTAGAGAGGAGTTTGAGGATATCAGGTCTGTTAAGTCGAAGGGCTCTTATGGCAAGGCCAAGTCCAAATGAGTTCTCAAGCAGGGACTAGATATTAGATATTTGGCATAAGGTATCCCCAGAATTGATGATTATGGCACTTTTCATATATCCACTTGTTCTTGGAACGGAGACCTATAGATTTGTAAAGTACTTTAGTGATGAGCAGGGAATAAAGGTACCCGAGCAAATAGTTGATGACTACAACGAGGCCGAGGATGAGTTCAACGTAGAGGCAATGGACTTTGATTATATATTCCATAATGGAAACAAGATAGACATTTTCCAGTATAAGGCTGGAGAGGAGCTGATTGCATCTGTGTTTTTTTCCAGGGACAAGTTCTATGGAATTGTGGACAGGAAGATCATCCAAAGAAACGTTGTTTTTGTGTACACAATGTACGTTTCGAAGAGGCATAGGGGAAAGGGATACTCGAAAAGAATTCTGAAGGATGCCGCAGACTCTCTGAACAAGCACTATGGAATGAACGGAGACTTCCTTCTGGTTCTACATCTGAACCCGCAAGATAAGGACATGGATCTTGCATTTTCTGTATACTACAACCTTAACTTTAGGAGTGGAGGGCTATCAATGATAGGCCCGAACGAAAAGCAATACTTTTTGGAGGAGCTTCTTCAATATCGGAATCCCTGCAATGTAATCGATGAGTATGATGAAGAAAGAGACAGGGGTGCGTACATGGTGATGTTCTGTGAATATCCAAAGCTCTTCATGTGTGAGAAGGAGAGGTATGACAAGCTGATGGATTACGGAGAAAGATTAAGGAACATTCTGAAGAGGGGGTGGCTACAAGAGCCCTCGCCGGCATCGTGAAACAAGCAGTGAAGTCATTGTCAAGATTTCTGAAACAGAGAAAGAAATAATGGGATATAACATAGAGCAAAGGAAATAACAATGCGGTCTGTCCTCTTAGTGATATCGGCAATATATGGATTCCGAACTATCGGAGGCAGCATAAAAGAAGGCAGCGTTGACTATGAAAAGATGGTGAGCCAAGAGAAGTGTGTTCTGTTTGTGAGAAGATTCTGCCCATACAGTATTGCAGCAAGAGAGCTGCTCGATGACAGTGGTGTCAGATGCAAAGTTGTTGAGGTTGATGAACTTCCAGAGGCTATAGACTTTGTCAAAAGATATCAAAGAACGTTCCCTGCCTTTTTCCTTGATGGCGTTCTTGTTAAAGGAGGATATGAAGGACTCAGCTATCTCTCAAGCAGAAGCCTCCCTCCGTTTGATAAGTCTTCTCCATCCATTGATAGGAAGGGCATATCACCTAGATTAAAAGGTTAGGTATTCTTATTGTCTTATTATGTGTAATTATTTATTGCTATTGTTTGCCCTGTATCTTTTCAGGAATTTTTCAATATCCATGACCTTTTTGCCATCTTTATACAGTAGGGGCGCTCCACCCTGTGTAGACATAAAGTTATAGACATCTAGATTATCCTCCGCATAGAGTGGCTTATAAGGCACGCCAAGCTCCTTGAGCTTACTCTCTAGCTCTCTTGAGTGATTACAGTTCTCCTCAAGCATAGCAACAACCCCTGGACCTCTTACCGCTTCAGGGACAGTGTTCATTACAGGGCCCGACGAGTGAATGTCACTGCTAATTCCAACAGGCCTCTGCTTCTCAGAATCTAACGCCTCAATGGATGTAATTCCCATGCCTACGATGAACATAACCGAATGGAAAAGGCAAGAAGACTTCATTGTTCCAAGCATTGTAAGCAAAGTTAAATAAGTTTTCTTCATACAATGTTTTAATATCTAAAACATAACGGAATTGATAAGATGTCACTTTGAGATCAAGCCAGTAGTAAGATCATTCATGGACATATCGCATAGGCATAGCTCAATATTATTTAATGGATACATGCGGTCGGATGGCCAAAGCTAGATCCTCTCGCGGGACAAGTCTAGCAGGGCGTTAATGGCTATTACCTCTGAGTCCTCTAGGTCTGCCTCGTGCTCCTCTTCCTTAACTTTTGCCCATGGCGAGGAAGATGTTTTCCCTACCTTCTCTTCATTCATAGCCCCTTCATCTTCAGCTCCGCCCATAAATGTCGGAATCCGTCCCGGCCTCTTATCAAAATGTCTTCTAATCAAAGACTTTGCAGCTATGTTTGTATCACGTCTATAATCTCTCCTATCTTCTGGAGTGGCACTTCTATCATACCTCGGCATTCCAAAGTCCTCGTAGAATGCGTTTTTGCTGGAGTCCGTCTGAGATGCCCCTTCGCCTCTCTTGAAGTCCTTGTGCTTCGCAGGATAATCCTTATATTTACAGGCCGAGTTCACTTGGTTTTCCTCGTGCTGGAAGCCAAACGAACTCTGCATCCTGCTCCTGTGTTTGTAAGTACTCCACAGCATCTCCGAGCCGTGTGCACTGTGCATCTCCCCGCTGATCCTTCTGCATCTCACCCGAGGCTTGGACGAATCTGTCTTAAAACTGGTCGGTCTTTTTCTTCCGTGTATTTTGTAATAAAGTCCACATGCGTTGCAGAGATAGCTCCCATCTTCCGCCCTTCTCCACAAAGGTGTTGCCGTGGTGTTACAGTTACTACAAAAGCCTTGCTTGGTCAACATTCTTAAAGGGTAGTCCCCATTATAGCCGTTTTTACATAGGAATTAAGAGATAGATATATGCCTCCAAGACGCTCTTAGTGCTATCGGATTCCTCTTTAATATTAACTTGTTTTAGAATATCAAAGTTTGACATGCGAACGGCCGTCCTTTAATATGCAATTCTAATATTCTATTTACAGCAAGTGTGCCGCTGGCCAGTGATGGGCTTACAAGGCTACAGGACATGGACTCTCCTTCGCTCGCATCTTTGCTTATCATGCCCCGCACTCATCCTACTTCTGCAGACAGGGCACACAAAGTTCTTGCGAAGCCATTTGTCAACGCATTCCCTATGGAACACATGGCCACATCCAAGATTTCGCACACATCCCCCATCCTCAAAATCTTCTAAGCAGATAATGCAGCCTTTGCTGATGAATTCCTGGCTGGAATATGGACATAGCGGTATTCTTTCTATCTCCTTGTCAGATAATCCTCCTTCCTCCTCAATCCCAAATGATAAAAATAAATAGAACACTATCACAGCCACCAGCAGAATCGGTATATGAAGGAAGATCTGAACCGCAAGAGGTATCTTGATCTCGATGCTCTTTATCTTTATCTCTGGAGAGTGCCCTGTGCTTTTTTGGTTCTCCTGGCTTAGAATCGCCTTAAGCATGGAAAAGTCAAATGCCATCGTTCCAAGATTGGTGCTCTTAGGCACCCTACTGCTCAGCCCCCTCACCACTTCCTTATCCTCAATCTTGTATATCTCTAGGCTATCCACGTAATAATCCTTTTCCTCCTCATTGTTCCTTGCAAAGTGCCCAAACAGCTCTGGATTATTTCTAGCCTCAATCTTAACATCTTTCAAGATAAGCTTCTCACCCAGATGAGATCCTCCATAGATGGCATAAAGTGGCACATACACGCTTACATCGAACATCTGGAGAATCATGTATGCACCTATTCTGTAGACGCCCATCTGTAAACATGCTCGAAACTCCTTTTATTTGGACTACTGACACTTGGTTTCATCAATTGCAATCATCCACATCTAATCTCCCTTGGAAAAAGAAAGTCTTCAGCGAATGGTTGTCTGCAAGGCCTAGTATCTCGTCCCGATATTAACAAACAAACAGATACAAAATAGACCCCATAAGAACATAGATGGCAAGGCTGGTGTACTCAGCATCCTCAAAGAGGATATCGTGGGAAACAGAGTCTGGCGTTGCTACTCTTTCATATACGGGATCCATAAGCAAAAAGCCCGACTCAAAGCAGATTGAATTCCAAACAATTCTAGGGATTCTTAAGGTCGAAAAGAATGAGCTCTACGAGGAATTTCTTGCATGTGTCACCAAAAGCACTCTTGTGGGTATGTATGATGCAGTGGAGATATACAAGATTGATAAAATTAGGTTCCTGAACATTAACAACCCCAGCAGGGCTGATGAGATAATGTCCCAGGTAAAAGGATTTGTTCAATCACACGACTTCTACTACTTTTCCGGATTCCTGTCGATAGAAGACGAGTTTGTGTGGAACAAGCACATGAAGACGAATCTCTTGAGATATCTTGGACCAAGCTCTTACCCGTGGGTGCTTTCCCACAGGCCGGGGAGAGATCCTCTTAATCTCAGCATCCCAACACTTTTCTGCGGGTTTTTTGCAGCAGAGGCATTCAAGGCATCGGGAGACTTTTATCACATGAAGCTTCTTTCGCTTGTGTCCTCCAATAGAGTTGGGACAAGATATTTATGCAGAGGGATTGATAGCGAGGGGAATGCATCTCTTTTTGTAAAGACACACTTTCAGACAAAGCGAAACAACAGCACGATATTCGACTTCACAACGATCAGAGGGTCTGTCCCGATATTCTGGAACCAGATAGAGCATGGAATCTCCACAAAGATAAACATCTACGGGGACGATGAGGACGTAAGAAAGGCGTTTAAAAAGCACTTTGTAAAGCTCGGGAAGGAGTATGGGAAGGTGCATGTAATCAATCTTCTTGGAGAAAAGAAGTACGAAAAGCGGCTTACCTCGTACTTCAGCAAGTTGCTGAATCTAGAGAACATCCCGTACACCACATTTGATTTGAATGCACATGCAAACAACTACGATGACTTGAAGTTCCTTCTCTATTTCAAGCTCCGGAGCATTGAACAGGAAGGAGTGATCTTCCGAGTGAACTGCTTAGACTGCCTTGATAGAACAAACGTTGCACAGTCTCTGATATGCATGTTCTATTTCGAGAAGGCTGTGAACGATGGTGATGTCCTGAAGAAGATGCAGGAATGCTGGGCAGACAACGGAAATTCGTTAAGCAACCTGTACACGGGATCTGACGCAATGAAGAAGGAGCTAGCTCTCAAGGGCAGGAGATCGTTTATTGGATACATGGACGACTTTATGATTTCTGCGACCAGGCTCATAAACGGCAGGTTTACAGACAGGCAAAAGCACAGCATTATAAACATTCTGTTGGAAAAAAGGGAAGATTCCGAGGAATCCCAGGTCTCTTACTAGTTTTGGAGTGGGACGACGATTATAAGCAATCCTGTACTTTAGAATAAATTCTTCTACAAGCGCTCTCTTGTGTACTCAATGGCCCTCTCAAGGAGATTTATATCGACACTGCCCAGATCTCCCACAAAGGTTGTTCTTAGGACTCCAGACTTAAATGTCCCATACATACGAATCCAGGTGCCAGTGTCGAGCCAACCTCTGGTGGCGATTATGATATCTTTTTCTCGGAACGTTACTTTGTATTTCCCGTCTCCAAGTCTGCTCTCGACCTTTCCAAACGAATAGACAGTCTCACCTTCCACATGTCTATTTAAGGGGCGCATCATCTGTGAAAGTTCGAAACAAGGTGATTGGTTCTAAAATGCTCAAATACAAACCATCCCTTTAACAGTGGAGATGAGCAGTAAATCTCAGGGACTTTTTAAAGACCGATTCAGGATAAAGCTTGTGATGTTTATGCACATCAAGATGTACATTGGTGTCCTGTTGCACTGTCTTCTGTTTACAAGATCTCTTTACGGGTCTTGCAGCCTTGCTCTCTTGGTTATGATCAGCTCACTGTCCTTCCTAAGGGCATGCCTGGCCGATCCAGGGAGAGTTAATAGAAAGGTTTACCACAAGTATACACCAGACGTGGTTGCATTCGAAGAGAATGTATCGACACAGATACACACAAACAAGAATGGAGACTGGGTAAGAGCAATAAGGATAAACGGGACGGAGTATCAGGAGAAGTATTGTTTGGAATGTAATTTATTTCGCGTCAATGGAATGTCCCATTGCAGAGAGTGCAACAGATGTGTTCTTGAGATGGATCACCACTGCATGTGGTTTGGAAACTGCATTGGTAGAAACAACATAAGATACTTCCACATCTACCTGTATACCCTGAGTATGGTTACCTTGATAAATGCAGGGTTTATGTACAATCTGGTAACGATGTGCAGTAAGAGCACATTTTTTGCACTTTCCCTCAGGATCCTTGTGGCCGCCTTTGGTGCGCTGTACACTCTACTTTTCTTCATCATCTTTCTATTCACAATGTTCAACATATATGTTGCCTTAAACTCCTCAACATCAAGAGATTTTATCAAGAATGGCGTAGGAAATAAAAAGTTGGATATAGGAAAGGCATGCAAGAGCCTCTCAAGGATTAAGCCAACCCTGTCCTTTGACCTTCCGTCTGTGTAGCTGATGGGATTTCGGCTCTACGAGAGAAACTAGCCTATAGACTCCAAAGAGCATTTCGTCTATCTCGCTATGCAATACTCGAATCGTTTTCTGTTTCCGTGTCGTTGGGTCTGGCATCCGCTTCGTAGTCCCTTTTGTAAAAGAGCTCTCTAGACGTAAGCTGCATAGAGCCCTTTGACTTAAATTCGCTGCAGTTGTTAAGATGCTCGAACTCCACTCTGAAAATAGTCCATACAAACCTCCTGCTTATTTCTACAAATGCCATCCAGAGCGGAGAAATTTTGAACCAGTATAGTAATACCCAGAAAAATCTGCATATCAGATTGAATGTCACTCCGCAGGTGTAGGCATATCTGGGATACATCATCTTGTCTCTAACGATACCCCAGTCCATAAATACGTCCCAAGCACTGGAATAAATGGATGAGACAGTGACAACCATACCTTTGTAAATAAAGAGGTCCCATGTCTTGTTGCTTGAGTACAGAGGCACTGCGAACCCCACTAGGATGGAAAGAGAGTACTTGAGAGCATTTGCAATGTGCGGAAATTTAAGGCGGGTGTCCTTATATCGCCTAAGACATTGTAAGAACCTAACCATTGCAAAAAATGAATTGATACAGCCCTCGGACCTCCAGCTGAGCTTGACCCCATAGAAAAATATCTTCTTGAAGCAAGGAGTAAGGCTTTGGCCAACATCCGCAAAGTAGAAGTGCCTGAACCTTACAAATGACATCGGAAGCGTGATTATCCTGAACACGACCAAGAGGAGGTAAAATCTGGACTCGTAGTACAACACCCTGAGCGGTATTACTAGTACAAGGAGATGGGGCAAGAGCAGCCAATATGGATTAAGATGGACAAAAGAGATGTTGATCCATGTACTAACTACATTAGCAAATACAGAGAGGGAGGTCAAGAGCAGATACTTATCTGAGCTCAGTGATGAACAGACATCGAAGTTGAAAATAAACTTGTAGTTTATGTGGAATCTTTTGAATATGGCAAGAGATATTCCGAAAAGAAACGCTCCGTAGTGTAGAAGCGCCATAGAAAAGAACAGCTCCTTATCCATCTGCTTCTTCCCGAAATTGATTAATCCCATCATTCCAAGAGATATTCCCCCCAGTATCCCAGACATATAAGAGGTAAGAGGATCTGCTTTTCTCTTGGCTTTCAACTTCTTGAATACCGTCTTTGCCTTAGCCGGGTCGTTTTTTGCAAAGGTATTTGTGTAAAGCTCCTTCACGGACCTACATACATCGTCAATGCGCCTGGACTTATTGAAGTATGACTCGCTGACACTTCTAGAGAAGGAATCATAAAACCTTTCTTGGGGATACATCCTGTCATATTTCTTCAAAAGCTTCATCAGCCCTGTGTAGTTCAGCTCCCTAAACCTTTTAATGTTTATCACTGCATGGAGGAACTCTTGTATATTCTTTTCCTTTTTCCTCCTTTCAAGCCGCTTGGAAATCTTAAATATATCTGCAAAGCCCTTCTCATTTGTGCCTTTCACGGCTTTTTTGGCCAATTCCTCAATCTCATCCTCCACTTCTTCAGAAGTACTTGCAGACTTAGAGTCCTCGTCGTCCCTTTCCTCATCAAGCTCATCTTTTCCGTCAGTGCTGATTCTAAGCCGGTCCTTTTGGTCATCTCTTCCCAGGCCATAGTCATCGCTGAGGCACCCAGCCTTCTTTCGGGAGCCTCTGATTCTTATTCCGGAGTCATTGGGCACCCTGGCCTCGGCGGATATCCCTGCATCTATGAATATCTCCTCCTTTTCAATGACAGCCTTTTTTTCAAGCAGGAAGAAGAAGTCGTTTATCTTCCTGAGCTCCTCGTTAATCTGGGTCTTGAATCCCTTTCTGTCTTTCACCATCAGGGACTTGAGAATTTCGTAAGATACGTAGTTTTCCTTCCACTCGTCGACTTGGTTCGCCCTCAAAGTGTTGGAAAATCTCATCCTTTTATGGGTGACATATTTTCTCCAATTCAAGTCCAGATAGAAAGGATCGAAAAGCAGATTGAAAAGCTCTGTACAACAGTGAGAAGAATGGTAAGCCAGAACGCCAAGATCAGTAGATTTCTTGTGTCTCAAGAAAGAATATTGGCTAGGAGATCCCATGGGCAGGCGAATGGGGGAGGCACAGAATGCTGATGCCAGGGAATACATGGACTTTAGTGGGTATCCAATATTGAGGACTATTCTGACCCCAATGGAAGGGAAAGGCGATACAAAGGAAACGATTGTGGAGGAATCAACGGCGATCGTGAAGAATGAATGGACCTTCTTCAACCCCGCACAGAAACTGAATCGAGACATATCTGTAGAGGTCATAAAGGAATGCTTCAAGGATAAGGACACAGTCAGGATTCTGGACGCAATGTCTGCAACAGGGTTGCGGGGGATAAGGTACCTCAAGGAAATAAGTAACTCTACAGTTTATCTGAATGATATTTCCCAATCGTCGATCGACGCCATAAAGTCAAACATGTTGTTGAACGGGATTGGAGAGGTGGAATACTTTGAGTCAAATTTGCAGGACATCAAAGCAAGCGGGAGGTCAAGAGCCAATATCATCAGGTCTGACTGTAATGTTCTTATGGGCTCTTTGCCTTGCTTCTTCGATGTCATTGACATAGACCCTTTTGGAAGCTGCTCTGAATACATAGATAATGCACTGCGAGCAATCAGGCACAAGGGGATTATATGCCTTACTGCAACAGACAAGGGAGTCTTGTGTTCCAACGAGAAGAAGTGTCTCATCAAGTATTCTACGGCGATCATGAGAGGAATAGGGATGAATGAAACACCGCTAAGAACCATTGTGTCCCTTGTATCGAGGCAGGCATCGAAGTTTGGATGCAGTGTGGAGCCTGTGATGTCTCTGAGCATTGACTTCTATGTTCGGATGTTCCTTCGTGTAATAAGAAGAAATCCAAAATCTGTGATTGAGAGAAACAGCCTTGTGCTGATGTGCAGCTGCCACAACATCGCTGAAATAAGTGGTGGGCAAAAGGAGATTGACAATAGATGCGGCAATTGCAGCAGGAGAATGAAGTTGTGTGGGCCGTTCTGGAATGGGCCTTTGAATGACATGGACACCGTCAGAAATGTTTTGAATGGTGCGGATGAAAGTAACAAGAGGCTTGTTGGAGTCCTAAGGTATCTAGAGCAAGAGTTACCAACTATGTTTTATTATGAGATTCCAAGGCTGTGCTCTATCCTAGGGATTAGCACTATCAAGCAATCAAGGTTGATGCATGCTTTAGCAAACATGGGATATCTGGTATCTTATACACACGCCGAGCTGAATGCAATCAAGACGGATGCACCAATTGATTTGATAAACAGGGTGCTACTGCTGAATGACTCAGATGACCAAGAAAAGATAAAGGAGGCAGGAGTAAAGTTCGATGGGAATGAAAGTGTAAAGGCCCTTGAGGCCAAAGAGCTCTTCAAGGGTCTTCTGAGATCTGGAATGGGTCCTCTTTCTCTTCCCAGAAGGCATTAAAAGTTTTTAACTGGAGAGGCTTGCTTTTCTTCTATTTCTCATGTCCCGAAGACCTTCTTGTATTGACTGGATGGGGCGAAGCCCTCCATTGCATGTCCTGGAAGTTCCTCAACGTACTGAAGGAAAGAGCAGGGATGGAAAGCATCACCAAAGAGCAGGTAAAAGGAATCAAAGAGCTTGTGAAAAAAGCACGAGAATGGGATGAGAAGAAGTCCCAGAGGTATGCCAAGTTTTCATCCAAAATGTCTAATGAGGAGTATGCCAAGCTTTGGAGGATGGATTCATACATCATAGAGGACGACGACAAAGAAAAGCTTAAGAATTTAGACCAGAAAACAGTGTTCAACAACATAATGTGGCTATCCCACAGTGTGGAGAAGATAGACTCAAATATGAAGAAGTTTCTTGGAATGCATGTCTGGGTCGTCAATTACTGGATCAAAACCGTTGGGTCTGTAACTGTCAGAAAGTTTCTAAGGGAGAACAAATACAGTGGAGAGTTTGTATACTTTCTGTATAAATACTTTAATCTCTAAACTCTGGTTCTTCTGAGAAAGCTCATACCCAGATATGCCTTTCTTTATTTTCCTGGCTGGTAAACCCGATAAAGTCCATCACAAAGTTGACGAACTCTATCTTATTTCCCCCTACAAGTGTGAATGTGCATGTGGTGAACGGGTGCTTCTCAGTAAGCTCCAGGTTTACCACCAATCCACTAGTATGGCGGACAACATACCTAGACTTCTTTCTAAAGGTTATCTTTGGAAACGTAGCCAGAGAACTCTCGATAAGAGATCTAGATATCGCCAGACTTAGATTCATATCTTTGTTCACAAGATAGATCTTTCTCCTGCTCCATAAGAGGGAGAAAAGGCACCCGTCCCTCACAGAGCTCATTCCACGAAGTATCTCATGCTTCCACATCCTCCTCTGATGATTCGAAATTGTCTCCTCATCGGTTATGAAGTTAAGATCAACAATGTTGTAAGGGCGGCACTGCTGGATACTTCCGGGTGCTGTCAGGTGGTGTCTCGACAGCGATGATGGGCTCCTGCTAACCAGGCAGTACGCTGAATACTCCTTTGAGCTCCTGTCGGGAATATTCCTGAGGACTTCTTCTTTTTTGAATCCTATCTCAACCAACCTTTCAATAACATTATAGTCAACAAACACTATGCTTTTTCTATGGTTCTCTCTTGTAGTACCTACCCAAGGATGCCTCATCAATTGGTCCATCTCTATCCTCATAGACTTATCAGGCTCAATGATCTTTCTTATTAGATCCTTCAGCTCATTAGACAAGGATTCATCTATCTCTACTTTGGATATGATTTCATGTCTACTGGAAAGGCCAATCTCCTCATTCTCAAACGGAAGCTTCCCATGGACCATTGCATAGAGGATTATTCCTAGGCACCAGACGTCGACCTCCGGCCCAATGTACGGGATTCCCCTCATGATTTCCGGGGGCGCACACTGAGGAGTTCCGCAGTAGTCCTTGAGCACAGAGTGTCTGTCATAGAATGTAGAAAGACCAAAGTCACATATCTTAGCAGTCTCTTCGTGTACAATGATGTTTTCTAGCTTCAGATCCCGATGGACAATAGAATGGGTATGCAGGTAATCTACCCCATGTAGTATCTGGACAAACAAGGCTCTAGCATGGTCTTCCTCAAGCTTTCCATATCTTCTAATATACTTATGAAGATCCATGCCGTTTACTAGCTCCAACACCAGTACCAGGTTCCTTGACGTATTGATATATCCATAGAGCTTACATATGTTCTTGTGGTTCAGAATTTGCTGAATCTTTGGCTCAAGACCATGTTTCCATCGATCCACATCCTTTCTGATAAACTTTATTGCTACTTTCATACTAGTTATGCTGTCAATAGCTGAAACCACGTCTCCATAGCTCCCAGACCCTAGAAGACCTGTTATATTGAAGTTCAAGAACTTCTTTTGGAGATACATGTGTCCTGTTGTTTCTCTAGAGATGGTATTTCAAGATATGTTTCAGGTTCCACCGAGGCACGGAGGGCTTCGTTTCGAATACATGATACAATGGAACGAAAAGAAACCAGCTAGAAGCGAGTTTGGGGTCTGTAGATGTTTCAGAAATGGTACAGAGCTGCAATATAAAGGCCGTGGCAGATCCAGAAAAACGTCATGCTTCTGATGTATTTGGCATTGATGTGCGCAAGAAAAGAAGAAGTTGGGTATATATTTTCTGAGGGAAAACAAAGATTTCTAACACGTGATGGGGTAAATATAGTATTAGCAAAGTATGATGAGAGTCCACTCAAATTTCGAATGAAGAAGATGGGAGGAGGAGAATCTAGTAATGTGCTGTTCTATCCTGTCCCTGGAATGGAGGGGAAGGTTGCCGACTTCGCTGCATATTCCCACAAGAGATGGCATTTTTATCCGGAGCACGGGAAGTGGAATCAAAGAACAAGGCTTGTATTGATGCCCGGCAACAATTTGAAGATCGTTATTGGCGATAAATGCCTCGGGATCAATGACGACATGGTAATCGGAGAAACTTGCAAGGAGGACGGAGAAGACAATCTCCAGATATTTAGCTGGATCCCAATATCTCATAAGAGAAAGGTGAAGGAGTGGGTTCGATATAATCGCAGCCACAGACTCTCTAGAAGAAGGCACCTACCACTAGATGAAGATGAAGGTCATGGACAAGAAAGTTCCAGATATGACAATGACACAAGCTCTTCTTCAGATTATCAAGAAAGAGGCCGTAGATCATTCCACGAGTTTGACTATGATGGCGGACCTGGGGGATATGGGCCATTCAACAGTGGGATGGGGTCTTTTGGAAGTAAAAGGAGACGATACAGACATGATGACGAAGTGAGTACAGAAGAGAGGGACGAGGAAAGCTATAATGACGATAGATACAAAGACTGCCGGGAAGGAAAAGTGTTCAGGAAGAAGAGGTCTGGAGGACTTCTCAAGGGCGGAAGGACGAAGTATAAAGCTTCTGGAACCAGAGAGAATGACGGAAACGCACATCAAGGAAGAGATCTCATGCTCAACGATATTGTCAATCCGGAATTTGTTAATTATCTAGACAACTCTCCGGAGTACGAGCATGGAGCGATCGAAGAAAATTCATCTGTGCCTTGTGATGACAGTATATTGATGTTTGGGGGAGACGGCAGCCATTGCAACGTGGGTGGAGCTGGAGAAAATGAAATATGTAAGATAAACAAAACAACCATGGCTTTTAGGAAGGAAATCGGGATTACCATATGAGGCTGATCTCTATAAATAAACACTTTTTTAATATCCGGTCCTATTCGTCCCTTGCCAGGTCCTTGGGATTTAGCCTATCACCTGTACCCGTTTGTAAATCCTGAATGATTGATATGCGTGTAAAAAGGAGAAAAAGATTTAAAAAGTAGGTTGGAATGTCTGCCTATGGAGGCTTGGAAGACGATGAACAAACTTGTAAGGTATACAGAGGCCCTTATTGTGGCGTTTGTCATCATTCTATATCTTTTAGGGCTCTATGAAGCCGTTATTGTTTCAGGCGTGTCGATCCGGCTTTACCTGCTCATAACTTCCTTTTACTACTATGTAGGATGCCTTGCAAAATCACCTGGGCAGCTCCTCGACTTCGGAGATGCAAATGTAAAGGGAATATGCAATAAATGCAACAGAATAGTGGGGACAAAAACGATTCATTGTGAAATATGCAACAAGTGTTATCACAGAAGAGATCACCATTGCCCAATAATAGGGAGGTGTGTTGCATCAAACAACATCAAGGATCTGTACTTTGCTGTGTCCTTCATAGGGCTCCACTCACTGGCAGCAATCCTTAAAGGCTCAAATAGGTTTGCTTATATGATGTCCATCCACAGATACCTGTTTGTCATGTCGAGTGCATTTGCATGCTGGCTGACATTTCTCATTCTCACAGGTAAAACGACGAAGGAGCTGATGAAATTCCAGGGGAGGATAACAGACGAGGTAAGGATGTTTAGGCTGAAAGAAGTATTTCGCGACGGGCTTGTAGGAACATTAGCCCCTTATTTGAGATGGAAGACATCTATTGTCAAGTAAGCCAGATTTATTCGGATCTTGCGTCTCCAAGCTTCATGTAAATGTGTTTGACTCAGACGTCCCCTTTCTTTCTCAAAATGTTAGCAAGCCTGTTTGCCTCATTTTTCTCAATGTTTTTCTTTCTCTGTCTTCGGAGTGCAGACAACGTTACCTCTCCCTCCTTGACTGCTGCTTTCAGAATCCTGTTCTTCTTGCTGTGAGGTCCGTATCTAGGAACATAGTCCCCTATCTCTTCGTCATACACAATCTGACCCTTCTTCTTCTTCTTTATTCCTTTTGCTCTTGCAAATCTTTCCCACCTCGTCTCAACATGCTCCTTCAAGTGCTGCTTTGGGAAGACAATCGCGGGCTCCGGAAGAGAAAACACAAGATCAGGCCCCATCCTTGTTGACGGACACGCCTTTATCTCCTTCACAATCCCCTTCAATAAATTAGATGTTTCTCGATTTATATCAGAGTCTCCAACCGCGTTACCACTAATCACAGTTAGAAACTTTAGATGATTCATTCCTTCAAGGGCAGGGAAAACAGATAAAAATCACCGGACCACGAATAAATGATCCATGGCATCACGCCTGTTCTGGACAATGCATTCTGCAACCCACAGGATGTTCTTTATTTCCTGCTCTTTCATCTTGAAGTATGAATACACACAGCTCAGATCTCCATACATGCTGAACGATTCCTTGTACTTTTGAAGCTCTGCCTTTATAAGCACATTGGAGATATCTGTATCGAAGTCGTATGCCTCGCTCAATATGGACTTCATATCCTCCAGGTTCTCCGCATGCGAGAGAAGCTCTCTTGTATTCAGACTCATCGAGTGTACATCAGGGAATAGGTCCATTCTCCTCTTCCCCACTATATCTTTCGAGCTAAGCGTGTTCACTGTAATCTCTATTATTTGCCTGTCTCCCTCAAGCTTTAGTATCTCTCTCATGTGCTCCATATCGTCGTTAAGATTCCTATATGTCTCCTCAATGTGAAACTTGAAAAACAGTGTCTGCAGCACCTGGAAGTTGTTTGCAGAAAACTCTTTCTTGAACTTGACTCTCTTCTCAAACTTCTTGAGAAAGCTATTCTCCATGCAATATCTCTGAACATCATCCATGTCGTTTGAAAACTTAATTGTCCTCAGAGCACTGAAGTCCCCTATCTCTATTTTCTCAAAACTTTTCTCGAGATTTGGGTCTTGAAGCTTGCACTGGAGGAGGTAAAAGAAGTTTTGGATCTTGTGGAAGTCCATATAGTAGTCCAATATCGTTCTTATTCCCTTGTCCTCGGCATCATGATAATAGTCAAAGTCGGCCTTCAAAGACTCCAGCAGCTTCTTCTTTAGTTCAGGCTTTGTGTAGGCAATGCCTTCTGAAAGCCCGCGGTACGTTCTTGACAGCTTTATCGCCACCTCCTCCAAGCTCTCGCATCTCTTCAGGGCATTGTAGTCTTCCTCCTTCAGCATTTCTTCTCTCTTGCCATTTATCTCTGATATTATGTATCCATACCTTTCCACATGGCTGAATTGTTTTTCCATGAATGGGAAAACATGCCAAAATAAATAGAGCATTCGCAGCCTCATTATCCCTATATATCACCCAAATGAATGAAGAACAGGTCCTTTGCGAAGTGAGGAGAGCGGTGGAAAGCCACCAAGACGAGATGTATGACAACAAGGTCTACTCAGTGAGTGACGGAGGCAAGGGAAAGATAGACAAGGCAGTGGTGAAGAGTAAGCTTCCACAAGGAGACTGGGATATTCCGCATACGGAGATAATGATAAGGGCCGATGACAGTGTTAAGATAGTCATACAGAATAGCCCGATATACATTTATGGGGAGTATGTAAAGATGGACAGAAACATGACACAATCGCCTCTGGTGGTTGGGGGACGTCTTAAGTGCAGCAGGAGCGTGTCTGATTTCAAGATGCAGGTCAAAGAATTCTTTTTGGCAGATGACGTTGTCTTTATCCCTGCGGGGAGGGAGGACTTTGACGTCCGAATGGTAGAGGGAAGGCCCTTTCTACTTACTGTGAGGAATCCTCGAAGAAATCTTAACTTTGAAAAGATGGGACTGTCTCTTTATGACGGCCTTGAAATAAAGAATCTGTGTGTCGTGAAGAAAGAGTGCAAGGCTATGATCTTCCAGGGAGAGAGTGTGTCAAGTAAGACATACTCTGTATTTCTATGCTGCAAGAAGGAGCTTGATCTAAAGAAAGATTATGTGATCAAGCAGAGGACGCCGCTGAGGGTTCTACACAGAAGAGCTAATCTAACTAGGGAGAAGAAGGTTTGCATTCTCGAAAGCAAAAAGAAAGATGTAGATGGGTGGATCTACTATCATATTGTTCTCGAGGCCAGTGCCGGGACCTACATAAAGGAGTTTGTGAACGGAGACTTTGGAAGAACTGTTCCATCGCTAGGAAGCAAGGAAAACTACTGTGACCTTCTCGAGCTAGATGTTCTGAGAATAGAGAAGAAAAGCATAGAAAGCTTTTTGGTAAGAAGAATTGAGCTGGAGTCCACCAAGTGCTAACGAGTTTTCATAGAAGAAATATTTTCAATAAAAATCTTAACCGTGAATGTCTGAAGAAGGCCTTGAGCAAAAGAAGCTAGAAGGCTTTGAGGAGAATGGCTCTAATGAGAGCGCAGGGTCTAAAGAAGACACCAAGAACGCCAAGAAAAGAATGCTTTCGATCAACGACGAGAACAAAAACGGGTCTAAGCAGATTAAAATGAATCCGTACTACAAGAAGGATGTTGAGATTTCTACGATCCAGGATGCTTCTGAGAAAGACAGCAAAAACAATATGTTGAAGCAGGCTATACACAAGAGAGATCTATCATACATCAATGAGTTTTTGGTAAGAAAGGACAGGGCGTCGATGCTAAAGACATTGTCTTGCGACGATAAGGAGGTGTTGGGAGAGATGCTTCTTGAATTCGTGGACCAACCCGTACGGAGTGAGGCATTGGAGATGATGAGAGAGATTGTCACAAGCATAAGAGATGTTGGGGTGTTCATTGATAGGCTGAAAGAAAGAGCTGTTGACTTTTCGAAGCTGATTTATTTGAAAGGCAAGATCGACTACTTGAGATTTACGATTGGAGGCCAAGAGGAGAAGGAGCCTGAGATGTCTGTCAGGGGATGACTACGTGAAGGCCCTAACAATAGTGATGAAGGATGAAACGCTACGAGGAAGTCCAATGGCACATGTTATGATATGAAACACATCTGAACCAGAAAAGCTCTCGATTGGTCACACATGTTACAGGATAAATATAAAAGAAGCTTCAAGCTCGTAAAACAAGATGGCTGATTCTGCAAACGATAACAACAATTCTGGAGAGTCTAGCGGAAACGGTAGATCCAAGAGAAACACTATAATAATAGTCATCGTAACTTTGGTTGTTGTCACTATTCTTCTTGCTGTGGCCAGCAAGAGAGGATGGTTTGGTGGCAGCAAGAATGGTGGAAGTCCCAGTAAGGTTGGTACTGATACAGCATCAAAGTCTCCTACACTAAAGTCAACTGATGAAAGCAAGGGCAAGAACTCGGCAAAGAGTCCTAGCTCCAGCGCTAAGGAAGAGGATGAAAACAATGGTAGTGCTAGCAGTGGTAACTCCAACCTTTATGGATAATCGAAAAGCAGGAGACAATTAAATTGAATCTTCTTTAACTTTTTATTCAAACAGTCATAGATCGTTGAAGGGCGGGATGTTGAATCTCTTTTTGATAGTTATTCTTTCCTTCGAGAACTTGTCTTCTATTGTGAACTTTGCAGGATGTGCACAGAAGGTCTCCTCTTCATCCAATGTATAGATTCTCTCACCATCTTTTAGGCGGTAGAACATTTAGGGTATGAGAGAAAAGGATGAAATGAGCCATGCCCTTTGGAACCTGTGATGAATGCGAGTAAAGAAGGGAATGTATTTCTTCTTGGGCTAATATCAAGCAGTGAAGAGAAAAGACTGTTCCTAGATCGTATGTTTTTCCTCCCTCAAAGGCTTACTCGGATTCTTACAGCAATCAAGTCTTTCGAGGAATCGAAAATATTTCTGAGTAGAGTTTTGAAAAAGGATGCGCCGAATTATTATGAAATAATAAAAAAACCTATGGATTTAAGTATTGTCCAGAAAAAGATAGGGAAATATAAGTCCTTTGAGGAATTCAAGGCAGACCTTGATCTGATATGGGATAACTGTCTCAAGTTCAACCACTCGAAATATTATCGAGATTGTGCTTTAAAGATGAAAGATGTGGTGAGTGCCTTTGAGATAGAGGTAGTTCCTGTGAGTATGGACATGGGCTTTGCTATAAGCTCTTATGTTTGTGAGGGAAAAGAGGGGAAGGGGCCTATTATCAAGTGCATAGTTAAAAAGATAATAAGTAGGGTTCTTCTTTCGTTGGGATATGGCGCCGCCTCTGGAATGGCCCTTGAAGTATTCTGTGGTGTTTTTGAGCACAAAATACTCAAGATAATAAAAAAAGTGAAGGCGGAGGAGACAGACGATCTGAGATCTACTTCTCAACCCCCTTGAATGTGTATGGCCTGATTTTAAGTTAGCAAAATTTTAACCCTCGAAATGGGAAGAAGGCCTGGAAGGTGCTACAGATATCTGTCCAAGAAGGCATATCCAAAGTCAAGGTTCAACAGAGGAGTCCCTGACTCGAAGATCCAGATTTTTGACCTTGGAAGGCGTAAGGCGGGGGTTCTTGAGTTTCCACTTCTGGTCAATTGCATCTCGAACGAGAGAGAGAATCTGTCTGCTGAGGCGCTAGAGGCAGCCCGTATATGTGCTAACAAGTACATGGTGAAGCATGCTGGGAAAGACAACTTCCATCTAAGGGTCCGTGTGTATCCGTTCCATGTTCTCAGGATCAACAAGATGTTGAGTTGTGCAGGGGCCGATAGACTTCAGACAGGGATGAGAGGATCTTTTGGCAAGCCTTATGGAAGAGCAGCAAGGGTTGTATTCAACCAGCCCATTCTTAGCATAAGGACAAAAGAATCCTTCAAGGACATTGCTGTTGAGGCACTGAGAAGAGCAAAGAACAAATTCCCTGGACACCAGGAGATCCAAGTCAGCTCGAGGTTTGGGTTTACCAACATGCTAAGTGACGAGTTCAACAATCTGAAGGAGAGTGGGAGAGTGATCCTACGGGGAGGATCTTTTTCTGTGATCAGGGAAAAGGGAAGTATTGACAATTTCAAGAGAAATCTTGAGCAAGCAGCTAATAATTAAAACAGTGATCTTTTGTGTGTTCCCTCTTTTTTTAGTTCTCAAGCAAATGATAAACAAAATGATTGGAGGGGACCCATGGATTTCGGTCGTGAAAAGCCTGTGACTCTGTTCTCCAGTGAGGGCAACCTAGGGCAGTGTGACAATGCCCTCAGGGCTGCAGTGAATGGCAGTTTGTCGATTGGAGCAAGTGCAGCCGACGGCGCTGTTCTGATGTCTTTTAAGGACGTGCCTTCTCTTGTTATAAAGGAGGAGGTGAGGAAGGTATTCAAGATCTGTGATACAATAGGATGTACCTACTCTGGACTCCAACCTGACTGCCGGCTTCAAGTAAATATAGGGTGCCAGATAGCAGAAGAATACTATGATGTGTATGGGAGGTACCCAGATGTGGATGTATTTATTTCACACTTTTCCTCTGTTGTACAAGAATATACACAGAAGAGTGGATACAGGCCTTTTGGAACACTTATGATATTTGCAGGGCCTGTGAAAGGTGTTCCAAGGCTCTATCAAGTGGATCCAAGCGGGTCTTATCAAACTGCAGATGTCTGCACCTCTGGAACGGGGTACAGCGAGGCAAAGAAGTTCATTAAGAGGAGGCTGGAGAGCCTTGACGACAACATAGTTAATTGTGTATCCTCGATGAGGGAGTTTGCGGGTAAGGAAGTTGGCCCCGAGGATATCGACATTGGGGTGTATTATAAGACAAAGAATGTATTTAAGACATTCACTCTTGGCGAGGTCAGGGAGGTGTTTGACTCCCTAAGCAAGAGCTAGTGGTTTCTTTGAAATAAACTTTTTGAGTATTTAGGCTCTGCTGCAGCGATACCTCGTTATGTTGTCTAGAGTGCACGAAGCCCACATGGAGGAAATAGAGAACGTCGTGTCTAGAAAAATAGATTTGTGTCTCTATGAAGAGGCACTCCAGATAATAGACTCCACTCCCTTAACAGGTGCATCTGGGGTAAGCGTCTATCCCTATAAGGGACAGATACTCTATCTCCAGAAAAGATACGAGGAATCCATAACCTTTCTGAGGTGGCTAATAGAAAAGTTTCCTCGAAACATTAGAGCCAAAAGATTTCTCTACCTGAGTTTTCTGACTCTCGGAGACTTCAAGTCATCCTTTAACATTGCAAAGGAGTGCTGGGAAGACGGAGATTACCGAAGATCTACACTAATCAGGATATTAGCACATTCATTTGTACTAAGTGACTTTGACTTTCTTGAGTCTCTCGATACACATTGTGATGAGCCTCTTCTCCTATCTATGGCATATGTCTACTCTGGAAAACTAGATCGAGCTGTTGAAATAATGAGAAGCATTGAGGAGTCTGATGGTTCTGAGATATATCTAGATGCTCTTATTTCTGTGCATACAAAGTCTATACATATGCTAGACTATGTAAGATACCTGAACGAAGACATTTTCATCAAAGCGATAAATGGTCTTGAGAAGAAGCAGAGAGTGTTTGAAGAAATCAAGAGTCAAGGATGCGAGTATATTGACTTTAAGATAATGCACATAGCAAAGAAGACGCTTGGGATGAGTGAATATAGAAATATCGTGGAAAATATTTCTTCAGGAGGCAGAGCGGAACATTGTTGTAAAAAGGACTGTTTTCTAGGAAAGCTTAGAACTAGTAGGGAAGAGACTGTACTTTTCAGGAAGAATGATCCGTATAGCCCAGCAGGGAGATATTCTGAGCTGGAAGGCATATTTGGAAGGCTGAGGGCTGGCAACTTTTCAGGTGGACTTGAAGGTCTGAAGAAAATGTATGGATTGAGAACAACACCAGACCTTGAGAAACATCTGAAGAATGGGCAAAACACGCTTGTGATAGATGAGGTAGGAAAATCACTCTTAGATTATGGAAGGGGGAAGGACTCGTCTTATTACACCGACCTGTCTGCAGCAGCCCATTCACTTCGTGTTAGAGACGTGATTGAATGTCTGTCGAGATTGATGGACGAGAATATGGTTGGTGAGATTATCGAATTGCTAGAGTTAGATTTATTTAATAAGAACACTTGACGCCCAGAATTCACAGCTCCGCTACCTCTTTTCAAGGAATATGGAGGGGACAGGCATCTCATCGATGACAAGATGACATATGTACCTGACAAAGCTCTCACTGGGATTTCTGGCAAGAAACGTTTCTATTGCTTCATCGTTGGAATAATTCAGCTTTTCTATCCTGCTATAAGGATCCATCATGGAAGAGAGATAAACCCATTTGTCTGTATCAAGAAGCTCCTTGTTTATCTTTGCAAGATAGAAGGTGATCAGTGGATATATGTACACAAGACAAGAGAATATGGACTCTACAGCTGGCCTTGGCCCGTTGTCGACTGAAATGAACTTGATGCATGTATCGTGGAACCTATCCAAGAATCCGGTATCTATAAGTATAGAGAATTTGGATTGGTCCTTAATTGCCGACGAAAGAAATATTGTAAGGGGTATCAAAAGAGCCAGGTTGTCTGGATTTCCAAAAAATAGGTCTAGAAGTGTGAGATGGATCTTGTTTTGGAATATTTCATCCATGAGAAGGTCAAGTTGCCCCACCATTAGCCTTATATAAAGAATCATCTTGGAGTCTATGGTTTTGAGCTCTGGGATCTTCAGTTTAGGGCATCTGCGAGAACAGCTCAGAATCTCGATTATGTCATATATCTGCTTGTACTCAAAGTATGACTCTTCCCTGAGAAATATGGAGACAAGTCTTTCTCCTGCCAGCATTATTTCGTCATGAAAAAAGTCCTCCTCATCACTGGACATCGACCCACTATCCTCATCCATCCATTCAGCAAGAAGCAACATCTTCAGTGCCACATAATGCTTCCTCTCAATGAGAGAGGACACCGGACGCGCATCCTTCAGTAGCATGGCCAGCTTCTGCATGTTAAGACCTTTCAACTCAAGAAGAATACTGAAAAGGTTCAGTGCAGGCTCAAAATCGAGAGTGTCGAGGAAGGAAGTAATAAAGCTTCTGTCAAGGGCCTCCGTCATGTAATGGGGATGAATCCTAAAGTGGAATGCCAAAACCTCAAAAAAGTGTTTCAGAACTTTCGATGTAGGATTGAACACAAGATACTCTAAGTCCTCTCCATTTCCGAAGTATTCATTGATCTCAAAATTCCTAAAGATCTCCTTCATCCTGGCTTTGTCATCCTCATCCTCTGTGTCTGAAATGTTGGTACATTCGGAAACTAATCCAAATAAAGCATCTTTACTTCTTCTTATCCATTCTTCCTTTGTCATAGGATATATGCATCCCGCGGTGCTACTCACACTACTTTTGATTGAGAGGCTATCAGTAGGGTTGTCTGCCTCCTGCCTGTCTCCGACTGAACCGTCGCTAGAGAATTTGATGATCCGTATAAAAACATTCATCTTCTGGTAGAATGCAAAGTTAAATCGGCTGTTGTCTGTACACAAGCATTCGCTTACAAGAGCGATGTCTTTGAAATAACAGAAGTTAGTAACAAGATAATCTAGGTGATGGATCATGTAGTTTGTAATCATTGGCTTTTTGAGCTTAAACTGTGTGAGAGATCTTTGGAGAATGTTATGAAAGCGCTTTTGGTCCACATCAGGACACATGGAACTATCCCCCATAAGTTCAAATTTGATGGGTTTTGCCTTTGGCCCAATAAAATACAACTAGCATATCTCCTCATCCTCCGGCTCCTCCCTTCTCAGAATCAAATAATTTACTTTTTCCTCCTTGCACATCTCCTTGAACTTTGGAAAGCACTCGCTTCTTATAACCACATATCCATCATGGATCTCCCCGTTCTTCCTGACAAAATCCGTGACCTTGCCATTCATATCGACACTAACTTTTATCCCAACCCTATCAAAGCCCATCTTCTCCAGCTTGGCCAGCACCTCCTGCGACTGTTTCTTGCTATTTCCTATGTATATGTTGTGCACTTTGTTTATTGCCTCCCTTAAAGAAGCCTCGTTGAGGTGCCTCCCTTCCTTTGTCACCTTGTTCCTTAGGATCTCAATGATCTCTCTCTCTGTTTTCTCCTGCTCGTAGATCCTGGTTGCCTCGCTCTTCTGCTCGTGTCCGTTGTCCAAAATCTCTCGGACTATCTCCTCATGGGGCTTACAGAATAGTTCCAGGTCGCCTTGCCCAGCTATTTCTCCCTTCGAAACACTCCTGTACACAGTGTCCGTAAGAAGAATCTCGTTCAGAGGCGTTGCCATTCCATTTCTGTACTCGTAAAGCTTGTTGGGATAAACTCCCAATTCATAGCGCCTCCCGAACTTCTTGAGAGCAACAATGCTAACATTCACAAGCTTCTTTTGGTTTAGTGGCGTGAACATCAGCAGGTTAGAGGGTGGTTACATCCAGAAAACTAAGCGCAAAAGTATTTATTAACAGAGCATGAGGCTAAGGCCTAAGTAAATATATCAATGATCTCCTTAGCATTAAGCCTTTTCTTATAATTCATATCAAGCATTAACTTACATACACGATCGAGTTTGACTCCTCTGAAGTCGTTTCTTCTCAGCCTCATCCAGTTGTCTCCACTCTTTGGAAGGATGATCTCTGAGATAATTTCCAAGTATATCAGCCCAAGGCTGTATATGTCGCTGGCCTTTGTGCATACATCCCTGAGAACCTCTGGCGCCATGTACCGCTTGTCTCCATCCTCATCTATGTCCTCCCCCTCATATCTGCTTATGTTGAAGTCAGAGATCTTGAACACAAACGACTCGGGATCAGTTGGAAACATGCACTGGCACCTACCAGAGCATTTCTCCTTCGAGATGACACTTTTCATAAGAATATTCTCTGGTTTTAGATCTAGATGGACAATGTTGCATGAGTGGATCGCATCGAGCCCACTTGCTAGTTCATACATCATCTTTCTTGTTATCTCGAGAGAAAACTTGGACTTCTTCAGAAAGTACACCTCATGAATGTAGTCCCGTAGTGTTCCGATGTTGCAATATTCTAACTCTATAAACAAGTATCCACGGTTTTCCCAAAAGTCATGATATTTAACAACATAGTCCGAATCCACTCTTTTAAGCATTTCTATTTCTCTCATCCTACTCTTCCGATCAAGCTCCCCAGAAATCCTTTTTTTGCTCTTCTTAACGACCGTGTAATCAGCATCGTAGACACAAAGCTTCCTGCTTTTGTAAAGCATCACTGGTTCCTCGAGTAGATGGTTCACCTCCCTTCCACCATCCTTCTTGTTCACAAACACTTCGTAAAATGCCCCCTCTCCAGTCTTGCAAACAAAATTGCACATATTCTCCTTATCTGCACCTGACATCATATTGTCTGTGCACATAAATACATCGCTGAGGGTAGGACCCTCATTAATTAGAGAGGAATCCCGAGAATCTGCTGCAAAAGGCACTGACGGCACAAGCATATCTTTATATGGAATCTTCTTCGACGGAGTCTTCGGAGAGCTGAACATGGCCTCTTCTCTTTCACGCTTTAGTATATATATCTTCTTCAAATGGCTCATTCTGGGTTCCTCAGGGTTAATGCATTTGGGAACGAAATAACCATCTTGCCCACCAGCAGGGCATTAACAAAATTTTCCTTGGTTACAACTTTTGACAAACACACAATAACTTTAATGGTCTTATAACGTCACTTGTTAGGCTTTCTATAACTGTAAGGAACCTTCCCATATTCAAAGTCCTCCTCAATAAACTCCTCATCTCCCGTGCCTCTACCCACGCTCTGTCTATCACCCAGCGTTTCAGCATTGTGCATCCACGTCCCGCTTGCACCTTTTGGTGCTACGTTGCCATAAGCCCCTGAGAACGGGGAGGGAACATCTTGTATATCAAATTCTCCATCGGGCTTTGAATTCTTCCTGTTTGTATTTCTCCCATATCCCCACGTGTTTTTCTGTCTATACTCATTGTCCTTTCCTTTTGAATAGGGTGATTCCCTTGCAAATCCTCGAGGCTCTCTTTCATTGTACCCTCCTCTATGACTTCCATACCCAGCTCCTGGGGCCTTATTATTTCCCTGGCCCCAGGAATTTCCAGGCCCAGTCTCTTGCCGATTCCAATTACTCCCTTTGTCTTTGTAGCCGCCCCTAGCGCTCATAGGATATTGGTGCGGAGGCCCGGAAAATCCCCCAGCCCAGCTTCCATCCCCTTTGGATCCATCTCCCTGTCCCTTCTGCAAAGATCGTGCGCCTTGCTCTCTCATTTGCCTTATAGTACTCAATACCCTATCTACATCAAACGGCGCCATAAACACATCAGGACTCTCTCTAAGGTCCACATATCTATTTGACACCGACTCAATCCTAGCATCGCTTTCAAGAAGATCCATCTCTCCACATAGGGCTATATAGTTCCCTATCCAGAAGTTATCAAGAACCTCCTTCATATCCCCACACATCAATGCAAATCGCACTTCCTCCGGCGAAATTTCCATCACATCAAGCCCTCTGTATGAAGAGTAAATCCATTGGGGAGGATCCACCAGAGAGGTGTACCGGACGTGATCATACTTACACTTCGAGCCAAACTTACACTTCCCCTCAAGGAAGAAGCGGCACACATTCTTCATCTCAGTGTTAGGTTACGGGGGTTCTTTGTTTTTTGTCTAAATTCCTATGACTCCCCACATCCTCCTTCTAGATAAAAAAGCTTTCCAAATCATCTTCAAAGACAAAAGACTTTTATTAATTTATATCACCTGCACCAAAGGCATACAGAAAGTTACTCGTCCCGCACATCCTCTCCAACATTGATACTCTTGATGTACATATCTATTTCCTCTACAACGTGGTCCGGGATCGTCCTCATATCCACTTCAATCTCGTCATTTTCTACAAACTCTCCAGCTCCATTCTTCAGAACAATCTTTGCAACGTTTTCTGTTTGTTCCTTAGTCATATTCAGTATGGCGTTTCCTATGCTAACCCTTTCACTCAGCGAGTAGGCTCGAGATGAAGGCGCCTCTCCAGTCTGCTCCATTAGCTTTGATTCTAGCATCCTAATCTCCCGAGTGTAAGACACAACCTTTCTCTTCAGCTCAGATATCCTGCTTTTGATATCAGCTGGCAAGGTCTTTTCCATATGCGCTTTTATAGCCCTCTCAAACTCCTGTCCACATGCATAGACCTCCGTCCCCGGTGCATTGAACTTCTTGCAGTTCTCTACAATAAGCTCGAGATCTCTTCCAAACTCCTCGACGCTATGGTATTTCCTCTGCTCTAGCTTGTTTCGCATCGTTTGCATGTCCATAGGCTCCTTAATAACAGAGTAGTATCCAGGAACAAGATCTCCATCTACAGGTTCCAAAAATGGCCAATTGTAGGCCTTATGCTTCGGCCTCACCAAATCGTTAAGAACCTCAGAACAAAATTCATAGTCCTCTGTCTTCATCACCTCAATGGGCTTTATGCTCCTCTTCACCTGCTTGGGTCTCACTACTGCAGGCACTTCGGTTTTCTTCCGCTTCTTAGAGACCTCCTGGGGCATCCCTTCCATCATATCATTGTACACACTCTCAAGGGCCTTCCCCATGTCGTGAACAACTGTTCCAGGTGGGTTGTATGTATAGCAGTTGTTGAACATCAGCTTCATGTCACTGTCAAAGCCCTCAGGCCCAGAATATTCCTTCGCATCTAGCTTCTTTCTAATGGTAGACAGGTCCATGGGGTGCTTTATCTTTTCCGGATAATCAGGAATCCCCAACTTCACAGGATCCACAGGCTCTAGAAATGGAGGCGCATTCGAATTTCGCTTGATCCTGGTCAACACCTGAGAACAGTACTTAAGCTGGTGCTCAGCCAAAATACTCCCAGAGTTCGTCTCGTCCTCCTCCATCTTTTCAAGGGGTATGAAAAATTTCAAAACAAAAAAATATCTAATACACAGAGCTATTATATATAAATATATTTCTTTACCTAAGCCAGATAAGCATATTCATGCAGGGTTATTATTTGCCGCTACATTTGTATTCAATCCGCCAATATACGAACAAAGAGATAAAAGAGATATAAAGATAATAGGTAGAAGTATCACGTTTTTGCTCCCAGAATGTCGGAAAAATGGTGCCATGTACTGTAGTACGGAGGTCACCACCTTCCGTATAACAGTGCTGAATACAAATGCCTTCTTTATGTAATCAGACCCTCCACTCCAAAATCCCCAAACAATAAAGATTAGCATAAAAACCACCTCTGTAACCGTGATCATGGGCATACTAGAAAACGGATCCTTGTCTATTCCATGAAACTCCTCCTCGTCATCTTCAAATCGGATAACAATCCCTGAAGTATTCGAATATGTCCCGCGCTCTTTGAAGCCAGATATGTACTGGTATCCCTGCATCACAAGATTATAAAGAGAATAAAGGAGAGATAGCAAGTTGTAAAGCCCTGAAGAGCTTTTCAGCGTGCCTAAGGAAATATCGCGGGCACTCCTTTGGCTGATGGCAGAATGACCAGCATTCCACATTGAAAGCATCATAACCATTATTGCGAAAAACATCATCAAAATTCCAAAAAAATCTATCACTACATTCAACTTGTTTCTAATGAAAAACTTACGCAATTCCCTCATCCATCTGATTATTTTATCTTTGTAGGACCCTTTCTTGGGCTTGCTATGCTTTATTATATATGTGGTGGGAACCTTGTGAAGCCCATCTACTATGCCCATTGCAACTAGAGCACACGAAATATACTTGCAATATACATTATCTAGAGATCCTTCACAGTATGTTAAACAAATAATCCCAACAAGTGCATAGAGGAAGCACTCCAGGAAATTTAGGGCTATCGACGCTATGTATCTGAATTCTTCTAGCCATCCTCCGACTGTTCTGGATATCGAGGAAATCTTTTTTTCTATATCCATAAGGGTTGGTGGCGAAAAACTTTAACATAGCTTCTTTGAGGAGAATAGGAGTAGTTCTTAGGGATTACCAATAAAGATAAATGGCAGCTCTGTATAAGGGTGATGGAAGAAAAGTTTAAAGCAACTCTGAGTGGAAAACTTCGTGCATGCCTGGGATGCTCCCAGATAAAGACACAGAATGGGTTCAGGAAAGACGGATGTGAGAATTGTCCAATGCTAGCCATGAAGGGGAATATTGCGAATGTTAATGAGTGCACTTCAAGCAATTTCAAGGGAGTTGTGGCTCTTCTGCAGCCATCAAGTAGCTGGGTCGGAAAGTGGCAAAGAATAGGAGAGTTCAAAAAAGGACTCTATGCAATGACTGTCGAGGGCACCCTTCCTGAAGACTTTATTAAGGACGTAGAGCAACATGGGAGAGTCTACTATGAAAGAACAGAATCTTTCAAATTGTAAGAGACTAAGCCTTGTTACCGCTCTTTTTTGTTAACTGGATTTGCGCTACCCTTGGATGGAAAAAATTGAGCTTGAGGATGTCGATGACGCCACATTAAGGGAGAAGCTGTTTGTAAAAGCAGCATCTAAATTCTTAAAGACTATGGACTTCAAGATGGTTGATGAGGGATATGAAGGAGAGTTGATGAGGTCCCAGAAGGAGATTGAGCAAGGAGAAAATGACATGCGAAGAAAGGCTGAAAAGATGATGAAGAGACATAGTGAAATGAGATTGAAGAGGAAGTCCAAGGCGTCCGAGCTGGACTCTGACGATCTCGAGTCAGAAGGCTTCGTTGCGCCCATGCTAAGCAACAGGGAAACCAGGAGGAAGAATAAGGGGAAGCATCCTGTGAACAGATCACTAAAAAGAAGAAGGATGAAGAAGAGGCAAAAGAGACACAGACACTGACCTAGCCATTTATTGACTTAGGTGCCCAGTAATAAATATAGTTCTAGGTTCATGTTTTATGGCAGATATCAAGATAAGCCCAGCGAGATAATTGGTTATGACTTTGAAACAGCAGCTCTTAGCCTGAGGCACAAATGGGAGAGAGGAGTCTCCTTTAAAACAAGTGATAAGGCGGTCTATGCGGACTGCGGTTTATGAATGCGAGTAGCGGGGAGTGTTCTTTGATAAATGACGTAACACTATCAAGATTCAAGCAGTTCCTTGGAACAAGTATAAACGATGGGTATACAAGGCATAGAATATGCAAAAGCTTGAAAAGAAGCCGCACTAGCCTATACACTGTCCTAACCGCAAAGAATCTTTTCGATAAGACAAAAAGATATCTTCCTGGCTATATCGAGAAAATAGAGAAGGGATCTCTGTCGGATGTAGACAGATTCATATCTAGCAGAAAGAAAATGGAGCTAGAGAAAATACTTGGTAACGAATATCTCTTATTCATAGGATGCACAATAATATCATCGAAAATATACATGGATCTCTCATACACTAACTTCTCGTGGATTGAAGTATGCCATCATGGTGTCGACCAGATAAATGTTGCAGAAAGGCAGATCTTACAGGTCCTGGACTACGACGTAAACCTTCAATGGATAGAGCTCAAAAAGATGTATGACGAGTTTGGCGCAGTACCCAATGAGGTCCTTACTGGCCAAGTGGAAGTAAAACGAAGAAAAGGATTCTTTAAATGGGCATTTGGTTCTCTGTTCCGCCTCATTTCGTGTGTGGATGCAATGAATAAATAGAAGCCCAACCTCAAGTAGAAACCAATAAACAGATATACGTCTTCTTCAAATATTTATTTTGTCAAAAAAGATATCTTACACTCGGGCTCTCCTTCTATTCAGAGGATCGGCTATCTCTATCATTCCTTGATACATTCAGTGCTCCAAATCCAAGCTTCCTAATGTCCGACTCATCTCCGTTGACATTGAAAGCCTTCTTCTGAGATGTCCTAAGAGACGGAAGCGTGCCCTTCCTTATAACAACAGGCTTGTCTATTTTTATCTTTGTATTCTTTGGCTCGTCAGGCTGCTTCTCACTTGCCATACTCTTCTCCTCTACATATTTTGCATCAGAATCTGAAAACTTGGGCATTTTTCTTTCCTCTATCTCTCTAGGCTCCAGGACCCTTTCACTTCTTTTTGCTAAGTTCTCGATGAAAGAGATGCCGGGCTCGTCCTTTTCATTCTTCTCGGACAGCTCATCAACGGTCTTCGAGTACCACCCTGCTTTTGTGTACTTGGCCCGAAGGTCTGAAACCTTTCCAAGCTTAGGAGCATTGGAGTTCCCGGACACATACACCCTCCGGAGCTCTGAAAGGTTCCATGTGTCTAGGATAGTGGACTTCACCTTGGTTATTTTGACACCAAGCTCTCGGTGCTTTGCAGCACATTCCGTACATATGAAGAATCCGTATGTCACTGTCACCCATATCGGTGACAGATTGTTGCAGTCTGCACATCTCTTATTGTTTGACTGCATCCTTATGTATTTGAAAAACCTGTTCACGAGGGACTTTTCAAGTACTCGGTCTTCAGACATATTATCGGGGCTCTTCGAGGAATGTTTTTGTGATTGTGTTCTAAATCCTGAAATATGGGAGACAGTCACCAAAAAGGAAGCCATATAAAAAGCATTTAATTATGCAATGATCTGATCAGAGTACTTTTGATATGTGAAGTAAGGTGATTCGTGTGGATGGTGATGATGGTGATGATGTCTGTGAGAATGCTCATCCAGATCTTCATCATACTTATCTTTACTTTTGGACGTTTCATTAAATATGAGTATCTGAGAAGCGTTTGGAGTGTTTGGAATTTCCATAACAGATCCATTTTCTTCCAAAGATGGTTTATACTCAGGATCTTCAGGTGAGTAGATAACATCGAATTTTTGCCTGCTGTTCTCTGAGCAGGTGGCCCCATATATGCTCCCACTGTCATCGTACTCCAAACACAAGTCTTCGTTCTTGATTGTATATCCATCTTTCATATTTCCTCCAATCTCAAACTTTTGTGTAAATCCATCATTTCTGGAATGATAGATAAGCTTTGTCTTACCATTTTTTGGATGGTGAAGATCCAAGACATAGTCACTATTCACTTCCTTTATAACCTTGATGCCAGGTGATAACTCTTCGCTTTTAAACTCCGATGGAGACCCTGTTGTAGACATAGCAGCTAGCTGGTAGTTTATCCCATAGTCTGTACTCCACCAATGGCCTCCCTTGGTTAGATGCCTCCTTGTTCCATTTTTCGTAAAAATTGAGAATCCAGAAATGGTCTTTATGAGCTGAAATATTATCGCAGTCTTCCTCATAAATGTAGAGAGAATATGAACTTTTATAAGTAAATTCAAGGTCCGTTACATATTATGTAGCATAATGGACAAATTGGAATAGATAACTAAGAGGTGTCTTAAGTGTACCTAATAGCTTTATTATACAATAAGACCATTGTTGCTAGAAAAACGACTACCCTCATCAAATGCAGAGGAAGATTCATCGTGAGGATTATGTACATGGAGATGCTTTTTTCTTCCTCCATTAAATATAAGTATTTGCGGTGATGGATTAGGAGCTGCAGGCGCAGATGCTTCAGCAGGAACAGGAACCTCGACAGGCGGCGTATACCCTGGGTCGTCAGGTGAGTAGACAAGGGCAAACTTCTGCTGAGGTTTTGAAGAGCACGTGGTCAGATACATGTTTCCTTCCGTGCCGCGCTCCAGACACTTGTTCCCGTTTTTAATGTAGTGGCCACCTGCTCCGTCTGCGACAACACCGAATCTCTGGTTTGCGCCTTTATGGTTGCTATAGAAGATCAGATTTGTCCTACCTCCTTCTATATCCAGAACTTTGCCAGTGCTCTTGTCAGTAAAAATCTCTCCTCCTGCTACTATCTCCTCGACCTTGAAGTCTACAGGCTTTCCTTCTGAGGACATATATGCTCTTCCATTCTTATTCACAAGAGATTCTCCCTTACCGTCAGTGGAAGTTATTATAAGCCCGAAGGCTGTTCCCATCATGCATGCGTAAGCGATTATCATAAGCGTAAAGCTGCTAGCTTGCATTTATATTTATCTGCAGCAGGACTTGTTTCATCATCTCAGTTCCATGAACAAATTGAATTTTGCATGCTGACACACAAAATTACCTAGTCACTTGTTTTTGATGAATATTGCAATTGCTTGAGTACCTAGGGAATAGCCAAATTCATCATAAATGGCCTATTGCCGGGCACTCTTTCTTGCATTCACCAAGCATTTACTGACACCCTGTTATGAGTGGGGTCGACAAAAGAAAAAATGGAACGGCAACAGATGTTTTTAAAATACATTCTGGAGAGGTTGGTAGAAAGAACGAAAAAGAGATTCCTCACGCAAAGAGACTGAGAATAGATTTTGAAGATATGTACAGAGACGACTTGGCCAGGCTGGTTGGGAATGTAGATATATTAAAAGACGAAGATTCGGGTAAAAGCTACACTACCCTCAACAGATCCTTTCTTAATTCGTGCATTGCATTAGTAGACTATGGAAGAAGTCTGGCACCACTTCTTTCTCAATATAAGAAGTTTGTTGCACTTATTAAGAAATCTGAAGACAGGATTGAGCAGCAGTCTCCTGAAAGCATTGAGGAGTTTAGCTTTTCGTTAAGTGACTTTGGGCCCTTTTCGGAAGGAGAAAAGCCTGATATGACAGATGATGCGTCAGAAGGCCTGCATAAGTGCTCACAGGGAGAAATATACAGGTTTCTGACAAAGCATTTTGGGGTGGAGTGCCCGAATGAGAGAGCGAACGATGAGTTTCTTGACTCCTTGGAGGCGTTCAGGAAGATGGAGAAGATGGCGGACTTTCCGTTCAGTATGCCGTTGAAGCTTGGGAAGGGGCCTGGAATGTCATTTTCGATGTCGAGAAGAGAGGATGTGGGAAATCATAACAGGAAAGTTTTTGAAGCTGTAACAGCATTAAGAAAGGACAGAAATATTTTGGCGTATGTAAAGAATCCCGAGTTCTTTGAAGACAGTTCTGAAGAAGAACGCCACTCTGGAGATGTTCATGTGATCAGAGAGCTCGTAAAATGTAAATATTATGAAGATGGAAGATACAGCTTCTTTGGAAACCTCGTTCTTAGAGGATTTTTAAGAAATGGCATAAGATATGTTAATATGAGGATAGGAAAGAGGATTGTTTTTAAAGACCTTGAGAAGAGCCAGGTGGCTCTGGTTTATAACAAGGGAGAAGACGTTGTATACATGCTTATGATGGAGACCATGATGATTTATAAAATTGTCTGCAGGCACTTCACGATTGCAATGAATATCTATAATCATCTTACAGGGATTGTGCCTAGCAATTAAACCATTTAGGATCAGATTTATTACTTCCCAAAGACAAATCTTCCGGAACTGATCCCATTCAAATGGAGACAGTTATCTTGAAGTCGTTTGTGTCCTTGCTTTCGAACATAATATTTGCTGCCGAGATAGGGTTAGTTGTATTGGGGATAGTCCATCCTTGCTTGCACGGATTAGTCGCTTTAGTATTCCTGGTTTTTATACAGAGGGGAATGTTCCACAGGGTTATTGGTGTCTTCCTGATTATTATATACCTAAAGCTGTTTCTTGGGTCATCATTTGAGCTTTCGACCCCTTCCAAAATATGCAGCCCCGATCTTTCTGGCGAAATTGACTGCCAAGAGAGAGATGAATCCAGTTCGTCTAGTGATCATCTCATCAATGACGATGGGAGGACATCTTCCAGCAAAACAAGAATGTGCAGGGACACAGAGACATGTAATGGCCATTTTACAGAAGAGCCTACACGTCTTTTGGATAGAAACAGCACGCGTTGCCGCTTCTGCTCAGGAGTTTTCTCCCTGGGAGAATAAAGTGGGTTTTTAGTGGAAAGAACGTGATTTGATTGATGGATTCTACACACAAACCATATCCACTTGGCCTAGAAGGATATGGCTATCCTTCGAAATGTCAATCAAGAACGACATAAAAGGAGAAAAGGAGACTTGCTCCCAATATAAAACGTATGGTATCTTACAGAGGACTGATGAGGGACAAGCATTCTTACAACGAGGGGGTAGAGAGTCTATCCACCGAGATGCTCTTGTCAATCCTGGAGCACTATGATACAAACCTTATTGAGGAGCATATTATTGATGAATACGATAGGAGGGAAGACGACTCTGGAAGAGAAGTTGAAGGGATGAATCCCAGGCAGTCCTGGTGTGAGGAGAGCCTTGAAGCAAATAATTCCCCGCATGAGAAGATTGATGAATCTGAGTCCTTGGAGACACAGATATGCAACTTCATAAATAACTATGGAATAACCGAGGAGAGTCCATGTCTGCAGGAAAAAAGCAAGTTTGACTCTTCACTGCTGCACAAGGATGGAAATGCCTTTGAGGAGCCATCTGCTAAAATTGATGGAAATAGCACCATTGATCTTTCTGGAGTCCAAAATCTCACAGATCCAGTGTCTCTTGAGAAGGCCTTAGAGTTTGAAAAGTGCTCAATTAAAAAAGAGGAGTTAGCAAGGACTGCAGAATCACAAAGGAAGGTTCTTGAAGCATTCCATTCCATTCCTCTGGTGACCATAAAGGAAAGTCTATTCGACAACACTAAGATAAATAAAGTATATGTTGAATCTAGAATCCGCATAAGAAAGCAGAATGGAAGAAAGGTCAAGGAAAAAAAAGGCTTTGTGAGGGACGAAAAAGATAGGGAAGGGGGAAGAGAAACAAAGACCATGATATTTAATGACTACACTTCTGGATGGGAGTCGTCGAGTGAGACAAACTCTGACATAGCAGCAAGAGAAAAGGCATTTAAGATCATAAGAGAAGCGGAAAGAAAAGCAGCAAGAAGAGACCTACTGTGTAACGGAGACATGCAGCTGCGTAAGTTTGTTGTGGACCAAGAAGAAAAGTACCTGAGAATAGAAGAGGTCATAAAATTGAATGATCTGAAATACAGGAACTTGCTGGGGAAGATCTACAAGAAAGGAAGGAATGGAAAGTATCAGTGCAATTGGTTCACTTTGAAGAAGAACTTCTTCACATGCTACAATGGGAAGGGAACTAGAACAACCTCGGATACCTTTCCATCTGAGAAGGATGGGGATCTCAAGGATCCTGGAGACGAAACACTCTTCTTCAAGAAGAAGTATAGCATAGACCTCCTCAATACAGGAATCTACCTTGTCAAAAGGCCGACCTACATAGGATGCATAAAGTGGGGGTCCCGGTCAGATGAGGATCTGATTGATATCACTGAGGACACGAAGATAATAAGAATCACACCTACAAAAAGCTATTTCTTAGTCTCTCTCAAGAAAAACCTTGTGAAGACGGAGATAAAGGTGAATACACTAGACTTTGCACTGAAGGTCAACGGAGAGACCTATTTCTATAGATCAAAGGATGTGGACAGCTTCCTTGGGTGGCTTGTTGCATTTGCGTTCAGACAAGGAAGGATAAAATGTAATATCGGTTAAAATAATGCTTGATTTGATGGTTGTAGCCTTGGAGAGCTCAAGGGTTCCTCATTGGGAATTGTTAGAAATAAACTTTAAGTGATGAAATTATTGTAGGCAAGCCCATGATAAAAGGCTTTGACATAGTGGAGTGCCCGTTCGAGGGTGATGAGTGTGTGCTGCCTCTTATCAAGACGGATTCTGGGTACGAGATGAGGATTTGCAACAGGCCTGATGCCAAGAAAGTGGTTGCAACAAAGAACAAGGGATGCAAGGGATACTTCCATCTAGAAATAATAGGTGATGAATGCAAGCTGGTTGGATACACTGAGAACATGTACTCCTTCGTGACGCCTGCAGACTTTTATCTTCCTGTTGCAAAGGAGGCAAGGGAGTTTTACACTGAAATTTACTCTAAAATGGTTTACGGTGACATGAATGAGTGTATGGATGTTGCTGAGATGTTTGATAAGACATACAAGGATGAAGAGATGCCTATGTATCCGGTCCCGATAATATCTACTGTTGAAAGCTTTGAGAACTATAATTTCAAGGACTTTAAGGGAGGAAAGGACAGAACAGGAGACACCATCCATGTGGGGTACGAAGATGAGGCACCCGAAAACCCCATTCCAGGCCTGTTTGAGAGGCTCTCGAGGCTACATGGAGAGGATGTAATGAAGCTACAGGAGCACCTGTTCAACCGTTTGTTTGACACACATCCAATTCTGAGGATATCCAATATCATAAGAATGTTCAAGTCGGACGAAAGAGCCACGGAGATGGGATTCAGCGACTGGAAGATAAAGAAGCTCTTGCCCCTGCATGCATACTTTGTTGACTCCGGGCCTTGGAGGGGATGCTGGATAAAGTTTGGGCTTGATCCCAAGAAAGACCAGAGCAATTTCAAATACCAAATATATGACAGCCGTAAGTCAGGCAAGACATTTCAGGTGTTTGAGGCTGAAAATGTTGTCCACGAAGTAGAAAGAAATAGGTCTTGGTATCTATCTGACGAGCCTAGCTTCAAGATGGGTTTTCATACGAAGGCTCTTCTAAACTTGCTCAGATTTCGGTATGAGCTTGATTTCCATTCCAACGAAGAGGATGAGGATGAGCTAGAGTTTGAGGTGTTTGATTAAACTGCAGGCAGCGGCTGTCTCCCAAGAATCCGATGGCTAGACAAATGAAGAAAAAATTTATCCCTCAAAATGGTAAGTGGGACCTTGAAGTAATTTTAGATTAAAGAAGTTAGAGTTATACCGGATGATTCAGGACTGTACATGCCGGATGATATCCCAAAATTTGTCGAGAAATACAAAGCAAGGACTGCACGCAAGCCAAGGGCAAGAAGAACGGATCTTGTCAAAGGAATGGTTGTCGTTGTTTTGGAAGGAGTTTTTGCATCGAAGAGGGTAGTGTACTTGAAGGGATTGGAAGGCAATCTTGCACTGTGCACAGGCCCAAAGTCGATTAACGGAGTGCCATTTTTCAAGATTGACGAGAGATACTTATTGGCAACGTCTACAGTCCTGAATGTCGATGTGGATGTAGATATTGACGAAAAGAACATCTTTTTGACTGAAAGAGATGTCTACGCCACGCCCATGGATGTTGAGATGACCGATGTTGAGGAGAAGATTAGCGAGGAGATTGCAAAAGCTGTTAAGGAGGTCAAATACATGAAGTCTTATCTTTCAGAGCCATTTGAGATTGACACTACAAGAAACTTCTACTCTTTGAAGTATTAAAAAGTATCCATCAGTTTTATTTTTATAGTCTTTTTCACATAAAGTGCTAATAGCCACGGCACCCATTCTGCTTGAATCCTTAGTCTCTTTTCGCCTCTTTTCTTTCTTTCATATAGAGCTCATGAGACTCCTCAAAGTTTAACGGGATATAGGTGTCTTTGTAGGCTGAGATTATCGAAAAGTACCTGGAGTTCACCACAGATAGCCTTTTCCTACTGGTCAGACAGAGAAACCCAGAAAGAACCTTCAGCTCCTCCTCATCAAATAGGCTTCTGTACTTTTCGGTGACTATTTCCTGGGCATCCTTGGACTTTGAATAGATTCCAACGTCAAGAAGATCTGACCACTTGTATTTGTCTTGGGGGACACCCAGCTCCTCAAATATAAGCTTTATCTGTGACACTTCGTCATTTCCTCTATATGGCGGCCTTCCAAGCCTCATCTCCAGCATTATGCATCCAACAGACCACGCATCCACTTTAAAGCTGTAGGATGTTTCTCCAAGTAGCAGTTCGGGGGCCCTGTACCAAAGTGTGCAAACCCTGTTCGTCATCATTCCCGAAATCTCCCGGGTTAGCCCAAAGTCAGTGAGCTTCAGCATACCATTATGGTCTATAAGGATGTTACTGGGCTTTATGTCTCGATGCACCAACCCCAGCTCATGCATGGAACTAACTGCTTCTACAAGTTGTGATATAATGGATCTTGTATGTTCTGTACTGAGCTTGGCGCCAGATGCAAGAAGCCCTGTCAAGTCATATGGCATATATTCAAGAACAACAAATATAAAGTCCCCGTCAAACACAATCTCTTCGAGCTTTATTATGTGCTTGTTAATCACACTCTTACACAGTTTTATCTCCCTTATGGCTGTAAACGGGAAGCCTGTCTCTCTGTCCACAGGCATCTTTTTTATTGCAAATACTGTCCCGTCAGATATTCTTTTGGACTTGTAAACCTGTCCAAACGCTCCCTCTCCTACTTGCTTAATATTTTCATACTTTTCCATCAGGGTCAATCAAAGAAGATACCTCTTTGTTTGAAGCTCCGGATCGAAAAGCCTTCATCGAAAGTTGGAAAGGCTTGAGAAGATAAGAGGTCATTTGAATTTATTGTTATCAATCCTTAAGACGATCCATTGTCTACGCTTTGATCACTATCAAGTTCGGAATCAAGGAGATTACTGCTTTCATTGATGCTAGACTTTTTCGCTCCAGAGTTAGCACTACCATTCTTAGAGTCAGATCCAAGAGTCACGGCGTCCTTAGCTTCCTTTTTATTTCCTTTTGGAGATCCTTTGGTGGAATTTCTTTTTTCAGCACTTTCCTTTTGTTTTTTTTCAGAATTATCAGCATCATCACTGGTGGGACTAGTTGTCGTCGTGGGCTTACCCTTGCCGTCATTGCTGGGTGCACTGAGATTGGAAGAGTGCTTGGTGAGAGAGGAACTAGACTTTTCCGACTTATCACCATCTTTATCATCTTCGGATTCTTTCTTTTTATCTTTTTCTTTGCCATCTTTCTTGTTCTCACCATCGCCTTTCTTTTTTCCTTTTCCCTTTCCACCGGATTCGCTACCCTCCTTTTTACCCTCTTCATCACTATTACCACTACCATTACCATTATCTTTGTCTTTGTCCTTGGCATTACTAGATAAAGAGAGGTTTGATCGCTTCAGGTTTAGATGATGGTGCTTCTTCAGATTCATTAGGCCTGACTTGTGGTGGCCGGACCCATGAAGCCTTTTAAAGGCCTTTACTATGAGAATCCCAGAAGCAAATAATAGTTTCTTCATGTTTGTTGTTTGCTTTATAGTATTTATACTTGATTGTAAAACATGTTTCACTGGGTCAAGACATGTTTCCGATCATCATAGGATTAGTTTCAGATGTCCATCTAGTTTTCAAAAATATGTTATAGTTATTTGCTAAAAGGAACAGCCAACAGTAATAGAAAGTAAACAGCCGCCTATCTTATCTCAGCACTCTATCAATGCTTCAGATATCTTCATCCTCTCAATTATAACAAGGTATTCATCATATGTCATCTCAACGGCTAGATGTCCCATCTCTCCTCCTCCTCCTCTATTGTTCTTGGAAGTGACATACAGAACACCATCATTCCATTCCATATATACAAGTCCCGACCTCAGCGAAAGAGACAGGTAGAATATATTTTCGATGGTTTTCGAAAACGACTGCGGGTTGATGACAAGTCTGAAGTATTCTACTCTATTTCTCTCTGCAACAAGCTCCTTTATCCGCATAAGGACATCCATCTCTTCCGTAGAAGCCCTTTCTCGGGTAATCGAGGCCGGAATCTTTGTCTCAGGAAGAGACTGCTTCAGTCTTTGTACTGATGGCTTCTTCCTATTTGAAGCCTCGGAGTGATCATTTAAAGAAAAGCAGCCAGAGAATCTTATTCCAGAATTGCATTTCATGGCATATCTATAGAAGTCATCAAGAAGGCCTTTTCTGAATAGTTCCAAAAATGTGCTAGGAGTGATGTCGTCTAACTCAATGTCTTTCTCCATCCTCGTGCATGTTATTTTTGTCGACAAAGCAGTCATTTTGGCATCGAGCTTGAGCTCAGAAGATGTTTTTATTTTCTTGAACAGTTTGTTTGATGTATTAACCAACTCTTCCAGCCTACGCTTATCCTCAAGAAGGTCTTCTCTTAGATGCCTCATCGTCTGGAGTAGATCTAGGTAGCCATCATGCACATCACATCCGTCCATCAGAAACTCATCCCTGGCCATAACCCCAGCCCTGCCAACCAATTTCATCACTCTTGGTTTGAAAAGATTGTATAATTTCTGCTTTCAAAGGGGCTTGAAAAGTCATACACATCCTCAAACTTATTGTTCTTCTCGGCTCCATATTTCTTAACTACTATCCCTTTCGAATTTTGGAGGAACACTCCTGTGGATGTATGAACCTCAAGTTCAACATCTTGGCATCCATTTACTCTGATCTGATGCCCACTGCAAGAAACCTTACAGTTTTTGATATTGTTTAGGACTACAGACTTGTCACACCTAAAATGTGAAAACACCGTATTGCAGCAATTTTCAATAACAACTTCTATACAATCCTCAATGGATACCACACCATCATTAACATCCTTGATATATCTCTTACTTTTGATTCCATCTAATCCATTTTCTTGTTTCTTGAACGAGGTGTAGTTTCTGAATGGAATGGTAGGCGCCTCCAAAACGTCATGGGCGTTATAGATGTCCTTTAATCTTGCAACTTTCTCCAGTAGACTCTTCCTACTATATAGAGATGGCTCGGCACGAATACAGTCCTCGATATCTAAAATGATTTTCCGAGCTCCCTCAAAGTCACCCTCCTTCATCTTCCTAACAGCCTCTTGCTCCATAGGGTAATATCATTAGCTCTAATATAAATCTTGTAGGAGAATCCGATTCTGGAAAAGTTTAATTCCTATGCAGTCTCTCCTCTACTTTTCTACTAGACTCGTCTTCACAATCCTCATATAGAACACACATCCCTCTCTTCCTATTTCTTCAGGGTGTGACATGACTTCGTACTCATCTACACTAATTCTCTTCTTGAACATGGGACAGTCAAGAACAATTGTTTCGTATTCCCCTCCCTCTCCACAGAAATTTACCTCCTCCTGTGCCGAATTCAGGCAATCAAAAATCCTATCTAGACTCATATTTATGCATTCCCTTCCCAAAATAGACGATGCAACCTTCACTATTCTTGCATCCATGCCACAAGATATCATCTCTGTAAGCAGCATCTTCTGGTCCATTTCCCAAAGTGGAGATAGGCATTCAAGAGACAATCTATTGCACACATTCTCAACCCTATTTTTTTGGTATCTAGACAAAATCGCTCCTGATGACACACCCTCAAACTCTATTTTCTCTTTGATGTGAGAAATGGCGGCATGGAGATCCTCAACCTCGTCTCCCTCCTCTCTATTGTACTCCAGGCTTTGGTTTATACTTCTACACCTGGTATGATAAATAAAAACAGGGATGTCTAGACACTCTCCAAGCATTTCAATCACTTCAGACCCAACAGTTTGGTACATGAACGAATCCTGATATCCGTCGCCGCATCTCATGTGCAGTAGTCCTACAGCTTGATGTCCTTCCTGCCCAAGGCAATGCATGGCATACAAACTATCTTTCCCTCCACTGGCAAGTGCAAGATACCTCATCCTTCGAGGACTAAAATTTTCACTGCATAAAGAAACAGGATACACCAATAATTCGACTCTAATGATCTTTAATTTTCCTGATCATCTCCTCAGCCTCCTTCGGCATGTCGATTCCTTTGGAATAGTAGAATAGCATTTCCCCTTTGTCCATAGACAATATAGGATCAAACACCTTCCACAGAACTTCTGCCTCATGGGAGCTTACACTGTTGAACTCCTTATCTCTTATAAGACTATCAAAAATAATCTCATAGTCACGGTATTCTCCATGGCTGTCACGCATTAGATTGTTAATCTCCTTCTTATCATGCAGAACATATCTAGAAGGCTCTGCTCCAACAAAAACCTCTAGAAAAACCTCGCATTCAGGATAAATATTGAAAACTAGCCTCACAGTCTCTATTTCGTCAATATGGACAACCCTGCTAGGCGCCTGGTCTCCACAAAAGAGGTCGATGCATTTCGCAAACGCTTCTCTTTTGAACTCAACTGCTATCTCTGTTCTCTTTTCGTTCATCCCTTTTCCAGCAACAATGATAAAGGGAACCTTGGACCATCGGGGTAAACTTATGCTCACCGGAACCATACAAAACGTTTCTGTACTGGAGTCCCTGTGAATCTCCTTGCTGTAATCGTCATATTGTCCATAAAGACATTTCTCAGCGTCAATGGTGCATGCCTCAAAAACTCTTAGCCTCTCCGATGCCTCTATGGTCTTCGATGGGTCCACCACGCCGGATGCAACAACCCCGAGAAGCTCGGCCATGTGATTTTGAACTATGTCCTTTATAATTCCGTTTTTATCGAAGTAATTCCTCCCTTCTCCTCCAAGAACCTCCTTTGATGTTATCTCAACAGCCTTCACATACCTACTATTCATCACCTCTTGGATAGCCATGGACTCCCTTATAATCCTAGGGATCGCTACCACTAGTGGCTTCAGAAGATAGTGGTCTATAAACCTCGCCTTGCTCAGGTCAAACTCCTTTATCTTCTCAAAAGATTCACTCGTCTCTCCGTACGGCTTCTCAACTCCAACCGCCTTGTAGTCAAGCTTCGATATCTCGCTGAATAGACAAGCATAAACAGAAGGCGGCACAGCAAAGTACAGCACAGTCTCAGAGTCTACAATGTCCCTGAGCTTCGAAAGGTCGTCATAGGATCCTCGAACATAGGTAACTCTTGAGAGAAATTCGGGGGAATAGTTCCCAACCTCCTCGAGGACCTCCGAAAATGCAGTATCATACTTAGTTCTTGCATATCCAACCACCTCAACACCCTCTAGGTTTACTCTAGAAAGTGCCGGAAAGAGCTTTCTTTTTGCAAGATCACCGCTGGACCCAAAAATAACGACCTTCATGGGTCAGCTAAAATGTTTCCTGCTTAAATAATAATTTTTCATGGTTTGGAATAATCTAATAGGATCTCACGAATATCCTCAAGTCAACGCCCATCAATTGGAGAGCAGAACGTCTGACTAATGAATAACAACATGAAACAAGGCCCGCAGGTCAATGCCTTTGGATTCGAATGAAGTCGACATTGATGGTCTTTTTGTCCTTCTTGTGAAAGTCGTGCTTCCTTGGAAGCTCATATTTTATCTCTGCCAGAACTTTTACATTTGGATATCTTGCAGTTATGTATTTCCTGGTACTTGTTTTGTGGAGGGAATACACCACGTTGCAGAGCTCAAGAGCCTTGTCAACGGCCTTTATGTCTGCATGCTTTATCTTTGTGCCAAATGGAGGATTGATCATCGCAGTATTAAATCTACCTTCGATGAAAGTAAGATCGTCAATGGAACACCTCAGAAGATCTATGTTGATTCCAAATTCATAGTTATTTAGCCTGAACATCTCCAGAGCCTCTGGACACAAATCAACTCCAAGAATATACGAGGGAGAAAAGTATCCACATGCAAAAGACAGCATCCCTGTTCCACAGCATAGATCCAAAATGGACTTTCCCTCAATGTCGTCATATGTGTGGTGAGCAACACTGACCATCGATGCAGCTATATCTGGGGGCGTCATGTATTGCTCAAGCCCAACACTCATTTTACGGAAGTCCCTAACTTTAGAAAGTTTCATCTTCAGTTCCTTGATTTTCATGAAGAATATGAGAAAACCTTTTCTGGGCTACAAAACACGTGTGCTTTTTGCCAAAAAGCCACCACTGGGATTCGAACCCAGGACCCTTAGCTTACAAAGCTAAAGCTCTACCTACTGAGCTATAGTGGCTCACACGCAGGGCGACACACAGCCATTCGCGGTAGCATGGGACGGCAAAAAAACCCTGCAGGATCGGAAGAAGAAGTTGTTACAAGAAGTTCAGCAAAAGGTTTTACTCTTTGTTAAAGTCGTCAACATCATAAGACCCTACCTTAACCCATCCAGACTCGTCCATATAGTATAGATTGATAGATCCTCCAGAGTATGCATCTCGGTGCGCTGCGTGGAAAATAGCCCTCTTCGCAAGCTCCAAAGCCTCCTCCTTATCCATATCAAACCTATAAGACGAAGAAAGAATTCCATAAGCTATTGTGGACCCGCTACCCACAGAAAACAGATTGCCCTTAATTCTCCTTCCATCGTCATCAACATAGTAAATACTTGGCATGGACCCATCATATCCACATATCATTGTTCCCATCGAGAGCCCGTATCCCTTATATCTGTACACACAATTGCTTAGGTACATGCTTGCTGCTGCTGCAGTTATCCTTCTCCCATTGGTGAGCTCATAGTTCTTTGCATACAAACCCATAAGCTTCTCCCAAAAAAAGCAATCTGCAGCTCCCCCAGCCATCGTTCCAAGCAAATTCCTGTTTATCTCAATTACCTTGTTCACGGTCTGGGAAGCTATATATGATCCAGACGTAGCTCTTGAATCGACCGCTATGGCCATCCCCTCCCTAAACACAAAGGCAAGGGTTGTTGTTCCGTGGTATGGCTTTATTATTGATTCAACCAATCTCTGGTCTATACAAGTTGCATCAACTCTCCTGACGTCTCTTTTCAATGTTTCTTCCATCAGAGGGGTTCTGAACACAAGAAGGTGTAGAAGTACGATCAATTACAAAGGAGACCCCGAAAGAAATGGAAAAGCTGAAGGAAAAGATCTTTCAATTTGGAATATATGGAGCAAAGCTGGAAAAACTCACCAAAGATGAAATAGAAATGGCCATTGAAGAGCCGTGGGTGGAAATAATACAGACAGATACTGTGGAGAAACTGAAAAGACACTTTACCACTGACTGCTTGAGGGTTGATACAAATAGATCCATGTTAAAGAGTTATGACTGGAGCGACTTGTACGTAAGGATGGGAACCCTAGCATGGAAAGATTATCTGACTGCAGGAACATTTAACTTTACATCGAAGGAATACTTTTTGATAATGAATCTTCTGATAGAAACCAAGGGGTATGTAGATAACGTGGAGCTCAGAAAGCTGTGCTTAGACCCCAAGAAGACACACTACTGTATTAACAGACTTGCAAAAAAGGGGTTTATTGAGTACAGAACATCTGATGAAGCTGAGAAGAAAAGCTTCATATATAAGGTTAGAGTGATAATAGACGAAAAGGGGTTTGTGACACGATGCGTAGAGAGTCAGCCGGCAGATCCAAGCCGGGCTGGATCTTGTGGGAAATTCCGTATGTTTGAGTACAGAATTGATATCGGGCTCTATGATAACATTAGAAGTATGATTCTAAGCTCTGAGAGGGGGATAATTACAGAAGATTTGAAGAACAAGCTCGGTGTTAGCTCCAAGATCGGATATAAGCTCCTCAATAAGGTTTTTAATGAGGAGAAAGAGGTTTTCAAGAGAGTCAAGGAGTTTGAGGGCAGAGTTAGAAGATACAGATATCATGCTGCCAGCAGAAGGGCCTTTCCTGCAACTGAAAGAGGAGAAAAAGGTGTGGGATACATAACTTCTGAAGAAAGAGTGATGGCAATTAAAAAGCTCATGTCGATGAGTCCTATTCTCCAGCTTGACAAGAGAACCTATGAGAAGCTCCAAGAGATTACGGGATGGAGATACGAATTTGATAGAAGAACTATAATCAAGGCAGCCATTCTTGCAGGATTCAAGATATACAAGCAAAAGAGAGGAAGAGAAGGAAAGTGTAGTAGATACATGATAATGAGGAACGAGATGGTTGAATCTGATGTCAAGGCTTTGGAGATGTCGAACTGTGATTCCCAAGAAAACATGTCTGAGTTCCAGAGGAAAATATATAGCATCTTTGTCAATTCTCCAAAACTCGTGGAAATGGATAATGGATATGTCCCATTGAGAGAGGAAAGGCTGAAGCTATTATACAAGTTCCTTATTGAGAAAATGTCCTCCAAAGAAGTCGAGTCTCTGGGATTCGATTGGGAGGTGATAGGGGAGATGGAGTTCGATCTCCTATTGTCTATTATTCCTTTCAGCAGAATCGGCTTAAAGGAATCCTTGTGTAGGTTTATAGATTCTGGAGAAGCCGACACAGATGCATTCAAAATAAGAAATTATACATTGCATGGTGAAATAGAAGAACCCTATTGCAGCAGCTCAGTAGGGAAGACAGTTGCGGAGGTTATTAATATGGAGCTTCCACAAAGCATAAAGAAGTTGATAAGGTTGAAGGTAGGGATAGGAAACTTTGCCTCACTGTTCAAGCAGTTAAACGATCTTAGAGTTCTCGACATTTCAATTTCGAGTGAGAAAGTTGTGGTGAAGAAAACAGACATGGATCTTTCCTCAGGAATAAAAGCCCTCGAGAAGGCTAAAAGAGCTAAGGGTGGAGGGAAATATATCTGTTTGAGTAGGAGGATCGAGTTTTTCAAAAAGGTATGTAATGTTGAGGAAAAAGGGTTCTATGACGAGGCATATAAGGTCATCTATACAGAGTTCAAGGGAGACGAATTTGAGGCTATGTTTGACAGGCTAAAAATGTTCAGGGACGAGGAGGTCGACGACCAAAAGCAAAGCACGTTTGAAAGGCTATATATGGGGTTCAAGAAAAACATAATTGAACTTGGATGGCTAGGCACACTTGACTTCAACTCATATTCTGTTTCTGAGGCCAAAAGAGCACTCAAGGCCCTTTCTAGAGACAAAATAATAGCAAACTACAAAGGGATAAAGAAAGTCGAGTTTGTTACACCCCATGAAAGCTTTCTGAGAGTAATTAATAAGAAGTATGATGTGTTCAGGTTCAAGGGATACCACGAACATAAGGGTATGGGATACTTCTCACATTACTTCGACCTGGTCTATTACACTCTAGCAACTTCTGGTTCTCTAGAAATCAACGAACTAATCTCTCGAATAAGATTCATTGCTAATTTTGAGATGGAAATGTTTCTTTCAGAATATAAAAAAGTGTTCAAAGTTTCCAATCTTAACAATACTAGAATTGTTTCTCTTGGAATATTTATGGATCCGTTTGAATAAGAATGTAGCGGCTCTTATGTACTTCTTCAATCGAGAATTGAAGGCTGCTAAGGTAATTTAATAATAAAAGCACAGTACAATGATATCTATTTTAGACATGCTGTTTAATTTTATTTCTTTCGAAACCATATGCCCAAAAATCTTGGCTAAGACAGCGCCTAAACTTAATGTTTTAGTGCTTTATTCGTCTTCGCTAGAGCCTCCTGAAGATCCTCCACCGCCTACCTTGCCTAGAATCTCTTGTTGCTGTTGATCTACAAGTCCCTTTACTTCTTCAGACTTTTGTTGTACGGCATCTCTAACGGCAGCACCAAGAGCACCTCCAACAGCACTTTGCAAACCTTCACCAGAAGTAGCGCTAGCATCGCCAAACATATATATAAAGCTCAGAAGTGAAGCCAGTGTTGTTTTGCCGAAGTTCATGATGTGCTGGAGATGCTGATCTTTATATACTTTCCACTCTCCTTTTTTCTCCTTTCAGCATGGTCCTATTTGGTAGAGGCTTTGATTGTAAAGGGGAACTATCTTCAGGAGATTGAAGAAGGAAAGTAGCAGGAGAAGCTATTCAGGACCATGGTGCATTTAGCTATACTTTTATTTTACATAGGAATTCATGCCTCTGATCCGGACGAGAAACTGAAGGAGGCAATAAAGACAACTATAAAAGAAGAGGTCACAAAAGAAATGTATGATATTGTAGACAAAGCCACAAATGATATGAGGGAAGATTTAGAAAGAAGAATCGATTATCTTATCTCCGGGAAGGAGGGGGAGGAAGATGTGATGGTAAATGTGTCAATGCAAGACACAGAAGAAGGGAAAGAAGAGATGTCCGCTACCTTTATTTTAAAGAAAGTTGGGGAAAGTCTGGGTATTTTGGTTATACTTCTTCTGATTATATATCTAGTTACAAAGATTTTTGAGTACTACCGAAAGCTAAAGGACTGCTCTGAGGGAGGTTTTGAAGACTATGATAACTTATAAATAAAACTTCTGAAATTTTTGTCTGTTATGATTTTGAATTTTCATCCAAGGGTGAGATGAAGTTCAAGAAGCACAAGAAGAATGAGACGAGAGTTGGATTTCTAGGCAATTTGGAAAGACTAGCTGGGGAGGCTGTAAGGCTTGGGGTTTCTGTTGCAGTGTATGGAGAGGTTGGAAAGGCTTCTCTGGTGAGCAAACTTCACTCTGAATTTTGCGAAGAAGGAGGACGGTTAGTTGAGATTGATTCTCGGGAGATAGCTGATGCAAGAACATTGGGAGGGTTCTATGCGGTTAAAGAGGGAGATGTTGAATACATGAGTGGATTGCTTATTGAGTCGATGAGAAGTGGAGATTGGGTCCTGTTCAAAAGGATAGATAAAAACCACGGGTTGTTACAGTATCTGTACCCAGTCATCAAATATAGGAGATTATTAGGGAATGATGGAGAAGAGGTCTTGGGACATGAAAACTTTAGGCTGTTCTTCACTTCTGAGGACAGGTTTGATGTGGATGACGTTGTATTTGTGGGGCCTCTTAGGTTTATGTTTGAGGACGCAATGAATATATTTGAGGTGGAGTGTGTTAGAAAGCTTCTTACCAAAGTTTTTGAGAGCATTTCTGATCAGTGGAAGGGATGCATGAGGGATAAGGAAGAGGAGTGTCAAGGGAGCTGCCCTAAGAATGTGTGCAGGGATGGTGAATGGTGCCTGTCGAAGGGGACTGGGGTCTGCGGGGCACATTTCCGATCTCTTCTGAAAATAAAGAAAAGAACGGAGGACATCAATGGAACTGGAATAGAAGAAAGAGTGAAGATATACCAATCTGTGTGCAATGTCCTGCTAAGGCATGGCTCTGACTCTTTAAGATGTTTGCTTGCTTTAAGCGAGGTTCCAAGTATTTCACTTCATGGGATTGACTTCGCCAAGACCAGTTGCGTTGAGTGGGGGATTTTCAATCTTTTATGGAACATCAATCACAGGGACCATACGCTGCTTGTTGGAGACACGGGCGTTGGAAAGACATCGATGATCCAGTATCTCAGCCAGAAGTCACACTTCTTCTTAGGAAAGAAAGCCAAGCTAAGAGTTGTAAACATGTCAGCAGACTTCGATGGATCAGATTTGATCGGAGGATATGGAACACTAGATATTAACAAGGCCATAGAAAAGCTATGCAATGAGGAAAAGATAAGTGTGCCGGTTTGTTATGGAAACAAGCAGAAGCTTGAATATCTAAGGCAGAAAATTTCTCTAAAGATCAAGGAAGGCATTTCTGACTCTGCAAGCACCATCAAGAGGATCGATGATCTAATTAAGCTACTAGAAAAGAAAGTGCCCTTTGTGTACAAAAAGGGGATTCTAACGGAATGCATGGCAAATGGAGAGTGGCTGCTTCTGGATGAGATCAATCTTTCCTCTGAAGAGACATTGAACCTGATAGATGGAATTCTAGGCAAGAAAGAGATATTTCTCTATGAGAGCGGAGATGTAAGGCCACTTCGAATCCACCCAGAGTTTATGCTTTTTGGGTGTATGAATCCAGGAGGAGACTTTGGAAAGAAAAGATATGAGGGAATTGAGTTCAACACTGTGTACGTTCATGATTTCAGCACCTCACTGAAGGACATCAATCTTGTGATTCATTCTGTACTCGGATACGAGGTATCTGAGGAAAGAAAGGGCAGAATAGGAGAGTTTTTTCTGGAGCTGAAGAATAAGGTTTTAAGGAGGGAGCTCAGCAATGTGGTCGAGCCATTGATAAGTGGGCGAAGTCTTGTTCGTGTGCTTAACTTTATTCGGAGGAGGGGCGAGGAAGAATTTGAACGATGTGTGTATGAAGCGTTTGATCTATTTGTATTTACTCAATTGGACTTTGTTAGCCGTTCCGTTGCAATTACACTTCTATCAAAATACTTTGCCATTCAGACAGAGCCTATGGAGAAAACCATAACCAAGGATGGATTTGTTCTAACGCGTAGGATTCAGACATATCTAAGAATCATGAAACTGGCTATTTTATCAAACTGTGCCTTGCTACTACAAGGCGATACCTCTACTGGAAAGACAAGTATGGTTTTGTTTTTGTCCAAAGAGATGAACAGGCGTGTGATCAGGATAAATAATCATGAGCATACCGAGGCGTCTGATTATATTGGTAGCTTTACCTCCACAGGCAATGGAGTTGAGTTCCGGGAGGGGGTTCTTATAACGGCCATGAGGAGAGGAGACTGGATCATCCTTGATGAGCTGAATCTTGCATCGAGTGATGTTCTTGAGGTGCTAAACAGGCTTCTGGATGATAACAGGCAAATATATATTCCGGAGACCAATGAAACTGTGATTCCTCACAAGAACTTCCGAATATTTGCCACACAGAACATTGGATACGGAGGTAGGAAGGGGCTGAGTAAAGCGTTTAGAAACAGGTTTGTGGAAATGTTTTTCTGTGAAAGCGGTGAAGATGAGATATTGGAAATATTACACGGAGCATCAAAACTTCCCAGAAGCTTCTGCAAGAAGATGGTTGAAGTTTATAGCGGTCTCAGGTCTAAGAGAAGTATCAATGCATTTGTGACATTGAGAGACCTTTTCAAGTGGTCTAGCAGGGTTCCTAGAAGCTTGGCGGAGGTATGTTTTCTAGGAATGAGCATAGTATATGAAAGGCAAAGAGAGTCAAGAGACAGAAAGTGGGTACATCACATTTTCTCTGAGTCCTTTGGAAAGGCAGATGTGGAAAGATATGAAAGAATGATTACGGGAGAGGAAAAAGAATGTCTGGAGGATCTTCTGGGAGGAAAGGGCATTGACTTTACTTTTGAGGGGTTTCATAGAAGAAATTTTGTGCTTACTGATACATTTAAGAAGCTCATAAACTTAGTGTTTCTAGCATGGAAATGCAAAGAACCGATTCTAATTGTTGGAGAGACAGGAATAGGAAAAACAAAGGCATGTGAGATAGTTAGCTCAGTGTTTGAAACAAAGGTTGTTACATTAAGCATGCACAAAGGGATAGAAAGTTCTGATTTTATTGGCAACTTTGTATTTGAGAACTCAAAGGTTGTATGGAAAGACGGGCCATTGGTAAAGGCCATGAAGAGCGGAAACGCTTTTCTCATTGACGAAATAAACCTAGCGGAAGACTCGGTTCTCGAGAGACTCAACAGTGTGTTGGAACCACAACGTACACTGTACATAACAGAGACTGGGGAGGAAGTTGTTGCCCATGAAAAATTTAGGATACTAGCCACCATGAACCCTGGGGGAGACTTTGGGAAGAGAGAGCTAAGCCCTGCTCTCAAGAATAGGTTTACGGAGATTTACTTTGAGATTTGCCCGAATGAGGTTCCTTTGATATTTGACTACCTCATAGAAAAGCGGTTAAGAGAAACAGAAATATCAGGGGAAACTATTGCCGCTTTTAAGTCTCTTGCTAGGTCTTTGGATGTGTCTATTCGAAAGCTTGAGCTTGTGTCTGACTTTATATACAAGCGCTATACAGGGAGATTTGAAGGTGTTGTGTGCACAGATGAATTTGATGCAATGAATGTATGGAATGAGGCATCAGAGATTGTTGGGATAAAAGATTTCGATGCGAAGACCAGATACATTGAGTCTGAAAAGATGTTTGGTGCTTTTCCATACCTATTGGAGTATAAAAACCCGTCTTCGTTTGACTTTGAATCGCCAACGTCGACTTTAAATCTCAGGAGGATTCTCAGAGCAATGGGGCTTGGAAGAGGAATCATGCTGGAGGGAGATCCTGGGATAGGGAAGACTAGCATAGTCCAAGGGATAGCCAGAAAGATAGGAAAGAAGTGCATTAGGATAAATCTGAGTGAGCAGACTGAGCTATGTGACTTGGTTGGGAGTTATCTTCCAATTGATGGGGAAATTCGATTTGTAGAGAGTGAGTTGCTATGCAGTCTTAGAGAGGGAGGGTGGATAATTCTCGATGAAATCAACCTCTGCACCCAGAGTGTGATTGAAGGACTAAATTCTGTGCTGGATTACAGAAGGAAGCTTTTTATACCCGAGGTTACCATTGATGTCCATGAAGACACACGGATATTTGCAACTCTTAATCCGTATAATTCGATGAATGGGCGAAAGGTACTTCCAAGGAGCTTTCTTGATAGGTTTATAAGGATTGAGATGGACAATTACACCAGAGAAGACATCAGGCACATCCTTAATAAGATGTTTCTGAGTCCTACAATAGTGGACTCGGCGAGCCTAAGGGAAAATATTAGAGCAAATCAAATAGGTGTGTTAGAAGGCAGGGAAGCCAGTTATTTTATAGACAAGTCGACTGTAAGGATTGGGTCGGTTTCTGTCAAAAGAAGGTGGTGTGATCTGGACTTTGTGCTGATACATTCTCAGCTTCAGCAGATAGAGGTAATTATGAAGTGCATGGAGATAAACATCCCAGTGGTTATATCTGGTGGGATAGGGAAGGGCGCCCTCCTCCGGTTTGTTTCTTCTATGCTTGGGCAAGAAATAATGATCTTCAACTGCCACAAGGACACAGATGTCTGCGATCTTCTTGGGCAATACCAAAAGACACCAAGTGGGATGTTTGAGTGGTGTGATTCTGCTATTGTATGCGGAATAAAAAGGGGCATGATAGTCGTCTTTACTGGCGTTGAGTTTGTAGAAAAGTCTGTATTTGATAGGCTTAACTCCCTATTCGAATCTGAGAGGACACTGAACGTGTATGAAAAAGGAATTGATACAAAAGTTGCTGTTAATCCATCAACAAGATTGATTTTAATAGCGAAGGAGCCAAACATGCTATCTCCGGCGTTACTTGATAGGTGCACACATGTGGAGCTAAGCGACAAACTTAACTATATTGACCTATGGAAGCTATTTGCAAAACCACCTACTGGCTCTCATCCTGTCGCCTACGAAGACTTTTATGGGATCCCGATGGAAAGCAGCCGGGTTGATTTTGATTTGGACCTCAAGAGATTTAACTTACTGGGCATCTGGCCAGACTTCCTGATAAGACGGCTTGATGGTGTGTATAACACTCTTGAGGAATCAGAGATTGATGGGATATTCAGATTTGAGGAAAGGAGTATGGAAAACATTGTGGTGGACATGGAACTTCTTAACTTCTACAAAAAGATCAGGCTCCATGTTGAGACTCCCCATGATGACGAATCCAAGATAAGGTTACTTAAAAGCATCTCAACCATGAGTTCTGAAGTTCTGAAAGCGGTGGCATTCATTAAGTCTGCAGATATCTCAGTTTTCAATCGCTTCAATCACGATGAAGGATGCTCTCTTAACTTTCCAAGGTCTTCTAAAGATTTGAAAGTAAAGGTCATTGGATCCTTCTATGGCAAGAAATTTTCTGAGTACAAGAATCTAAAGGCGGTTGTTGAGGGTATTTCTGGCGTAAAATGGGAACCACTGTCTAACTTCGACATATTTTTCTTTGAGTTTGTCGAAAGATGCCTGGATGATCCTTTGAATCTACTGATGAGGGGGCTGCTTTTAGAGATGAATTCATTTGAGAACAGAAGTCTTTCAGAGATACACAACACCATGAAGTGCATGTATAAATATGGGAAGGGCTCTATAGATGAGATGGTTAACAACTATGAAAATGGTATTAGTGAGTACAAGGCAAAGATCAAAGACATTGAGAGAAGGATGAGTAGAAACTATTCTAAGTTTAGGAGTTCATTGCAGGGCTTGGACTTCTGTTCATACATGTGTGGAGATAGAACTTTCTATGAGTCTTTTGACGATATATTTGACTACTATCTGGTATATATGTTTTACAAGTGGGTCAATGGAGAGGGTTGTTCAGGAAAATGCAAAATCAAGCGGTCAAGCGAGAATTGCTTGGAAAAAGAGAATGTGAGCCTTGGGGACGGAGTATCTGGAACCTATGTCAACTATAGTATTCTTTGTTCAAACTTAATTTTCCAGGGATTGGGAATTCTTTCTCACTTAGAAAAGATAGACTGCAAATCGTTGGGACATGAGTTTTCGAAATACTTGAATTCGCTATATTACTCGAGACCGGGGAACAGATATAGCTTGATCTTAGAAGGTATTATGTTTGATAGGACGATATATGTCAAGGAAGATGGATGGATAGACTATTTATTAGGATTTGATGAGGGAGATTTAGACAAGAGTTTGCTGTCTATATTTGATTTCAAGAGTAGGGCACGAGTCATTGAAGGCAGCATGGATAAACTGGAAATCAACGAAGAGCTAGTTTCTCTTATGGATGAAGAAATGATGAGGCTTTCGATATTCACGAGTGTTTCATACCTTAAAGATTATGTCGAGAAAAAGATAGCAAGTATTGAGGATGGAAAAGACAGATTGCTCAGAGGCATGAACGACATTATCCCTGACGAAGATAAGGCTTTGGAGTCTACGATCGTTATATCAAAGTGCTTTGAGGAAGCCAGTACTGCTGGCTACGGGGAACTTCAATTGTGCAAGATGATGGAGGCTTTGGAAGGGCTTTACAAGAATGCATCTACCTGCAATGTAGATAGGAATTACAAGTACTTCCTGTACCTACTTATAACGCCTTTCAATTTTGAAATGGCAGAGAGATACTTTCTGGACTGTTCGGTATACGAGTTTGTAGATAGAATCAGGCATGCAAGAGAAATGGCCACAAAGAACAAAGAGCCTTCTTTCTACAATGTGACTTTAAAGTATGCTTCATTTGAAATTGAAAGGATTTATGAAGACAGAGTTAGAGATGCGAAGTCTAAACTGAAAAAGGAGCCAAAGCTTTACAAGAAGACATTGGAAGATCTAAGGAAGTTTCTTATATTGCCTGTCACCAATGTGCTGGATCTTAAGTTTCCTCAGCCATATCCTGTTTGTCAAGGGTATCATCCCGACCTGTGCACACATATTTTGAAGGATAGAACTGACTGTGAATGCAAGGATTGGATTGAATTTTCAAGGAAGTTCAATAAGAAGGAAGTTGAAAGAGCCTTTGAAAACACCAGGATCAAAAAGAAGGATGTTCTCGAATTGTTTTTTAACAGGATGCCTGAGGAGATGTTTTCTGTCTCTGAAATATGCTTGGGTAAAGTTGTTAACCAAATGATAGAGGATACAACGATAATGAATTTGACACGGATATGCATTGAGAATCCATACATACCATTTATGTACTTCGTATTCACATTTGGATATAGAGAAGAGGAGTTTATGGATGACGGAGACATGGCTGGAATGAAGAGTGGAACAGGGAATACTAACATTAGTGATCAAGTTAAACATGAAGACGAAATAGATGACGAATATGGAGAGCAGGAAAAAGTAAGTGAAAGCGACGGAATAGATTTCGACAATGACGGAAGTGTTTCGACCGTCAGCGAGCCTGAAGAAGAAGAAGAACATGAGAGTGGAGTAGAAGGGTGCAACGATTCTGAGGAGGAAAGTGAAGAAGAAGAAGAGAAGACACTCTTAGATGAGCAGGATACAGAAATGGATGTTGAGAATGAAGGCTTTGGATCTGAAAGAAGCTCGGAGAATGAGGGGGAAGAAGTTCTATGTTCTGAAGATTCGGAGGTAAGTGAGAACACAGAAAACGGCGAAGGCGATAGTATTGAGTCTGGGAATGAAGACGACATAAAGCTACAAGATGAAGAAGATTTGATTTCTCACGATGAACCCAAGACAAACGAATATCAATTCAAAGAAGGGCTTCTCAACAAAAATCAAACATGTGAGACTGCAGATAATTATGAGAGGTATGTTGCAGGAAACAATCAGGACGACAAAGCTTTATGTGCAGGTGAGGGCACTGAGAGGGTTTCTGGGGATGAAGAATCGGGAAACGGAGATGCCTTTGAGTCTACCATAAGAATAAAAGTAGAGGAAGAGGATTGTACTAAGTTGACTAGTATGCTCAGGATAATTATGGAATCGAGAAAAGGAAGTAAATACAAAGGGGACTTCAAAAGTGGAAAGAAATTGAATATGAAGAGGCTGGTTCCGTACATAGCCAGCGGATTCAGAAGAGATAGGATTTGGATGAAACGGCAAAAGAATGACAAGAAGGACTATATTCTTCGTCTATTCATTGATAACAGCAAAAGCATGTACAACCAAGAAATGATTAATACTCTCTTGTCGCTATACTCGAAGATAAACAGGTCTTTCTCTCTACTTGGAATACCTGTTGAAGTTTACAAGTTCGGAGAAGCCCTAGAAAGGTGCTCTGTAGAGGAAATGGGATTTAATGACTCCCAGACTATGATTGACTGGATTGATGAATTCAATGATGGGATCAACATTATTCTAACTGACGGGCTTTTTCAGAATGTAGGACACCACCACCCAAACTTCCTAGTTCTACTAATAGACAAGTGTAACGTGAAAAAGATGTCGAAAGTGATTGTTTCTGAAGGATCTGTGTTTGTTCAAAGGTATTTAGATACGTTCCCTCTTAAGTACTGCATTATTTCTGATGTGGATGAACTCGAATCTACATTTGTAATGGCACTAAGTGAGCTGATTAGCTCCTCTTGAACGTTACATGACGACTGTCTGAATAAATAAAAACTTCTTTTTAGTAAATCTGCATCCTATGGCAGCTCATTGCCAAGTAATAATTGGTTGACTCTAATGTAAAGTAAGTTAAGTTTAATTCAGATTGCACCTATTTTGCTAGCGATTTCAAGAGCAGCGCCCTCTTCAACAAATCGGACGTATGCCTTCTTCCCATGCTTGTTGATCAGGGTGTTGACCTTCTTGACCTTGAATCCGTAGAGCTTAGTAACAGCATCTCTGATCTCAGGCTTAGTAGATGTCTTCTCGACGTAGAAGACCAGGGTGTTGAACTGCTCCATGCACCTTGCAGCCTTTTCTGTTGTAAGGGCGTAGAGTATTATGTCATGGGGAGTGTTCCTTTGGAGTTTTGGGATGAGGACTCTAGAGTGGTTAGAGTTCTTTTCGAGTGTATCCATTAGGGGGGATGGCGGAAGGGTTTTTTGTTTTGGATATGTGTGTGTGAGTGTTAGGCAGTTTGGACGGTGTGCTGCGGATAGTAGCCTTTGTAGCGCAGTGGTTAACGCGTTCGGCTGTTAACCGAAAGATCGAGAGTTCGAGTCTCTCCAAAGGCGTTTTGTCCTAGTCCAGACTACTGCCCTAAAATTATTTCAGGTAATATGGTATCTTACAAAACTATAGAGTCAAATTTGCAACCTTTTTTATCCCAAATGACAGAGTCTTTTCAGAAGCTGGAGAAGATCGGAGAGGGAACTTATGGAGTCGTGTATAAGGCAAGAGAAAGAAACACAGACAGGATAGTTGCACTGAAAAAAATAAGACTCGAGAATGAAAATGAAGGAATTCCAGCTACAACAATAAGGGAAATACTACTCCTGAAGAACCTAAAGCATTCAACGATCGTCGAACTAAGCGATGTAATTTACAACAATAACAAAATGTATCTTGTGTTTGAGTACGTAGAGCTTGATCTAAGAAGATACCTAGATAAGATGAATGATGAAGGGCGATTTGCTAACGAAGACTTTGTCAAAAAAATGTCTCATCAATTACTAACCGCAATGGAGTACTGCCATTCAAGAAATATTTTTCATAGAGATCTGAAGCCTCAAAATATTCTCATAGACCCCAAAGAAAACATCAAACTGGCAGATTTCGGCCTGGGAAGAGCTGCGGGCGTTCCATTGAGAACCTACACTACAGAGGTAGTAACGCTATGGTATAGGCCGCCAGAACTACTGCTTGGGTGCAAATATTATGATGCATCTGTGGATGTATGGAGTGCTGCTTGCATCATGGCAGAGGTTGTCCTCATGAAGCCCTTTTTTCCCGGAGATTCCGAAATAGACCAACTATTTAGAATATTCAAGGTTCTTGGGACTCCAAATAATTCTAGATGGTCAAATGTAGAGAATTTCCCAAATTATAAAGTAGAGTTTCCTATTTGGGATCCTGTGGACTTGAAAACAATTTTCAAAGCAGATCCAGACCTCATTGACCTCATCTCGAGGATGCTTGAGTATGATCCAAAGCTCAGAATGACAGCCAAAAGTGGACTATCCCACAAATACTTCAAAAACATCCCTCCAATAGTAGAATGAGGCATTTATAAAGTAATTGCTAAGACATTGCTTTTGAAACAGATTCTGATATACTTGAGCTTTAACAACAGATATAAACCTTTAATCTTATAGAGTCTCTGTTCTGAGGACTTCTGCTCTTGGCATTTTCTCAAGCTCCTTGTTCAGCCATCTGAATGCATCGATTATCTCTCTTCCATTCTCGTCGTTGGCAGACGTCATCGACCCTGCTTGGAGAACGCTGATGGGCACAATCAGCGACGGTCCGCTGTACTTCTCGAGGTTGAACTCGTTTCTGATGTTCTTTATCACCTCGCCTCTCTCGTGCTCTCTGAGCAGGTCAATCTTGTTTGCAAGTACCAGCAGCGGCCTTGGGCTGCTCAGGATGTTCAGTATCCTCCACAGCTCTTCGCTTGACTTTCCGAATCTTTGTGGGTCTGCACAGTCCACCATGTATATGATTCCGCTTCCATCGTTTATGTACTGGTGCCAGAATCTCATGAACGAGTTCTGTCCTCCGATGTCCCACACTTGGAACTTCATATTCCCGAGGTTGACGTTTTCACAGTTGAATCCGAGCGTCGGAACTGTTTGGTGCACCTCTCCAGTTTGCAGATACAGCAGGAGTGTCGTCTTCCCTGCCCCGTCAAGCCCTATCATCGTTATCGATCGCTCCGTTCCTCCAGAAAATATCCCTCGCAGCTTTGTATACAGTATATTGTTTACTTTGGAAATCACTCCTCCCATTGTTTACCCCCTGGTGTTTTTGTTTTTTATATACCCTGTTTCAGCTCCGGCAATGCTGTATTCCGTGGCACCCCAAGGCTAGCCACAGAGGAAAGATCAAACAAATTCAACACAGATTCTCGGAATGAAACAAGGAATCAATATAAGAGAGGCAGGCAGAGACGCCGTATGAGAGGTGCAATGTCAGCATTGTTTATTGCCTCCAGGGCCGTATGTGATGTGATAAGGCTTGTTCCAAAGTGCGATCCCACGTGCATGAAGGGAAGGCTGTTGGCGTCATATTACTCAGGGCCCATGGCCATATCTCCTGTATATGTTTCTTCCAAGAGCTCTGCACCGCCAAGGGCCCCCATGGTTGTCAAGTCCACTGTGAGAAGCCCTGACATTCCAAAAAAAAGCACCTCTGCTCGTGCTGCAAGGATTCCCAATGTCATAAGAACAACTGTGACAACCACTGTTCTGAAGACTGTCTCTGCGGAGATGCCTCGGAGTCTACAGCCACCTATTGTGGTGATGCAACCTAGATATGTGATGCAGCCTGTTCCCGTGGCTCTAAGCCCAATGAGTGTGGGTGGGGCGCCCAGGCAGAGTGCAAGGCCTTCTCCCCCACGCCTCCCTGTGCAGCAGCAGGGAGCTGGGACGGAAGCAATCAACAGGATAGGGAAGAGGATAAATCTGATCTACACGATGCTAACCACACTAAAGCAAAAATACCTGCAGATGGCTCCGCAGAGGCCGCAGAGGATTGTGGTGGTTGCACCTGTCACAACGATGACTGTGCTCAAAACAGTGTCCATAACACCACCTCAAATACCTACCATTCCTGTCATTGCGCAGCCTGCAACAATAGTTACTCCGGCGAAGCCTGCCCCACAGCCTCTCCAAACAGTGAAGGGTCTGGAAGCACCCGGATCCACTAGTACGATCTGTGTGACTCCTCCGCAGAGCATCAGGGATGGCAATAAGGCTGCCAAGTCCAGCAGAAGTGTTGAGCCTGCTAAGAAGGCTGAATCCCGCAAGAGCGATAAGGCCCATAAGAATACCAAGTCTCGGAAGGCGGATTCGGAGGAAAGCGACAGCTCACGGGAAAGCTCCTCGTCCTCTGAGAAGGAGAAGCCGCTGTACATGCTGAAAACAGGGAGGCTTGGGAGAAGGAGGCCGAAGAAGAGAGATTCGTTTATTGATTGCTACTTGAGGGGGAATCCATCTGAGTGTAATGCAGAGAATTCTGAGAGGGAGCCGGACATAGGTGATGCTGTTATCTACAAGAACGACTTTGACAGTGACGATGAAATTATATATCTCAGTGATCTATTGGGGAGATGATGGGCAACCCGTGTTGTTATTAAAGACATGTTTTCTATGTGTCATCTCTATGCGGCCTCAGATCGTCGAAGAACTGGTGGCTTAGGGCATCTGGTGCAGTGATTCTAGACGAGGAGCAAAGGTCAAGCATTCTGTAGAGCAGGTCGTATCCTTCTGCACCCACCTCTGCCCACGGGTTGAGCGACTCCACAATCCTTTCAAACGGAATCCTTTCCTCCGGAATTGTGTCTATGTTTGACCTCCATATTCTTCCGTAGAATCTTGCGGCCTTTCTCATTTCTGCATGTCCAAAGATCGTTGCAATCTCGACAATGGAATCGACGTCGTCCGACGAGTAGAAGAACGGATACTGTGCAGTCAGAATTGTTAGGAAGATCACGCCGACCGACCACATGTCTATGGCCCTTGTTTGCCTCTGGTGGCGGAACAGGACCTCGGGTGCTCTAAACCCTCGTGTCCCGGCCCTCGGCGCCTTCATCTGTGGCCTTCCGTCTCTCTCGTAGTATCCCGGAGGTTTGGTCTTCGACACGATGGAATTGAAAAAAAGCAGCGGCGTCGAGGGCTTGCTGCTGTCCTCTCTTCCCTGCTCTTCCTTGCACTCTTCATACTGCGCCAGCCCGAAGTCTATGAGCATTCCTTTTCCAGCCTCTTTGTTATAGAGGAAGTTGCCGGGCTTCAGGTCTCTGTGTATTATTCCGTTGCTGTGCACATGCTCCACTGCCACCAGCAGGTTGTACAGGTATTGCTTGACATCTTTTATGCTTGCATTTGAGATGAACTCTCTGAAGTCGATGGGCTTGAAGTATGGCAGCACAGCAACCACCTGGTCCTCGTTCCGGAAGACTCCGAGAAGCCCCATGCAGTTTCGCTTTCCTCCAAGGGCCTTCAGAAACGTCAGCTCCTCCAAGACCCTGGAAGGCGAGCTAGTTCTTGTTATTGCCTTCAGGGCCACATACCTGCCGGACTCTGCGTCCAAGGCTTTGTACACAATGCTGAACGACCCCTCTCCTATCTTCTCCATGGGAGTGTACCTCTGCATGATGAAGGATATGTGCTTGAGATCAGATTCCAGGATCCTCTCCTCCTCCATTCACCCTTTCTGGGTTTTTTATTTTAAGACGAGTCCTGTGCAGTGCCTAGACGATGCCAGGACGCCATGGAGGATGAAAAGAAATGGTGATAAATGATGGGGTGGGTAGCCCTTTAATGTGTGGAGGGCTGAAGGCGGATCTGTTTGTTAGGTACAAACAAATGGAAAGAAAGCTCAGGCTCCTGGAGATAAGAGAGGCCTATGTGCGCAAGGAGATTGAGACCCTGAAAAGGGAGGAGAGGCATGGGAAAGAGGAGCTGGACAGGGTGAAGAGTGTTCCGCTGATAATGGGGCAGTTTCTGGAGCCCATTGACAACTCGACTGCGATTGTGGGGTCGACTGCGGGAAGCAACTTTGTTGTCAGGATACTGTCTACTGTCGACCGGGAGCTTCTGAGGCCAAACACTACTGTTGCGCTGCACAGACACTCAAGCGCAATTGTGGATGTGCTTCCGCCTGAGGTTGACAGCACGATTCCTGTGATGGGGGAGGAGGAGAAGCCGGATGTGACGTATGCAGATGTAGGGGGGCTTGATGTGCAGAAGCAGGAGATAAGGGAGACTGTTGAGCTTCCGCTGCTACAGTCTGAGCTCTACAAGCAGATAGGGATTGACCCGCCGCAGGGTGTGCTGCTCTACGGGCCGCCTGGAACTGGGAAGACCATGCTTGTGAAGGCTGTGGCAAACCACACGAAGGCCACGTTCATAAAGGTCAATGGGTCTGAGTTTGTGCAGAAGTATCTTGGGGAAGGGCCTCGGATGGTGAGGGATGTGTTCCGGCTGGCAAGGGAGAAGGCGCCGTCGATTGTGTTTATCGACGAAGTGGACTCCATTGCAACAAAGCGATTTGATGCATCGACATCTGCAGACAGAGAGGTCCAGCGAGTGCTCATAGAGCTTCTGAACCAGATGGACGGGTTTGACCAGGCAACGAATGTCAAGGTGATTATGGCGACGAACAGGGCGGACACGATTGACCCTGCACTGCTCAGGCCTGGGCGCTTGGACAGGAAGATAGAGTTTCCGCTCCCGGATAGAAGGCAGAAGAGGCTTGTGTTTAATGCAATTACATCGAAGATGAGTCTGAAGGACGATGTGGACATTGAGAGTCTTGTGTGCAGGCCCGAGAGGATAAGCTGTGCAGACATCAACTCGATCTGCCAGGAGGCAGGGATGCTTGCTGTCCGCGCCAGCCGGTACATGGTTACACAGAGAGACTTTGAGGAGGCATACTCGAAGGTTGTTGAAAGAAGCGACACACAGCCTGCATTCTATAATTAAATAGTTTGTGTTTTTCTATCGGATTGCCTGGGGCATCGAGCTTCACATGTGGTACAACAAGTAGGAAAGGTCATTTAATTAGCATCTTTACCAGAATTAGGTTCACTCACACTTCTGATTTGCGAGGTCTTCCTTGCGTTTCTTTAACCTCATTTCCTCTGACTCCTCTTCTGCTTCTTGAACTTCTTCTTCTGACTCCTGAGGCTCCTCCTGTACTTCTTGAGTTTTTTCTTCTTCTGACTCTTGAGACTCCTCTTCTGCTTCTTGAACCTCTTCTTCTGATTCCCGAGACATTTCTCCTATTTCTTCTTGAATCATCTCTTCTACCTCCTGGGTCATCTTGTCTACTTCTTGAATCATCTCTTCTAATTCTCGAGACATCTCCTCTGTTTTTTGAATTTCCTCTTCCAATCCCTGAGACTCCTCTTCTGCTTCTTGGGACTCCTCTTCTTGAGCATCATGAACTTCTTCCTCCTTAATATTAGAAACACCTTCTAGGCTTTCCTCCACGGCAGGGTTGGGCCCTTCCAAGGAAGCTAAGGACCCTAGACTTTCCTCAGTACTAGAGCAAGAAGCACCTCCTTCTGTAGAAGAAGGCAAAACACCTGCACCTTCCTTTACTAAAGGCTGCTTTTTGATGGCAACTGGACTACAATTCTCGCTATGGCAGGGTAACCCAGAGCAAAGAGCTGCAACAAAAATAACCTGGAATATAACAAACCTAAATTTCATATTTCCAGGGCCTAAAAATTTTCCTTATATACTTTTACATAAGCTATTAATTTATTTGATAATAACTGAGAACCTCTAATACAAAATACAAGAGAAGTAATATCTACATTAATTACTGTTGATGAGTACCTGAATATTGAATTTAAATTAAATATTTAACATATTTTTGTTGACACTTTTAATAGAAATTACATATTGCCGAAGGGCAATACACGGGTGAAAATTATATTAAGCTAAAAAAGTTTAATTGGAAACTCAAGCTTTTGAAGTGTGTCTTATCCAGATTAAAATCATTGCTGAATTATGCAAAGTATCTAGCCATCTCTTTCAACTCAAATTAAATATTTTGGGTATAGACATTAAAGATTATGCCCATTAATGAAACAAGAACTAATAATGAAGCAAGGATTAATTGAAGAAACAATAAGATCAACTAGGGATCCATGTCTCCTACTTGCCACACTACTTTTGAACTCTATAAACAATCTTTTAAACATGCTAAAGAATCCAAGGCTGGTGCCTTTCTTTTTGTATGATAATGCATTTCGGCATTTGGAAAATAATAATTTTGATGAGTTTTGGAGAGAACTAAAGACTGGAATAAAAGACGCAAGGAGGGAAATTAACGGGCTTTCGGCCGACGTTTCAAGTTGGCAATGGGACAATTTTGATGCTTGGTTTATGGAAAGAACTTCCAGGTTTGACGAGCTTCAGGCTTTCGACCATAGTGTATATGGGTTGTTTTTAGGTGGATTAGACGAAGCGCCAGATGATTGCCGCTATGGGAGCCCTTATCGTACCTGGCTAACGCATCATAGCTTAACTGACTGTGCCAGAAAAAGTACTTTAGGATATACTTTGGAGTATTTGAAGATGACATTAGGAAATAAGGTAATAACAGCACAAAAGAATTATTCTATTATTGATATTCGGAGTAATGTAGGTAATACGGGTAGAAGAAGGCGGTTTTACGTAGTGAACCTAGACGATGTTATAAAGAGGCCTGACGAAACCATGTCTGATGTTCTTGACTCAAAAAAACTTTTGTGGAGAAAGCCTGGATATTATCACTACAAGTTACATGGGCTATTTTGGTTCTTAGATCTGGCCGCGAATGGCTTTTGAAGTATAAGATTAAACTGCTGCCTCTATGCTCTATATTAATTCTATTTGTTTAATAATCCCAATGGATGACTTGAAGGTAAAGATAGATTCTTTGACTAGAGAGGTTCGAGATCTTAGCAAGGAACTACGTGAGGGGTATGAGGAAATAAAGAAGCTAAGGGCAAAAGCCAGAGAACAAAGAGAAGAGATAGTACAAAAAGACGACAAGGTTGAAGAGTTAAATGTATACATATCGAAATTAAAAAAGCAAATTGATGAAAGGACTAAGGAGGTTGGGAATAGGGAAAGGGCTATTATGAATGAATGCAGAAGGAAAGAGTTGTTCAACGACAAAGTACTTGGAAGCTCTAGGAGTCGAGGAGAATATTATATTAGCTTAGAAATGAAAGTACTTAACACACGAGTCGAAATAATGAGAAGGTTTATTCTTGAGATTTCAAAAAGGTTTGGGTTTGATTTTGAGATCTTTGATGAGCTTTCGAGGATATCTGAGAACTCTGATGATCCGGTTATATCTGCACTTCTAGATAGCATTTCCCCAGATAGACAACCACCTCAGGAGAAGAGAAAATAGAATAATTTCCCAGTATTATTTTAAATGGACCGGAATTGTATTGTATTGAACATTTATAATGCTTTGGGGCCAGGGGACAAATTTTTCAAAATCACAAGCCCTCAGCTAATGGCAGGACAAAAAGTAGTCGATCCAGACACAAAATACATTAAGCTGCAAGTTGTGGGGGGAGAGGCACCCGGAGCAACGCTTGCTCAAAGAGTCGGTCCACTTGGGCTATCGTCGAAGGTGGTTGGTGAGGACATAAGGAAAGCCACTGCAGACTATAAGAGCTTGAAAGTTCATGTGGAGCTTGCAATAAAGGACAGAAAGGCGACGGTTGAGGTTCAGCCTAGCGTTGCAACTTTGATAATCAAAGCTTTGAAGGAGCCCCCAAGGGACAGAAAGAAAGAAAAGAACATTCTCCACAATGGAAGTCTCAAGATGACTGAGGTAGTTGAAATAGCAAGGATTGCCCGATCGAGCAGATCCTATTCTAAGACTCTTGCAGGAACGGTGAAGGAGGTCCTTGGCACATGCAAGTCCATTGGATGTAAAGTTGATGGAAAATGTCCTAAGGAAGTTACTCGCGAGATTGATAGTGGAGATATCAGGTTGCCCGATCAATAAATATTTATGACGAAAATGTTTTGTTCCTAGTCTTTATTTAGGCTTCCTCTGTGCGGTGCACGGAGTTTGAAACAAGTGTTTGAGAGAGATGTCCTAATTTGTTGTAATTTGGTCAATGTGAAACCCTAAAACATATAAATTTTATCCTATCTTTCTCGTCATGAGACTTTTGATTTTCTGTATGAGTTCACTTGTAGTGGGGAGTACTAGAATGGTTAGAATTACCTCGAGGCTCTATCCAGACTTTGGAATAGCTATTGCACCTGCAGGCACTGGAGGGAAGGGTACTGTCAAAATGCTTAGTACCAAAGAAAATAGAAAGATGGAACAGCAGGGAACTTTCAGAATCGACAAGGGGATAACAGAGGTCTCACAAGGCGAATCCAAACTTTGTAAGAATGAGAAAAACGATAGCATTGATGTTTGCACAGGAAAAGACGAGCTCTATTCGAAGTGGAGATTGGTTTCTGAAGACGGGAGTGTCAGATTCAAAACAGAAAATGACGTATGCCTAGAGACAGTTGAGGACAAGTTGGTATCTGGTGGCATAAAGCTTGTTGGTAGAGAATGTAAGCTGAACACAAATAGCCAACTCTTTGATTTGAAATTTGTCGACGAGGATAGCCAGGACTCAGAAGAGGATGAATTCGACAAAAACTCTCCAAAAGACTTGCCTTTAGAGGAACTGCTTCCTTTTTTACTTTATGGAAAAGAGCCGGTATCAAACCAGCGAATAATTTTGTATGATAGCCAGGGGAAAAAGAAGGCTTCATTCAGGGGATCGGTTAGCCCGCTCATGATTGCCAGCCTAAGCTCTGGCATTCTGCCACATTCCAGCAAATCATCCACACCTTATTCTGAATATAGGCCATTGTTAAAACCAAATTCTCCTGAGGAAGAAATGGCAATTACACCGAACTATGCAGAATATGGAAAGCTTTACTAATTAAACAATGTATTTATTGCTATTTCATTGGAAAGGAGTCATTGTTCTGGGATGCATTTTTGCATTTGTATGCGCATACTGACGGGACCTCATTGAATAATCCTGAAACCATAGAAATAAATGAAATCTGTCAATGTAAAAACAAGATGGGGCTGTTAGTTATGCTAGTAATATCTTGTATATTCTGTAAGTCGGATCCTATAAACGTTAGGATAGTATCAAAAGGGCATCCAGAGAAGTACTTGGCCCTGTTCAGCGGGGAGGTAAGACTTGCGACCAAGGAGCAGATAAGGAGTAATAAGGGATGCTCTAAATTCGTCGTGGATGAAATTAGAACGGAAATACTACAGGGGAATAGACGAGTATGCAAGAAATATGAATTTTCTAGGGTTATGTCATGTATTAATGAGGGTAAGAATTCGATGTGGGATGTTATAATTGACAATTCTAAGTTTGTTTCTTTCAAAGTAAGTGGTGGAGAAGATTGTATCACAGCCAATGGGTCAGAATCCACAGACATATTAGGAGATGTTTTAAGTTTAAGCAAGTGCGATAAAAATTCCAACTCTCAGAAGTTTTGGATTAAGTTGATAGTAAATAAAAAGACAAAGGGTAGCTAGAAACAGGCATAGAGAATTGGTAAATACTAATGGA